CAATCATCCCTGTTCAGTGATGTGGTTAAGACAAGCCCGGTAGATATATCGTGTCTTCACGGGTATACCTGATCACTTTTTTGGTTTAATATGCTTTTTTCCTTTTGTTGGTTCACGATGAAGACGAACAAGACTTGTAATGAAGGTGTAGGTCTGTTTCAGCAGACTGGGTGTATCTAAGCTTGTTAGCGTCTTGAATGATGTATATCAATGATCTTGTGTTGTGTTGTATGACTTACTAGTAAAGTAGTCAGTAGCATACTGGATGAAAGTAGTGAGCAGAGAAAGGTGACCTGATCTCCCGGTTAGTTGAACATTTGACAGCTAATGCGTCTCGACATCAGTGGTCAGTCAGAGCCTAGAGTTAGTGTAGGTAGTATAGCAGCGTGATCACTCGATCGAAGCCAGTCATCTGTAGACACAGACACATGCTATATGCAGAGTAGAGTTGAATGTAGGTCGACAGGTAGTATACAACTACCCAGACACAATGACCAACTCAACAAAACACCTAATCAGTAGTTCCAGATAAAAAAGAACAAGCAAAAGTGTTAAGAGAGTAAAAAAAGTAAAAGAAAGAGAAGAAGAAAGAAGAAAGAGAAACAGATGGGACATAGGGTATGAAATAATACCTCACCTGTCGGGGATTTCTCGGTCCTCCCTGATTCATTGGGTGTTGGTGTACCGTGTGGATAAGGGAGGAAATTGGCAGTCGGGATTTTCTCGGTGGACCTCGCCACCTTAGTACCTTGCCTGACTGGCTGATCTTGGGCGGGCGAAACTCGGCGGTTTCTTTTCATAGTCCTTGCTTCTTGGTGATGTACCTGCCTAGAATGACTATGTTTAGTCGTAAGTTAATAGTATTTGGTTGGTAGGTACCAGGTTGGTTGGTAGGTACGAAGGATGTTGTGATGTGGGAGATGTTACTCTATGAGGTAGGTACCTACGTACCTTCCTGTTTACTCAGGCTTTCTACATCTACTCGAAGAGGAGAGCAAGGATGATTCCCAGGTTCCCAAGTAGCTGAGACTAGGTAGCTGTGCTATTCATGGTGTGTGTACTTTGTCCTACTCCATAGAGACCCCCTTGGTATACAGCGCGGCACCATATGATGTTACCCTACCAGGTAGGTAGGTAGATACCACTAAGTGGGCAGGTACAATAGTACTTTAGGTATGCCCCTAGATCGAATAGTGTCTCATACAGTTTTAGTACCTGTATGCAAGACAAACTATGGAGCTACCTACCTGTGGAGGCAATTCATCGTCTCGGTGGGTAGGTTCTATCTAGTCTAGGCTCTAGGTTCTTGGTGCCACTTGAGGGATTAAATCATTCTGTCACATTCCTTATCTATCTTACTCATTTACCTCCTACTTTTTCTATCGTCTTATCTTGTCTTGTCTTATCCTGTCCTTGGGGTCTTGGCTGCCTTTGACTCGTTGGCTTCTTACTTAGGTACCTACCCATTGCGCCTGGGTATAGTACTACTATTCATTATGCTATTGGCATTGCTTATCTATTTACCCAGGCATCTACCTACCTAGGTAGATAGGTAGGTAGCGAGGTCCGTACCATGTAAGGGATGGACTGCATCGTAGGCAGATTATGAATGACGCCTCCGTGGATTCCCACCTACCTATCCAGTATCCACCCCTTGAACGGTTCACCTCCTTATGTCAGGTTCACTTACCCACCTGTATACCTACCTGCTCTATTGCTTTTTTTTTGGAATGAATACTAGAACATTGAACTTGGTTGCAAGTGACCAAAGCTCTGAAGTATCCTGAGTCACGGTAGTGTACTGTCCATTGGGTATGTCATGCATGCTGGAATACGGCATCCTGAGAGCGCCATGCTGGGTACAGACTACGTTATGAGTCTAGTGTCATCTTGATATCGTCACATCCATATCTCATTAATATACATACATACACACAAGCATATATACATATGCAGAAAAAAAGTATAGTAGAGTCATCGGTCATCGGTAAGATACTGAGGTGGTCGCATCTGAACCTCATCCCAGACCTCCCGCAACGGGCCCAGATACGTTCGATCGACATAAAAGAACCCCAGGAGTAATGTCCGCAGTTCCTGCCATGAGTGGAGGCCCTGGTCCTGGACAGCGGCAGCCAGCTCTGCCACGAAGAACGCCCGCTCGCGGACCATCAGCCGCGAGGCGCAGGCGCCCATGAACAGCAGCCATATCAGCAAATCACGACAGAGGTGGAAGCAGCCGGCTGGGATGGTCGTTTCGATGGCTTTCTGCAGACCGGTGATGGGTTTGGGAAAGACAGGCGCGATCTGCGGGTAAAAGTCCCAGATAGCGCTGTTGTGGAAGAGGAGGCTGGCGAGGCGGACGCAGCCTTCGATGGAGGCGTCGCCTTTGGAGGCGCCGGTGTCGGTGTAGCGGTCTGTGTGGAGGGCGTATTCGATGTAGAGGACTTCGGTGTTGAAGTAGTCTTCTGTCTCTTCGCCGAAGTCTTGGTAGGTCGGGTCGCTTTTGATCCATTCGGCCCACCAGGTGAGCTCGCCGAGGTCGTAGATTGTTTGGGTGAGGGCGGGGCCGAAAATTCCGGGTATTTCTGTTAGGGCGATTAAGCGCGCGGCGGTGTTGGAGAGGTCTGCTGAGGGAGGGCGGACGGAGAGGTGGGTAGGGCGGGCGTAGCGGATGAAGGGAAAGATGGGTCGTGTGAATGCCATGCAGGCGACGCGGATGTCGGTCCTACATCAGTTAGTCGGTGCTATCACTGGACGGGGTGTTGGCGAAGCTCACCATGAGATCTGGAAGCGGACATCTGGGGGTACATCCGCAAAACTATTTCGCATGCCCACCATCTGTCTTAACCCGGCCAGGTGGATCTTGAGATAGTCGGGATTACCGGACGCAATCTGGGCAGTCAGCAAGGAAACACCCGATCGCCCCATGAAGGGGGTGCATACCTCGATTGTCAAAAGGATCGAAACCGCCGCGATCAGCACATCACTCGACGCTTTGATGGGATCTGATAGGCCCTCGTTGACCAGTCGTATCGTCTCACCACGGTGATGGAAAGTGTCGAGCAACAGCGGACTCGACGACCGATTGTTCGGGTCCTTAAGCGGGAATTCACCCGCCTGGAGGGCCATATTGGACGCCGCGACACATATACAGGCATGGAGGGACGCAGGGTCTTGTTGGACCAACGTCGACCAGTGAGCCTGTAACTTCGGCCCGTATCGACGTTGTAACGGGTAGGCTATTTGCGTCAAGTTGCATAGAACTGGTGACCTGGTTAGCCAGACTTCTTAGTATGCCGATGGACAGCACTTACAGTGTTGCAGATGCCGCATCATGCGATCCGACAACCGCGTGTGCCCCAGACAAAATGGGTCTTGGGCTCCCTGGCCGACATAGTCCCAAGGGGATACTACCCGTACCGGGCTCACCCGGTGACCGTTATCAATGTGCCCGGCCGAGACGACCGGAGCAACCACAAGCCCGGCTGAGCTGTCTTCTCCCTTCATACGCCTCTCCGGTGGAATATGCCCCGGCGACGACGACGCGGACGTTTCTCGACTACCGGGCGAGGTCGTCTTGGTCAAGGCGGGTGGTTCAGTGGACGCCGTCAACGCAGCGGTAGCAGACGGGGTAGAGGCACTCGTCTCGACCGGCTGAAAGGCCAAGTGTTTCCACGCCTTGGTCTTATACCGCTTGGTATTCTCGAGGCGCTTTTTGCGATTGTGTTCGGACATGACATGTGACCGGATGCGCTTGAGGGTATCCTCACGGGTCCCCTCAGAGACAGACTGCGAATCGGTATGGACCCAGAACAACGACGACTTGCCTCCCCCCGCATTGTTGCCTTTGCGCGGTTTGCGCATCTTGGACACGGCGCCGCTCTTGCCCGCATCGGCGCGGTGGGATTCAGGTGGGGGTTGCGAGCGATTGCCCTGGACGGGTGGCGTCGCCAAGGACGGCGGTGGAGGCGCGTGAGGATCATGATAAGGCGGAGGAGGAGGAGGGGGACGAGGGTGGGCAATCGCGTCGGGTGCCGGGTAGGTGTTATAGGCGTGGTTCATGGCATCGGAGTAAGATAGCGGGGCCGACCAGCCAGCCGAGCTAGGCCCGTGATGGGAGGCCGCCGGGTCGGCTGGCTGATGAGGATGGTTCTTGGCATCCATTTCATAGGCGAACCTAAAGAGGGGGTATTCAAATATCCTATTTGGTGATCTTCATGGGTGTGTTTCATTCTTCTAGAGTGGCGTGGCGCGACTGGAGAGACGCTAAGGAGAGAGAGAGAGACAGATCTCCGAGGTCAATGGCGAAGAGGGGAGATAGCCCGCGCACTGTCTTTATGTGATAAGGGCCATTGTCTACCACAGGATGATAGTATCGCGATGACAGGTTCTCCCGGAAGCTTTCTTGAAGGTGAAGTTGACTGAGAGGGATAGTAAATAAGATAGAAAAAGCGAGAGAGGCTAGATCTCGGAAGCTGCTGCTGCCGATGACCGAGTGGGGGAGTTTAATTTGGCTGTTTTGGACCAGACTTTCAACGGTCGGTTACTAGTGTATTGAAAGGTGTATACGTGCGGATACCGTATCTTATCTGTATACTGACACTTCTCTCCGACCACGTGGGGAATATGTACTCCATGTAAGGTGGTCAGGTTGCACTCGTACTCTGTAGGATCCTATCAATGAACACGTCTATCCTAGTCTATCCAATCCTCAGACAACACTCGTCATACAATTGTACCAACTGCGTGTCTGATTACATACCCTCGATCGTTATATTCGCTATTGCCACAGAATCCAGCAGTGGCCGCGCTGCGAGCCATCGTTGTATGCATGGAGGAAAAAGAAGGAAAGATAAGATAAGATAAAATGACTGACAGAAAGACAGATCAAAATGCGACCAATCGGACAGCAATGAGACGAAAGGAAAAAAATGGGGGAAACAAAGAGAAAGAGGGTAAAAAGAAAGAAAATAGACACTTTAGAACTAGTCCCTGCTTCATTACATCCCTGGCCGCGGAAAGATGGGCGTCGTTTCCGGCAGTGCATAGCCCCCAAGGGTGCCCTGCTGGCCGCTGGCCTGCCACCCTTGGCCAGTCTGTTGGTTGACAAAGGTACTTTGTCGGAATGGATTCGTACTGCCCGTGGGATTCGGGCGCAGAGGCGCGGCAGCGGGAGGTTGGAGCCCCGGTGTCTGCTGGGGCGGAACTGAAGAGCTGCGGGCAAACGGGTTGGTCCCAGTCCGCTGAGGCTGCAGTGTGGCGGTCTGCGGAGGCGGTTGTTGGTATTGGGGCTGTTGCTGTTGCTGTGGTTGTGGTTGCTGTGGTTGTTGGAACTGGGGCTGTTGCGGAGGGAATGATCCCGGTCCACCGGCGTTGAACTGCGGATTTACCATGGACAATCGTCGTGCAAACGGATTTGTGCTCTGGCGATTCAATGCAGGAGAAGGAGACGCACTCATAGGTGACTGTGACCCAGTGGGGTTGTTCAGCAACATCGATTGCCGGAACGGATTGGTGGTCTGCGGTTGTAGCTGCTGCTGCTGCTGCTGTGGCTGGCCAAAAGGTGCCGCATTATTCTGAGGGGTGAGATGAGTCTGGTATCCATACGTCTGCGTCTGCGGCTGCGGCTGCGCCGAGTACCCGCCGAACCCGGCACCAGTGGGCGTGGCCTGTAGAGGCTGTGGCGGTTGCTGGACTTGCTGTCCAAATTGATTGTTGTTCGCTTGAGCGAATTGCCCACCGAAACCAGTGGCTTGAGGTTGCTGTTGGAAGCCTGTCGGCTGCGCGTAAAACCCTTGCTGCTGTGGCTGGAACCCCATCTGCTGGAATTGCAGTGCTTGCTGTTGCTGCTGCTGCTGCTGCTGCTGCTGCTGCTGCTGTAAAAATTGCTGTTGTTGCTGAGCGGGGGGCTCGATCGTGTCGAAGAAATCGATCAGGTCAGATTGATTCGTGTTCTTTTGCGGCGCAGGCTCTGTCCGAGGCCGTGCGGGTTCCGAGTTGTTGACGACTCTGCTCATTGGCCTACTGCTGTTGCTCTTGCTGTTGCCGGACGGAGCCAGCGACGCATTGATTTCTGCACTGCTGCGTCCCTTGGACAGCAAATATTCTCTTCGGCGTTGGTTGAAGTCCGGGTCATTCAGATCGTCTTCCAACAGTCGCGTCAGGTCCGTCGAAGCATGCTTCAGTTTCGGTATCTCCAGACGGGTGGCGTTTTGGAAATGCCTAGCCACCCCTAAGAACTTCACTACCTCTTCCGTCTGGGCAGCAAAGGTCTTGTAGATTTCCAGCGCACGCTCGCTGTCCGGTCGTGACATCTCGAAATAATGTTCTATTCACGGGAATCGTAAGAGCAAGCCACAACCTGGCGTTGGAGGACGGACATACCTAAGACGTTGATCGTACCCTCATTCATCACCGAATACAGGGACAGCAGATCTAACGTGAGCAGCCGGAAAGCTGTTAACGTGATTTCATTTTCGACTTCGTCGGTCAGGAGCTAAGAACGGTCAGTCGTGGACTCTGGAATTGCGACAGCACGGGGGAAAACATACGTCGCACTTGAGCAGCGCACGAATCTGCCTTTGGACAATCTCCGTCTCTCTAAGAAGACCCTTTTCCACTGTCAACCGTCTCATGCGGCCTTGTCCACTCCGTACATAGTCTGTCTTGGTTTTTTCGAACGCCCTCGCACGTGAAATGAGGTAATCGGAATATCTCCGAATATTGTGTCCTTGCGTTTGCGCTGAAACATCCTCTGCATCAGCATGTGTTCTCCCTCCGCTCACTGCCTGAGATCGTCTCACCTTCCGAGTACCCGCTAATGGCGATCTTTCGAGGATTCTCCGCCACATACTGTAGCGTGGCGTCCAACTGCCCCTCTCTGATCATCATGTGAAGGACAATCAGGGCCTTGAACACGACCGTCCATCCTGACTCACGAAGCCGGGTCTCCAGCGTGCGAAAGATTTCCGCCACGCCCGCCTCGCCAGTATGGGTCGCTACCAATATGTGTTCGATGTATTTGGATTTCGGGGGCGCAAGCTGTCCACGCGGCAAGAGAAACCATCAGTATTATATCCAATTTCGGTAGAATAACATCACAGCGCAATGTCTCAAACTGACTTTAATCTTCGTGGCCCCCTTAACCGACTTCTCAAAGTTCCCACTGGACATTGTCGGGACGCCTCAATTGGGCCGCAATCCGGATCAGGAGGCTGACTGTGTCGCGATAAGGCTCAATTCGACGACCAAATGTTGCAAGAAAGGTGAGCGATATCGCTTGTGTCGGTAGAAAAGCGTACAGCTATCGTGGAATCCAGATCAACTTGTCCACGTGAGTACCAAAAATTATCATCGTGGCTCAAGAGGCCATGTTGCGGATCGGTGAATCTTATGCGGCCAGTCAGGAACGAAGCGGGGAAATAAGGAAGTGATGGGGATGGTTCGATGGCAGTCCTACCAGGTCGAAAAGGACAAGATTATGAAGAGTTTAGAAAGAAATTCAAAATTCAAAGACCAGCCAGAATCATGGGAGTCACGGAGGGGGGACCGATCGGAAACTGGGAGAAGCTTCAAAGCGACCGGGGGAGAAGTGAGATGAACTCTCGGTGGAGCTCCCTTCTCTCTCTCGGTGCCCCCTAGGTACCCGTAGTGACTACTAGTCCAAGTACCCGCTGAACACCAGGTTTGCCGTCTCCTCCCGACGTCACCATCGCCCATTCTTTCTTCCTGCCTTGGCTGTCATAGATGAATCTAAGATACCAATGATGATTACTTCCTATACAACCATTGTTTTATTTGGTTGTATTCTACATATTTCTTTTTTTTTTTAAAACAAAGAGAAAAAGAAAAAAAAAAACAAAGATTGGTCGGAGATTATCTCCTTATATTGATCTATATATACAATCATTGCTGCCTACAGAGTAAAACTGGATAACATATAGTGGTACCATAAAACAATCAACCCAGAGTGATTGAAACATGCAATCTTATGCGTATAAGATGCCTACAAAAACCTCTAAGCAGGGATCACCTTCTCACAATAATGTCCAGTTGGAAGAATTCAAAAATACCAGTTTCGCTTCCTTCGCTTTGGTCTGATATCCATTTACAATGTTGACTTTGACCTTCTTCCTTGCTCGCAGGTGATTTATTTCACATAACATTCACTTGTTTCTTCACTGTTTCCCTCACTCTTACTCTTATCTTGGTTGATCCCATCTCCAAACAACCCATCACGCAGTAACAAGCATATCAGAGGTCACTCGTGAACAGCATGGATTCAAAACAATACCTCCTTCATTTCATCTTGTCTTATGTCTTCTAACCCTCTACAATGCCTTTGTACTTGAGTCTATCCCTATCAATGAGAACACTTCCTCCTCACCACCCCCCCACCACCTTCAGTCTGAGAACCCCCCCGCAGAGATGCCGTCCCCCCAGGGGTCGTCTCTCAATTTCGGAAAAAAAGTCCCCAAAATCAAGTGGAACCGGGAGGAGAGGGTGATCCTGTGCGTTCTTTACAAGCACTTCCAGAAAGATCTCACTGCTTTCCAAGAAATCTTCAGCTGTATCTTCAAAGGCGAGTTGATGGAATGTGGGATCCAAAGCGCGAGAAAGACTTCCATTAATACCCAGTGGGAGCACATGAAACGTAGCGGTGACCATTTGTTCGGGGAGGTTCATCTGTCTGCGTTTGATGCGAATGGTCAATGGCGTGTTCACCTGGGGAAGATCAAGGAGACGGCGGGAAACCTGGGCATTGATCTCCACGAGAAACAGGTGGATGACATCAACTTGTCGCATTTCCGGTACCGACGGGTGAGAGCTTTGGGAATGACTGAGGGAGAGGGAGAGGCCACAACCGTAAGTTAACAGTATGCAATAGGAATCCATGTACTGATTCGCGCAGCCTGGGCTCGATGAGCTTGAGCGGTCTCCGGAAACAAGTCCAGCCAGAGCAACAAGTTCAGATGTACAGATGCAGACGCCCCCTGTGTATCCGCTGTCACCAAAAGAAAACACAAGCCTTGTCAATGGTTGTGGGAAGCTATGCTACTGGTGCGCGTTGGAGAATCCGACCCTCGAAGACCAAGAAACTCAAGACACCACAAGAGCGGAGGGGATACCTCCGATTTTGTACCGCTGGTCCAACGTCGACTCTCAAGGCGTGAACTCCAAAAAGCTGTTACTCGCGGGCTTATTCGCAGATGGTGTGGACTACTTCTTTCCCGAGCAGCTAGAACAGGGTGAATTTGATAACTTTGTCAAAACACATGTCAGCATTGAGAAGTCCCCGACGCCTTTCATCTCAACCTTCACCTCAATGCTTGCCCCACTCCACCGGGCATTGAGGAACCAAGAGGGCGCAATGATTTCGATCATTGACACCACAAAACTGCAGTCCCCTGTTTTCTCCGCCCGTGACCTCGTCAAGAGGCTCAAAATCAACATCAGAGGATACCATGGAGGCGGGGAGTATCTCATCTGGGCCAAAGTCCCGAGCGCCGCCATTGTCTGCTCGTACAAAGCAAGTACCCTCCTGGAGATCGCGAACGAGGTTGCGGATATCGGAAGCATCCTGCAGCTTGGGACGATCTCTTCATTCAAACTCGCAAGACCAGCATTGCACCAAGCCTTGAGGGAAGGACCCGGAGGAAGGAATTTTGAGTCCGGAATGACGATTGGAAAACTCCTGTCCATGATTAGGGTCCCCCGTGAGTACTGCAAGTTCGTGGGTGAGGGCTTGACCTATTCATGGAGGTTTGCGAGAGATGGGTCTTTGGAAGAGTTCCATGCCGGAGTTGAGGAGGGCTACAATGCCAATTCTTACAATGCCGAGCCAGCTGTTCAAAGCTCCTTACCAATGACTCCTGTCCCTGCCGCCACAGCCAACGACGACGAGGATTCTGGAGAGAACAAAGACGCCAGTGTCAATGAAGCCCCTTGCCTCCCCTGGCCCGCGACTCCGTACCCCTTGCCTAACAATGCTGCATCACCACCAGGAGCAGCCGCTCAACACGAAATGTCAGCCGACGGTGAGTCCTTCGGAGACGAGTTTAGCCGTATCTTCGATACACCCTGCCCTGTACCTTCTAGAACAGACCATACTAGTACCACAGTCGAGTTGTTTGACGCCGACACCCAGCTCTGGGTCACAAAGCAGCAGCAACCAGAAGGCCATGCGCCGTCCCCATCCAGATCGAACACCGTAGATACCTCTGACGACGAGGGCGACCTGAGGCAACTCCCTAGTCCTGGAAACCCTTTTCGTCCCGGCGTACTCCAACGCTACAACCAAGATCCTCCTGTGGTCGGGGCTAATGTTGAGGGTCATACCGTCGGAGGGAGTCCCGATGAGCATCCAGCCGCAGCGTATGGTGAACAGTGGCGTGTATGTGAGCCTGAACTGGCCCCGGAACCGGAACTCGCAGACCAGGACCCGTTCGCGATGCGGAGAGCGCGCATAATGCAGATCATCAACTGATATGAGACTGTCGATTGGGAGTTGATCGGATGATGTATTGTATGTGAGCGAGGGTCTCTTGCGTCTGGAGCTGTTCAATCGGTTGCCTGGATCGGATGTATTAAACTGGCATAGGATGATGAATGGCACGGGATATGGTTGACGTCGTTCAGTTGTTTACTGGAAGTAAAGCATAACTACCACTACGAGTTCCGCAATACAAACAAGCAGAAAGACCAACGGTTTCACCAGGAAGAGTAGCACATTAAGGAAATATATGTGTAGCGCCCCAGATTATAATAACCCAGTGAATGTAAGATTGAAAAACACCCATACCCAACCTTCTGGAGAAACAGGCGGGATCTCTATATTAGGGATCAAAAGTGAGCGATTTTTTTTTTCTTTTTTAATATTCATTGGATATCTCCTTTCACAAGGGTACCTGGGACATGAAATCGTGAAACAATCCCAACCCGTTTGTACTATTTCGCTTATTGCCCCTGTCGCGCCGCTGCCCTAGATGGTTTTCCTCGAGAAAATACCCCCTTTTTTTCGTCATCGACACGCTTAGAACTTGCTGAACGCCTTGACGGCCTTGCCGGTGCGGGGCAGGACACGCAGGGTGTTGAAGCGAACCTGTTGGATTATTTATTAGCACCTGTTATATGCGAATGAAGCCATGGGAGTATGTTCGGCAGTTGCGCCAGTTCCATGCGGAAGGGCGAAAGGCCTGTAAGCCTGTAGAGGGGCACGTACAGTCTTGCTCAGAGGACGGCACTGGCCGACGGTGACCCAGTCACCCTCCTCAACACGGAAAGCGGGAGAGACATGGGCGGCAAGGTTCTTGTGGCGCTTCTCGTAACGGTTGTACTTGGGGACGTAGTGGAGGTATTCACGGCGGATGACGATGGTACGGTGCATCTTGGTGGAGACGACACGGCCGGTCAAGATACGGCCACGGATGGAGACCTGACCGACGAAGGGGCACTTCTTGTCTGTTTGGAATCAGCAATCATGCTATCAGTGTAGTGGGTGATGGCCGGAGATCATGGGAGGCCTGGGCATTCGAAATTTGAAGATGAAAGTCCGTGCAGCAGTCTGGGTTCTCGAAATTCGACACGCCCCTTTCAAGAAACGAGATAAAAAAAACCCCCGGTCTTCTTTGTTTTCTTTTCTTGATCTTCTTCTTTCCTTGTCGCAAAGTGTCGTATATCCAAGTCTGATAACCCATTTGCCACACGGTATTTTCATCTCCAATATCCCAAAGACTGTGCCCAGCCTTTCTCCAAATCCGACGATTCGATGTCCCAGGAAAAATTCAGCGGAGGTCGTGCATACCGATGTAGTTGCCCTCAATGGCAGTCTTGGGGGTACGGAAACCAAGACCGACATCCTTGTACCAGCGGCGACCCTGGGTGGTCTTCTTGCTCTTCGCGGTGGTCTTGGGGTTGACGAAGATGTGAGGCTGCTTCTGGAACGCACGTTCCGACTGGACGTTCAACTCGGTCGCCATTTTTGCGAGAATTCAGGTCGACAGGGAAGCGAAGTCGAGCTGGGTTGGGAAAATTCGTCGCGAAAGGGGTGGTCGGGGCCTGCGGTTGTCGAACGTCGATGTTGGAGAAGATTTAGCGAAGTCAAGCCGGATATTCAGTGTGGTGAGTGTGCGATGGCCACGCTAGTCCCGATCGGGGATAGTGCAGTTCGGCTAGGGCTTTTTTGGGCTTTGTTTACATCCGGCGATCACATGAGCGGCAACCGTGGAGACGCGCGCCTTGACGGAGTGTTTTGGGGGGTTTAGTTAGTATGGTGGATTAGACTAGATGTCACCACCGCAATCGCAATCAATCCACCTGTCAATGCCATGTTATCAGTAGTGCTGCCATCTGCGTAGCTGACGGAACAACGGGCATTTCGTTTTTAAATCCTGATCGATCTATGATTCCCGCTTGACTCGCAAGATGTCGTCCCGACGGGAGTCTACGGGAGTCACTCGTCCTCGTCCTCGATCGCGTCGCTCGATCGCTCACGTACCTCGAACCAGGACGGCGACTGCAGGCGATAAAGAGAATGCCACTCTGGACATTGGCGCCCCGAAAACGCGCGATGATTCGGCCAAGTCTGCAGCGAAAGAAAAGAAATCCCGCAGCAAGAGCTTGGGGCCGGGGGGTCTAGATGCCCTCCAAGACTCGAATGGCAATCGACGCAAGGTAACATGACTCTGCGTCAGGATCTCTGATCGCGCTCGGAAGGCTAATTGCGTGGCCATACTCTGCAGTCTACCACAGCTTTCCCCCTCAAATCTATCCTTAAGCCTACAGTCCCGGTATCGCCAGTTCGCAACATACCCACCTTCGAGGAGACTCGGAGACGCACCCCGGCGCGCAGGCAACAACAGGAAGAGGAAAATAATCATGGCGCGAATGATGGAGGGAATGAGGACTTGCTGATTGATTTGAATACGCCGGCCCATCCATCAGCCTCTGCCTCCGAAGAACGCGCCAACCCGTTCGACAGCTTCAATGCTGAGGCAATTCGCGACGAAATGGCAGCTGCGAGAGAACGGGAGGAGAAGGAGAGGGCGGAAAGGGAAAGAAAGGCAATCCTTCAACAAAGAGAGGCTCGCCGGAAGTCCATGGGTAAGCTCCTCCCCCATGTTGGGGGCCTCATGTAGGCTGACCAGTGCCGACAAAGCAAACCGCCGAGTTTCCTTCGCGCCAGAGGCAACGCTGCATACTTGGAACGTGGTCGAAATTCCCGACGACTCGACCTCGTCCTCCACTTCGAACTCCACCAGACGTGCATCGTCTCTACAGAATGCCGAAAACCAGCCGCCAGCACAAGCGCCAGCCCAAGAAGAGCCCTCCTCTCCCGACGATGTCGACTCAGACATCACTTTCTCTCCGGTGAAATACCAAGACTTGCAACAACTCGCAAGTCGCCCCCAACCTTCAAGCTATGACGCCATGGGTTCCTCCCAGGAGATGTCCTCGAGTCCCTTCAGTGGAAGTTCCGTAGGCGGCAGTGAAGACGCTGGGATGCCAAGCCCAGCGAGGGATGACGATGAGAGTTCATCGGATTCCGAATTCGACGGCGAGAGTACTGCAATGAGCATGGACGAAACCGTGCGATCGTCTGCGACGATGCAATCCGAAGCATCTGAACCTACCTCCTCTAGCGCTCGCCTAAACGACGCTCTTCAGCAGGCCGCCCGAGAGGCCGGGAAGGAGGGAATGGACCAATATGACAATGGCGAGATGTCAATGGAAATTGCCGACCAAGAGATTACCGGCGCTTTCCAGCCTTGGATTAAGAAGGGCCAAAGGCAAAGTTTTGATTGGGAGGACATTAGTGCTCGACATGACCAAGAAAATGCCCCTCCCCGTGAGGCGGCCGATGACTTCGCTCACTCCGACGCTGCATCTGATGACATCGATGAAGAATTAAGTATGGACGTGACAAGCGCCATCGGACGCATTCTGTCAAAACCTCAGAGTCGTCGCCAAAGTGCCGTTCGTCGCAAATCGGTGTCGGAAGAGACCACTTACGATGAACAAACAATGGAGCTTACAAATGTTGTCGGAGGTATAACCCTATCGACTCCTGCAAAGTCAGTGGGTGGCGACAGCAACGCAAACGATGATGAAGAGATGACTATGGAGTTTACGACGGCTGTTGGGGGTGTTTTGAACCAAGAGTCTCCGTCAAAACATGATGGCGGGGATGATGCTCCAATGGAGACAGACACTCCGCAAACCAAGAAAGCAAATGGTTATGGTTGGGATGAAGAAGCTGATATGGATGAGGGGATGGACATGGAAATGACAGGAGCCGTTGGTGGCATTCTTCCGGCTGCTCAGGAAGAAGAGACAGAGTCACAAGACGACGATCAGACTACCGGCATGGATGTTACGACGGCCATGGGCCAGATATTACCCCCGAATGGCGAGGCCGATCAGCGCGAAACAGAAACAACAACCGAACGCGAAGCCGTCCCAAGCACGATGGACAACTCGCCTGTCCGGGATGCCCAGCCATCGCCCGCGAAAACCCCGGTCTCTTTCCATCTCGCAGCTGTCGCCTCCGAAAGTGGTAGCCCCAGCTTGGCCAGTGTCAGAACCCGCCGCACAAGGCAGAGCTTAGGCCGTCGAGCGTCCACTACGCCTACTTCCAACGCGCAGCAGTCATCTCCCCATGAAGGGCTGCCTGCAGAGCACTTGACGCCACAGGCTGTTCATCCCACGACACCTGGTAAAACACCACCTTCGACCGGGAGGCAGCTCCGAAGCGCATCCCCGAGAAAACTTTTCCAGCCCGAACTTGGACAGTCGACAAACCAGCGAAAGTCCCCTGGCCGTAAGAGCCTGTTTGGATCCAGTGCCACCGGCGAGTCTACCCCTCGTTTCGTGTTGCAGCCTCACGGCAAAAAGAGACGGTCGTCTGGCCTTGGGATCGATAAGGAGGGACTGGGCTCGCCCCGGGTGGCGGCTCTGCTTGACAAACGGCGGTCAATTGGGGAAGATTCCCCTGCGTTCATTCCCCAGGAACAGAGGCCACAGGGCGTGCGTTTCGAAGACCCCATCAAACTCCAGGAAGAGGTCGACCAAGAGCGCGAAGAGGAAGAGAACCGGGAGGATGGGCATATCCCGCCGATGCACCCCAGTGAACGCGATGCCACCGCGAACCTAAAGGACATGATTTCGAGCCTGACGCCCAAGAAGAATAAGCTCCGTGGCCGCAAGAGCTTGCATGTTGGTGCTGCGCGCGGAGTACTCGGCAAACGACCTTTGGAGCTGGATCTAGATGATGAGGATGTAGACTCCGATCATACGCCGAAGCGCCTTAAAGGCCGTCCAGCTAGTCCGGTGAAGAAGATCCATCTTCCGGCACCACCCTCAAAGGATGAAACCGTTGGTCGTCGGACTCCTCGCAAAGAGCGCGACACGACCCCTCAGTTCAGCACGACACCTCTTCAGGACCCAACGACGAGTTCTGTTTCAGTGGAGATTGCCAAGGGTACAACGGACTCTCCGAATGTCTCTGACCTGCAGCCGCAGGAAGAGGCAAGCGCAGGTGCCGAAGAACCTGTACCAGAGTCCGAGCCTATACAACTGCAGGAGTTCTTGAACATGACCAACATCCACTTCATGGAGCTTACCACGACTAAGAGACGGCATACGACCGTCCTGGACAGTGCTAGCAAGAGAGTAGCTAGGCTGTCTAGTGAGAGTGCGGACAGATCTAGTGCCGCTAATTTCGATGATTGTGTGGCCGCTGGGCTCTGTACAGTTCCCATGCTTGAGCTGTACCAACATTCTTGCCGCGAGCTGAAATCCTACATTTCAGAAGGGCGACAGGTAATTCGGTCCATCGAGGCCGAGACTTTTGCGGATAACCCACCCCTGTTCCGGGAGTACATGACGGCAGCGCCGGACATCCGTCTTCTGATGGACAACCAATTCCGAAACGTGAAAACCCATGCCAGGTTCCTCAGCAAAGCCACATGGTATGAGTGGCGCATGAAACTCCTCGAGGGCCTGAAGGAGGGGCTCGACCAGCATTACGGGCAGATGAAAGAGGACGAGCAGCTTGTATCGAGATATGAGGCCCTCATCGACGAGGCTGTACCTGCACTTGAAAACAAGCACAGCTCGTTGCAGGAGGAAGCGACGAGCCTCCAACAGATGGCGGACGAGATGGAAAATTATGACCAAGATGAACTGCGCGATTCTCGGGAGAAGCTGGCCCAGGTCGACGAGGAAATTGCGGCTAAGAAGCAAGAGCTGCAAGCCATGCAGGAAGCGGTGCAAGACAGAGCCGACACCATTGAAACCGGAGCTGAGCTCAAGGCGGAGTTCGTGGCGCAAATCCAAGAAGCGGAGAGAGTCAAGGAAGAATGTCGTGGCTGGAGCGCCAAGGAGATCAACGAGCTCAAGGGTGAGTTTCCTTTCCCCCTCAGAGACTGTCAACCCTGCTGACAAGACGCAGACTCTGTTCGTACCATCGAGTCCCAAACGGGCTGGTCGATCGCCTCGGCCGTTTCAACTTCCGATTCCTCCACCGGTCCCCGAGTCACCATGTCCTACCGTAACCAGCTCCAACTGGTATTCCACCCCGGAAGCTTCTACATCGAGAACGACAACAAGCAACCCGCAGCTAGCGAAAAGTCCAGCCCGCCAGTAGAACTCCGATTCCAGCCCACCGAAGGAGCCAACTCCACACCACACCACACACACCTCACCCCCATCGGCTCCCTAGTCCTCAAGACCCTCCAAAACCACATCTCAACCACCCCGCCGTCCAACCTCGCCCCCACCCACCTCCTCCGCTTCGTCTCCCAAGCCTGGGACTCAACACTCAAGCTCGAAGAAGAAGCCCGCATGCTCGAATTCTGCGGCGTCACCAAACTCAAACTACGCGAAATCGACGCCACCCCCTCGCTCAGAGCCCGCTGCACCCTATTCGAAGCCCGCCCAAAGAACAACAGCAACGATGCCGCGCCCAAGCGCATCGACGTCGACTTCGCCGTCAAGGCGCGCATCACGCGCACAGACCAGCCCGGCGCAATCGGCGTGATGGACTTCGACACGGACGTCATCGCCAGTAAAGTCTACGGGTTCGGATCCGGCAACGGCACGGGCATTTCGGAAAACAAGATGCGAAATATCCTCAACAAGGAGATGGGCGGGAAGAAGGCGGCCTTGCAGCTTGGGAATGGCATTTGGAGTAAGGCGATCCAAGCGCTTACTGGGACGGTATTTTAGGGGGGTTAACTCTGGTGTTATACTTTTAATTGTTCTGGTTTTATTTCACTTTTCTAGTGTGCGCGGTTTAGCGCTGGCGTTTTGAATGGACGGGTGGATGACGGATGGATGGATATGGTTTTCTCGTGCGGATGGTATGGGGTTGAGTTTTTTTTTTTCCTTTGCGATGGTCTACATACCTATTACATACCTGCAAGTTGATTGATTGACAATTGAGTTTCCGCTGCCGCGGACTTATTCCTACATAACATATCTATTCCATTGCATTGTGGAACAACACAACCAACATGAGTAAGACATCTAGGAGTGATAAATACTACTGGCGGCTCGCTCTGAACTTTATAAATGGGCGGTACTACACACGAAGATATATAAATTGAATGCCTAGGCATAAGAGTGTCTGTACCCGTACTTCCCTAGATCGAAGAAACTCGATCCATCTAACCTCTGGAATATATCTACATAGGTATATTACTTTGGTACGTATACGAGGGAGGGATATATATGCTATACATTGAAGCGCCGACATCCAAGCACCAGCCAGGATAAATGGAAGGAAAAAAGGAAAGAAAAGAAAGAAAGAAAGAAAGGAAAAAAGGGTACTATTTCATAAGTCGTAACGTGTAGGCTATATGTGTATATATCGAGCAAGACACGCCCACATGCTAGTAATACATCTGCCCATCAGCCTGACCATTCATAGCAGTGGCGCCTCGGAACGGATCCGTGTAGCCGGTATTCGTCCACAGAGACGCCGTCGTGTGGTCGTGTCCCTGCGGGGCATTATGGTTTGTGTTTTGACTCTGATCTTGACCGGGATGTTGATTTTGATTCGGGCCTGGACCATGCTGCATGTAGCTGTAGTTCATGTCCATGGGTGTGGATGGCATTGATTGTTGGTGTTGGGTAGGAGGATGAGGGTGCGGAGGATGCGACGACTGGCCTGGGATGTCTCCCTGGTAGAAGGGGGTGGGTCCCCCGAATAAGCCTGGGAGGAACTGACCGCCGAATTCCCAGTCTGCGGTTAGGGGGACTTGCCAGAGGTCGGACTGGGCGAAGATTCCATTGGCGGGGTCGAAGGGGAAGAAGTTTTGGAGGGAGTAGGGGTCTGTTTGGGTTGTGGGGAGGGTGTTGGGTGGGGGGTAGGTTTGGTGGAGTGGGGGTTGGTGTTGTTGTTGTTGCTGCTGCTGTTGCTGTTGCTGTTGCTGCTGTGGTTGTGCTTGGTGGCTGTGCTGCTGGGGGTTTTGGATTTGGTGGAGGACGGGGGAAGCTGTGCTGAGATGGACGGGGTTTTGGGGCGGGCTGCCTGGGACGACGACGTAGCCGCTGGAGTTGACGCGCGGAAAGCCGTTGATGTTGCTAGGGGCGTTGGTATTCGATGCGGGGGAGTGATCTGGGGATGGTGATTTTGGGGCAGCGGGAGCTCGACCATGTAGCGAGGATGATGCAAGAGAAGCAGTAGCGGTGTTTGATTCCGAGGTGGTGGTTGGATCGCGGGACTGGAGCTGTCTGTCGCTGGGTCGGGCTGCGGTCTTCTGGTGGCGCTCGAAGACAGCACGGGCAGTGCGTTCAAAGTTGGCGCACATGCGCGTCATGAATCGCGCGTAGTTGCAGGGCCCGTCGCCGGGGATGAGCGTTGCGAAGAACGTTGCGGCCACGTTTAGGGATTGGATATCGTCTTTGACTTTGGGGTGGCCGCTGTCGCGGAGGATATTGACGAAGATCATTATTACGGCGAGGAAGATGTAGTAAAGTAAGGACCTTGCACGTGTGAGTAAATACCGTATCTCTTCATGCCGAGTCAAGTGTGCTTACCATATCCAGGCGATGTCCCCCCACGGGAGGTTGTTCACCAGCTTCAAGGTATCCCGCGCAGCTTGGACACAGACTGCGGTGGACGTTAACGACTCGTCCAGGATCACCTTCAGGTCGATAGGCACCTGCCCTCCGGTGGCAAGGCGATGGGCATAGACGAAGTTGATCACGAGCGGGACGCGATGGACCATGATGATAGAATTGTAGTACACGAATTGCAGCCCTGCCGAAGCAAAGCCCACCAGAAAGTCTTCGCCGCCCCTCTCCTGCTTCGGTGCGAGGTCAAACGCACTGGCAGCTTTCCACTTTTCCAGATCCGCGTGTAGACCGCGCACGATGCTGATGATCTCCAAAGCGGACTTATCTTCCAAGGCCGTGGTAGCATATAATTTGTTGTAGATTCGGCTCTTGATCACGGTCATGCTGCAGAGTTGCTGGAAGAAGGACGTGTTATTGGTCAAAACGAACTCACTTTCCTCCTCCACCGGAAACTCAACGTCAAGGTCCTCGTAGTGCTGAGTCGGCGCATTCCCTGACCTGATACAAGTGCTAGACGGACAGTCAGCTACCGGAATGCCCAAGAACAATGAGTCGGATCTTACCTCTGGTCCAGGATGTAGGCAATCCAAAATACCCTCTTCCGCTGCTCTTGCTCAGCCACAGGCAGATGAGGCCTCGGGATATTGCGATGAAGCCCCAATCGGTGGGATGAGCGGATGGCGGCGGTGATGATGGGCAAGGCGGACTGAGTCCCCGAGTTCCCGCGGAGAAAAAGCGCCATGCCCAAAAGGGCCTGCACGCTCAACAGATCGGTCCGTCGGAGGGTCAGTTCTGCAAAGACGGACATGGCATTCTTGTAGTAGAGCCATGCTTTTTCTCGGTCCTTTTCCGACTTCTGCGTGTTCGAGTAGCGGTATTCGTATGCCAGGGAGATGATAATGTTGATACTGGCCCAGCGAGCGGCGTCGTCGCACGTCTGTTGCGTGTACTGCCACTCGACCATTTTCATGAAGGTCGCCTCGTGATACAGCGGGAACAAACGGTTCAGAGTCCGAAAGTAATCTCGTAGGAGAGAGAACACCTCCGCCCTCGGAGGTAAGGGCTTGAAGACCTGGGAGGAGAACACGTCGTGGAACACGTCGGGTCGCCAATAGTCCCACGGGCAATCGTGACTTGAGTCCGACACCAACAGGCGGAGAAAATTCACTTCGCCCGTTTTGTTCTTGATCCACTCGATCCCATCCCTGGAGAGAATCGATAAGGACGAAGACCTTCCTGATAGAATGTCAGCGAATGTCCGTGTCAATATAGGGAAGGGGAAAATAGGCAACATACCAAAGTACCGGTGCTCATCTCTGGCATCCCACTTGAAGACCGGGACTTGCTGCAGAGGGTTCTGACCAAACCGTGGGCGGCCGGTCGCGCCGGCCGGATTTTCAGAGCCATCCACGCAAGCGGCTGTATCTGGAGGCGGATCTCGGTCCGTTGCATGATCGGAATCCTTCGTGCTATTGGAAGCCAAGTTGGCGGGACTACGTTTACTTGGATCTAAGTTGGGGTTAGACGACTCGTCGTGTTCATGGTCGACGTCGCTTCCCTCCTCGAGCTGTTCATCCTCGCTCGAGCTGGGATTCTCCTCGTTGAGGATCTCCTCACCCAGAAGGCCCGCCGCTCTGAGCAGGTCCTCTGTCCTCCGAAGTCGCTCTTCGAGCGCTTTCACGTAGTGGGTTCTAGTAAGGGTCAGCCATTTGCAAGCCCACCGAGCTGTTGATATAGTACCAGTACCTTTTGAGATCGCCCCGCTTCTCGCGCCTGGAGGTGAACTTGCACCTGATATTGCGGCGCATACATTGGACACAGGCAGCATTGGAGCCGTCGACCTCACATTTGATCTTCTTCTTGTAGCACGACTCACATGCCTAGATGACATCACTTTAACGTCTTGCGACACAGGGTGTGGGAGGAGGAGCGGAAGAAAGGAAGAGAGAAAGAAAAGAACATACCAGCTGATTGCGCCTCCGACTTTGATAGGTCAAGTCATTCTGGGTCCCCGGAGTAGGATGGGATCCCGATACACCAGGCGTAGGGCGATTCGGCGCTCCCCACGACGGCAAATTCCTACCATCCAGCGGAGAGTTCTGCATGGCAACCCGATCTAGACCAAGCGCGGGGAGGGGAAAAGCGCTGTCGCGGGCATGAGTCGCAAGGGAAGCCGAGTGCCAAGGCCTGGACCAACAACGACTAGAGATCTCCCAATCGCGCGGATGGAGAAATCCTCCCTATCTCCTTAACCTATTTAGCTCCCGGAGCGGGGATAGATTGGTTAAGCCGGATTTGGGCGTGGCTGGATTGGACAGGAGAGCAAAGCGATCAGAGGGGGTGGGAAGGTGGGCAGTTAGTTAGTTGCTGTGGCGAGAATGAGGAGTTCGAGTCCAGATCAGCCGCGGACGAATGATAGTGCTCACGGGTTAGAGATTTTGATCAGGCTCAGGATGGTTTATTGATCTTGACTAGGTATTGTACTCTATGTCAATGAAAAGGAAGAGGATATAATTTTCTACTCTCATTCTATTTTATTCATTTTTTTCTGGTTTAGTATTCTTCTTTGCCTTCGCAATCTGGCCCAACCGAGGATGAAATGAAAACCCCTGATTGGTCAGATTTCCGGCGTCTCCAACATCCGTTCCGTCTGCTCTTTTGCGGTCGGAGATTTTCTTTCCCCGATTTACTCTGATATCTGATATATATATATAGATCTTTCGCTGTTATGGATCGCCATGGCTAGTCACGACGTGTATGCGATCTCAACCGTTAGATCGCATGTCCGTCTTGGACCGTGTTCTCTTGCGACACTCCGTCGATTGCTTAGAGCGACCGACATTGTCCCGTGACCGGCGGGATTACTCCAGATAACAGGAGTCCACGTGTGCCTGTCCGGGGTCAAGCCAAGGACGGAACGTGGAATGACCGACTGGACGACGGGAAGGTTCCTCAACGTCGCGAGACGCCCTTTCTCGGGGTCTGCTGTAAACGTTGCTGGTCGCGGTAAACCTGGGATCGTAACTCCAGGCCATTTTGGGAGCTCCTGCAGACACTAGTGGGTGGCTGGTCCGGTGCTTATCGCGACGTTCCTACCGGTTCCCTTTGATATGACCGTGGCCTTATCTGGCCAGTGGCCACACCCGCCGTCGACGTTCGGACCAACTTTCGGAATCGTCTCCGTCTTCGCGAAATCGTAGGATCGTCGGATGTGACTTCTCGTGGGCCGGTTTGCCAAGAGATGCGGAGGAGGAGCGACCGGCGTGTTAGGAGCTAGAGCTTGTCTGTTCTTTCAGGATCTAGAGCGTGCAGTCAGGTCAGCGTGTGCGAAGGAAGCTTTGAACGGCTCATCCTTGTTGGTCTGTGTTTTAAATAAGAGTCGAATCAATGCGATCCGATCTTAATTGTCCGTTCGTTTGGTCGCTTGGTCGCTCCATTGGTTGGAGGGCATCGTTTGTAGTCAATTTATCTGTCAGCCAGATCTGGAAAGGGAAGGTACACTGGTTTAAAACCAGGGCTTGCCGCCGTTCTAGAAAGAAACCAAGAAACAGCTTATCGCAAGGAATGTCCATTAAGCCTAAACGGTGGAGACCCGTGGAATGCCAACAACATGAGATGATTCTGATGACTGATTCCCACGAGTCCATGAACCGAGTGGACAGCCTGGAAAACCAGGCAACCTCTCACGCCATTTTTAATTTGGGATAGACGATGATGCTGTCCGGGATAGGAATCACGCCATCGGGGCCAGTCCAGTCTTCGCCGTACTTTTATCATCCATGACGGAGTACTCCGTACAACAATACAATCCCGTACCATCAAGTAGCTTCGCGTCTGACTAGGGTATTGATGCATAGCTCCCGCCATGCCGTTTCCGATCCGCTGGCCGATTTAGAATGCGAATAGAGTGGACACTTGAGCTTTCGTGGCGTGCGCCGCCCACGCTTACCGCGCCTGTTCCTCTCTGTTCCTCGCACGCCACGCAAGCAGCTGTTTACGCTACGGGGAGAAGCGCTATTGTGGTGTGCGAATGGGGGTGCAGGTAGGAAGAAGCTTGGGTGTCAGTCCCGGCCGAGGTGGTCCCCGGCAGTCGAAGGAGGTTAACTAGTTAGCTATTGAGACCACGCCTAGACCGTCTGTGGTCCTGCATGCAGCCTTAAAAAGAGCGCTGCGGGCGGGTGCGTCTCGTGCAAGGGAAAAGAAGGTAAGAAGCCCCGTGGACGGGGGGGTTTTGCCACCGATTGACAATGCAATTGTGTCGGTGGGAGCCGCCCTGAGGATGGTGTTCCCTATTCACGATACGTGGAGATACAGCATTACCACCTCCCTACCTAGTACCTCCTACCTAGTCCGACAGACCAATCTATCTGCCACAGACACAAGAGACTTGAGACTGGCATTGACACGAGTCTCAAGAAGACAGTCGCTCGCCCTGAGTCGAGACATGGGGAGGGGAGCAACCCAGGCTCCCAATTTATCCGGTAGGAGGATCGATGATCTCCGACGGGAAGTGAATCCAATGGTTGACCAGGAAGAGGGTCAACTTCCCGCCATGGAGCGCGGGGAATACAGGAAAAGAAGCATGATACGGGGATTAAAAATCGTGCTAGCCTTGATTGAGTATCTGGGAAGTGGCGAAGAATCATTGGTAGACAATGGCTCTGGAAGACGCCAAGATTCCCAGAGCATTGACTCGGGACTGTCAATAGACTCCAAAGTACCTCCCTACGGCGGCCATTGGTTTTCAGGAGACTTCAAAGAAAGTCTCGAATCGTCAAGGGATTTGTATTGTGATTTGTCGCGCGTGGACAAGGATGAAACGGTCTCCAGTCTCCATCCCGAGAGCAAGAAGGGAGTTTATTCCCGAGGGTGGAGAGGGGAGGAAATCGAGTTTACCATGGAATTGAAACTGATATTCAATACCGATGACCGTACCAGAACAAGGCGGCTCCCCTGTCATGGACCCTTCTTTCCTTCTTTTCTTGTCCGTTCCTCCGTTGCCTGAGCGGAATCGACTCCACCCTCTCCACTTCCCATACCGGTCATTACCAGTACACGTAAGTAAACCAAGCCTTAATTAAGTTCCGGGCCCCCTTAAAGACGGGGCGGGAGACCGAATAACCAGTCAACTGTCAAGCCGAAGTTGGATGATGTTCCTCGTTACGTCGTCATCTCTCTGTTTTTGGTGTCTTTTTTGGGGGTCTGTCTGTGGATTTCCTTGTGATGATATTTGCTTCTTTTCCTTCCTGTTGATGTCTATTTCGATGTCTGTTTCTTATTTTATCTTGTATCCCCATTCTATTGTCGGTACCATCCATGGACTCTCCTCCGCATTTGTAGATATTCATTAGTGAGCATAATTATTGATCGAAATGGGGAGTTCCCCTCTCCATGATTAGTACTGACCTTATGCTGGATCTCCGTTCATAGTTTAAATACCATAAACTACTCTCTTCTTTCTTGTCTTTTCTCCCCTTGTCTCTTCTCTCTTCTCTCTTGCCTCTTCTCCACTCCCTCCCCTGGGTATTTGTCTCTATACTCTTCTTCCTCCCTCCCTCTCAAGTCCTTCTCTGTCTCCGCCCGAAGCGGTCAATCCAATTTCCTGAAAATACCGAGGACCTTCAACTGACGAATAAGATCCCGCGATCACGACATTTCTCCATTCTATCAGATCATCCACTAGCCTTGGACGGACCTGAGACGATCACTCACCCAAACACGACCTTGTGTGGTCTCTTTGATTGCTGCTGACTGCTACTTTCTCCCGTTAATTCCCATCCAACTTCGCCTGGAGATACCTCTGGACTGGATTTGCCCATCTTTCCATCCCATCTCACCCCCCCCCAGACCTCTTCTTTTCGGCCGGTCATTGCTCGTGCCCTGACGTACGTGGCCCCGCGCTATACCACTTCGATCCTGTGAATGCCACCCCCGATATCTTTGCAGCAAATCATCTCATTTTCGACCTGTTGAAATCTTTCCTTCCTCTTGTATCATCGTCCACTCTTTCCTTCCTTTCTCCTCGCCCCCCTTCTTCGTCTCCTTTCCCCCCCTTCTATCAGATTTGGGGTCCAACGCCGGTCTGGGTAAAGTCTATTCTGTCATCATCTGGTCCTGGTTCCTGCTATCAAGCACGAATTAAAGCAAGAAGAATAATAAGGGGGCCAATAATAAACACGCCATCCATATCGGGGAAGTACGTGGTAATTCATCTCCCCGAAAATCCAGGTCAAAACGTCGACAGAAAAAAAAAGAAAAATTACCAGACAATAAAACAAAAAAAAAGAAAAAAAGAAAAAAAAAAGACAAAAGGAAGGAGGGCAGAATATTATTGTTTTTTTTTTTTATTCTGATTAAATAAAAAGAATAATATATCCTGGCCAGGGCGCTGCAGCCAGCATGTCAGACGAGCACGTTCGTCAGGCAGCCTCAAGCTTCGATAGGCTTGAGAACTTCAACTTCCTTCTTTCTCGACACGATCCCGCCGTGGCAAAGAGTCGACATTATTCTTTCGACGCCGACTCGGCTGGTCTCGCATCGCTCCAACATTTGAACATGGATTACGATCAGACCGAGGGAATGGGCGGTCTATCCGTCAGTTCCTACGACAGCATTGAAGACGACCGCAGCCCCATCGACGTGCGAGGGTATCCCTACCATGGTAAGTCTAAACGTTACATTGCTTGCGCCATTTTGTTCTCTCTTGGGCCACTATCCGCGCTGTTTCCTGATAATCGCCGTCTGGGCGGCATGGGATGAACAGATGAGCTACTGCTGGGGCTGTTGGCATCTGACCCCAGAGGGCCGTTGTCATGAGTCCCGCGGAAGCTTCATTCTGCAACCCTGTCTGAACCCATGGTTGGGTTTCTTTGCTTCATGTTGCTCCCTGTATCTGCCTTTCGTAATCCCTCTCTGCTCCTTGATTTCATTGCCTTTCGCATAAACGGTGGGTGATGGCGTAGCCCGCCGCCGCCCTCTCGTCCAGTCCCCTTTCCGTCTCGTTGGGTTGTTTCCATGCGAGTTGAAACTTATGCATGACGTGCGCGTCTGTTATTCTATGCATTGGCTTTTGTTTTTATTTCGTTTCTTTTTTTTTTTCTTTTTTTTTTTTTTCATTTTTTTTTTTTTCCGTTATCTTTTTTTTTTTTTGTTTCTCTTTCATGATCTGTTATAGAATTGATGTACGTGCGAATGGGATTTAAATAACTGACCACTACGGCGTCTGACTAGAGCTGTTTTTTTTTCATTTTCCTTTTCCTTACCATTGTGATTTTTTTTTCCTTTTGAAAAGGGAGGGTGGGAAAGAAGGGACTTGTCTTGCGATATCTCGGCTTGGGGATAACCTCCATCCGAGCACGCAATCTACCACATCAATGACAACGTTCGGGAACCCTGTCCTTGCTGGAAACCCTCTCCCCATCCCCATGTCTTCCTCTCCACAGGGAAATCCCCTTTCAAGTGCCCCTTCCCGCTCCCCCGCCCGCTTCAATCCTGAATCCTCTTATCACGATGGTGTCGATGATCTGCTCTCCCTCCGTTCTTGTCTATACTTGGCCTTCACTTCGAATCCCTTCGCCGCACGCGTCGAGCCTCTACCAGCCAGCTTGCTTACTTGACTCTACACAGCAGGAGACAAGTCAGTGAACTACTCTCTGCCCGATCAAATGATTTCCTATTCAGCCCACCCCATCTATCCTCCTATCTCTTATGGAGCTTCCGATGACCTCGGGCACGGTGCGGGGGCCATGACCCCCTCGGATGTCTCCTCGTCGATATCCCCGCCCAACGGCCAGATCGGCAACAACAAGTACAGCACATCCATCTCGAGCGACCACATCGCCTCCGCGCTCGGCCAGGAAGAGGGCGGGCGGGTTGCGGCCGAGGAAGACCGGCGACGTCGGAATACGGCCGCCAGCGCCCGGTTCCGCATGAAGAAGAAGCAGCGCGAGCAAGTTCTCGAGCGCACGGTACGAGAGACCACCGAGAAGAACGCCAGTCTCGAGGCCCGGGTGGCTCAACTCGAGATGGAGAACCGGTGGTTGAAAAACCTCCTGACCGAGAAGCACGAGGCGACCGGCACCCGCATGGGCCCTCCGTCACAGGAGACGTTGAACCAGAAGAGCAACGGGAGCAACGGGCAAAAACATATCCAGCCAAAAAAGAAGGGCGTGGGAACCGATCACTAGGTATCAAAATGAAGTGATTTTTGGTTCTTGTTTTTGTGAATATACGCCTCTTTTCGGGTTCTTGGCTTGTTAGCTTGCTATACCTGTTTTGTCTTTTTCGTCACGTTGTCTTCATATCCTGTCGTCTTTTTTCTGGTTTTCCTTTTTATATCCGACCGATCATCCACTGGATGAAGTCACATGACGATGTCACGAGTTTCTCTTTTTGTCATCTGGGATGCGAGGTTCGAGGGATAGGGGTATCTAGTGGATGGTTCCGTTGCGACATACGATTGAACCGCTAGAGGGCATCGAGTTTATGGTCATTTCGGTGGGCGGGGAATAGCAGCCGGGTCTATCTATCTCCCTTTTCGTGTTTGATTTTGATTTTGGGTTTGCCCGCCGTCGGAGTATCAAGGAGGGTTCTGATCTACTTGCTAGCTACGGGTTTCTTGCCACTTTGTGATTTTTTTGATACGTTCTATTTGCTGGTGTTGGATTGATGCGTTTTTGGACTCGCGAACTTGAACATTGATTGATTGACTATTTGAATAAAGAGCCAAGAGCCAAGAGCCAACTACGAGTAGTCTCACTCCCCCCCCAGGTTTGACCGGTTCGTCTGACGCACTGGCGTCATTCACGGACTACACGTGATGACCGTCTACTAAACCCATAACAGCTACAGGTAGGTACTAGGTAAGTAACCCAGGTAGGTCGGTAGGGAGGAGGTGGTAGGTGAGAAACCAACTAACGCCCAGCCATGGGCACGGCAGCGCGGGAAACGGCCAACACCCCACACCACACGAAACCATGCATATCCGAGCCAAACAACATGACAATCGACGACATCTGACTGGTCGACCCCGGCCATTGGCATGCAGGCAGGTATGACCTTATTCCCCACAGACAAGACGTGATCGAGTACCTACGACCTACCTACCTAAGGTACTTGCCAGCCAGGGTAAATTGGATTCCCAGATTGGGAAGGTAAACAGGTGGTAAGTGAGCCCAAGCACAAGCGTTGAGTGTTTGATCACGTCTTGATTAACGGCCTAGTGTGTATGTACGTATCTGACTGGGTACTGAGGTAGGTGGGTATAATTATCTCATTACTGAAATGCAGGTAGGTAGGTAGGTCTGACATCATCCACAGCCTCTTTTCAGTACCTTGGTAGGGAGGTAGTGAGTGCATCGAAGCTGAACCAGGTAGGTGATTGTGTGAACCAACCTGAGGGCGGAGTACGCGTCGAATTCATTGCTATTTATTGGGTAGTTGCTATTATTCAATTCCAAACAGTGGATGAAGGGAGTAAGACCGGGTTGGTTGGCTGTATCCACTGTTAGTGCCAGTGTCACTGACAATGCCCACTGTCGGATTCCCACGAAAAAGGCACCCGCTAATCGATACTGAACTCGTATGTGGGTACTAAATACTTGGTACCTAGGGTAGGTACCTAGGTAGTCCTATAGGGAAAGTATCTGCGTTTCCAAACTAGGTAATTGAAGTAACCTCGGAGACACCGAGGATAACTAAGGTACCTAGATACCTGTATGCAATTGGCATTGATTTTTATATTATACTATTTCATTCTTCTCCTCAAGATTGAATGGGATGCGCATAGTAAGCGCATAGTATGAACGTACTGATTACATTGCATTGCCTTCAGATCGAGCCAGACATTCCTCTTGATGTTAAAACCGCAGTCAATTAGCCTAGGTATATGTATATCCTACAGTAATTACCTCTCGAAATCCGACACCGGATACTGTGAGCATTGGGGTAGATAAGTCGTCTAACCAGGGTAGATTTCATTTATTGTAGGGAACTTTTTAAGATTGCAAGCAATGCTCCATAGGACAGTTCATACAAGCTAAATGTTATATGATGTACCTACATAAGGTGTACCTATTCATGTCGCGTACTTAGTAACTATATGAGCCTAGGTAACTCAAGGACTTACCTCATGCTATTCCTATCTTATCTATCTATCGTGACTTATAACAACTCACTAGCCTATTCTAAATCATGCTCAAATCGTAGGAGATATAGACATGTCTTTGTCCGGAGGTTATCCAAACAAGCACCGAGAAACTACCTACTACACCCAAACCTGCCTGTGCCTCTTCAGCACAATCTCAGTAAACACGAACCAGTCCCAGTCACATATACAAAACCACCAGAACCAACTGAGAAACTCAAAATTTTAGTATAATACCCCTTGAACCAAATCAAACCGGTTAACTCCGAGATCACCACGGTCAGCCTACCTAGACATTCGCAGTAAATCTAGACATCCAAAAACCGGCAAGCCGACTTTGATCGAAACTAGCCGGTTGGACTACCCGTATAGCATCTAGATTTACGGAGTAGAACATCGCATAAAACTCCATAATAATATTTGACTATATATATTATATATGCACATTGAATAGACACATTAATTACTACCCTGAACAAACAACAAAGCAGAATTGTCATGTACCCCGTGCAGACAGTATGGTATTATTACATCGTTCCATTAAACAGTAGGCACGTCCCGTGTCTGATTCTTGTCCAGACCTCTGACCCTTTCGTATAAGGTCCAGAAATGCAAGGTGGACTGGCTCATGGGAAGGAGGTTGTGCAAGTTGTATTATTATTATAAGTCGGGAACTCATCGGGTTGTAGAAAAAAAAGGAAAGTTTTAAACATTAACCATCAAACAAATGACAACGCATCAAGCGGGAATCCCATGACAGAAAAAGAAAAGAAAAGAACAGCAGAGCCGACGATAGGATGGGTCACTTCGTATGTTTGAAGAAGAGCGCCGGCGTCTTTTCACCTCAGACGGTGCTCTAATATTATTATTCCAAAAGAAAGAGAGAGAGATCCCTTAGGCTGGGACGACGGTCACCCGCTCCTCGTCTCGTCCCCGGGCCTCGCCGTCAACCGTGCTGGCACCCTCTTCGCCGTCTTCCACGACGTGGTAGGTCGCGTGCTGGCCCGCCGGTACCCACGAGTCACGGTCACCCCGCATCGCTTGGTCCTGGTTGGACAGGTCGACACCCTCCCGTTGCTTGTGGACGTTCTCGCGATGGCGTTGGGAGAGCGTACGCGACCGGGTCGACAATTCAGACTTGACTACGGCCTTGGAGGACACCCAGTCGGCCAGGGCACCCTCACAGTCCTTGATGATGGCCTTGCTGGCGTCGTAGCCATCGTAGGCCTGGCGGGTCTCACCCGGAGTAACGGCCGTGTCGTCAATGAGATCCAGCAGGTGCTTGCCGTAGCCGGCGATGATGGCCACCTTCTCACAGTGCTCACGGAGAGCGTCGAACTGGTACGAGAAGGCCGCCTTGAGCTTCTCGCGGGTGATGTTGGACAGCTGGGCCTCGGCGACGAGAGACTCTGCCTCGGCGCGAACCAGCTCCTGCTCGAGCACGACGATACGAGGGGAGTTCGGGTCCTTGTACTTCAGCTTGGCGATCTCGTCGGTGATCTTCTGCTTGCCTGGAGGGAGATTGGACGTGAGTATGTGTGTGGGTGGTGGGCGAGAGACACATCGTGGCGCCATTGGAACTTACGGTCACGGCTGGGCTGGACGGAAGCCTCGATGTTACGGATGCTCTTGATGGTGACACGATACTGGTCGTAGCGGTCGACATAGAGATCCTCCAACTCTCCGACCTCGTACAGCAGAACACCCAGCTTGTCGGTCACATCCGAGACGTCTTCGTCGCAGTTCTCACCCCAGATGGAGAGTTGTTGCTGTACGCAAGGGACGATTAGCACGTCATCATCGCGACTCAGGTCATGCCAGTGCAACCTACCGCAGTCTCCATGCGCTCCTTGGACACCAACTCGAGGCTGCGCATGACGTTCTTCTCCATCTTCACCAACTGCGCCAGCTTCCTCGCGAGATCGGGGCCAAACGCCCCTGCCGCATTCTTGCGGAAGGCGTGGCCTGACACATCACCTAGGAGTGTTATTTATCATATCCGAGCGACAGCGCACGACCCGATGATCGATCACATCCGGAGGGGCAAATACTCACCGAAGCCGCCTTTGCCAAGCCATCTGCTCGTCTTGGTGGTGGACAAGGGCGGGGGCGGGTTCTCGACCTGTGATGCGGTCGGCATGCGCGTCTGGCGCATAGAATAGGTGCGATGCATAATGAAAGGTTCGGCTCAGTACCGCAGTCGATTCTAAGTACACGAAAGAGTAGAAGGTGAGTAAAAGCGAAAGAAAGGTGTTTTCAATTGGGCAAGACGGTTTCTTTCAAGGACGGTCTGCGCGACGGTGACGTGATTCAGAAGGCGCAACGGGATGTGGCGGAAGGACAACCAGGTGAGAAAGAGGGGAACTGCAACCGAACAGGAGATCGGGAGGGACTAAATAAGGGGAGAAACCGATGACCCAAGGATAGATGGATGACACTAGGTTACTTCGAAAGATGTTGAGTTGTTTTGATGCCTAGAAAATGGAGACGATGAAGGTGGATCGAGTGGATCGAGTGGGACAGGAGAGAGAATAGACGAGAGTCAAGAGGAAAAGGTGAGAAGAGAGGAGAGAGAAGTTGATACGAAGAGAAAGAAGAAAGAGACGAGAGATGGGTGTATGTGTGAGGGAGGAGGTTGGTGACGTCGAGACTCTGTTTGGGGGATACTAACCCGATTGGGATGATGGGCCAGATCGATCAGGTGCTTTATCGATTACGATTTACCCACGTCTACCTGAACAACAAGATCATGATCATCTCTCGACCTCGACATTGGATCCTGAGGTGGGATTCAGGATCAAGGCAAGGGAGAATTGGGCCCTGCAGGGGACAGAACCGACACATTCCATGGTGACCCCATCTATGGATGTTCATCCAACCACCTGAACCAGACCAAAATCTCATCCCGTCAACAACGTCATCGGCTGAGTCCAACGTCATGGATCAAACCATTGCCAAATCTTCACAGCTCGGGTCGACTCGAAAATGTCATGACTGGTCGGGATGTCCGTTGGGAGAATGGGGAGGGTGATATTTGTTCAACCTTATCATCCATCTCTACCCAACGGAGTCGATCGAGGGGGGCTCTTGTTTCTCCATGACCACTCAATTAGAGATAAGTGGGGATGGGCTCCACCCGTGGATTGCTCGGATCTTCCCCCTACTATCGTCCTCCTCGTTCAATGACAAGGTCGCAGTGGACGGTGGAGTCGGTCCGAGGTCGATTACACGATGATAGTCGGTATATATTTATTGTGTGAACAGATTTAAGGCAGGGGATGTCCTTGAAGTCTAGGATGGGTTCATGTCTGGATCGGAGGGGCAGTCCTTGTGTCTTTGGATCATCATCATGTTTCTCTGGATCTCTGTCCTTGTTCACCCATATTTCGTAGTTCTTTCACTTCTTTCCTTCTCTCAATCCCAGACAATATAAACTGCATGGAGTTCATAATGTCAGGGCAGTGTTTGATCATACGATGAAATCAAGCAAAGACAGCCCCCCAATTTGATGAGATTATTTGAGCTAATTCCAACAATTGGGTAATCTAAACTATGCCCAGTGAGCTACTCGTATAAATTGTATTTAATCTATGGTGCATGGTTGCTCGTTCAACGTGGAGTGAGGATGCTACAAGATGCATCGATACATAAGATGACAAAGCATATATACATCCTTATACATGCCTTATGCAGTGCGGGATAGCAGAGACATGATTGGATTAAAACATTACATAAGCATAATATGATGGAAATTCTGGAATCGCCAGTGAAAAACCACGCGGGGTGAATGTTATTTGAAAGCATCCCAGTCGTCAAAAGACCTTGTTTAGGTCATTCCAAGAGCCTGGTGGTCAATGCGTTCCCTTGATACCCCCAATGCATCCCTCACTCGAGGTCAGTCGCCAGCCCCTCAGCGTCCCCGCAGCGCACAATCTGACCCATCGGTAGCACATTGATGCATGTCTCCCAGTGGCTGCACTGAAGGTGCTCAGCCTGGGAGGTACCAACCTCATCCTTCAGGGACATGGTTCCTATATTCGTCTTATTGAGGATGAGACCGGGACTCTGCTGGCCCAACTCAAGACCTTCAAGCGAAATAATGTCCATGGTTTCATGGTCTTGCAGCAAAGCCAAGGACCGGATGACACTGCCCATGTTCAACTGATCGCGTGGGGAGGCCAGTCCTTGAGAGGGGTTGACTTGAATTTTGGTCCCAGTGCGTCTGGGGAAAGGCAAGCAAACCTGCAAGCCACGAGCGCCGAATATCTGGCGCCCGACTGGATCCTCACCGGATGCACGTCTGCTCCGGAAGATGATAGAGAGAAAGCCTTTGTAGTCACGGCTCATAATGCCATCCTGGGAGTTCACATCACGGATCATGAATCCTCGAAGTATGCGAAGAAGATTCACGTCCGACAACTCGTGACCGGAGTCAAGTCGATCCTTTACGCCGCAGATATTCTCGCGCTTTCCCCATCTCATGTCTTGATCACGGCGGGGACTGCCTTTGGCGAGATCATTGTATGGTCCTGTTTTCTTAATGAGGATAACTGGCTCGCCCAGGGAGCGGGCTCAATCCACCACTTCTTCACTGGCCATGAGGGGTCTATCTTCGGAGTTCGGATATCTCCCCTCATCACGTCCTTGCCGGGCCGTCCTACGGGGCGTTTACTGGCCAGCTGTAGTGATGACCGGATGGTGAAGTTATGGGATATATCGAATTGTGAGCAAACGACTCGGCACGACCATTCTCCTTACTCGACGGATGGGTTTGAACTCCGTAGCACGGGATTTGGCGAGCTACCCGCCCACGAATCCTCCCTTGTGAGCTGTTTCGCCCACAACGCCCGGATCTGGAGTGTACATTTCCTGCCGCAGATGACAGGGGAGCAGTGTGAGATGAACCTAGTCTCGTGTGGCGAAGATGCAACGTCGGTCGTGTGGGCTCTTCGATGGGAACTGTCCCCGTCCCAGGATACAGTATTCAAGCTCAACGAGCTGTCCTCAGTTCACAACCACGCTGGGAAGCACATCTGGTCAACGGATCTGCAGACCAGCGGCCCGGTGACAACAGTCTACAGCGGCGGTTCGGACGGGGCTTTGAAGACATTTCAAATTGTTGCGGCCGAGGACGGCGCGGCGATTTTGCCAAACAAGAACAACGTCATCTCGAGCACAGTGGATCTGCAAGACTCGAAAATTCGCACCGAAAACAACATGAAGGCCTTTGCTTTTGTCACCGCGGACTGTTTCATTGGAACGACCACCCGAGGGCAAGTCCAGCTTGGTTGGATTGGAACCCACGGGACCTCTGCCCAACAGCACATACTCCAGGAAACATTGACTACGGAAGAAGACCTGCGTTCCTTTGCAATCATCGCGACTCTACCGCAGAGTGAGCTGGCACTGCTAAGCAACGCTCGGGGCTTGATACGGCTATACACCCACAGAAACAAAACGCTACGTAACATCACGGACATCGGACAACGACCACAGAGGCTCTATATCCTAAACAGCAACCGCGACGTGGCCGGCTCATCTGAGACCTTGACCTTCATCGCAACATACGTCTCCGGCGAGAAAGCTGATCTGATTACAGCCACCCTGATGGATAATGGAGAGACGCACTTGGATAAAACAACTCTGATTCTTCCTCCTCACTTTGAGGTGTCTGGCGCATCTCTCATTCGTGACAAACAATATTTGGTCCTGGGAGCCTGGCAGGGCAAAATCGCATCATACCGGGTTACCAGCTCAGAAACCCCCCTTACCTTCGTCTTTACACGAACTATACACACGAGGGAGGTCGTGAACCAGGTTATATCATTCGAGTCTCTCTACGGTGACGCTTGTCCGCCGTCGGGTTACTTTTTGACTTGCAGCCGCGGTGGGGACTATCGGGTCCACGAGCTTCAGGTCGCAGATGGATCTCCAGACTCGGTGGATGTGCAAACGGTCCATCAGACATGCCCAGCGATAGACATCGCCCTCGAAGGTGCATACGTTGACAAGTCATCCGGAGATCTCATGCTGTATGGGTTCCGGGGTATGGATTTTATCCTCTGGAACGAGACCAAGCAGTGTGAGCTTGCTCGGGCCTGGTGCGGAGGGCCGCGCCGCGTGTGGACCTTCCAGCCCGGCCGCGGAGACGGCACGGCCGGCATGTTTCTGTGGATCCAGTCCAGTCTCAAGATCCTGCAGATCCAACCGGATTCCCAGCGGACTGTGCGGGCGGGTGGCCACGGCCGCGAGATACAAACCATGAGTGTTTGTCAGTCGACGGACGAAGGCACCAAGCTGTTTGCGACGGGCTCAGAAGACACCAATATTCGTATCTTCGCTCCCATCGATCCGCAGAACCGAGTTCTCTGGGGCGCGTTCAAGTGTCTGCGCACGCTGCGGAAACACGACTCGGGGACACAACACGTCGCCTGGTCGCGAAGCGGGCAGTTCCTCTTCAGCAGCTCTGGAAGAGAGGAACTGTATGTTTGGCGGAATCGGAAGCTTCCCATGTTCGGTCTGGCCACGGTCTCCGTGGCCCAAGCTCCCAAGGACGACCCCAAGTCTGATCTGCGAATAACCAGCTTCGACCTGCTTGAGGTAGATGGCGAGGCCGAGGGGGAGTTCCTCCTTTGTCTGACATACTCGAACTCCCAGATCAAGGTAAGCTAGCTACCCTTTCCACGCGCTGGATTATTGCTAATATCGTAGCTCTTCCACTACTCTGCGTCCGGCGGCTTCACTCTCCTATCCAAAGGCACCTACACGAGCAACTGTCTCACCCAAGCGCACTTCATCCTCCGCGACTCATCCCTTAGCCTAATCACAGCCTCTACAGACGGACACCTCACGCTATGGAACCTCACCCCTGTCATCGAGCCCTTCTACACAGTTGGGTCCACCATTCGCCTGAAACAGCCAATCCACGCGACACCCATCCACGCGGAGACGATCATCGCCTGCGAGAACCGCTACCAGGTTCACTCGAACAGCATCAAGACCGTCGAGCTGGTTGAAATCTCCACTACAGCATCACTCGTCATCGCCGGCGGCGACGACAACGCCCTGACGCTATCTCTAGTGCGCACCAACTTCACTCACACCGACGGAGGGTCAAGCGACGCCATCTCCACGGTCACCATCCCCGACGCCCACGCGGCATGCATCTCGACGACGAAAGTCCTCGTGCAACGCCCGGCTGCGCACGGCGACGCTCTGCACATCGTATTTGCCTCGTCTGGGAACGACAACCGCGTTAAGCTTTGGCGGGCGGAGGTCGACGCCCGCAAAACTGCGGCGGACGGTGGCATCCAGGTTCAGAACCTGGTTGACCAGTACAGCGCGGTGGAGGACATCTCGTCTGTGGACGTGATTCGTGAAGCAACCGGGGAGACGAAACTGCTGGTCTGTGGCGTCGGGATGGAGCTGTTTAACGTGCCACAAAGGTTTCTCAACACGAATTGATTACAATGTCATGCATAGATTAGATTTAAAGTGGCCGTGTTGCATGTATCATACCTACAATTGTACATACGTATATCCATCCACACACACTCTCACACACTTGAACCCCCTAGAGTATGAAAGCAAAAATCTCCGCCAAAAGGATCTACCCCATCCAGCCCCCCAAATCCGTGATCAAACCGGTATAGTCCGTTTCACCCACGCCCCTCCCTAAAACCCCAAACCCGGTGATTAGCCTCATTCTTCAGGGCTGACGCCTACCCCGCAGAAGTAATATTAAGACCACTGAGTAATTGTCCTCCTATCAACTGCCGACTCGGGTAAATTCCGCATATATGCGCGTGTATGTATGACTGCAGTTTCAATCAGCTGTAAGGAGCATGACTCAGGCGACAGGAGATGTCCGCTCCGGGTTTGGCTGTGGTGCTCGTTTACTTATAAAATGGGTCTGCGGGAGTTTTATCCCTTCGCAATCCAGTATATGCTGATTTTAATTCTTGTCCTGGATTCGACTATCTGCTAGCTAGATATTGAGATATCTACTGTTCCTCGTTCACCATGATGATCCAACTCCCATGGCTAACGGCCACGACTATGGCCGTCGCCGTCGCTGCACGGCCCTGGGCCCAGCCTCAGCAACAGCAACAGGAGGCTGCCGACGCGACATATTTCTTCACATTGTACATCATACTCATACCCTCGATACCTTCACAACCTTGAATACAGAACTAACCCCCGCCCAGCGGAAACTCATACACCCAAACCAACTTCCTGACCACAGGCGAACAGCCCTCGCCAGCAAACCCCATGGGTAATCCCGCGCTAGGTACGACCCCCCCAGCACATACTGTCCACTCTCTATTTGCAACTACTAATATGAATGAAAAAACAGGCGAAGGCACAACAACCGGCGGCGCAAATTGGGTCGGATACCTCACAACAGCGGAGAACGCCTCGCTGGTCCTCTCATACAATCTAGCGATCGGTGGCGCCACGGTCGACAATACCCTTGTTAAGGGCGTCGACGGCGACCTCGTGTCTCAGGTGAAGATGTTCGGAGATGTCTATGCTAGTAAGCCGGAGAGTGCGCCTTGGACGGCGGAGAATGCGGTGTTTGGGTTTTGGATTGGGATTAATGAGTATTCCTCCCTTGTTTTTCTTTCCTGTTTACTTTCTGCTCTGAACATTGAAGCATTGGGTACATAAACTGTATAGCCACTGACTAGTATAAAATAGCATCGGCAACGTTTACTCCTCAACCGACGCCGACACATTCATCCCAAAACTAACCTCGCGTATCGCATCCCTCCTCGAAGAAATCTACAAAGCCGGCGGCCGCAAATTCCTCCTCCTCAACGTGCCGCCCACCAGCCGCAGCCCGTTGTTCCTGGGCCAGGGCGATGAGGTCGTCGAGCAGCATGCTGCTTATCTGGCGGCTTATAATAAGCAGTTGGCGGCTATGGTTGAGGGGTTTGAGGGGGAGCATGAGGGGGTATGTTTACCCACAATTCCTTTTTCTTTTTGGTTGCGCTGCTTTATGGGGGATATAAGAGGATTGAGGCTAATGCTAATGATATGATAGGTTACGACTGTCGTCTACGACTCCTGGACATTCATGACCAGCGTTCTGGATAACCCTGAGAAGAGCGGCTTCCCCGATGCGACGTGCATCAATGAGGACGGGACGTCTTGTGTCTGGTGGAATGACTATCATCCGAGTGCGAAGTATCAGGGTTTGCAGGCGGGGGATATGAAGGGTGTGCTGGAGGGTCTGGGGGGGTGGTAGTTACCTAGTCATCTAAGGTACATATCTTTGCGAGATAGTATAGGATAGTACGGATAGTGAATTTTTTATATTTGATATTTAGTTTATACTCCACATGTTCGTCATAGTTATGTTAAACTAGGTACCTAGTAGATATCAACACATATACTTATCATTGATAATTTCTTCCCAGAAGGACGCGGGCGTAGATCTACCCATCCTTCCCTAGTCCCTAGTCTTACTAGTACTCAAGTACAGTAGTATGCATGTATGTACCTGATCCCCCCCGGTCTAGTCCGTCTCGTCCAAGATTAACCCCCCAAGTTAACCATCCCTCATCTCCACCGTTTCACGTTAAACACCACCTTTCTGCAGCGTTCGACCCCATCCGGAAAATTCCATCTCCTTGTCGGGGCAAATCTTCGGTAAACACGCCAATTGGCGTGTTTTTTTCTCCTTACGTTAAGGAACGTCGACCTTATGATTCTATACTGCATACTTCTTGGCTTTGGTGAAGATTCGGCCCGACAATCCGAGGTTTTTGTTTCATGGGCTAATTTGGTGTAATATGGGTGGACGGAGAAAGTTATTCACGATGTGCGTCTATCGTGTGATATTTTGCGGGGTGTAATTTGAGGCGTTGGAATGGGGGTATATATAGTTGGGTTGAGTCTCGAGGATAGGGTGGTCTTGTTTTCTTGTTCAGCTACACTCTTTTTGACGTTTCTTTCTTGTATATTCTATTCGATCCAGACTTTGTTCATTCATTTGTTAGTATGAAGCTCAGCTCTCTGATCTTCGCCGCAGCGGCCGGTTCCGCTGTGGCTGCCCCGGCGCATACCAAGCGAGCTGGTGCTCTTGAATGTATGATCTCCTTCTCTTTTGTCCTTCTTGTCCTTTTATACATAATGCTGACAGCACAGGGCTGGGAACCAACGAATCCGGTGCCGAGTTTGGTGAAGACACCGTTCCCGGAGTCTATGTATGCAATACACACAAGCGATGAAGAAAGAGGCTGACTGGTTAGGGCACGGAATACATCTTCCCTGACCCGGCGACCATCAAAACCCTCGTCGGCAAGGGCATGAACATGTTCCGCGTCCAGTTCCTGATGGAGCGCCTGGTGCCCGAGAAGATGACCGGGACGTACGACGAGGCGTATCTGAAGAATCTGACGGAGGTACGTTTCCTTTTCATGAAACCTTTCCAGAAGAGTGATCCGTGCTGATTTGAATCCTTCAGGTGATCAACGGCATCACCGACCAAGGCGTCCATGCTATCCTGGACCCGCACAACTACGGCAGATAGTGAGTGTGTCTCCCCATCTATGGCAGCAATCATTTAACATGTCCAGCAACGGCGAGATCATCACCGCCACGGCCGACTTCCAGACCTTCTGGGAGAATCTCGCCGGCAAGTTCAAGGGCAACGAGCTTGTTGTGTTCGACACGAGTATGTCATCCACCACGACTCAATCCTAGATTGTATTAACTGTGTCAGACAATGAATACCATGAGATGGACCAAGAGCTCGTCCTCAACCTCAACCAGGCCGCCATCGACGGAATCCGTGCCTCGGGCGCAACCGAGCAGTGGATCTTCGCCGAGGGCAACTCCTGGTCGGGAGCGTGGACCTGGGTCGAGGTCAACGACAACCTGAAAGCGCTCAAGGATCCATCGGACAAGCTCGTCTACCAGATGCACCAGTATCTGGACGCCGACGGGTCCGGCACCTCGGAGACATGCGTGTCGGAGACGATCGGGACCGAACGTCTGCAGGCTGCGACGGAGTGGCTGCGCGAGAACGAGAAGGTCGGCGTGATCGGAGAGTTCGCGGGAGGCGTGAACGACGTATGCAAGAAGGCGTTGACCGGGTTCCTGGACACGTTGGTTGAGAACGAGGATGTCTGGAAGGGCGCGCTCTGGTGGGCGGCGGGCCCGTGGTGGGCGGACTACATGTTCAACATGGAGCCCGAGCAGGGACCGGCTTATGCGGGGGGAATGTTCGATCTGATCAAGGGGTATATGGGGAAGAAGCAGTAGTGCTCATTCGTCGACCCTGTTGTGTGTGTGTGTGAGGGAAATGATGTACTACCAGGCAGAATGTAAAAGGATCCGGTAAACTTGCTGCCTGGTCGTGGTCCTGTGTTCCTGACTCGACCATGGGCCGTGATAATCGTCGACCCACTGAGGGATCTGGAGACTCTGTCTGACACGTCCTCATCAATCTGATACGGGTCTCGACTCGTCCATATTTACCATCCTGACCATTGACCATCAGAAAAATCCATCTCAATCCATCTCAATCCATCTCAGTCCATATCAATTTGTATCAATTTGTATCAATTTGTATCAATCATACAATCAATCAAGAGACAGCCGGATGATGAAATACGACCCAGCCACTGGTCTCGCATGACGTGGCGGCAATGAAGGCTGGTGCTGTGTCTGCCGATCATGAACCGATCAGGATGCAGTTCCTTGGCCCACCGCGTCATTTGGCCATATTTGGGTTGGTCAATTTTTAGAAACAGAGCGTGGCGTAGTGTAGGGTAACGGATGTGGTTGGCCGGTCGATCTCCATGGCGGAGAAGAAGCAGAGAATGGAGAGAAAGGACTGCGCCCCCTGTAGGAAAGCGAAGAAAATAGGTATCCGTGATAAAATAAACAGGCATCGATCTTCAGGCCGTCAACTCGTTTAAAACTTCCATCCAACCTCTTTCTTTTCCTTCATTCTTCAACTTCTCTTCCCATCTTCTCTTCCATCTGCATTTATTCTCCGTCCTCCTTCCTTCCCTCCTCACCTTCTCTCCTCCACTTTACACGTTATTCCAACCCCACAATTCAATAAGAAAACAGAGGAAATTACACCAAAACAAGAAATACGTCATCATGGGTAAAGGCGGCCGCGTGCTCTGTATCATCACCCCATATGCCTTGACCATCGCGTCCCTGATCTGTTTGATCATGGTCGGGCTGGGCTGCACAAATTCCAATTCGGGCTCTCTCAACAACCTCTATTTCTTCCGAGTATGATCCCCCTTCCACATCGTAAAAAAGGCATGATAAATATTAACCATCCAATAGGCCAACCTGCAAAATGTCACCGAATCCTCCGAAGTTCAATCCGGGGTCGATCAAGCCCTCGACAAACTGGGAAAGGCCAACATCCACGTCGACGATGGCGACATCAAGACTGCTCTCGAGCAGGTCCAGAAGCAACTTGGCGTGACCGTCGCCGACTTCTACGACATCGGTCTCTGGGGCTACTGCCAAGGCAACGTCACCAAGGACAACAAGTACGACACCTCCGAGTGCTCTAAGCCCAAGACCGAGTTCTGGTTCAACCCCATGGAGGTCTGGAACCTCGAGCAGACGGGCCTGCAGAACGCCCTCCCCGACGGCATGGACAAGGCCCTCGACGTCTACAAGAAGGTCTCCAAGTGGATGTCCGTCGCCTACATCATCGCCTTCGTCGCGACCGTCATCGAGCTCCTCGTCGGCGCCTTCGCCATCTGCTCCCGCTGGGGCAGCTGCGTGACTACCCTCATCTCCGTCGTCGCCTTCCTCTTCACCGCCGCCGCCTCAGCGACCTCTACCGCCCTCTTCGTCGTCATCCTCGGCCTCTTCAACGAGAAGCTCAAGCCCCTTGGCATCGTCGGTTCCATCGGCAAGAACATCTACGCTGCCTCCTGGCTCGCCGTCGCCTTCTCCCTCGCTGCCGCCCTCTTCTGGCTCCTCTCTACCTGCTGCTGCTCCGGTCGCTCCCCTTACAACCACAAGAACCGGGCCGGTCCTCGCCCCGTTACGGCCGAGAAGACCCCCTACACCTACGAGCCCCTGGGCCCTTACGACAACAACCAGGCCAACACTTCGTACCCCCCTCTGCCTCCCCAGAGCCGGGCCAACAACGCCTACGAGCCGTTCCGCCACGCCTAAGCTCTACTTTTTGAAAGAGAGCGTACTGGAATAAAATAAAAGAAAACAACAAAACAACAAAAAAGAAATACGCGACCGATCGCGGAGATCCCATCTTGTATTATGAAACATAATGCCACCCGCCTCATGATTGTGATTGCTTGATCTGAGCGTTTATCCTCCATCTCATCTTCCTGCCATCGTCATCGTCATCACTTGCATGTTACCGGTCGGGCAGGCTATATTGGGTTTTGATATTTTTGTTTAGTATTTTCGCTCGGGCTACTGGTTACTGGTTTACTTGTTTTGTCATTGTTATCGATAGATATGGCTGCGGCTTAGATACCCTCCTTTTTATTTATTATTGTTGTTAGATGTGAAATCTATCTACTATTCTCATGGTTACTGCATTACTTGCGAGATGGGTGTATTGTCTTTAGTATCTGGTATTTTAGGTGAGATAGTTATCAACAAGTTCAGTCCATATCATACACATTCATAGTTAGGACACGGTCAGCTGCCATTCTGGTCTTACCTGAGCAACCACACCGTACAAAATCAACGCCGTGAGCCTGTCTGCAACTCGGGATATCAGAACAGTAAACACCGTAAAAGCAAAGCAAAACCAAAGAAAGTCGAAATCAACGAGGCCGCTGCACCACCCCCTTCTCGTCAACCGCATAAGCCCACCCCCGCCGCTTCACCTCCGACTTGACGTTCAGCGTCTCCCGCGCCCACGTCTTGAATGGCGTGTTCCGGTCGTCTGACCACGGGGGGTCCGCGTCGGAACGCTCCCAGATATGGTGCAGGGAGTCAAACCAGTTCTCGTTGTCGCTTCCGGCGTCGGATTTCTGCTCAGTGAGACATTTTGCATCTGCTGTAGAGGACGGACCTGCCTCGGTGTCCTTGTCGTCGCCGAGCTCGATGCTCGCTGTTTCGTGCGTTTCGTCCATGGGGTCGTCGTAGACGGATTCGGAAACGCTTTCGGGGATGGTGGGCTCGAGATGAGTTTCGGTTTCACCGGCTGGACTAGCTTCGGTCTCGTTCACTGCGTCTTTGTAGCGTGAATCGCTTTCGGAGGCGCTGGCTGAGCGGGGTCCATCAGGGGCGCGGCTTTGCCGCGCCTCTTCAATGGCGTCGTCGTATTGTGATTCGGTGGGGCTTGGGGAATGTTTGGCACCTGCTTCTTCTGAATGTTGGTTGGGAGGCGCTGTGTGATGTTCTTTGTTGGGACCACTGCGCTCGTGGCCTGCCTCCTCGCGCGCGGATGCTTGGGACACTTCGCCCAGCAGCTGTTCTTCAGCGGCCGCCTGCGTGTCTTCCTGGGAGTCCGTGGACTGGGTGGACGGCATCCGGTCGATATCCGGGTCGGTCTGGCCGCTCTGACTGGCGGGTCCAAACGAGTGCGCGTGGAAATTGGAGAACCGGTCCACCAGACTGCCTGTGAATGAGACCTTTGCATCGGCCTGGTGAACAGGGCTCGGCTCGCTGAAGGGCACATACTGTGCGGCTGCGACCTCGATGCTCTTGACGGTGAGGTCTCGTTTCTTGTACGAGGGCTTGTTATATGTCGATAGGAAGAACTCTCCGTATGGTAGTGTCTTGGTTTCCGCGGCGGATGACTGCTCCTGATGCTGCGGGTAGTCTTGCAAGTGCTTGATGATGAAGTCGTCCCATAGGAAAGACCGCGTGAGATTCCCTTGACTCCGCAGAGATCGCAGCATGGAGCATAGTTCTGTGAAATGGAGGAAATCCCCCGTGTAGCTGGGGTAGGCGCTCCGGAATTTCTCATGTATCCGTTGCGCTTCGAAATGCTCAGGGGAGCCACTGATATAGCTCTGTCGACGGGTCATGATTTCCGATACCGACCGGCTCACATCGAGGTCCTCGTCGTGTTGCGCTTTGAATCGCTTCGACATTGATAGGTCACTATCAACTTCAGAAACGCCTCGCTTCAATGCTAATCTTTTGGCATGTTCGACAAGGAGATCAGGCAGCGAACTGCTAGGGCCCGATGCATCCTCGATATCTTCCGACTGAGTTGAGTGTAAGACCTCTCGGTACGATGAGAACGGCTTCGATGACTCTTCTGACTGGCACGTAGAATTGACCACTCCGGCACTCTGTTCTCTATTTCTGAACGCCGAAGAATCGAGCAACATATCCGGCTGGGAGAACGTTGTTCCTTGCATTGACCAGTGTCCCGTACTTGGTTGCGTGCCCGGTATATCGGCGTTGTTTGAGCCATCCTCTGACCCGATTGAAACATTCGTATCTTGCGTGCGTTCGGGATCACCATTGTTGCTTGCATATGTGTTGAGTATACGGGATTGAGACGACTTTGGCCCCGATGACGATGACTGCCCAGACGGCTGCGAACCTGAGTCGGTATGGTTAGGGCTCCCTTTGGGCTTCGCCGCTCGACGTTTATTGGCAGGGGTTTCCATGACCTGCACATGCTCTTGGACAGACTGCTCGTGTGCCGAGCCCGAGCTGTCGACACCGTTTTCTGGCTGACTGGCCGGGTACGTTGGCTGGGAATTGCTTCCGAGGGCGCACGGGACAGAGGTTTCCATCGTAGAGTCATCGCTTTCATTGTCAGACTCATGCGCCTCTTGTATATGAGCCCTGGTGTCCTCAAGACAAGTATCACCATCAGTCGTGCCCGGGTTTGGCTTATGGCCTTGCTTTGGTGGGCTTCCCATCAGTATGTCTCGTTCTGGCTCAGCATCGGCTTCTGGTTGATTGCGAGTGGAATCTAATTCGGCCCGTTGCAAGTCGGCTCGTCTACCCCTGGGTCTTTCTCGTATGGGGCTGCTGTCAGCTGGAATTCTTCGGCTTGGAGATGCATCCCTCATGGACTTATCACTAGCGGACCAATTGGAATATGTCGAGTCATGGTCGGACTCTGGATCTGGCTCCGGGGAATGGTGGGGTGTATCGGGCTGTGCGTCGTCTGAAACGGCTGGGTCAGGAGTTGAGCTCCTCGGGCCTGGTTGCTGGGCCATGCGGTGTCTCTTTAGCGCAATTTGATTCCATTGGTGCAAGAGTGCAGGTGGTACGTTTCCTGTAATTTCATCCCTTCCCGGTGAAGCCGGTATCCAACGACGGAGATGTTGTTCAAAGAGTTTCCTCTGATCCTTGGGGATTTCCACGTCCTTTTTGGAAATCATTGTCATACCTTCCCAAGGGTTTTCTCGGCTGCGTTTTGGGCCGTTGAAATCCTCGCTGTCCGTTAATGTCTGTTTAGAGGCGCCAGTCTGAGCGGGCGATTTGGCATGTTTTTCCACTTTTTCTTCTCGATCTGGTTCCTGCGCGGGATTTGTACACTCTTCCGCCTTATCTCTCATGCGTTCACCCATGCCGGGAGTATTCCGTTCGGGAGTCTTGAGCCTAGAAACAGATACCGGGTCCAGGAGCTGCACATAATCTTGAACCGAAGGTCTAGTATCGGCCTCGATAGAGACATCACTTCCACGAGTCTGGTCAGTTCCCACTGCTTCATTTGGTTGGGCCACGGTCTCAGGCGGTGCCTGTGATGGGGACCCGTTCTGTGAAACGTGAGCGCCACCACCGAGATGACCCAGAAGCTGATCCGGGTTTACTGGCAGCGGAGCTGCTTGTGAACCGTACGCCAATTTACGGAGATCTGAAGGTACCTGAGACATCAAAACGCTCTGTGTGCCAGGAGCTTGGGAGGCATGGCCCTTCAATGAGTCAGGAGAGCCATAAAAGCGAGTATCTTTCGAAACTTGGCCCCCTTTCCCTGCCGACTTAGCGTGTTTGAAGGCCTGGTTTATCAACTCCATGAGTTCCTTTGATTTTTTGGGCAATCTCCCTGGAACGGGACCCTTGTACCTGAATCCCTCCCATGCGACATCGAAACGCTTGACGTAAAAATGGATCCCTGGGCTCGAAGCGGCATATTCGAGAACCAACTCAAAATCGAGTAGTCGCATGCAACATCCTCTGGCTTCCTTGATGTCCACCGGTCGATGGGGGAATGATCGATTGTATACTTCGAGTGATTCTTCGGAGATGATCGCATCGAGTTGTGTCAACTGATCCGTGATTCTTGCTTTGGACCAATTCTTCATGTTATCCCACTATCCAACCAATGGAGCGATTAGCCAAGTCCTGCGAACATATCCAAAGAGTAGGCTTACCGCAGTTATCATGGCATGGCGTCCCGAAGGAACTTTAAATCGCAAGTTGCTTCCATCATCCTCGACCTCCAGATTATCCAATTGCGCGTGCAAACAAAGAGACAAAGATTGTTCAATGAGGGGTCCTATCCATGGCTGGATAGACGCCATGGTGTGAGATTCAACTGGGTCTCCGCGAGTGAGTCTTAGTCGGTAGCATTATAGGCCGGGACAGGTTCATAGGCGTTGGAGATGGCCAGGTTAGTGAGGAGTAACCATTTGATTCCCATCCTGCATGATTCCGAATCTCCCTTGATTGTATTTCCCTTTCCTCACTTTCTTCTGGACGAGGTGTGGGAGAATTCCGATCCGTGGTCAATCGTCAAGATCGGAGTAATGAAAGACGCGCCTGCAACGCGCCTCACCGCCCGCCTCCCACCGCCCCACTCCCGCTGCAGGATATCTCGAAAGAACAGGAGATTCGCAGGACTATACTAATCCATATCTGACCTCTAGCCACACCACGTCATTGGGCAGCACTGGCACTTCCGGACCTCCAACTTAGACGGTTTAGTACCAGGTAGGAGTAGTGCCATCACGCCCTGCTTAGCTTCTATTTTCTTTGCACGGTTATTAGCATCATCCATGATGACTGTCTTTCATCTGTTCCTATTTTTGGAGTGAGATGCGGGATCGAGATTAACCCCGAGTATCGTGATTCCCCACCCCACTTCCTTTCTCCTCGACTTTCTGTCCGAAACGACTGGTTCTTTGAAAAGGCCTCGAAGGATGCCGACCCAGTATCTCGACGCAATACGCATGGACACAAACGACGCAGACTCCAATCATCTTCCAAGATTTCGAGCTCCGGTAGCTCCGCGGCGGGCGATCACAGATGCTTGGTTCCAACCCCTCACCTTGCTTCGATAATCGGGAAGCTGGATTTATCGTACTCTTGACAGACTAGGCCGGACAGACTAGGTGGTGCTACCCTCAAGGGAACGAGCGAGTCCAGATGACTTCTCAACAGTCTCAAGGGACGTCGAGTCCGTCCGCGTCTTCGATCTTCCTTCCGCTCGGACGACGAGGCTCCCGCGCGTCTCTCTCCACGCAGGCCGAACAGGAGAACTTAAACGCCGCCCTCGATCAAATTCATACGGCCGCATACCAATCAGACTCCCTCACTGTCTTTAATGACTTCACCAACCCTCCCGCCACGAGGTCCGCCACTGACGACAAGAGTGTATCGGGGGAACTACAAGGGGGTCTGAGTGGATTGTACAGCAGGTTCAGAACCTCTGTTGGTGGAATGGTGAGCGGCGTGGGTAGATCTACCGATAAGGCTTCTGCGGAGGACCCCGCTTTAAAAAGCCCACGTCCTTTGAAGAGTCCCCCCTCGGAGCGCTCTGCAGCGAGATCTGCCCATGAGTCGGCGGCTTCCATCGCAGAGACTCAGCGAAACAGCCATTCTTCCGCTCAAACTTCTAGGATACCTTCGCCGGTGTCCGCCATACACCACTCGATCCATGATGGCCAGCAACCCCTTGGGCTTGGCAAAGGCTCCAAACTCTCTTCGAAAGCAGCCAGTATCTCCTCCAAGGCCTCGGCTTCCACCTCCCTCGCGAACAAGCCCCCCGTTCCGCCTCTGCCCAAGGCTACCACCAGCTCCACGGCCGCGGATCCGACCGTAACTGAAGTCAACGTGAATGCAGTCAAGGAGCCTTCGCATCCTTCCAGTATTAAATCGGTCAATCCCTCTACTCACAGCCTACAAACCCTGGACTCATCCGGCTTCGATAAAGAAGACGGCACGCTCAATACGTCGCTGGCCTCCTCTGGATGGGGCCAGCGACTCAAGCAATCTCCAGTCATACAGCCAAACCCCCATGGAAATGCTCCCGAAGGGCCAAGTGTTACAGGCCACAGCAGGACTCCGACTACGGGCAGCCAGGCGACCGATCACTCAAGAAGGATAGAGGGGCAAATGACTCATGAGTTTGATCAGACCCTGCCCGGCCCTGCGAGGAAGGCAAGGCGTTCAATCGACGGACCGCAAGACGGCGCGGCGGCGGCACTCCATCAAGAGCGACTACGGTCCAATTCAGGTGCTTCATTCGTTCTCGATAAATCAGCGGGAGCTTCGCTCTCTAGTGCAAACCGCATCTCCCGAGTTCCCACGCGTGAGGACAGCATCATCTCTGAAGGCCAGAAAACTCCTGCCGATGACTCTTCCATGTCCCTGAAAAGAGATCAGATGCAGCCGCGAAACTCTCCACAAATGAGCGCGACCAGCGATCAACCAAGGAACCGACCGGAGATTGGAAATCCGAGCCGCAGGCCTGGCCATGTGCCGTCGAAGTCGTCCGTCTCTGAGACCTCAATAGGGCCTGCCGCTTTACCGCACATAAACACAACATTCGATCGCGTGCCAAGCCAAGAAGGGAGGAATTGGCACACCGGTGGTGACGGGGTGATGTCGCAGCTGAGAAGTAAACTGCTCAGTAAGGACTTCTGGATGCGCGATGAGAATGCCAAGGATTGTTTTCACTGTGGCGAGCCCTTCTCGACCTTTCGGCGAAAACACCACTGTCGGACCTGTGGCCAGATATTCGACTCTAAGTGCACTCTTCTTATACCAGGAGAAGGATTCGGTCAGCCGGGCTCCATACGCGTTTGCAGACCGTGCGAGGATATGATAAACGGCCATGATGATGACTCCTCTGAATTCTCCGACAGCGAACACAGCCCGATCATCGTGAATCCTCGTCTATCTGAACTTAGTTTCGGGGGTCAGTCGCGAACAGGAGCAGACGACGATGACACTTCCTCCATCGTGTCGCAGTCTCTCGATCACGTCATAAAGACACCTACAATGGCTATCCCCGCCACGAGACGTGCTGGGGAAGGTCATAATCGCCGGTCGGCAGTCCTAGAGATTAGCCCGGATCGTCCGCTAGCGAGACCCACATCATCCCGATCATTAAGGTCTTCGCTCGGCGGAAGAACACACTCAATGGGCCATAAGCGCCATCACTCCCGCCAACAGTATATCCGTAATCCCAAATCGTTTCACGACGATAGGGCTCCATTCCAGAGACGCCACGTGGAGGACGCGGCACCAGAGTCGAAGCTCCCTGCATTTCACAAAGACAATATCATTGACCCTGACCTGGCGCAGTACCTCTCCGACGATGCCTCTAGTGGCGATGAGCAGCCAAGTCTGCTGTCAGCTGTTTCAGAAAGTTCACTGCCAAAGAATGGCGGGGACAATGAGAGAACCACATTTGGAGGGTTCCTGGCAGCTATGAAAAAGGGCCGATCTGCATTTGGAGATAAAAGCACCGCGAGTGCGAACCTTCGTGATGCCGATGACGCCAGTATTACCAGCTCCAAGGCCGCCAACATCCCGCGTATGTCAAGACGACGTAACCTCAGCGTCGCTAGTAGTATTCACCCACGCAATTCTCCGAGGGCATCAAAAGATAGTATTTTCAACCCTCCCGAGTCATCAACCCCGGCCCAGGTTTTGCCCACCATGGTACCCCGAAGCGATTTCAAAATAACGCGGAGCTCGTCGATGCGAGGAGACGGCGCCCCACCGGTCGAGCTCAATAAAGCCAGTTTACACCATGTCCATAGGCTCCTCAGGCAGTTGTTGAAAGACTCGTCTATCCCTCATGCTCAAAGCTGGGAAACGGCACTCCTCCCGATCCTGCTGAAAGCGGCCGATGAAGTCGACCCCGATGTGCAAAATGGCGACGATATGGATATTCGACATTATATCAAATTGAAAAAGATCGTGGGTGGTCGACCGGGAGATACTTCTTACGTGTCGGGGTTGGTGTTTACGAAGAACCTCGCTCTTAAGAGCATGCCCAGGAGCATCCCTCGGCCAAAGATCTTGATCATCACATTTCCCCTTGAATATGCCCGTCACCAGCAACATTTCATGAGTCTAGAACCTGTCATTCGCCAAGAGCGTGAATTTCTCGAAAATCTAGTCAGCCGAATAACAGCTCTACGACCTACTCTGTTACTGGTGGAGAAGAATATCTCGCGACTGGCTTTGGAGCTTTTGGAGAAAGCCAATATCCCCACAGCCTACAATGTCAAATCGTCGGTTCTCGAAGCCGTGTCTCGCTGCACACAAACAAGGATCATCACTTCCATGGATAAATTGGTCACCACCCCAGTGACCAGTGTATGTGGCAGCTTCGACGTCAAGACCTACGTGCACAACGGCCGCCGGAAGACTTACATGTACCTGTCGGGGTGTCGAAAAGAACTTGGTTGCACTATAGTTCTGCGCGGGGGCAATCACGACCTGCTGACTAGAGTCAAAAGGATTACCGAATTCATGGCTTATGTCGTCTACAACCTCAAATTGGAGACTTGTTTGATGCGAGATGAATTCGCCCAAATACCAACTTCAGTCGAACCGGATGTTGAGACAAAACCAAGGGACATGGGGTCAGGTGCCCTGCCTGCGGCAGCGAAATTAGACGATAAAACCGGCTTTGCGACACCAGGCGAGAAGCAAGAAATGAACGAGGACAAGGGTGATCCTTTCTCTCAAGATAAACCGAGCGTTGCAAGCGAGGCGATCGAGGTGCCTGATGATGTTCCGATGCCGACTTACTATGAAGAAATCGTTCAAAACCACAAGACCAAGATCTTATCTGCGTCTCCTTTTGTCAAATTTGAGCCTCCTCATCTGTTGATGCGTGCGAGAGAGATGGAACGCCGACTAGCTTACCTCCAGCGCCTACGTGACCAGGACCTCAAAATTGACCAGCCATCCGACGAGAAATCCAAGGCCCAGAAGTTTGTCCTTATAACCCCTGAAATGGTTCATCGATCCCCTACGGGTGCCGCGCCCAAGGTAATGGAGGTTTTACACGCGGCCCACGATGCCGAATACGATAGGGCGATGCACAATTACCTGACACAGAAACGACAGTGGGAAGCTTATATCTCTGGCACTGATGTTGGCCTGTTTGACCCATTTGCGCATCAGAATATCGTCGTTCTTTTCAGTCTTGTCTGTACAGAAACGTCAATCCCTTGTTCTGGTCCGGACTTGCTTGCTATGGAGTACTACAACGAACACGAAGACGAGACGATATTCGAGCCTGACTGTGCGCTTGGCCAATACGTGGAAGATGTCTGCATCAACGCCAATGCTGAATGTTTTACGGACGGCTGCGAGAAACGATACTTTGAACACCATCGTCAGTACGTCCATGGAGAAGGCCAGATCAGCATTTTTACCCAGCCCTATCCCTCCAAACTCAGGGGTCTCCAGGACACAATCTTGATGTGGAGTTGTTGCAAGATCTGTGGCAATGAAACACAGGTTTTTCCAATGTCGGAAAACACGTGGAAGTACTCGTTTGGCAAGTACCTGGAGCTTTCGTTTTGGAGCAAGAACCTGCATGCTCGCGCAGGCGTTTGCCCTCACGATTTGCAGCGGGATCACCTTCGTTTCTTCGGTTTTAAAGACGTTGCTTTACGCATCCACTACGATGCCATCAACCTGCTCGAGATCATCGTGCCTAGGACCCGAGTCACTTGGAAGGTGGACAATGATTTAAAGCTCCGCAATGAAATATACCTAAGGAGTGAGGGCCGCATCAAGAAGTTCATGGACTCCGTCCGAGCCAGGTTGAAAGGGATCAACATTGAAAGCGGTGTGATTCCAGAAAAGGCGGAAGAATGCAAGAGGGAGATCGAGGTTCTGACCCGCAAAAGTTTCGAGGATCAAGCGACTTTGATCAAGCAGCTGCAAGACAAGTACACAAACTCTCGGTACTGGGAGGTCATACCCTTGAATGAGGTTCTGCGCTCTGTGCAAGAGCGAGTCGTGGAGTGGGACACCGTCTTCGCCGAATTTGAAAAGAACTATTTCCCCTCCGAAAAAGATATCAGGCGGCTGGCGACGCTGCAACTCAAGAAGATCTTCTTGGACAAGGACGCTTCCGTGACATCCATCACCTCTTCTGATGAACAGCCGACGCCTCCAAATGAGGCGGAGAGTGAGAGTATCGAAGAGCCTGAAGAAGGGCGGCCAATGCGTCGCATGACTCTCTCCCCCGAAAAGGCGCAGGACGTTCTCGTGTCTGTAGTTGAGGAGCACTCGGGAAACAAGAATCGAGCCATTGCCCAAGACCTAGAATCTCCCAGGGTCGAAGAGGTCGATTCAACGATCCCCTCACCACCACCAGAGATGAAATCGCCTCCAGCCGAATCTGGGCTCGACCAGGAGCGCTCTGAGGCAACAGGAGCCGCTGTTCAACCTGAAAAACTTCCGACAGAGTCAAGCCCCCCGACGAAATCTCCAGAGTCAGATTCTTTGCCTGTTCGCTCAAGAAACAGCTCGACAGAGCTGCCTACCAGCGGACAACCGATCGCTCGTAAGATGAGCCAGAGGAGCACTGACGGGGACAGGACGAGGAGCCACACAATTGCGAGTAACTCCCCCTCAAATATCCCACGCCCAGCTGAAAGTGCTTCGCGACGCAGCGGGAAAGCAACCTCACCACCAATGCTACGCGCCCAGTCCCAGCCTCTCCAGTTTCAGAAGAATGCACCCAATGACAACGTGCCCTCGAAAGGGAAAAAGGCGGGATCAAGCAAGGCCGGCGAGTCCGGGGATGTTCCCAGCCTGTCTCCCCCCGAGGGTAAAGCCAAGTCTCCGGAGAAAAAGTTGACGGATCGACTCGGTCTCGGTGCTTTTAGGAATGCGAAGATTACACCCGGTCCTTCTCTCATACCTCGTTCTATCCCGGGCAGGAAAGATAGTTCTCGTGTGTCGAATCTAGCGAAGCATTTTGAACAGCTGAGTCGCGAGTTCGAGAAAGAACGTCAACGGGAGAGGGCTCGTCGAACGGCTCGAGGAACCCATTCCCGGGCATTTCCTCTGGCAAGTTCGAAACCTATTGTCGAAGTCTATAAGAATGTCAGGGAAGCTGTTGAAGAACGGGAGCCATCGGCCGAGGGTGAGGATCTCGCGACGTCCATTCCGAAATTACCGGCCGACGAGTCCAGCCGGGGAAGCGATGAGTTTATGGGAAGGGCCTCCGAAGAAGAACCGAGAAAGAGAGCATCCTCGCCCGAACCCTCTGTCCCGGTACCAGAAAACGACAAGAACGACCACCACGCTCTGTCGGATGGAGAGGAAGCCCACACCGACGAAGACCGGATATCAGCGGACGGACTCCATATCACGGATTCGAATGAGGATCTTGGCAAGATGTCCCCCGAGGAGGAACAGCTCGACCTCAGAGAGCTTCCCAAACACGAGAGAAGCACGCTGCTGAGGCTGCTGACGACCTTTTGGTCCGAACGCTCGGCCAGCGGATGGGCCCCTCTCAGCTACCCGCTCACGATGTCCGACCACGTCTTTGCCGACTGCGACATTATCGTGAGGGAGGACGAGCCGAGCTCGTTGATCGCCTTCGCGCTGGACTCCCAGGACTACAAGGACAAATTAACTAGCATACAAGAGCGCTACGAGGCGCAGGACGAGTTAGAATTGGGCCTGGAGAAGGGGACGGAGGCGATGGCCGAAACCCGAGTCGAGCACGCGCTTCTCCGGTCCACGGGAACACACCTGAAATACCAGTTCCAAGAAGGCCAGGCCAAGATGCTCTGCAAGGTATTCTACGCCGAGCAGTTCGACGCGCTGCGGCAAAAGTGTGGGGTCTCTGAGCGGATCGTGGAATCGCTCTCGCGGTGTGCCAAGTGGGACTCGCAGGGCGGCAAGACCAAGTCACTTTTCCTGAAGACTCTCGACGACCGATTCATCCTGAAGTCGCTGTCCACCATCGAAACGCAGGCATTCCTCAAGTTCGCGCCGGCGTATTTCCAGATCATGTCTGAAGCCCTGTTCCACGAGCTGCCGTCGGCGATCGCCAAGATGTTCGGCTTCTACCAAGTCATCATCAAAAACCCCGCCACAGGGACAGAATTCAATTGGTTCCTCCTGCTAATGGAAAACCTGTTCTACGACCGCGTGCCAACCCGCATCTTCGACCTCAAGGGCTCGATGCGCAACCGCAAGGTACAAAGCACAGGCGAACGCAACGAAGTACTCCTAGACGAAAACATGGTCGAATTCATCTACGAGACGCCGCTGTTCGCTCGGGAACACTCAAAGAAGCTTCTCAGCCAGAGCGTCTGGAACGACACGCTCTTCCTGGGCCGCCAGGACGTCATGGACTACTCGCTCATGATCGCCATCGACGAAAGCCGCTCGGAGCTCGTAGTGGGAATCATCGACTGTATCCGCACTTACACGTGGGATAAGAAGCTGGAGTCGTGGATCAAGGACCGAGGATTTGCGGGCGGTGGCAAGAACAGGCCCACTGTCACCAGTCCTAAGGAGTATAAGGGGCGGTTCCGCGAGGCGATGGCCCGATATGTGCTTCAGGCACCTACGTATGGACACACCAGATTCTGATTATTGTTCCGACTTACTGACTCGTCTCTAGCTGTTGGCATCAGTTCCAGGCCTCTCAGGTTCCCCGGTACATGCCTCTGGGACAATCCCAACACGCTCTTATTGCTGAATCTGAGGGACCTGATGGACCTATAGATTCGTGGTGAATACGCAGGAAATTGGTAGTATATGGTCAAACGGACGACGTAATGACGGCGTTATGGCAGGCGGCACATTGGTTTAACTTGGGTTACACTCTTTGGATTGGAGTTTTCAGAAATATATAACCTTCTATTCGATCATACTTAGTTTTAGGATCTACTATCTACGGAGCAGTATCGTATCTCAGATGGTAGTGGGGTTCCCCGATGGGCCTTGGATCCTGGGGCCGAGAATAACATGTGACGATAGATCATCCTCTCACCACCATCACAACCACAACCACCATCTTCTCCATATATCCACCCCAATACTACACACAAGACAAAGACGGTCCCAATATAACCATACTCACAAAAATCCAAACTATCAAAATCATGCACAAACCATTCATCCTCAACAATAACCCACCCCCGAACCACCTTGAAAACATTAATAAAACCCCCTTGGTCCGAGCGTACAATATCGGCAGAATTCGGGACGAAGAGTTTCCACCCCGAGGGATTTCCGTCTTGTCTTGCTCCTCTTTCTTCCCTCCTCTCTTTCTCTTTCCCTTTCTTTCCTTCTGTCCGTTTTTTCTTTCGTTTTGGATTGTTGTGTTCAACTGGATACCACTACTCTTTCTTCACACCTTGGATGGTGTATTCAGTGCCCAGTGTGGTCTATTTACTTACCTACTTAGCACGGTACTAACTAACCTTTTACCGAATACAGATACATAGCTACAGCTGAAGGACGTTCCATTCATCCGCGTCGCATTACCAACAAGAATGCTGCAGCTGCTGATGCAAGACAGACAGACAGACAGACACTGACTAAAGCTTTGCTGCTCTCTCCCCCGCCTCCTTGAATCCCCCCCGCATTGAGGGGTTTTCTTCTCTCTTTCCTTCTTCCTACCACCCCCCTTCTGCCCTGCTTGACCTCACGTCTACTTGCCCATGTCACTCACTGCTTCTGCTCGATGAGTTGCGCTTCTTCATGCCAGCTATGCGCCGTCCGTTTCTCCTGTCTATGGATTGAGGCATACATTCATACGGACGTTACTAACTCAAGCCGAACTAATGATCATATTAAATCACTTGATTTGATCTCCTAGCTTTTGGATCGCTAAAAAGCCATCGTGATGATGGCTGGCTGCACTAACGCCTAACTCGCAATGAATACCGACCCGGGGTCAATCACCCGGCCCCGGATTACGGGCCTGGGTCTCCCCCCTCTTGGTCGCCAAGTACACGGATAAATCGGGGTATGTTTCGTGTTTCGCCGCCGCGCACACTGCGTCTCGCATGTCCAATCGCAGCAAAACTGTCCAGCTGGAGCGGAGAGCATGTCGCGGTTTTTTGTTGTTTGTCACCTTCGTCCCACACAGCGACCTGTCTACTACGGTTCAAGACACGCCCCCGGCGCCTACTGCCATATCGTTGTCGTTACCATATGAACCCACCCGTGGTGGTATCGCCGTCGCCGATTTATTCAGCAAGACCGAGGTTCTCCTCGGCGGGCACCACACGGACGGTGTTGGTGTGGCCCTGGCCGCCGCGCCAGCCCTGAACGCAAACGATGTTGTCGCCCTTGTTGATGATGCCGAGCTTGAGGCCGTGAGAGATACCCCACTTGAGACGGCGGTCGACATCCTCCTGCCAGATCTTCACGTTGAAGTCGGGCTTCTTCTCGGGGAACAGGAAGGGCCAGACACCCCGGTACAAGTGAGAGTACCGCGAGGCGCGCGCGTTACGGGTGACCATCAAGATGGGGCAGACCGGGCGGTACTTGGAAACGAGACGAGCGGTGTGGCCACTGCAAAGAACCTGTTAGCGCTGAACCCGCCGAATCATCTAGGGACAGCTAAACCTACCTGGTGGTCAAGACAACAATCGCACCGGCGTTGAGCTCCAGACTGGCGCTGACCGCAGCCATGGCGATCGACTCCACCGTGCAGGTGGGACGAGGGGCCAGGTTACGCAGCTCATCGAAGACGTTGAAGTGAGGGGTGGCCACCTCGGCGAGCAGACAGGTCTCGGACATCATCTTCACAGCCTCTTTGGGGTAGGAGCCCTTGGCAGTCTCGCCCGACAACATGACACAGTCGGCACCGTCAAGGACGGCGTTGGCAACGTCGGACACCTCGGCGCGCGTGGGACGAGGGTTGTACGTCATGGACTCCAGCATCTGCGTGGCGCAGATGACGGGCTTACCCTTGATGTTACACTTGGCGATCATCATCTTCTGGGCGATGAAGACCTTGGGGGCGGGGATCTCGATACCCAGGTCACCACGGGCGACCATGACACCGTCCGTCTCCTCGAGGATCTCGTCAAAGTTGTTGACACCCTGCTGGTTCTCGATCTTGGCGATGATCTGGATCTCCTTGCCCTCTTCACCGAGGACCTCGCGGATGTGGCGGATGTCGCTTCCACGACGGATGAAAGAGGCAAAGATCATGTCGACCTGGTTCTTGCAGCCAAACTTCAGATCGCTGACGTCCTTCTCGGACAGAGCGGGCAGGTCGACGTCCGTGCCGGGCAGGTTGACACCCTTACGAGAGGAGATGTTGCCATTGTTCAGACACTTGACACGCAGAGTCTGGTCGTTCACGACCTCGAGCACCTCGAACGAAAGGATACCGTCGTCAACATAGATGAGCTTGCCCGGGGCGATCACCTTGGTGATGTTCTTGTAATCCAGGTACCTGGGACCAAGGTGTCAGCGCAACCTTTTCTCTTTCCAACGCGATCTACAGTTTGTGTTCCAGGAAAGCGACGGATTGTTTTTGAACCAAACCGCAAAGGTCGATTGGGAGGAACTCACATGTTCTGATCGTCGCTGCTGTTGGCATACTGCTCGTCGGTGGTGATGTTGAGCTCATGGCCCTCCTTGATGGGGATGTCCTTGTCCCCGGGGGTGTTACCGGTACGGATCTCGGGTCCTTTCTACGAGGCCGTCAGCGTTGTGTGCATGGAGGGGTAGTATGGTAGAGGGGAAACTCACGGTATCCAGGGCGATGGCCAGGGGACGACCGGTCTGGGTCTTGGCGGCCTCGCGGGCGTTATCGATAACGGATTGGTGGTACTGGCTGAGTCAGTGGACTAGACCCAACAGCGCGGAGGAGGGGTCGAAAAGGGGGGTTGCGCTCACCTCGTACGAGCCGTGCGAGAAGTTCATGCGAACCACACAGAGACCGACTCTGCGGAGGGCGTTGATCATCTCCACCGAGTTTGTCTTGGGGCCTGGGGAAGAGAGGCGGATGTCAGTGATTGAGTCCCGTCGCCCATTTGTCGGATGGAGGCGGGGTGCGTGGACAGAAGGACATACCGATGGTGCCAATGATGGAGGTGCGGCGGAAGTTCTTCGCAGGAACCATCTCCGTGTTCAGCTTGGAGAGCCACTCCAGCTTCATACGGTTGCTCAAATGATCGAGGGAGGTGCTGGCCGCCATCTTGCACGGATGATTCGGTCGATGTGGGTGGGTGGGTGAGGTAAGTGGAAGTGGATGGAGGGGAAGGTAAGGGAGGATGGGGGATAGATAGCAGGTCGTAGAGATTAAGAAGAATCAAATGATGGGGAAAGGGGGAAGAAAAGAAAAATAGGACGAGGGGTGAATGTCCAGAGAGAGGAAGCCGGTGAGCGGAGAGGGAGAGGAGAAGGAGAGAGAAAAAGAGGGAGAGACTAGGAAGAAGAGCTGGGGAGGGGCAGGATTGAATCCTTGGGTCCAATGTGTGTGCCCAGCGGAGAAAATGTTGATGGCCCGCTCTGCTATTAGCTGGCCGACTCTCCGGTCGGTCCTCCTCCGTTTTCACCATCACTGCACTATCAACTACATTATCAACTACTCTATCCCTCCCACGACTAGTGGAAGAAGTCTCATGGGCAAGTGAAATCGAGATTGAATTTTCACCCGGTCTACAGAATATCCATTATTCTACCCCGTCCACCATTTCAATGGTCAAGTCCAACAGCGATATGGATCTCCTTATCGGGATTGACGTTATCCCATCTGACCAGGACGATCACCTCCAGAATTGAGAAACGAAGAAGAAAAAAAGAAAGAACAGAAAAAAAGCAGACATCAATCTTTGATCCCGCACATGACAGGGTCATCAGCGGACTATGATCATATTAGTGTGAAAAGGCCCACCCGGTCGACCCAGAGAACACACCGTGGCCAAATCTTGGGTCTCCGTTCTGGGCATTCAATCGATCATCCCTTGTCCTTCCTCCTCCATGAGGTCGGTATGGCATGGAAGGCTCAGTAGAATGGTCGGTAATAAATCCCCAATGAGAAGAGAGAAGGGGGCTATCTCCCCTGTAAGACCGGCCAGTGGCGCCCATACAAGTCAAGTCTCAACGGTCCCACTACTGGATACATTCCACGTAGTGACCCGGTGGGTCTAGGATCAGGTACTTTTCAGTTTCCAGTCCAACCCGACCACGGTCTCCCGATCACCGACTCCATCTTAGGCTTGGTTGCAGCAGACTGAACGGAGTAAAAATCTAGTAATCGACTGGGAGGATGTTAATAATAATGCATGCATAATTGCAACTGATAGATGACTCATGTAGATGCATAATCTGAAACTCCGTCCCAGCCACACCGCCCAGCCCCCTCTTCACCGCCCTGGATCCAGCAGTCGCCCACGTCATGTGAGCTGGCCCGACTTCTTCCATTCTCTCCAACACGCGATCTCTATCTCAAGATCTGTCGGTCTCGAGCCATATCTCCACCAGAACACATCCTATCCTCAGTCACTCTGATTCTTACTCACTACTTCATACTCACTCACTCCACCCCCACTGAATCCTCCCGATCGACGATCTACAATCAACCGCCAGCCTTCAGTCATCATGGTAGGTCTCGTCGGTCCCTGCCTCTACCTAGGTGCTGGCATGGTAGCCAGCAACTGGATCGTTGGATGGGTACTACTACCACGGGCCTTGAATTGTTCGCATTCGAAGAATGACTTTGGATAATGGCTGACTCGCTTTGGGTACACGCTGCAGATCGGTCGACTTGGTCATTACGCTTTTGATGCCGTCTTGCGTACGTCTCCGTTACTTAATTCTTAACTCTTCAAGGCGACGAGATAAACTAACGTTGGTTGTATCATGCAGTCTCTGCCTTTTTGGCGGGCGTCAAGCGCTCCACTGGTCTTACGTAAATACTTACCCCTCCTTGTCTCTTATCGCTTATGGGATTGCTTTTGCTTGTCTATCAATCCGATCATACACCCTGATCGTGTTATGAAAGAAAGAAACCAAACTAACAGGTTCGCCTCTGCGTCCCTCTGGCCACCGGAGGGATCGCGCGGGGTCTGTCATAGCCCCAGTCTACAATCCGACAAAATCACCGATAACAAGGACTTTAAGAAGTGGATCGATAGCTACCTTGGTGTGGGCGAGTGGGTGATGGATCAGTCTGTTGCTGTTCTGGGTACTTCCAGCTTTTTTGAGCGCAAGCGGTGAGAGTGCGCTGTCACAACATGGTCCTCTCCGTCTGCGACTGCCGTTGGATGTCTTTTCTTTCGACTGGAATTGGCTTGGTCTAGTCTGTCGGAGATCTCGATCTTATACAGGGCGAACATGCTAGGCTAGAGGTCAGTTCTCGACTGTCAGCTAGCTGTTCATGATTGATGACTGTTTTTTATTTTTCATTCCCTCTTTTTGTCTGTACTTTTGTTTCCATTCTCGGGTTCATCTCATTCACCCACCATTCTGATCTCTATATCCTTCATGATACTGCTTTTTTGATCCCGAGTTTCACCAACAATGGCGTTAGACATGGGTTTTTCTTCTTTTTTTCACCCTTTTTTGCTAGTGCACTTACTGCATGCCTGGATCTTCTTCCCAGAAGACTCTCAGCGAATGTCTCTCTTCTAGCACATTCGCATGTACATACATAAGTATGCCAGTCAGTCAAGCCAAGTCAAGTCAAGCAAGGACATAACACACTCCACTGATACTAGCTTTAAAGCTAGGTAACTACTATCTATCTATCATCATTGCACGCCGTACCACTCCGTAGAGACCATCCTGCCCAACAACCCAGGGAACCTTCGGCCCCTTATCACACATGAAACAAAACTGTAACACAACTAACCCCCCACAAGCCTATAAAATTCAAGAATCACGTCCCAGGGGGGGAGTTGTATTCGGTTCATAGTGGGGTTCGTCCGCACGGACTGTCACATCCGTTCCGTTCATTTACCCCTCTGTCAGATGGACCTTGTGTGGAGAGAGGAGGTAGGTAGGGTAGGTAGATACTGGTAGGGTAGTGGGGTACACTCGGTGGATATCTAGGTAAGGGGTGGGGAATACACTCCCTTACGTGAGATGTGAGATGTCATTGATCTTTGTGGGTTTGCACTTGTCTAGGATAGAGGGTTCATCCATCTTTGGCTCATGTGCATCTATCTCTGGCAAGTAAGGCAAGGTACAAGATATCGGCCTCCCAGACTGTTGCCATTACTAGGAAGGCACTTGCTTTTATCCAACACCTTCTGTCTTTCTCTCTCTCTAGTAAGTGAGTATGCTTACGATCATCGAGTAATTGACTTGCATAAATAGAAAGAAAAAAGAGAAAAAGAAAAAGTACATTCATGACTATACCCTTCCGGGTACAAAAGGGATGCCATATCTCGTTAGTCGTAGTCGTGGTCGTAGTCATAGTCATAAGTCACAGGGACGATGTTCACGTCCGAATCAGCGCGTCGATATCCAGTCGGCGGAAATAGGTAATATGGCCCATGGCTTCCCAGTAATGGGCCATGTAGTCGGGGGAAATCAGGATCAGCTGCGAGTTGATGAATGTGTCTGTGTTGTACGCGAGTCAGCACGAACATGTCATTTGTCGAAATTGGGGTTTTTTTTTTTTTTTTTTTTTGGTTATTCAGGGATGGATGGGCTTACCATCGCGAAAACCTAGGCCCGCTACGTGGCCCCTACTGCGCACGATCCGGGACCCTTGGAAGAGGGCTTCCTCTGCGACCCGGATGAAGCCGCCTGGGCCGATGTCGTCGGAGATGAATGATATCTCGCCGCGGGGGACGTTCGGGTCCCCCGTGAGTTTGATTCCCATGAGGCTGCCGCGCTGGATTGGGCCGCCGTCGTGGGGCTCGGTCTCGCTCGGAGGTGGGGTCAGGTCCTCGCTGGGATCGCCTTGCATGAAAAGTAAGAACTCGCAGCCGTGCGCCGCGTAGTCCCCCACCCAGATGCCCTGGTACGGTTTTTCCGGGGTCGGCGTGTAGAGGCTGGGATCTAGCGTGGCGTAGGTCGACAGGGTCTCCCCCCGGCTGAAGATGGGCATGCCCATACGGAGATGTGCCCACCGCCGGATCCGAAATGCATGTTCTGACATCTGCGTCAGCTGGCGCGGGGGCTGGTCCCATTCCGACTGCTGGGTGTCGGCGTCGCGGTGGACGCGGACGCTGCTGGGGATCGCCGGCGGCGGCCACTGCTTGGTGGGGTCGGGGTCCAATGGCTGCTCGCTGGAGCAGAGGAGGAACGCGTTGGACACATGCTGCATCTCGAGGGGCAGGGGCATCCGAGTCTCGCCATGCAGGTAGCGCGTGGGTCGGCCCTCCCGCTGGTTCTTCAGAAACAGCACGGGGTCGTCGAGCCAGAGGCTAACCTTGGGATGGAAGTTCTGAACGATGACGTCCGTATTCCACTCCCAGGTTTGGAAGTGATTGGTGCGCCTCTCCGCGATGATGCGGTAGGCCTCGATGACCCCGCGTCGGTTGTCGTAGCGGGCGAGGATGAGGTTCCCGGTGTGCTCCGTATCCGAGAACCAGATCTTGTGCTGCGGAATGAACCAGCAGGGATGGTGGGCGATATAGAGACTGCGAAAGGAGTCAAAGGGACCCGCATCGTTGATCTTGTCCGGGAGGTAGGAGTTGATCAGGCTAGCCCACAGCCGATCGTTGGCTGCGTGTTTGGCGAACGAGCGACATGTGGCTGACACCCGCGCGAGGTCCTGCGCCGAGAGATACGACAGGATCTGCAGGAGGAGCTCGAGGGGGAGCTGTTCGAAGGGCGATTTGACGACGCGATGGATACTGTTTTCCATGTCGGACATGGGGAAAGGCAGGTCCTCCTCTTCTTCTACCTCCTCCTCCTCCTTGTCCACCATCGGAGAGGGGTAGTGGTGATGGGGTGGCCCCAGGGTTGAGACTGAATACCAGGTCGCCGACACCACGGCCATCGAGGGATTGTTGGGGGAGTAGACGAGGTGACGAAATGGACGACCATAGATCACCGCGTAGCTAGCGATGGGGGAGTGCGAAAGATGCCCGTGTTTGGGTAACTAACCTCTGCGCCCAATATACAATCATCGGGGGGTTGATGATGGAGGAAGTAGCGAGGGAGAGGATCAAGCGAGAGATCGCTGGGTGAGACCGGGTTGACTTTATCGTAATCGCTGAGAGGCGTAGGTATCGATGTCGTGGCAATCCGTCATCCACATGGATATGTTCGATAGAGTTGGTTGATAGAAAGGAAAAACGGGGAAGTACTGAGAATAGGTAATTGCAGGAAGTTGGCGGTACGACAAACCAAGAGTCCTATGACATCACGGAGTATTCGGATGAAAACAAAAGAGGGGTCTCTGCTTCTCGTGTGATCGGGGAAGGTCTGTGGAATTGAGACCTCTTTCTTTTCATTCTTTTCATTCTTTTTCTCTTTGTTGGACCATCTGGATCGGTCGGATTGGACTGATCCAAATATATAACCCAAAAGACACCAATGGACGCGTTGGAGAGGACGAACTAGACCAGGACAATAAAGTTGTGATAGAGAATACTCAGGGAACAAGACCCTCCCACTGTTATTGTCAATATTATCCCATACCCGTTATAATATAGAATTAGATTAGAAAGTAAAAAGTAATATAAAATAGGATGTAAGTTGTAAAAAAAAAAGAAAGGATAAAAAAGAAAAAGAAAAAAAGAAGTGGTCCCAGTGAGGCTCGAACTCACGACTTTAGAGTTATTAGCTCTACACTCTAACCAACTGAGTTATAGGACCCGGTTATTGTGAACCCAATTGAGTCTGTGCATTATGATGGACCCTTACTTCCAAGGATCGTCGCTTATCGCTTAGAATCGAAGCCAAGTGGAAGCCGGTTCGCAGTACGTCTAACCCGATCATCCTCAACTGATTGGCCCTGCTTTCTGCAAGCTGGCCTCTAGAATAGTGGAGAGCCCCGGATATTACACTCGTCTCAACGAGGGGTCAGAACGATGATCCAAGGCGGGTTGTCGGGCTGACAAGAAACCCAGTGGCCCCTGGATGAGATTACCCTGTGTAGGGACCCCGTACGCAGTCAGCGCAATTGCCTCCTCTCCCCCCTTCTCAATGACGACGGAGTACTGAGTACTCCGTACTAACTCCAAGTATGGAGTCTATGGACCAAGGATGGTCGATGCGATCATGATTGTCAATGACGCGAGGGACCTGGACGTCCGATCGGGACGGGACGCGATCCGTTCCCAGATCTTGCAAGGGGATCCCATCATGCCAGCAATCAATACCCTGCCTTGGTTTCCAGAACAGTAACGGTCAATCAATAGTGGCTGACACTAGAAGACCACCCCAAAGGGGGGGAAATTCTGGAATGGAAGAGGAAAGTGGATTACGGAGGATGCCGGGGAAGACCAACTCGTCGAAACGGGGAAGACGCCCAAGAAGGATTGGGTTTCTATTTTTGTTCTGATGATGATGTTCGATTCTCTGGAAAAAGTGTATCCTTCCATTAACCCAGTGGATCATTGCCCATCCCATTAATAAGAAGAATTGTTTGAAACCAACTCCCATTAATCTGACGCCGCGGATCCGACCCCTGAAACGGCTGCCTGAGGCCCGCGCCGCCGTGTCCCACCATCGGACTTTCTCCTTTCCTTCTCCTCTTCCTCCTCCTCCCTTCACTCTCTTCCCCTTCATTATTCTTATGCCTTGACTCATTCCTTCTTTGACTGGGTGAACCGATCTATCATGTTTTGGGCCTTTCTTGCATGGTCTCACTTGCTTTGATCTCCCTGCGTCCCTTTCTCTCCTTTCTGTGTTTATATCACGTCACCCTTCCCCCCCCCCTCCGGAAAAAGACGCGTCCTGCATCTTCCCCCTCCCCCAAATCCCCCAGCGACCGTCGCCCTGTCGGTTTGCGAGCGGTTGGGTTTGATCATTGCACATAATAAAAACAACAGCTCGGAGCAATCTCCCATCAAGCTTGCTTTCGTTCATCACCCCGCCGCTGGCGCCTAAAAAGTATCCCATCGGACCACGTTGCCCACCGTGAGAGGCTCATACGGCGCCCGCCCCCCGCTCTCTTTGAGTCAGTCCGGGTCGCATTCGTCGCGCTTACAGGAAATCATGACCGACACCGGTGCTCATCCGGGGGTGAGGAATCTGTTGGCCAGGTTCGAAAGTGGTCAGAGTACCACCACCACCTCTCCGCCCTCCCGGGGTCGATCCCCCGCTGGATCGGATAACTCGGGCTCGAGTAGGCCCTTGTCCAAGGTGCGCGCCAGCTTCATTGCTGTCGATGGCGTCGTGCAATCCAGTTCTCCCGGTACGAACAGGGTCCGAAGCTACAATTCGGATGATCTGGAGGCCAGTGCCACCCTGAAAAGCCCACTGTCTGCGTCGCCCACCAGAAACCCGGTTGTGGCTTCTCCCGAGGATGGTGTGGACCATTCCGCCAAGGATAGCCCCCGGAAGGTGGGATCAGAGCCTGTTAAGCTGCCGGTAGTGGAGACAGAGAAGAAGACCCCCGAGGTGAACACGGCGCCGAACAAGGAAAACCAGCCCACCGACCATTCGACCACCGAAGCGACGCCCCAGAAGGCCACGAAGACAGTGACCAAGCGGCCATCGACCATTCAGGTTCGCAAGACGGTCCCCAACAAGGCTGCATCCAAACCCGCCGCCAAGTCATCGTCCAATCCACGGACCCCCACGTCCCCAGCACACCCCAGCGACAACGAGAAGGCTTCGCGACCGGCGCGGACGACCAAGCCGGCTGCGAGCGAAGCGCCGAAGGCGGCAACCCACAAGGCTAGCCGCACGGCCCTGAACACCACGGCCAAGCCGACGGCGCGTCCCCCTCGATCCTCGATGCCCGCGCGGGAGACGGCAAGACCGGCCGCAGCACCCCCCACGCGCACCACCAAGCCGACCCGTACCCCTGCTACTACGACCACGACTTCGAGCCTGTCTCGAAAGCCCTCCTCTTTGAAGCCTGCCAGCAACGGAGCCCAGCAGCGCGCGACGACCCCGAGTGGTGCGAAGCAAGCGTCGAAACAAAACCACGTCGAACGACCTCAGTCCCGAGTCAGCAGCAATGGCAGCAGCTCGCGACCGGTTGATGAAGGGTTCTTGGCCCGGATGATGCGGCCAACCGCCAGTTCGGCTAGCAAGGTGCATGACAAGGACGCCAAGAGCCCTCCCCGGGCCTCGAAGCCCTCCCGCGCGCCGGTCAAGAAGGTTGCCCCCAAGGCCACCTCCCGTGCAGTCCCGCCCAAGGAAAAGATTGCGCCGAAGAAACCCTCGGGGGAGAAGCTGGTGGCCGCGCCAGTTGAGGCGAGCCAGCCTACCCGGACTCCGAGCCCCGAGAAGGCTTCTGAGCCTGCTACCGATGTTGAGCCTAAGGAGTCGGTCGGAACCATTGAGGAGTCGGCCCCCGCCGTCGAGGAGTCCCATCCCTCGTCCGTCGAAGCGATCGAAGAGGAGCCCGTGGCCGAGGTGGCAACCGATGACGCTCCTGTCGAGTCATCTGCTACTCCTGAGGTGACGGCTGATGCTGTCTCCACTCAGGACGAGCCCGTCGCGAATGTGACGGAGGCCCCGGTCGAGCAGACCCCCGAGCTCTCCTCCCCTGTTCCCACGGAGCAGCCTATCTCTTCTCCGGAGATCAAGGCGCCTGAAGCAGTCGAGCCCGTCGCGGAAGTCCCTCAAGTCACCGAATCCGTGAAGCCCAAGGAGCCGGCCATTTCCGAGTCGCTGGTGGACACGGACGTTGAACCCGTTGAGAAGCCCAGCGAGAAAGCTGGCGAGAATCAGGGTCAGGTTGATTTCGGTATGGACATGCTTAGCTTGATCTAGGTCTTGAGTCTAACTTGTACCCCAAGGCAATTGAGTCTTCCTGTCTACGGTTCCTCCAAACCCTCCCTCCTTAACTGCTTTCAAACTTCCCCCCTTCCCCACCTTGGGGTTTTCACGTTGACGGTCTGTGCATCAAATTTATACCCCGCGAAAGCCACGATGAACAGCAGCACATGTCATCTTCAAATACTTTTACACTTCGATGTCCTTTATTGATTCTCTTCTTCTTCTTCTTTTTTTTTTTTTTTTTTATTCTACCATCCATTTTCACTTTTTGACTTTTTTTCATTATTTAACGGATTCAGACGGGTCATCCATGTACCATATGAACCCGGATGGCGCCCGAGGACGGATGCATGCCAGAGGATTGACTTGGAGGAGTTGCTTTAGGTTTTCTTTTGATGGGTTTAGCGTGATCCCCAGCATCTTTGCATATGTCCTGTAGGAGTCGATTTAGGGTTTTTGTTGTTTTATTCTCTTCTCTTCTCTTTCTATTCTTCATTCTCCTCTACTGAGGTGTGCTTCATTTTCTTCGATTCTAGTGATATATACTTTGCGTTACATTCTGGTAGTATAATTTGTTGTCGTATTTGAGTCTTTCTCGCTGTCTATCTGGAAGTCATCCTCGGGACTCACTAGTCATTCGAATAAACCACCTACATAGTAAAATTATACCCTACTCCGAAGCGCCAATCATAATACAAAGAGAACAGAAATCGAGATATCACAACTCGGACAAGGAAGAGACCCTACCAGAACACAGACCCAGAGTATAATATATAAATAAACACTATCCCCAAGATGATAAATCAAAGCCTCTTCTCCAACTTCTTAAACAGCCGACTCACGCCCTGTTCCACCCGGCTTGCGCTATCCTCCAATTTGCGCGGGCGCGAGCCCGGGTTCTGCACTGCCTTCTGGGCGTATTTCTGGTGTTTAGTGCCGGCTTCGGCTTCGGTGGGACGGTAGAGTTGGTTGTGAATGTCGTAGTCGCTGCCGAAGGATTGTTGTCGCTGGGGGGTTGAGTCGTAGGTGTAGTTTGAGTAGCCGCCGACTGGGGGCGGGGGTGGGGAAGATACGGGTTGTTGGACTTGAGTGGTTGGTGGTGGTGGTGGTGCGGGGGCGTAGAGACCCGGGGACTGTTGGGGTTGGCTGTATAGGTGTGCGTTTGGGTCTCTGGGTGGAGGGGCGAAGGACATTGGTCCTGGTGGGGTGGGGGCTGCTGGTTGGGTGCTGCCTGTGAGGAATGAGGGCGTGTATGACGGGACGCCTGGCGGGCTTTGCACGGATGATCGGGAGGATAGAGAGGCGGAGTGGGTTAGGCCTGGGGCTGGTGGCAATCCGGTACTTGGGGGTAATCCGGCGCTGGGGGGCGGTGATACGTAGCCTCCCGGCATGCTGTTGTAGGGCAGACCTGCGCTGGGTGGAGGGGGTGCATAGCCTGCTGGTACGGCGCCGGTGAGATGAGGTGGAGGCGAGTGTGGAACGCCGTTGTGGACAGCCGCTGCTGTAGCCAGTCCTGTACCATCCCCTGCGTCAACTGGAGGTGGCGTTTTCTCGCGATGTTGGATGGGCTCCGGTGCAGCGGGTGCCGCGGGATTGTAGGGCAAAGGTGCACATTGGGGGGACTCCCTTTGAGTTTCTGCAGGGGGCTGAGGTGTAGTCACTGTCTGCTGGGCTGGAGGGGACGGTCCACCGAGCGGAGGCGGGGGAGCCGGCGGAAGAGCGCTGGGAGGAGCGGCTGTCTGGAATGTGGACACGGGCGTTGAGGAAACACTTTCTCCGCCAGGGCCCCGGGTATGTCCATGCTGGTAGGCGGGATCAGTGATGGCTATATTCTCCAATTGTTGCACAACCGGGTTGACGGTGCTCTGCGGGGGAGGCGGGTAGGGGTGCCGATCCGTTGAGATATTCGTCTGGGGGAGATACGCCTCGACCAGATCGAGAAATTGAGTGACATCGTCTTGGGTCCAGAAGTAGATATCTAGAGTATGGAGGCGCAACAAGGCCCTGGATGCGTCACGCGGATCACCGCTCGGCAACTTCCACTCGGAGGCACCCGTAGCGCCTGGAGGAGGAGGAAAGGCCTGCTGGTGCTGGTCTCGTGTCTCCCCCCCCACAGTCAAAGTACACAGGGTGGGGAAGTTGGTGGAATGGAGAAAGTGAACATTGTCCAGGCCTAGACTATGATTAGCTTGGCCACATGCAAGTCACTGACACCGGAATGATCATGGACCAACCTCCATTGAACGCATCCTGTTCTGGAGAGCCAGGATGGTTTGCTACTTCAAGCCTGGTCTTACGCTGGGTCGCATTGTGATAGAGATAGAGATATGAGCCTTTATCAAACCGATGCTGCAGTGGTTTGGGGGTTGGTTCGGTGAAGTAGTAATGGATATCCGCAAAACTACACAGGAATTTATCAGCACGACTTCATACTCTCCATTGACAGAGACAGATCAGTCACTGCGGGGTAGCAAGAGTCAGCACTCACACTGTCAACAGACGCTCTTCCCCCGGCAATGGAGGCATGGTGGTTGATCAGAGGATATATGGTTCCAAGAGGCACAAGGCAAGATGGTGTTGGAGAAGAGGAGGAGCGTCACAGGCCATGGTGAAATAAATAGCAGGCAACCGCAAAAAAACAGCGATCTCTGCAAGAAGCTCTTGGGATGAGGGGAAGGATTCAGGAATTCGCCTGTGAGAGAGAGGATTGGGAAGGTCGGCGGTTACAAGAGCGCTTCCAGAGGCGTGACAGGGCTGTGATAGGTGCATAACGTGCATCTCGTGCATACTCCGTATCGGCCAATCATAATCCTTCTAGCCTGGGGCATTGACTCAAGGCACTAAGGCATGAAGATACTAAGGCATAAAGGCATCAAGGCACCAAGGCAGGAATGCGGAGCGGAGGCCGGCGTATCGTGTCTCCGAAAATTTCATCTGGGCTTCCCGTCTGGCTCGGGCTGGGTAAGTGTAGACTGCTGTTCAATTGAGTCCTATCATAACAACCTCGATTCCGAAGGGGAGTTTGACACTCGCAAAGGTATATATCTGAATAAATCTACACTTTGATCATTCAATTGCATGGCTGACATCTCCATTCCATCCCTAGTCACCGCAAAATCTCCCGAGTCGCAATCCCCAGAGCCCCGATCGCGCCTTTTGCTTTCCCCATCACGATCCATCATGTCTCTCGTCAACCTTTCTCACGTCTGTTCGCATTTGAACAATGCGTGCAAGGCCCGTCTGGCCGTCACCTCGATCCCCAACTCCAACCTCCACCTGAAGCTCAGCCACGCCCTCCAGAACTCTGGCTATATTTCCTCCGTCATCCGAGGCGGCCCGACCCCCCCTCCGAAACACACCATCCTGGGTACTCCGACTGTTAGCGATGGTAACGCGGGCGTGGAACCCGTGACGCAGGACAATGTTGCCTCTCGACGACTGTGGCTGGGCCTGAAGTACTGGCAGAGCGAGCCCGTCCTGGGGAAGATGACCATGATCAGCAAGCCGACAAGACGGATCACGATCGATGTGACTGGACTCCGACAAGTCATTCGAGGCGAAAAGTATCAGACGGTGGAGGGTTTGCGGTCGCCGGGTGAGAACCTGTATCTGTCGACGGATCGGGGCATCATGGAAGCGCGTGAGTGTGTTGAGAAACAAATAGGCGGATTGGTTCTGTGCCGGGTTCAATAGGTTGCTGACCCGCGAGGATAAAAAGGAAGAGGGACCTGGGTTGTTCCGCTTCCTGGATGCGTCGTTGGATTTTGCATTTACCCCGGAGTTTGGTCAGTCGCGATGTCTCCTCCCATGCTTTGTGTATCTGATGTTTGCGACTGTTGGGATGGATACCTTGTATAGTAACATACGCTCGAATTCATGTATCATTCTTTGATCACTAGTATTGGTGGTACTTTTTCTTCGTAGCACGATGTTCATGGTGGACGTGGGTCGCGCCAGTAAGCCCTCGGTTGCGATGGGTGGAATGGATGGAGTAACGATGTGATGGGGTCGTCCGCATCTCCGCTCCCTTCCAACCATCCAAGGGATGGACAGTGGGCTCCTCAACTACGTTCAGCCTCTTCGACAAGCAGAACAACGCGAATATTCCGTCGTACTCCATTGTCTTTCCACCTGCCATTCTTGATTACAATCATCTCATATCGGAGGTCCTATCAAGGGTTGAATATCCCCTCCCCGGGCGGGCCCACCGCAGGAAGATACATACTACGCCTATGAATAGAAGCGAATAAGAGGCGGCACAGCGACAGGATTACCCAACATGTCCGTAAACCAGGTTCCCTTGAAAAAAGTCCTCATCTCAGGGGGAACTGGCTTTGTGGGTGCAGCCACCGTCCGAGCACTGGCAGAGGCCCATCCAGAATGTGCCATCACCATTATAGACCTGCAGCCCCCTGGCACCACGCATGTAGTGCCGGGTGGAATCACCTTCTTACAGGTCGATGTCACCAACTTAAATGAAGTCCGCAGAGCCTTTGAGCAGGCCAAACCGGACCTCGTCATCCACACAGCAGGCGTCGTTCCGCCGCTCAGCGAGCGCTTCGGACGAAGACTGGAAAAACATGCTTGGAGGGTTAATGTCCAAGGGACAAGGAATATGCTGGATGCGTCCAAAGAGGCCAACGCAGAGGGTTTCATCTACACTAGCAGCTGCTGCGTGGTGGTTGATTGCCTGGGTTTTCCATACCACAACATCGACGAGCGATGGCCCATCCCCGCTTCCTCCCTCATCTACGGCGAATCCAAGGTTGGCATTTCTCCAAAACCTGTCACCCTATCATTTAATGACGAACACGGAACAAATCCTTTAGGCTGCCGCAGAAGCAATGGTTCTCCAGGAGTCAAGCGGCACGATGGCCACCTGTTCGCTCCGTCCATCCGTCCTGTGCGGGCCTGGTGACTATCAGTTGCTGCCTTCGATCCATGCATGCATCGCCAAGTACGAGACCTTTTTTGTCATTGGGAATGGCTCAAATCTATGGGACGTGACGTATGTCACCAATGTCGCGGATGCTCATGTCCTGGCAGCCCAGAACCTGATGTCGTCGAAAACCGCCGCCGGTGAGGCTTTCTTCATCCAGAACAACGAGCCCATCACCTTTCGGGACTTTTGCCTGGCGATATGGGCTCACTTTGGGCACACGCCGCCCTTTGAGGTCCACATCCCCATGTTCCTGCTGTACCTGGTTGGTTGGCTGTGTGAATGGCTGACCTGGTTCTTCGGCACGTCGACGAGTCTGAGCCGCGGCAGTGTCCGCGATGCATGCTCGATCCGGTACGCCAGCGGCGAAAAGGCGAGACGGATACTAGGCTACCAGGCTCGTGTTGGAATCGACGAAGGCATTCGGTTAAGCTGTGAGGTAAGTTCATGTCCAGTGATGCTGGCCCTTCTGTCGTTTTCCTCTTGGGCAAACAGCTCTGTTGACCTGTCCGGTCCAGGATTATGCCCGTCGCATGGGAGTAGAGCTCCCTCCAAAGGCAACACGCCCGAAAGAGGAATGATGTTGGGATAACCAAGGCTGCTGAGAACTCGTCATGCACCGATATCGTCGTTCGTCCGTCTAACGAATGGGTTACACTGCCACGGCATCGTGAACGGTCTTGTGCCCATGTCGATGACGGATCATCCTCAGCGTCGAATCCGCTATCCGCTGTCCCATCGTTGCACTGCCCAATGGGCTGAAACAACTTACGCCATATTCTTTGTCCTATGTTACACTGGTTCAGTTACGACTGTGTTTGCTTATCCAGGCGCCCATCACGGGATTATCAGGTAACAATATCGCTGATATGGGATGTCCCAAGTTCCAACATTCTTGCGATACAGATCTGTACTCTGGAGTGGATCAGTGGTGACTAAGTAAATGTTTAAGATTTATTTATTTATTTGTATCTCGCTTCTAGTGTGCTCTCTGTTCCGTTCTTTCCGATCTCGAATCATCGATGGGCGTCTGACAACTCCAGCACGACCGATTGATTGTTTGACAACCCGTGCGGCCAGCGATCGGAAATCGCATTCCAATCCATAGGAACGGATACCCACACCAATGGTAAATATGGGTAGAGTCCCTCTTACAGCAATCAAAATAATCCCGCACATACAGATCTATGGATCCGGGCAGAACCGACAATTGAATTGTGGGTCTTCCATGTTGGAGACCTTTCCCGGAACCCTCTTGGAGCACTGCTCATTGCGAGAAATGGACAGGGAAGACTGGCTGATACTGACCAGCCCGCAGTTTGGGCAACAAGACCTGCAGTGACGTGTATGCCCAACATGTCCAGAGCGGCCAATTTGCCAGCCGGGGGTCGTAGATCCATGCTCTCCACAGTCGCGAAAATCGGAGTCAGGCCGCCATCAGCTCTCTGCAACCTCTCTCTCTTCGAAACGCTGGGGGCTAAATGACTACAGCACAAGCTCACAAGCCTGTGAAAGGTGAAAGATCTGGAGGATTATAGCGGGTGGTCATGATGAGAATAGGCTTGCCCAGGCCAAGCTAGACCAGCCGGGGATCAACATGGAGGTTGGAAGTTTCCCCACCTAGCCTAGCTTGGGGCCGTGGGATAGTAGACGAAGAAGGTTGGAGCGATGAGCTGTCAGTCGAAAATCCAAGTCGAGGGATGCGGTGGCGGCGAGGTTTTCTGAGAAATTGATTACTAGATGCTTGGTAGAAGAAGCGCTAGTCGAGACGGGAGGAGCATTATCGTCCTGAGGAATCAGGCCAATGCCTGCATCACTGACCCGATCAGGATCGGCTTTCATCCTCCGTCCAGAATTCTCCACTTTTCCCTTTCTCTCTCCACTCTCCATCTCTCCTCTCTCTCTCTCCAGAGTCCAGAGGGTCTTCGGCCATCTTTCTTCATCCTTCCAGGGCTCCCCCGTCTCTCAGCAATGGATTCCTCTTCGGGCGTCGGTGGAGAAGCACCATTACTATTACAAAACTCAAAATTAGAAGCGTCCTGCGTTGTCATTCACTGACCAGCAACTCCGAAGGGAGCCAAGCCATGGAGCGACAGCCTGTCGCCCTGCCTAGTGGATACTCATGCCCGCCCTGCTGAAATCCTGAGATTGCTGCCCAAAACCCTATGCATCTGTCATGGATTCTGTCTTTCAATCCTCTTGGAAATTTTACCCCCCATCGTGAGGTCCTAGTTTCTTTTCGGGGTACGATCATCACGCCAGAATTAGCCACGTTTGGTCCTTAGTTGATGTTCTCGACTCTCCTTCCGGGTTCACCCATGGGGAAGACCCTCCCAAGAAGCAGTGTAGCCAATCCGCTTGATGGAGTAATGTGAGACAGAAGACGGGCTGGATGGCTGGACCATGGCGCGCAGTCCTGGTTCTTACATGCCCTACTATAACGAGGGTTATCCGTCATCTTCATTGTTGCTAAGACCTTGGATCCAATCTATCGCATCGGACCCTTGTCATGGAAAAGAAAAAATGAGAAAAACAAGGGGGGTGGGGAAAGCCGATCTAATTCTCGATTGGCATCCTGGTTATACCGATGGTCGTATATCGTCGTCAACTCACTTATGCTTCGGATAATTCTCGTCGAAGAATAGGAACGGATGTCCGATTGCTTCCTTGCCGCTGTCTTGACCACTGATGTCGGGTCCTTAATGCCCTGCCTGCCGTCTCCTCCTCATCCTCGTGGGACTGACAGACTGCTGAGCTTATCTTGCGCTCTCACGATTGGGCGCTCATCCTCTTACCTTATTATTCATCTTTAAATCGGACTATTCAATAGCGGCATTCCAGACTGCAGTGAGGCGCCGTCTTGGAAGGCCTCTCTGCCTTGCCTGTCCAGAACATCCATATAATAATCATATCGAACCCTCTTCCCCCCGTTTCACTTCCTGTCATTCAATTATCTCCTCCCTTGTCTTGCTCCAACCGGCCTTCTGTACCTGTAGCATGCCACCGGTTGCATCGCCTCCCTTGGTCCCGATGTCGTCGAGCTACAGTTATTTCTCTGGAACGTCAGGCAGTGGCTCCTATACAACTTCCCTCGGCAGTGAATCGGATTCTTGGTCTCGCCATAGGTTAGCTTTAGCGGGCATCCATCTTTCCTCCTCTCCCCACCTTGTTCTACCTTAGCGTCCGTCGAGAGAGGCTCACGTCTCGCAGTGGCCCCATACCCCAACACCCCCAAGTCTACACGAATTCCGGCGATGCTTCTGTGGCCTATAACCCAAGGTACCCAATCATCTCGCGTCGCTCGCCTCTGTTGCCCCTCTCTGCAAATGCGCCTTATCATACTGAGAACTTCGGCGTCGTTCTATCTAGCTCAAAGAGATTATCCCCTCCACATCGTGACTGTGGTCCTATAGACACTTCGATTGCCGCATCGAGGCCTGCGAAGCAAGTCTCACCCGACTTTGAATTCCCAACTCCGTACAATGGCCTCCCGATGACGTCGCATGCGCCGGGCAATATATCCATCACTCCCGCCGGTCCTTTTTCACGTCCCCCTTCTCTCTACCGAGAATGGAAGCACCCGGCTTGCCTCCCGCCAGAGGCTCTCCAGCGAGAGACCGAACTGGTCAGACCGGTGGAGAATGCGGATTATTTGGTAGAGCGACCCAGTCGGCGGACCGCTTCTAAGGGCAGTGCGCGATACCACTCGCAAAGACGCCCGTCGAACCGGGATGAATTTGATGGCCCCCATCAGTACCTAGAGATGCCGTCTCAGCGCATGATATTGGCGCAGGCAAGGGATCTGCCTCATCTTCCTACTAATCTTGATATCTCAGAGCAAGATCAAATTTTATCGACAGTGAATGACCGCCTGTCGCAATGCGCATTTGACTTTGTCGCGAAGTATCGGTTTCCGATTCCACTGGAACCGGACAAGAGACAGGTGAGAGTTCCCTCAGATCGTGAGTGGACTGAATGGGTATATCTCTTGAAAAGGCTGGCCACCAAGCGCCGCATCCCTGCCAGGGTCTTGTATAACGGCCAGATCAAGCAACTCGTCACCGTGCTGGAGAACTCCCTGGAGATGAGGCATGCTGCCAAACATCAGTCCAGACCCATCAAGGATGATCGGAATGTGCTGCAGTTGATTTCCGCTGGCACCCAGGTGGCCAAGATCCTGAAGGATGCCAATACCATGGACTCCCTTGATCGTCTCTATGTTGAAACCGAGAAGCGCATCCAGGACCGACGTAACCGCCGTGTGAAATTTGCCAGCCCTTGAGCAAATGTTGGTCTCCACCCAGTCTCCGCGTTTTTGTGCCTACGATGTCTTTTCGTATACTGGCCCTTTTACCCTCCGCCACGGACCTAGTTTTCTTGAAAGCCACCGTGTTTACCCCCATCCCACGGTCCCGCGGGATTTAATTTTTACCTAGTGGATGCCATGCTCAGGAATGACCTGGCTCTGGAACTTCTATTTTTTTGTCCTTGGATTTCCCAACTCCATGGCTTCCCATTTGGTTGGATCTAGGCCTCCCTCTCGGGCCTCCATGGATAAGGGTAGCCGCCTTTTGCCCCGGATGTGGATCCAGCCTTTCTGCTTCAGCCCCTGCTAGTCCCCGATGTTCCCCACTGGCCATTCGAATGATGAAGCTATAGAGATTCGATGCCATCGACTAATGGTGGTCGATTGACGTGCACTTTATGATTATGATTATCACCTTCAGCCCTATCTACGATACCGTCTGGTCCCTACCCCGTTGTTGGTTTATATTTTCCACTTTTCTTTCAATACTTAGTGGAGGGCGTGCTACTTGAGTAACTTTGTGGTTCTTTTTTCTTCTAGTTTTGCGATGATAGCCAAACGGCCCCTGTTGTTATGTACAATCCTGACCAAATGACCAACATGGTAGCCCTTGCTATCCCTTGTGTCAATATTAGTTGGTGACCTGGATGGATTTTGAGACTTCATGTGATTTTACTCTTATGCTGTTATACCCGATTGTTATACGTTCAGGGTCGTGACTATTGGAATCTGATTTATGTTTCTGTTGGTTGGGATCTGTTGTCAGACATTTGTACAAGGGAAAACATGAAAGGAGGAGCGTCGTTGGGCATCAACAGCAATCACCCTTAAGGTGCAATTGCAATTGATGGATGGAAACTCACACCTTGATGCCTAGTACTGGTTGTGGTTAGGGGGGGGGTTGTTTTCGTGGTTGCCATATGTTAGGGCAGGCCGAAACACAGATGTTCACGGAGTTTCCTCTGATCTCCAGCTTCCAGGAATTGGTGATACCAGCTACACCGTGCTGCTCACTAACGTCAGCTCTAACGGCAGGTAGTGTTAAAAGAAACTTTTTGCAATGATAAAATACTGAGACTGTGTTAAGCCAGAGCCACTGCCAATGACAGATGACTGCCTCCAACAGAGCTGGCTTTATCCGCTACTACCGGACCTTGTCAACCTTTTGGAGGACCTGACTCACATTTGTTGACCTTGGAGCCTACCACTGTCTGGAACTAATGCGCGGTTTGATCTTTATGGGTTACTCCTGCATAGGCCTTGCATACTATGTGCAGTATCACAGAGGGCCCCCGCAGGAGAGGAGCGCAGGTGCGTACGGTCAGATGTGTCCATTATATTATTAGACGATGTTGGATCATCAGCATAGTGTATCTCCCTTTGATCCTTTACTCATAACCTTGTCATCTTCAGACTAATCATTAGTCGTTTGATATGATATTCGGGATATCAAATTGAATACAATGAATCCCGATCAGGAAAGGCGCCGTATCGGCCGATCGGGTCAGGGCGGGGCCTAAATTGCCTTGAAAAGCTTAGCGCCGAGCGGTGTTCCAGCCGAACAGCCGATCCAGCCAATGAGAATCCGGGAAAACCATCAGCCCCTCGCGCCTCCGCAGCTTATCAGCACGTGATGCGGATTGATGCCCGAGGCCACAAACAAGAGATCGAGTGCGACTCATCGCCTCCTTCTTCTCGACCTTTTACTACCGTGAACTCCTCGCATTTGAAGAAAGGCGCACACGGCGAGCAAGCGGGTGAATGGGATGGCGATAGCTAAAAACCCCACAGAGACATCCCCGTTGCTGGGATCCCAACGCAACGGCAATGCGACCCTTGATCCTGCCTCGACCGGCGCCATCTGCAACTCGGACCCCGAGGCACCGTGCCCGGTAGATGGGGAGGGGACGACGCCAGACAATGAGGTCGATGATCACAGGAACAAACTCAGATACATTATCCCCGCGATATCGATTGGTGTATGGACTCAATTTGCTCTATTAGGGCCCCTCTTTCGGCTACAAACTGACACAATTGCCCCAGGTCTTTTTGTCCGCGGCGGACCAGACGATCATCGTCGCCAGTTATGGGCAGATTGGCAGCGACCTTGAGGCTCTCAACCTGACCAGCTGGATTGCGACGTCGTATTTCCTGACGCTGACTTCGTTTCAGCCGCTGTACGGCAAGCTGAGCGATATCTTTGGCCGCAAGGGTTGTTTGTTGTCGGCTTATGCTATTTTCGGCGTGGGCTGTTTGTGCTGCGGCCTCGCGCAGGATATTTACCAACTCATTGCTGCCCGTGTATGCACTGCTGAGCAAGAGTCTTGTTGTTCCTGTGGAGAAACGCTGACGCGATCTGTGTTCTAGGTTTTTCAAGGTATTGGTGGCGGCGGCATGACGACTGTTGTCAGTATTCTTATGAGTGACATCGTCCCTCTTCGCGAACGGGGTGTCTGGCAGGGTGTTATTAACATCATCTTCGCGACTGGTTCGGGGGTTGGTGCACCGCTCGGTGAGTACATACGCACTAATCATTTTCATTCGTCCTTGTACTGATTGGAGAAGGTGGAATCCTGGCCGATTTCGTTGGCTGGCGATGGTAAGACAGTCCTATGATGTTTCTAGCTAGTCTGAAGATGACGCCTTCTCTAACATATATCACAGGGCATTCCTTGCGCAGGTGCCACTTTGCATCCTCGCTTTTATAGCTGTCACGGTGATGCTGGAACTGCCTCCCCGTGAAGACAGTCACTGGAAAGACAAGCTTCGTCGCATTGACTTCCCCGGCGCTATTGTGCTTGTTGGCGCCGTCCTGGGCTTTCTTGTCGGCCTCGACCGGGGAAGCAATGTATCCTGGTCGATGCCAACAACTATCGTTTCTCTTAGCGTCTCCGCCGTTCTTTTTGTGCTGTTCATTGTTGTTGAGGTCTTCTACGCGGCAGAGCCATTCGCCCCCGGTCATATCATCTTCGACCGGGCCTTCGTTTCCAGCTACGCCTGTAACTTTTTCAGCTTTGGCGGTTGGCTTGCTGCCCTCTTTTACATTCCATTGTATTTCCAGGCCGTCGATGGCGTGTCTGCCACTGTTGCAGGCTTACGTCTCCTCCCAAGCATCTTCGCCGGCGTTTCTGGGTCGCTTTTTGCCGGATTCCTGATGAAGTGGACTGGCAAATTCTACTGGCTGACAATCATTGCCTACGCTCTCCTCACCATGGGAATGTCCATCATCTTCCTTTCCTCCGGGGCCGCTCAGGAAAGTCTGGTGTGGATGATCATGGGAATGGTCTTCTCGGGCTTTGGAAATGGCATCGGCGTTACATCGACCTTGATCTCTCTCAGTGAGTCCTCATTGACATGTGGCTATGCGCTTGCTTTCTCACACATACTTACCCCTGCAGTCTCGAACTCAACACCCGAAGACCAGGCCGTGGTGACCGCCTGCTCATACCTCTTCCGATCCCTAGGCTCTGTCATCGGTCTCTCCCTGTCGTCCACCGTGGTCCAACAGGCTCTTCGGACCCGGCTGCGCTCTGCGTTACGCGACAGCAAGGACGTCGATCAGATTGTTGATGGGGTGCGGCAAAGTCTCGATTATATTAGAACCCTCGATCCGGCCGTCGCAAGAATCGTCCGCGACTGCTACGGGTGGGCAACGAACAAGGGCTTTGCGTTCTTGTTTTTCGTTGTCTTCTTTGCTTTCTTTAGTAGTTTCTTCATCCGTGAGAAGAAGTTGTCGCGTTGAACAGGACACTAAACAGGTTGCATAGGGGTTTTTCTTATCTTTTTATTTTATTTTTTGTGCTGAGATTGGACGAAGGCGATTCAATACAGCATAAAAGTATAGAGTATTTAAAATAGCTGTTCGTGAGGAACCTGGGTATTGATGATCAAGGGTGCTGCTCTACTGGATTTGGACAGACTCAGATATATAAATACCGTGGGAGCAGTACTCAGTGGAGAAAAGTATGTTTCAAATCATGACTTGTCCATAGCTTGAATTCAAAACTATCGCTTTTTCATTGAGACTATATTACGACCATGAGTTACTCTAATCTGAATGTTCTATAAAATTTTTGATTGCTTTTATAGAGGTGATTGAGTAATGGTAAGCTACTGTTCGAGACGAAGGCGGTCTCCAGTCTGTCCGCCTTTTATCCCCGGACTTTGATTTCGCATCGATCCACCCAATTCACCAACCACAACTTCAGCTCTTGTCCACATCTCAGACTTGCAATTCCACTCCAGGGCTCTCTTCTCCTATTGAAACATCTCTCCTACCTCCTCATGCACCCTCAATTATAAGGATGTCATTTCCCTAGCCATCGCAGTTCATTGCACCGCTATGTCGGAATCTCAAGCTCGGCCGGCCTTGTCGCGGTATCGCCCTCTTGCCTACCTCCTGACCGGCGCCGCTGCCGCCTATGCGATCGTCTACATCCACAACTACATCCTTTCTCCCTCATCCCAACCCGGTCTTCGTCGCCGCAGAGCTCTTCGCCGCCGCAGACGGAATGAGCCCGACCACCCAGAAGTGACCGACACGCCGTCGTCACTAGCGATCGCGCACCTCGAGCAGCTAGAACGCCAGAACGGAGTCTACGGCACATTCCGCATAGAGACCGAAGATGGCCGGCGTGTGGAAAGCGGTCTTCTTCCGTCGCTGCTGGCGACGCGGGACCAGCTTATGGAGGAGGTCGGCGTCCCGCCCGCCCACGCCGAACGTATGCGGGAGATGATGGAAGACACCTTCCTCGAATCTTTCCTGGCTCTGGACTTCCCGCCGACTCATACCCTGGAGGAGTCTAGCGACGAGCGAAACTACCTGATGGAGCAGCTACAGCGGCGGGGGATCTCGCATGCGGGTATCGAGCGGGCGCTGGCTCGGTTCAATGAGGATAGCAACTACGGAGAGGAACTGCGACGTCGTCGGCAGAACGGCGAGAGAGTCACCTTGTCGGCGTCGACGTTCCCGGATGAGTCGCAGCCGGCGCAGAACATGGACGGCGCTGAGACGGTCGTGGATGATCAAAGTGTGCTTTCCTGGCGCGATGGCAATAACGATGACTCGCCGACACGCGAAGGGCAGAATCTGCTTAATCTGCTATACCACATCGCGGAGGATCAGTCGAGGAGAGACGGGTACATTCACCGCGGAGTGACGTGCAACAGCTGCGGGGCGATGCCCATCCAGGGGATTCGGTATCGGTGTGCCAACTGCATTGATTACGATCTGTGCGAGACTTGTGAGGCAATGCAGGTGCATATCAAAACGCACCTGTTTTACAAGGTCCGCATCCCGGCCCCCTTCCTCGGAAGCCCCCGGCAATCCCAACCGGCGTGGTATCCTGGAAAGCCGGCTATGCTCCCGCGCAGTCTGCCCCGGTCTCTGGCCAAACGCTTGATGAAGGAGTCTGCTTTTGAGAACACGGAGCTGGATGCCCTCTGGGATCAGTTCCGATGCCTGGCCAACCACGAGTGGGCCGACGACCCGAATAAACTCTACATGGCGATTGACCGGAAAACATTCGACCGGTGCTTTGTTCCCAACACCTCCATCCGCCCTCCGCCGCCCAGTTTGATCTACGATCGCATGTTTGCGTTCTACGATACCAATAGCGATGGGCTGATTGGGTTCGAGGAATTCCTCAAGGGTCTTGCAAGCTTGAACAACAAAAGTAATGACGAACGGTTACGCCGCGTTTTCCGGGGCTATGATATTGATGGCGACGGTTATGTCGAGCGGAAGGATTTCTTACGGGTGTTCCGTGCGTTCTACACGCTTAGCAGAGAGCTGACGAGAGACATGGTCGCTGGTATGGAGGATGACTTCCTGGAGGGAGGTGCGCGAGATGTGGTCCTGGGAAGTCAGCCCATCAGCTCTGCGTTCCCCGGCAGCATCCCTTCTGGGGAGCCGTCAAGAGCCGGAGAGGGCAAGCGAATGACGCAGGATGGTGATATGGAGCTCGTCGATAACGAGGGTATATTACGGCCAGATGGGACCGACACTGGTGACCGCCATACTGTCATTGGGGACGCCGCTGTCCGGAGTCAGTTTGGCACTTCGCGCCCGATTTTCCCACGTCTAAGCTCTCCGCCTCGCGACACGGCCGTTGAACAGTCAACTCTGGAGCCCCACGGAGCTAGTTTTTCTGATGCCCATGACGATGGAAGTAGCGATGGCACCTCTACTTCGTCTGCCGTCCCCAACCATTGGCCCGGCGCCGAACATATCCGGAATGAAGACGTGGTGGCTGCTCTTGGTGCCTACGTTCCCCTTCAAGAGATTACGGATCCTGTGGACCGGGCCCGCGTGAGGTCCGTCGTGTTTAACCGAATGTTCGAAGAAGAGCAGAGACAGGCGGACGAGCTTCGCCGGCAGGGTATCGATGAACGGTGGCGGCGACGGTCGTTCTACACCGACGAGGAGGACGGCGGCGATGCCCCCGAGAATTACCGCAGTGATTCAAGTGCCGATGACCTGTCGGATGATAATGACGATGGCGAAGAAGAAGACGAAGATCACGATAGTGATGAAGTCGTCTCCCACGACGACCACTCGCAGGATTACGAATCCCACCCGCCGTCTCCCCGTTCCCGGTCCTCGTCCAAGGTGCGATTCCAGGACGATCTCACAGACGACTACGACGTGCGGTCCAACCCGTCCACGTCATCGCGAAGCATCCTAGTCGGAGAGCGATGGGGCGGGTTCGAAGTCCCGGAGGTCGAAAAGGACGTTGGAAAGGAGATCTTGTACCAGGTCACACAGCAAGGGTTCAACGAGCTGCTTGATATCCTGTTCAAGCCCAAGGAAGACCTGCTCATGGAGGTCCGCCGCACGCGCGCCGAGCGCAAGATTTGGGCCCACGAGATCGAGCTGGCGGAACAGGTGGACCCCCGCAATCGTTCGTCGCGTGAACAGATCGACGGACTGGATGACGACCAGCCCAAGAGGAGCACCTACACCGAAAGGCCTTTAGGGGAGCTTCTCGACCGCGCCGGATATGCTATCCGCAGTCCTTCCCCCTCTGGAGAGCTCTCCACTACAGGTCCTATCCTCGACCCTCCGTCACCCCGGATACGGGCTTCCTCTGATGACGACGACGTCAGGCCCACGCACCTTGCGCATCCAGACGGCGAAGACGAAGACGAAGAGGAAGACGACGAAGACGACGGCCAGCCTGAAATCCTAGCGCCAGTCCCCCTCTCCGCCCGACCTCGCATAATCACAGAAGACAACCGTCCAGTCTCCCCCTCCTCCGAATCCGACTACTACGACCCGACCCTTCCTCACCACCGTCCCAACGACGAAACACCAGCAGGAGAGCAAACCACCAACCTCCTCCCCCAATCCTACTCCCCATCAACATCCCCCTCAAACCCCACCGACCTCCCCCGCACCCTCCCACCAAACCTCACCCTCCAACCAACAGCAGGAACAACCTCCTTCCCCGCCCCATCCACCACCTCCCCCATTCCCCCGTCCTCCCCAGAAGCCGAAGCCACCGCCCCAAAACTCTCCCCCTCCCCCATCCAAGCCCTCCCCTCATCCACCACTGCCTCCCTGCCCCCCAACGGGGCAGGGGCCAGTCTTCCCCCAAGCCCACTCACCCTCTCGCGATGGGCCTACCTCAACCACGTCGAGCGCGAGGCCAAAGCCCGCGGTGGCGCAGGCGCGAAGCTCAACTTTGAGGAGTTTTCGCGCCGGATGGCTGCTGATAGGGGACGGCGGTTGGCGTTTGTGGCTAGTTGGATTGAGATGGCTAGTTTTTAATAGAGCTCTTGTGGATGGACCGTGGTGTGGGTTGGGCGCGGTTGGTGGATCTTTGATGAAACGAAAAAATTCTTTTTATTGTTCCGGCGGAGATACCAGAGAGAATAAGGAATGATGATCACTCTACTCTTTACCGGTTGATCTTGTGGTAGATCTTTATCTAGAGCTGTACCTGCTCTTCGTATATAATGGTACTGAGGATACCTACACCCTATACACATGTGCTCCTACCATGCATGTGATCATTTCGTTTATCGAATTGATTGATTGATCCGACCTCTGAGAGAAAGATTGGTTGGGAATCTAGTAGTATATACATTGATCACGAATGACAAATCAAATCAACCAAACAAAACAGAAGAAAAACACACCCGGGATGCTCCAATTAACATAGCATACCAAAAAAAAAAAAAAAAGGAATCAAATAGAACAAAACCCCGAGGAAAAGCGGGATCGAAAAAAGCGTGATCAATCCCAATACCTGATCAACCCATCCAACCCACCGCTCGCAACCTTGCTCGTCTCCTGCGGATGCCAATCGAGACAAGTAACAGCGCCGCCCTCCTTCCCGCCCGCCATAATCTTATGATACATCTTGCCCGTCTTCCAGTCCCAGAAGCAGAGGTAGCCGCCGCTATCGCCGGACGTGACGAACTGCCCGTCGGGGGAGATCTTCACGTCGATGGCGTAGCCGGCGTTGTTGTGGCCGCGGTAGCTCTTCTTGCGGTTCTGGCGGAACTTGTCCGTCGCGCCGTACACGACGATCTGGTTGTCGCCGCTTTGGAAGGCGACGTATTTCCCGTTGGGGTGGGTGGCGGCGCGTGTGAGGGCGAACATGTAGGGTTCGGCGATGAATTTGATGGGGACGGGGATGCCGTATTCCCAAGCGCGCAGGGACTTGTCGTCGGAGGTGGAGATGAAGCGCCGGTTGCGGTCGACGAAGGTGATGGTGTTGATTGCTGCGAGATGGTGGTCGTATTCCTGGACGAGCTCGCCGGAGCGTGTGTCGAATTGGACGATCTTTTTGTCCGACATGCCGGCTAGGAACTCGTGCGAGTGTTCCGGGCTGGGGTTGAAGCGCACGACGTGCGGTGTCTTGCCGGTGGAGAAGCGGTTGATGCATTTGCCGTACTCGGTGTCCCAGAGCTTCATTTGACGGTCGTAGGAGGCTGTGAGGAAGGTGGAGCCTGTGGGGTGGAAGTCCGTGTCTGTGATGGCCTTGGAGTGGCCGGAGAAGGTGCGCAGCAGCTCGCGCGAGTGGAACGCGTCCCAGATCTTGGCCTTGCAGTCCGCCGACGCGGAGAGCAGCAGGTGGCCCGAGTTGGGGATGAAGCGCAGCGACGTGATGGGTTTCGTGTGCGACTTGTACGTGTGCACAAGCTTCTTGGGGATGTAGTTCTTGGCGCTGCCGGGTTCCTTCCGCAGGTCGATGTCCAGATCCTGCGGGACGTGCATGTACGTGCGGCCCATGTAGTCGAGCTGCTCGGACCCGTGGAATTCGGTCGATTCCACCTTGGACGAGTCGTCCTGGTAGTCCGTCGCCTCCTTGCTCATGGCCGGCATGGGCGCAGTGGCGAGGTCTTCTTCCACGAATTCCTCGTCGCTGGCGAGCTCTCGATTCGCCAGCGCCGCCTCCTCCTCGTAGACGTGGTCGTCATCCTTGTATTTCGCCCACGGGCCCAGATACGCGCCCTCGCCTTCCACGATGCTGGAATCGCCCTTCCGTTGCCGCTTGGCGCGCAGAGCCGCCGAGACCTCCTTCGACGGCTTCATCTGCACGACGTCCCGGCCCCCGTATTGAGCCGCTTGCTCCAGATCCCCGACAAACTGGCCCGGGAGGGTCGGGTTGCGAGTGTAGCCTAGACTTTGGAAGGTGCGGTGCTGTGCCGCGAACGTGGCTTCGCTCATGGCCGCTTCCTCGGCGAATCCGGTTGGTACGTTCTTGCGCTTGAGACCGCTCGCTGGTCCTTCGGGTTTGAAAGGGTTCGACGGGCCCTGCGACGGACGGGACAGATCATCGTACGTTGCGTTGTAGGTGAGGGCGCCGGACGACGTGTTGGCGAGCATCATCTGCATGTGTGCTTGATCCTGTGGAGCTGTTAGTACCGTCGACAGAGCTCCTTCGATCGTGACATGGGTATCCCCAGCGCCATATCAATCCACCAGGGAATGGCAGTATAGTAGAAAGGTCAATTTGAATGGGGGACCAAACCTCTGTATTTACTTCGGGCGCCGCAACGACCTTGGTCGCCGCGGGCGCCTGTGCCTGGTGGGTCTCATCGTCGCTGGATTCATAGGCAGCGCCTAGTAAGGAGGCCATCGTGGTCAATCCTCCGCCGACTGACGAATAATCTGTGTAAATGAAAGTAGAGAAAATAAGGAAGGGAATGAGTGATGGCGACGGCGAGAGTTGAAAGGATGAAGCAACGTCGGAGTCGCGAATTTTACGGGCGGCGGAACAACCCCCCCGCGAACATTCCGCCTCAGGCACCCTGCATATTACGTCTTCAAGTCAAAGATGCCAACAACGGTACCTGAATCTTCTATTTCAACGAGAGTTCGAGGGTATCGTACGCTCATCATTGTCGCACCGCTAGTGTGGTATATACAGCATTACTTAAGACATTAACATGAGAAAGAAAAAGAAAAAAGAAAAAAAAAGAAAAAAAAAGAAAAGGCACTTGAATCCAGCACACGCATACAAAAAAATCAAATCCCCATAATCCTCCCGCTTCATCATGAGACCATACATCCTCCCCATTCCCATATCTTGCACGTATATCATCTCCCCCTTTATCGCACACGTCATCAATACTCGTTCGCCGACCAACATCCGACCGCGGGTCTGTTCAGTCCACGCTGCATTGATCGACTGCAGTCGCGAGGAGGGCACCCCCGGGGCGAAATGCGAACGGATGGAATCATCAGGTCGAGGATGCGGCGCTGGAAATGGATACAGAGAGAGCCTTCATCTACCGAACCCTCCACCGATACACGCAACGCTTCATCCCGGACCGCCGTAGCGCATCGCAAACTCCGTCTTTCCCCGCAGTCAGTTGGACTCATCGCGGATCAGGGCCACAATCATGCTGTAGAGGTAGAAGAAGAACATCAAGAGGTGGAAGCCGAGCTTGATAAAAGATTCCTGTAGATTCTCGCGTCAGTGGACCGATCTCCCGACGCAGGGGATGGCGTAAATGTAAATGACGGACCTTCTTGTGCACATTCAGCTTGCGGAAGATCTCAGTGGCATCCAACAGGTGCTGGTTCTCGTAAATCCTAGTCGAGCGGACGTTGGTTAGCTGGGAAGCTCGGGGCCCGAGAGCTCTCGGAATCGAAGGACGCACTTCTTGGCATTGAACGCCAACAGAGGCAGATTCAGCGCGATCGCCAGCCAGTAGCCATTGATCACAAAGAGGAAGGTCAGGAAGGCATGGACGGCAGCTTCAGGGATAATATAGGCGTTGAGGCGGTTGCAGAGGTCGATGGGGTTGATGTAGTCGCTGTAGCAAGAAAAAAAAACCAGATTAGCTCATGGTGTCGCAATCGCGAGTGGACGGAGGTTCGGCCAGTCCAACCACCACCCCGGAACTTCACACCGCACGAAAACCGGTGGATACAAAAGGAGCTACCCCAGAGAGAAAAGGAGGTGGAAACATACCATTCCAAATCACTGTACATAATAGTAAAGAAGACCTGCAAAAACAGGTTGACGGCGTTGATCAACACCGCCAGCAGGTAGAGCCAGGCCTCGCCAGACATGTTGGGTAGAATCAAGCGGTTGTGCGCGACTGACTCGGAGGGAAAGAGAAAAAAATATGAAAGATCAGACAAAGATCAAAGGAGGACAATCAAAGAGGTAATAAGATCCAGTGGAGAGGAAGAGTACTGGAGGGAGGATAGTGAGGGTAATGGGGGGGGAAGAAGCGGGAGAAGAGGAGAATGAGGTGGAGGGAGAGAAGAAGAACAGGTGAGGTGAGAGAGAGAGAGAGAGTTGAGGTGAGTGGATGACGGCTCGTTGGAGGACTGGGAGCCTGAGGGGAGAGGGACCCGCCTGAGGCACCCGCCGGGCGGTGAGAGCCGGGAGCTTATATAGCTTCGACTCTGGGGGGATCCACTGTTCACCATGATCTTGATATTGATCATTTATTGTATATTCAATATGATATGTATGTGGATGAGGGTCTATTCTATACGGTTGTTGCAGTAGATTATTCATCTGGCATGTTTTCCAGTGTCAGGATGATGTGGTGATATGCTAAAGTAGGGCACACTCGACGGTCTACTACGGAACTACATAGTAATACAGCTTCCATCAGTAGCACACTGCCATGGTCGTTCACGTCAGGCCATATGTACATTCAAAGCCAACGTTCGAGACCAAAGATAATAATCACAATTAACACAAAAACCCGAGGGGGACATAGCTCCCTGTTCCCATAACTAGCATCCTAGAACATTAACTCGTGTCGACTTCCATCCCAAGGAAAAAAACGAATAAGATAGAAGAAAGATGATAAACAGACAACGCAAACCGGCAGGTGGTCAACACAAAAATTGCGCCAGATTCACCGCTTCTCAACCAACAGCACATGCATCGCTGCATATGCGATCACAACGAATGCCCCCGAGATCACCGCCAGTCCGATCACGTCCGTCCACAGCGCCGCCGTGTCAAAGCCGAACGCACTCAGGATCGATGCTCCCGGCACCTCAATATCCAGGCCGTATTTGTGGTCGATCAGCGTCAAGAATGTCACTTCGTTGACGATCAAGGCCTCGAATCCATAGTGGAAGATGGACAACTAAGACCGCGTTTAGCTCGGGGATCCTTCATCCAAGAACGTGGGGGAAACTTACCGTTTGGAGCCACAAGGCGGACTTGGGAATAGCATCGTGATTGAGTAACAGACCAGCAAACAGCAGACTGAACAGCATCACAAGGCTCCCGATCAAGTTGGCCACCCCACCATCGCGGAACACAATCCCGATGAACAGACAGATATTGGCCGCCGCCATGTTGAAGAGAACGAGAACTAAGATGAACCGGAGGAACTCTGGCCACGCCGGAATCAACCCGGTCATGGGATACACGATCACCCCCATGATCACCGGGGGCAGGAGCCGGAGCGGCACAACGTCAAATACCACCTTCGCCGCAAAGTACGTGATCGGGTGATAGTACCCGTTGGCCCGCTCCCGAACAAACAAGAGTCGCTCCGTCGAGAACACCGTGAGGCTGGTGAGCGTACTGAACCCAAACAGAGCCAAAATGAAGAAGAAGAGGCCCAGCCGGTTCTGGAAGCCCTTGATGTCATCGGTCAGTCCGTAGAAGAGGTACCCGCACAACACCGCCAGGAGGATGGAAATAGCATAGTGGGTGAGCATCAGCATGGGGTTCCGGTACAGGTTCCGCCAGGTCCGCTGGGACAGGATCAGGAATTGCCGGGCCAGACCGATCCGGGCGTAGGTCTTCGGGGTGCCGGTCGGGGCTGAGAAAATCTCCGCGTTGGCCGACCCGTTGGCTGCACGCGCACTTTGAACGGAAGAAACAATTTCGTCATGCACGGCGCGGGCAACATCCGACGTCGAGTAATTGGTCACCAGGATATCGAGGTCGGTATGGCCGGGGGCGGCCAGGGGCACTTCATCGGGGTCGTCGAGGATCTGCGGCGGAACATTGGCGGACTGGCGGGAGAGACGAAGCCACTGCTGGGGGTTTTGAGCTTCAACACGAGCGTCTTCGTCGTCGGTCTTAGGAGTGGACGGGGGCTCCGAAGAATCCTTCTTCCGCGAGTAAAGTTGTTTATCCTGTCGCTGCTTCAAAGAGACACGGCGTTGACTCTTCGGTCGCCGGGATCCCTCGACGGTGCTGCTCGAGTTATCCTCGACGCTCGCGTTCGACGCACTCGCGACTGACTTCACCGCTCTCAAACTGCTCGAGGCAGTCTTGGGCGGCCCCGCCCGCGAATCCAACATAGACGATACAAAGTCGTCGCTGTGGGACCGAGTGGTACTGGCGTGCATGGTAAGGTCAACGAGGTAGTCGGCGATGTTGAATCCAGGGGGACAGGAGTATCCCGAATGATCGAAATACCGCTGACATGCCGAGAAAGGACCAGAGTACACAGTTCGGCCTTGGGCCAAGAGGACCAGACGGTCAAACAGTGCGACGATGTTCGATCGAGGCTGGTGAATCGTGAAGATTACCGTTCGATTATAAGTCTTCGCCAAGGTCACCAGACACTCAACCACGTTGAATGCGTTGAACGCATCCAGTCCGCTAGTCGGTTCGTCAAGGAAAAGGATACTGGGACTAGTGACCAGCTCACAGGCAATGCCCACTCGGCGCTTCTCGCCACCAGAGATACCGCGGCCCCTACCCTCCTCGGATCCAATCAGCTGGTCCTTGATATGGTAGATTCCTAGTTGCTTTTCAACATCAAACACGCGCTGCTCTTTCGCCCCGCGACTCATATCCCGTGGCAAACGCAGGAGCGCACTCGTTAAGATGGTTTCGTGCACGGTCAGAGTAGGCAGCATGGTATCTTCCTGGTCCACGAAGCCGATCATATTCTTAAAATCATGATCGTCCAACTTCTCGCCATTAACAAAAAAGTCGCCGTGAATGGCACCTCGCTTATTCTTCCGAGCCAAGATATCGAGGAAGGTGGTCTTTCCAGCACCCGAAGCACCCATGATAGCCGTGATCTGACCAGGTTTCGAAGCACCCTGGACATTGGCCAAGATCTCCTTCCCATTCAAGTAATACGACACATTGTTCCAGTACAAGGCGGCAGGTTTGTGGTCCGCCAGAAGCTTCGCAGCTTCATCATCCGAATCATCGGACAGAGGCAACATGATACGGTCGTGGTACGACCGCCGCGACAGATACCACACCGACAGAATGACTGCAACGACAAAAAGGGCACATCCTGCGATGACGCCGGCGATGAGAGGCGTATTGATCTGCTTGATTGGACGTACATATCCCGGGACGTCTGTGTGATACAGACATTCGCCAGCATCGCAACGGAGTGTGATACTCTTGTCTCCAAACACGCTCTGGATCAACTCATTCATCGCCGGTTCCTGAAAGATACTACCGTCTTCCGGACTACCTCCTTCGGTCGAAACCGTGGAGAAGCTTGCGGGGCCTTTGATGGATTCCGATAAGAATTCGCCAATATCGATAGAGCCTTCTTCACCGCAGAGCATCCGACCAGGGATGCACCTGCAGCTGATGTTGTCGCATCTGTAACTGGTCGTGTTTTGGTCGTGGGTGGTCTCCAAGTCCCAGTTGCACGTATCTAGACCACAGTAAAACGACTCCTTCTGGTCCACCCAGAATTGGAAGTTGCACGTTTGGTCCTCTGCCTCGCAGGAGAATGTCACCTGGGGCTTCCGTTCCTTCAGCTGATCGAGAATCTTGCGATTGGTCACATCACACATCTGAAAGTTCTCCTTCACCGTGACGCCCTGTTTATAACACACACCACCCTCACCCTCGGGCATCATCGCATTGCACGCATTGTTGGTTTGGCACACATTGCAGTTGATCCCCGACCAGCCGTCCTTGCAAGAGCAATACTTGTCCTTCCGTGGCCTTCTTGCATGGCCATCGCCCAGCGACCCACACAACGGTTCGAGACAGTCATCACCTCCAAAGCCCGGAGGACACACGCACTTCCCGGTAAATTTATCGCAACGGGCGTACTGGCCGCATTGGAAAGCGTCTAGCTGACAATTGAAACACGGTGGACAATGGCCCGGTCGATCATCGAAAGAGGAAAAGAGTGGAGAAACGACGTCGGGGTCGGAGTAGTTGTACTGTGCACCCGTAGCCGCCGGTAATGAGAGGAGGGTGGCTAGAGATAGCTGTAAAAATGATTCGAGCCGCATGACGATTGACCGTCCGCTAACGCTCACCGCCAGCGGAGAAAGCACAGGGCAAGATGATGGGCCTAGGGGGAGGATCAAAGACGAAGATCCGTCATGGGTGGATGGTCTATCTGGCAGCGGAGCTGAGAGCTCGACTGGGGAACGTCGGGGATAACGTGGAGTTTTAGCCGCGGAAGAAAGGAAAGATCACAGACGGACCGTGAAAACAAAAAGAGCAAGAAGAATAGAAGAAAGAGAGAGAGAGAGAGCGCGCGCGAAAGAAATGGAGATAGAGAGGGGAAGAGAGGTTGGTGAGAGGGAAGTGTCGTGGCAGTGGCTGAGAGAGTAGATCGATGGGGCGATGACGAGGGCGGAGACGGAGAGTTCGACTGGGGGCGGTCACCATGTGTGTAGCCTGGGGCATCCGTTGCTTTCCCACCGCGGTTAGTTCTATTGATAAGGTCAACGGATTCTGTCTCCACAACTCCGCAATGTTATTTGCGACCATCCGTCCTGGAGAGCGGGTATTTGAAGATGAATATCTCTGTACAATTTCTATATCTACATGGCAACTGGGTCAGCTATCTACTAATCTCGTGCCTTGGATCCCGGTATAATGCAGACGTCATGTACACGTGATGTGTGCCTGATTCTTCCCACCAACCCAGACGCGTCATTTCCCGACAAATCGGTCAAGGTAGGACCACTACTGTACCTATAAGCTGAGCGACCTCGTATGTATGCAGGTAAGAAGACGAAAGTCTACCTTCATATTTAAGCAATCAAAGAATCACCTGCTGATCAGTCCCTTCTTGGAGACAGTAACTCCCATGGCCTTATCGGACATTCAGTCACGTGACCGATAGAGATTCCAGATTGTTCGGCGCAGCAAAATGGAGTACGAAATTCCCCACCATCGCGATCGAACAGGTCACCAAAATTCAACGCTTCCAAACCGCTGTATATAGAGACTTCTCAGAGTCGGTTAAACCACAGACTATCACCATGGTTCAAATCAAGGAATTTGCCGTAGAGCAGGTATGCTTACTCCCTTGATTCTCTCTTTATACCTTCCCCGCACTACTACTATCTGGATGGCATACCGGATCGGAATTTGTTCTTTCACATGCTGACTGCAAGACTCTTCCCATTCTTCAAGTGGATGGACACACATGAGGAAACCGCCAAATACAATATCGCAGAGACCTGTTGTGCTTCCGTCTCAGTGGATTATTTGCAGAACCACAGCGAAGACAAATCCTCTACTCCGTTGGACTTGTCAACGAAGCTCACGTACGGTCCGATTCGGGGGTCAGAGCGCTTACGGGGCACCTTGGCCAATTTATACTCGGCTAAAACGCCTTCACCATTGCCATCTGACAATGTCCTCATTACCGCGGGCGCAATCCAGGCGAACTTCCTGCTCCTGTATTCGCTGGTGGGACCGGGGGACCACGTCATTTGTCATTACCCCACATACCAACAGCTCTACTCGGTCCCCGAATCGCTCGGGGCGGAAGTCAGTCTGTGGAAATCAAAGGAGGCCGACGGATGGGCGCTGGATACCAACGAGCTAAAGGAGCTCATCAGGCCCAATACTAAGCTGATCATCCTCAAGTATTTCTCCCCTTGTATATTTGCTGCCATACTGTGCCCGTGAAAAGATGACTGACGCCGGCTGGATTCTCAAAATAGCAACCCCCAGAATCCTACTGGGGCTATTATCCCTCAACCCACTCTCAAGAAAATCGTGGAGATCGCTCAGGATGCATCCATCACCGTCTTCGCGGACGAAGTTTATCGACCAGTGTTTCACTCGATCGGCCCCGCGGATCCAGATTTCCCATCATCCCTCCTCTCACTCGGTTATGAGCATACGGTCGTAACCGGATCAGTGTCCAAAGCCTACAGCTTGGCGGGAATCCGTGTGGGATGGATTGCCTCGCGCGACCGGGCCCTTATTGAGAAGTGCGCCTCTGCCCGACATTACACCACAATCTCTGTGAGCCAAGTGGACGATTCCATTGCGAGTTACGCCTTATCCCCGGGTTGCATTCACGGCCTTCTGAGCCGGAACCTGGCTCTCGCGAAGACGAACTTGGCCATCTTGGATCGATTCATCGAGTCTCACCGATGGGCGTGTGAGTGGGTGAAACCCCGCGCGGGGACAACCGCCTTTATCCGGTTCAATAAGATGGGGAAGCCGGTAGACGATGTGGCATTTTGCGAGAGCGTCTTTCAACAGGCTGGGGTGCTCTTTGTCCCGGGCAGCCTGTGTTTTGGGGAGGGAGAAGACTTCCGGGGCTATGTGCGCATAGGATTTGTACAGGAAACATCCGTGTTGGAACAGGGGCTCGAGGCCTTGCGATCATTCATGGACGAGGGCTATGAGGATGTCCCAGTGATCAAGAAGAAATAAGGCATCTGATTGAGATTGAGTGGCTGAATCACGGCGAATGAGGAGGTATGCGGATTCCATAGCGCATGTGATGCCAAGGACAAATTCCCCGGATTCACAATGCGGCCCCGTGGAGTTCCCACCGCCGATCGGGAATACGCGTGAGCAAGGAGATTACCCCCGGTGAGCGTGAGGTTGACCTCCAAATATATTCTCTTCAGCCTGTATATCTTCGCACGGCGACTTAAAATGCGGTCGATATACAGTAGCGATCCTTGGTGCCCCGCCAGGCACTAGCCACCTCTCAACCAGTGAGTGGAGGCAACCCACAATTCAACTGGGTGCCGAGCTACCGTTTCCGAACGTGCCGGACCCATCATGTGCCGAGGCAACGGATGGTCTCATATTCACCTCCATTCCACCTTTCCCTCTTCCCTCCCGTCCCCTCTTTCTCCTCTTTGATGGCGCCGTCGCCTTTCTCGTCCCCTTTAATCCCTGTCCTCTTTGGAGTTTCCCCCGTTCGCGACTTGGTATTGTAAATATATAACCATCCTCTTCCTCATACCTCCTTTTTTTACACGCCTATCTTTGTTTATCTGTAACCCCATTTGGTTTGCAGGATGTCGCCGATCCCCTTACCTGGTACGTGATAAAAGAGCGCTAATGCTTTTGAGGAGCCTCTGGTGGAAGTTCGATAAATAATTCGACGAGGAAAATCATGGAAGAGATTGAAGGCGGTTTTGCTGATTTGCCACCTATCCAGATGTCCCTCTCTCCCTCGCCGCGCCGACCGCCGCCGCTCTATTAGCGTACCTGAACGCCAGGTACTCGCTATTTTACGATGTGAAACTGATTGGTGGCTTGGTTAAAACGGCTTTCACGTCGCGTATGGCCGCCCACCGCGATGCCTTGAATCTCTTCTATATCCTCGAGAAACATGCGCTCGCCGCCGACACCAAGGACCGACCGTTCATCGTCTACAACGGTCGCACTTGGACCTTCAACGAGGCCTACGTTACGACGCTGAAATATGGCACATGGTTTAAGGAGGTGCACGGGGTCAAACCCAAGGAGATCGTCGCGATCGATTTCATGAACTCCTCGACGTTCATTTTCATGACTCTCGCTCTGTGGAGCATTGGCGCCGTGCCCGCTTTCATCAACTATAACCTGTCTGGGAAGCCGTTGACGCACTCTATCCGCACGTCCACGGCTCGTCTGCTAATTGTGGACGAGGAGCTGAGCGAGAACTTCCCAGCGGATCAGATGGCGACGTTTCAGTCGCCTACCTTCCGGGACGACGGAGGCGCGGTTCAGGTGGTCTTCTTCACGCCCGACGTGGAGGCTCAAGTGATGCAGTTGGAAGCCACCCGCCTCGATGATAAAGTGCGCAGTGGTTCGGTCCTTCGCGACATGGCTCTCCTGATTTATACCAGTGGCACTACTGGTCTTCCCAAACCAGCCATTGTTAGCTGGCGGAAGTGTTGGGTGGGCAGTGTGTTCGTCGGCAAATTCCTGGGTCTCACTCGTCAGGACCGCTTCTTTACGGTATGTTGGTCTCCATGGCACTGCCACCGTGGTCGTCATGTCGTACTAACAGAAAGCAGTGCATGCCTCTCTACCACTCGTCCGCCTCCATCCTTGGATTCATCACTTCTTTGATGAACGGAAACACGCTGGTGATCGGTCGCAAATTCTCTGCCCGGAACTTCTGGCGCGAGGCGCGTGAAAACGACGCGACGATCGTCCAATACGTGGGTGAAACTCTGCGATACCTGCTGGCGGTCCCGCCGGAGATCGACGCTGCAACGGGAGAGGACCTCGACAAGAAACACAATATCCGGTTGGTGTTCGGAAACGGTCTGCGACCGGACATCTGGAATCAGTTCAAGAAGCGCTTCGATGTTGAGAGCATCGCCGAATTCTACGCGGCCACCGAGGGTACCTCGGGCTCCTGGAACCTGTCGTCCAACGATTTCACCGCCGGAGCGATCGGCCGCAACGGTGCTCTCAGCCAGATGATCATGGGTGGGGGCATCGCCATTGTTGAAGTCGACCATGAAAAGCAGGAGCCGTGGCGCGATCCCAAGACTGGCCTCGGTCGGAAAGTACCGCGTGGCGACCCAGGCGAGCTGCTGTATGCCATTGATCCCAACGACCCTACGGATACCTTCCAGGGGTACTTCAAAAACTCCTCGGCGACGGAGAGCAAAATCATCCGCGACCTCATCCGCAAGGGCGATGCCTACTTCCGGACGGGGGATATGGTCCGCTGGGACCAGGAAGGCCGGTGGTACTTCTCCGACCGGCTGGGCGACACCTTCCGCTGGAAGAGCGAGAACGTGTCCACCAGCGAAGTGGCCGAGGTCCTGGGCTCGCACCCGGGGATCCACGAAGCCAACGTCTACGGCGTGCAGTTGCCCAACCACGACGGTCGCGCCGGCTGCGCCGCCATCATCCTCAAGCAGCAGATACAAGCGGACAACCCGTCTGTTCTATTGACTCCTGAGCCGGGTCTCCTCGACAGCCTAGCCGCACACGTGCTGCAGCACCTTCCCCGGTACGCCGTCCCGCTTTTCCTGCGTCTCGCGCCCGAGATGCAGTCCACAGGCAACAACAAGCAGCAGAAGCACGTTCTGCGCTCCGAAGGCGTGGACCCGTCGCTGGTCAAGTCCTCGGACAAGCTCTACTGGCTGCAGGGCAACAAGTACGTGCCGTTTGAGCAACAAGGGTGGAAGAGCCTACAGGGCGGTCAGGTTAAGCTGTAATGGATTAACTTCTGTTGGTCGTGCTCCTTCAAGTCGCTCATGTGTCGACCAACTGTCCATCGCCTGAGTTGCTGGATACATAAATATCTATACATGAGCGTGTATATATGGCCCCGTCTCCGTCGTGACACGTGCCCGGTCACTGACCGTCTTTGATACCCTACCTACGACCCGTCTCACTGTCTGATGTTTATTGATTGATGTATTTATTGCCTGAGAAGGCTCAGAGTGTCGTGAGTGGTACGACGCGATATTACAAGACTCGCACTAGATAGTACACAAACATTTCCTCTCACTAGCTACATAGCCTTTTTGACAGGGCTACGTAAAACCCATGGTCTGAAGTTGTATCATGGATCAGGCCTGTAGTACAGGCATACTAATTGATGTCATGGCCTGCATAGTGCAACTCAAGCATGAAACTATTATGACGATGTTTAGGCACACAATGGATTCCTCCGAACCATAAACACATGTGTGGAAAGAGTGAAGGCAACCAGCTAACATGTCAGCTGACCTGGAGAGTTTTCCCACCCAGCTTGTATCTTGATCCTTCACATAATTTGCAACCTCCTATAACTTCAAGAACTCATCGAAACTCATCATCATTTGACCCTCTCCATCGGCACTACCCCACACAATCGATTATCCTACAGCTGGTCACACCTCAGCCTCAAACATATGGTAATATACCTATCTCTACAGCTCGATTTTGCTGGTGGAAAGCGACCAGTATGCGGAAGCACCAATGTTTGCAATGCAAATGAGGCGAAGTAATCTGGCTACTGATACAGAGTGTGTCCCAACCGAGCGCATCTTTGAAACAGAAGCCCCGCCGCCCGCGCTGGATAGTACTTCGGGTCACTCCCTCTAGCAGAATAGCCAGTCTCAGAACACTAAAATAGGTCAAAACACTTGACATGAGTCAGGGAAAAGAGGGGATGCGCATCCCAGGGAAGTGCGTGGCTGTGGCTATGTGTTGATCAAGTACCACACACACTCACACACCACCATGCACTCACACACCATCATGAGCTTGGCGGTTGACTGACAACAATAGGCACAATGCTGGATTGTGATACAGGGGTTGTATATTGACCGGGCAAATGAGGTTCGAATGGCCCCCAATTTCTCTCCCTTCATGCGCCAAATAAACCCGGAGTGTCATGCATCTTCCAATGATTCTTTGCCTTGGGGGTATCGATTACGCGCTCGGACTAGCGATGCAGACTACGGCGCAGTCATGAATGGCACCGTCGGGATCGGCAATCAGCCAATATAGATAGATATTAGAGTCCTCATGCCCCTCGGCATAGATCCGAAGTCTCATCCTATGACTTATTTTATTTTGGATTTGCCTCTCTATTCCCGATTCTACTCTATTTTTGTATAGCATCCAGTATCAGCAACAATGCAAGCAGACGAGACCCAAGCGATAAACCAGCTTCAGTCTGAACAGTCCCGGCTTCTGGACAAGATCGACGAGCTGCGTACGATTGGGGTAGGGGGGCTCGTGGAACTACCCCAGCTGGTCGTCGTCGGAGCCCAGAGTTCAGGAAAGTCCTCTGTTCTCGAAGCTGTGTCGCGCGTGAGCTTCCCAACCAAGAGCAATGTGTGCACGCGGTTCGCCACGGAGGTTGTTCTTCGCAGGAGCTCAACGGTCAGGTTGAAAGTGTTGATCGAACCCGGAGCCTCGAGGACGGACGCAGAAGAGCGGCAGAGGATTCGCGATTTCACGCCGGACTCGTTCTCGAACACGGGTGACTTGCCGGATCTTATAGAACAGGCGAAGACGCGGATGGGCATCACGGACAGCATGCATGGTTTCAGTGACGACGTTTTAAAGGTCGAGATCTCCGGGCCTGATAAACCGGAGCTGACGCTGGTGGACCTTCCTGGGTTGTATATTTCGGAGAGCGAAGAACAAGGCGCCGAGGGGATCAGGATCGTGCGTGAGTTGACCGAACGGTACATGGAAAATAACAGAAGCATCATTCTCGCGGTCATCAGCGCAAAGGTCGACTACCATTTACAGAATGTGTTGAACATAGCCAAGCAGTTTGACCCGAAGCGTGAGCGGACCATGGGGATCATCACGCAGCCCGACCGTCTCGAGAGGGACTCAGAAGAGGAAGAGAACTACATCCGATACGTTCGCAACGAGAAGGTCCCTTTGAACCTGGGGTGGCACGCTTTGAAGAACCGTTCGTACGAGGACAGAATGGCATCGCACGATGTACGAGACGAGCAGGAAAGGACCTTCTTCAACCAGGGACGCTGGGCCAGTTTGTCCCGCGAGTTTGTGGGCGTGGATAGCCTCCGACGTCGTCTGAGTAACGTCCTCCTGAAGCATGTGCGGCGGAATTTGCCCGGCTTGATTGCAGACATCCAGCGACAGATCGAGGTGCGACAGAAACACTTGGAGCGACTGGGACCTGCAAGAAGCAGCGCACAAGAGCAACGGGGGTACCTCCTGGCGATCTGCAGTAGTTTCGAGCGAATTGTTGGCCAGGCTCTCAACGGCGGGTATGCAGGTGATTTCTTCGGGGGGTTCAACGGCCTGGGGAATGACCCGAACAACTCCCAAGACTTCCGGCGTCTCCGTGCTATCGTTCGAGAGTTGAACGAGTGCTTTGCCGAAGCCATGGAAATGCGTGGACATCGCCGATGTATCGTGGGAACCACGCACGACGCGCCGACTGCTGATAGCAAAGTCCTCTCACAGCCCTACATGGAAGGTTGGACACCAATCAAGATTTCCCGAACAAAGATGGAATCAGAAGTCAGCGATCAGGCCAAAAAGGACCGAGGGATTGAAATGCCTGGGAGTGCTAACCATCTCCTGGTGGGAAGCCTGTTTCGTGATCAGTCGCAGCCTTGGGAGATGCTCGCACGCCAACATCTCCTGCAATGCTGGGAGTCGGTGAGGTACTTCGTGGGGTTGATCCTCCAACATCTGACCGACGAACACACCCATTCGCTACTTTACGGAACCCATTTTTCGCCTGAGTTGGAAAAAATGAAAGCTCATTTGATGGAGAAGCTCAATGAACTCACCTCCCATACAAAGCGAGGTCATCCGCTCCCCGTCGGTCCAAGCTTTCTCGCTAGAATACAGAGATCTCGCGCGAAGCGTCAACTTTCCTCGCTGAAAAGTGGTCTCGGTCTGAATCTGAAGACGGGCGACGACAAGCTCACCATCCATGATCTCACGCGTGCTTTTTCTACCATGGATCTCTCCAGAGATCAATTTGCAGCGGCGGATATCATCGATCAGATGCAAGCATACTATGATGTGAGTGACTGGTTGTCCAGTAGGGTCCTATCCCAACTGAGAATACTAATGAGATGGTAGACTGCGATCATCACGTTTGTGGACAACATTGCAACGTTAGCTGTCGAAAACTGTCTTCTTGTCCCGTTGGAGCGGATCTTCACCAATCAGACGGTGAATATGATGGATGAAAATCAGCTGGAAGACCTCGCGGCCGAGCCACCGTTTGTCCGTGAAGACCGATGTCGTCTGACGGACGAGTTAGGCAAGCTACAGGCTGGGCTGCAGACTTTCAGCGTATTGGGGACTGAGCCCCGGTCAATGTCGCGGCCTCCTGCGTTTCGTAAGAACCTCGCTCCAGTAATTTCATCGTCAAAAATTTACCCCTAACCTGTTTCCTGGATAGCATCGCGACCTCCAAACTCCCCACCCGCTTCCAAGCCTGAGTTCACATTTTCAATGGCCCACGAAGAAAACAATCATCCATGTAAGCGCGCCCGACATGGTTGAATGCAGAAGTCTGACTGATCTGCTTGACTCAGCCACTAATGGCACCCCCGAACCGTCGAGCATCATGCACCCTCATTCCTCCGGTGCAAAGGATAGTAGAGTTGACAAGTCCCCCCCCCGTGTTTCCGGCGCAGAAGGGAAAGGCAGCAACACTACCGCCCTATTCGGCCAACCGGGCTGGGGAAATTCTGGGACATGGCACACCGCAAACGATACTAGTGGTGGCGGACAGTCCAACGTCACTAATGGAAGTCTGAGCTCTGCGACCTCATCTAGTAGGACGTTATCATCTTTCGGAAGCTCAGGGTCTTCGGGCTTCGGGCTGGGCAGCGCAGGGGAAGGGACCCCTAGGACTGGACAACCCCTGTTCCCGCATCCGCCTGGAGACAGCAAGAGCACCGGACCTTCTTCGTTTGGCGGTTTCGGCAGTAGATCTGGCAGCGGACTTTTCGCGAGGCCTTCCAGCACGTCGGGAACTAGGTCGTAAGAGAGTATAGACCCTTAATCGAAGATGTTGTGGCGACTGAAACAAGAACACAGGACGTCGGCTGTGTTTACTCCGTCTCTAAGACAATGTACCGGGTCGAGTGAATGGAGATATCGGCCTCTCACGGAAAAAGTTGGACAGTCAGACTCCACTCGTTACTACCAGAATATCTGTTCAATGCAGCCCTACTCGAAGTTTTCTTTTGAGGTGCGTGTCTCATGAGGGGAAAGAAAAGGCGCTCGGTCACTAAGACTTGATTAGGAAATTCGACTTGTAGACTACCAGACCGGCCATAGGTTTGCTACAGTATCATAGTGGTAGAATTGAACCGTCTCGGTTGTGTCCGTGCTTATAATAATTTTATGAAGTATATATAGCTTCGAGATATGGTGGTGGGGTTTGACAGAAGCCGCGCAACGTGACTTATATATCTGCACCCGTAGTCTATCATGGTCTATCGGATCAAATTGAGAATAAACCCAGGTTTTGGTTCTTAGAACGATAGGCAGCTTTACCCCGATAGAGATCCTGCTGGTGATATAAATAGCTTGGTCCTTGTTAGATCGTGATGGAGAAGACTTGCTCGGAGTTTTAAATCTACGAGTCCCCTGGACGAGCTCGCGCAACCTCTCTAGCCCAAGTATCGATATTGAGAAATTTGCTGACTTGCGTCTGATCGAGGGATGCTCAATACTCCTACCAACCTTGACTGGTGCGGCCATGACAAAGTACACGGACAGTCGAGCAGCGTCTTTGAGGTTAGAAATTTCAAAGATAGAACAGGCAGATACTCACTAGAGAAATATTTAAATCAACTATATGATAGCGAATAGAATATAAAAATGCCATGGTTTAGTTGTGGAAGGTGACATATAGGTTATATACTACCCCGATCTTGGCACGTCCCGAAAAAGACGGCGCCGATCCCGATTAGGATCGAACGGGAAAAAAAAGACAAGCCGAGGATACTTGGACTGTATAGCATCTTGAACAGAACACCATCAGTCAATCAACCCCACCTCCTCTCTCACCCCTCAAGATGAAGGTTCCCTTCCGGCCGCGACAGCTCAGTCGCGCAACGCAGCGTCTTCTCCGTCCTCATAACCCACCCTTCATCTCTCTCCCACGAACATCGTCGCTATCACCAACATCAACACCACACCTCAACCAACAAACAACCCGCCCCTTCAACCTCTCCTCCCTCGCCTCCCTCCTCCCAAACAACAACAACAGCAGCAACAATGGCGGAAACAACAACAGCGACAGACACCGCACCCTAACCGCAATCCGCATCCTCCCCTACGCCCCCACCCCCCTCTTCACAGTCATCTCCTCCGTCGAATCCTACTCCGAATTCCTCCCCTTCCTAACAGCCTCAACCGTCACAGCGCGCGACCCAGCCACCGGTCTCCCCTCGCGCGCCTTCCTCACCGTCGGTTACGGGCCCCTCTCGGAAACGTTCACCTCGCAGGTCGACTGCGACCGCGCGAACTGGACGGTTGAAGCGCGGAGCGGGGCGCGCTTTGGGGTGGACTCGAAGGACGGTCAGAGCCAGAACAGTCTCAGCAGTGTTTTCCCCGGTGCGAATGAGGGGATCTTTGAGTACTTGAGTACCCGGTGGGAGTTACTGCCGTTGGAGGAGACGGGGCCCGGTGGACGGCCCCAGACGAGGGTGCAGTTGGAGATTCGGTTTGAGTTTCGGAATCAGTTCCATGCGGCGGTTATGGGCGCTGTTGAGGGGCAGATGGCCGGGGCTATGATTGCTGCTTTTGAGGGGAGGATTAGACAGTTGGAGGGTGAAGCTTAGACGGTTTATTCTTCTTCTTGTTTGCCTTCGGTTTGTAGAGTACTGGGGAAGACTTGGGAGTTCTGTTCTGTTGATATTTTTTCGTTGTTCTACCCATCGCTGTACAGTAGACTAGATATAGAAAGAGAAAGAGGAAAAGAAATCCTGACCAAAAACCATGTAATATAATACAATTATCCAGACGTGAGGGAAATTAAACACTTGTAAACCCAAAACCCGCTCAGACCATGCTGTTCAGGTTGCGGTTCCAGTTCCCTCCAGGCGCCGCCTTAACCGAGCTGACCGCCGTGTAGTTGGCAAACACCGCCTCCCAGTTGATCCGGTCCCACCAGCGCTCGAGGTACTCGGCCTTACCGGCGATGCCGTAGTCCATCATCCAGACGTGCTCCCACGTGTTGACGCAGAGGATGGGCTGCACGTCGATGGCGCCGGGGGCCATGGCCTTCTGGTTCGTGGCGTTGGCCGAGTGGGCGCCCATCGCGCCGGCGTACTGGTTGCCCAGGGGCGCGTCGGGGCTGTGGGTCGACATGTCGACCGGCTGCCGCCGCGAGTGCGCCGCCGGGTAGGGCGAGCCGGCGTTGTAGGTGCAGAAGATGTGCATCAGACCTTCGCGCTCGAGGTTCTTGGCCAACCACACGAAGCCAGGGCCGAACATGGCGTTGGCGGTGGCCAGGAAGTCGAGCTTGAGCGATTCGACCGAGGAGCACGTGTCGATGATGTCTTTGGCGAACTTGTCGGGGATCTGCGTGGGAGCGGGGGACTATTGGCGAAACACAGTTAGTAAGAAGCACTTCCCGCAGTGTCGTATGTTACGTACGAGGCAGTTGAAGAAGAAGTGGTTGTTGTGGGCCATCGAGGCGTAGTTGAACACGGACGCCATTTCCGGGCGCCGGGAGTACTTGACCAGCAGTTCTCCAGGTGGCACATTGGCGTCAATGGTGTCTGTATAGGCCAACGTCAGTATTTCAATCCCACGACACCCTCTCGAGGCCATTCATTGCCCACGCCGAGGGCAGTCCACACGTGTTCGGGGTGGTCGTACCCTGCGTCAAAAGGTTCAACTTGTCGATCAGAAGCGTCTGGTATTGGGTCCACGCGAAGTCCACCGATTCGGGGGAAAGCAGTTGCGGGATTCCATTCTTCTTGAAGGAGGCGTCGTGAGTTAATTGGGGCACACGGTGGATTCCTCGAATTTGGCGCTGGGGCAGAGCGGAGACGGGTTTCTACGGCGCAAACGGTCAGCGAACGAAGCCTCGACAAGGCATTGGGGAAGAAGGACGACTCACCTGAAAGAGGGAGGAGGCCCCACGCAGTGAGCTCTGCGGCCGGAGGAGTCTTTGCAGCATGATGACAGGGATTGGGGGGAGGGGGAGGAGGAATGAGGGCGTCAACAGAACTCAGACGGAGCAAGACATGAATCCGCAAGAATTATTCCTCAGTCAGTTCCGTTCCTCGTCCAGTTCCCCATCGGGCTTAGCGTGGCTGAGGTAAGCCAGCGTCAAGGACGGCCAATCAGCGGGCGACGATCTACTCTGTGTTTCGCTTGCCGCCGAATAACCTCATTTCTTCTTAGTCTTTTCCCAGTCTTTTGTCTTGACGCTTTCTTCAGCTGAATTTAGAACTCGGCGCGGATAAATGCTGGATGGCTTACTGTGGCCCAATGGATTGTCAGGATTGACTTTCAGCGCCTATCTCGACCCTCTATCAGGCACAATGTCTCTCCATTTCCATCTTCCAGATGCTAGGCCCCGGCGCGTGCAATGCTTTTCTCTGGATGCTTGCATCCATGACGCAGTCGACTTATTTTGGGTATCAGGCGGCTAGCTCCAGGCATCTTCTTTGTTTCAACAGCAGGAAGTTATTTCCCTGTCTTTGTACAGCGTGTCGGGCTTTGTTAACTAGCATTGTTGGAGTCTCATTGTGATCATCTTTTGTCTGCTTTGAGCGTGTTATTAGATCTTTCTAAATCCTCTACACTTATCTTGAGCTTCTACTCTCCTATAAATTACGGATATATACCACCAGGAATTGACACACAACATGGTGCGGTTAAGCTCTCCGAATGCCTGGAGGGCAACATCCTCAGTATACCTTCTCCTGGCCATCCTCTCAAGCACAGCCTCCTCCAGTCCCACAGGCCATCTCCTAGCACGAGAAGCAGAGACCTGCCCAAAAAACTATACAAGTTGCTCCAACGCCGGCCTCCCCAGCTCCTTCTGCTGCCCGTCTTCATCAACCTGCATCAGCCTGGACGACGGGAGTTCAGCAATCTGCTGCCCAAAGGGAGAAAACTGCGAGTTCATACAGCCCATAGGCTGTGACGCGCAACGTCAAGACGCAAAAGAACATCCCCAAAGTCCCATCAAAACCACCCGGACCGACGACCGCCTCCCCAAATGCGGAGACTTCTGCTGTCCATTCGGATACACCTGTCAAAAGGACAACGTCTGCATTATGGACAAGACCCAGTCCTCCTCAAGCAAGACCAACACCAACACCGCATCCGAAACCACAACCTCCACATCCACCAACACAAACACCCAAACCACAACAACAGACTCATCACACACAGTCCCAATCATGGACCCAACCGCCACAGCAGACCCCCCCTCCCCATCAGCAACATCCCCCTCCAACCCCACAGCCGCCCAAACCGCCTCCCAACTGACAGCCGCCTGCCCCTCCTACCCCAGCCAAGCCGTAGCCGCAGGCTTCTTCCCCGGTGCCATCTTCGGCGCAATCGCCACCCTCCTCGCCCTCTTCGGCATCCGCAAGTACCAAGAAAAGCACCTGCCCCCAGGCGACAAGATCGCCCAGCACACGCAGCGCTCCTCAAGCGGTACCCTCCTCGGCATATCGCCCCCCATCCCCTCAGACGAGACCTCCTACCGCACGGACTTCCTCCTCCATCGACCAGCGAGGCGAAACTCCGAAGGCGCCCGCTCAATGCTCCAAAGAAGCCGCTCCCGCGTGAAATCCCTCTTCGGCACGACCCCCAAAATAACCGTCTCTGAGCCCGACGCCCCTCCGGTGCCCGTGCCGGTGCCGGTGACGCCCCAGCGCGTGGTGGTGGCTCGGCGTCCCAGCACGGAGAGTATCAAGGTTTATACGCCGCCTGGCGTGTTCGCTGGGACGAATGTCCTCAAACCGAGCCCGTATCCGGATGTGCGGCCGAATACGACGTTTTCAGATATGATTGATCGGGTGGGGTTCAAGGATGGTCGGGGGGATCCTTGTTATCGGGTTCAGACGCCGCCGGGGGGGGATAGTGGTGGTAGCGGTGGTAGTGGTAGTGGCAGTGGTGGTGGTGGTAGGGCTGGGAGGGCTGTTAGGAGATGAGCCGAGCTGACCCTCTGTCTCGAGAGGTAGGCGTGGTGGGTTGAGGAAGTATATAAGACAGCCAGCTGTGCTGGTGTTGTTATTTCGGACCAGAATGTTGTGATATCCTGGCGTAATTGTGTTGTTTATTTCAGTTTCTTGATTTTGCTTGGTTGGTTTGGGAGTTGTATATATGGTTTGGGTTCACTTGTTTGTTTGTTAGATTGGCTAGAGTATAGACGATGCAGTCATATATCTTAATTGAAGGGTTGCGTGTATGGGTTCCGTCATTGCTTTATTGGGTTGGGAAGGTTATATTACGTTTATAGTTGTGATATACTGCACATAGTAGAGTAAATACTGCAGGTAATAGCATCGAGGTGAAGAATATATAAGCAACTAAGACTATGCCTTTTTAGCCTTCCGACTCGCCACAAACCGCTTCACCTCCTTCAGCAGCCCCACGAGCAGAGGCACACCAACAGGACCCAGCAGAGGCAGGTAGACAGCGACCTTATGCTCATCAGGAAAGTAAACCTGACCGACCATGCTCTTCTCAAAGAAGCTGCGTTCGGCTTCCGCCTCAGCGACGCGGGCGCTCGCCAGCGCGGCGTGGAATCTGCCGTGGCGGAGATGGGTGCACGTCAGGGAGAGATGCGACAGCGTCGTGGAGACTGACTTGGCGACGTTGGCGGGGATGGGGATCGACGGGAGGGATTCGGTCAGACGGGCGAGGGAGCCCATTGTGGATGAGGCAGAGAGGAGGAGCATGGCGGCGCGGACGCGGATGAGGGTTTGGAGGCGGAGGGGGAGGGAGGTTGGGGTTGTGGGCGCGCCGAGGAGGGTGAGAAGTTGGTGTGAGAAGGTTAGGAACGCGGGCTGGAGCGATTCCTGGGATAGGTGTGGGGGGTTGGTGGGGGAGGGGGAGGCTGCGTCGAGGGGTGGGTTGAGGAGGAAGACGCCGCCCCATTGCGGGATGATCCAGCTGGTTGCGCTGCTTTCTTTGACGAGGAGGGGGGACTGGGATGGGGCGGGGACGTAGAGGATGAAGTTGATCGTGGGGCCGCTGCCGATGCTGGGGCTTAGGGGCCATTCGGCGGCGTTGATGAACGCGCTTAGGTCGTCCTTTTTGAGCGTCCATGCGGACTGGGATTCGTCGTATTCGGGACGGGGCGCCATGGGGGAGAATGTCGCGTAGAGCTGCACTTGCGTGTCGACGGTGAAATTGCTGATCGGGGCGAACGACTGCAGGACGGGGGAGATGTACTCCTGCACGGCGGCTTGGATGTCCCAAGAGGACGGCTCGGCGCCGGGAGTAAACAGCGAGAAGGCGAGGTGGTAAGTGTCGGCATACTTCATGGATCGTCGGAGCCGCCGCGCGATGCTCTCCGCGAGTTGCGGCGAGATCGAGTTCAAGATCGCGGATGGCTGCTGATTGTTGGACGACGACGGTGTGTTGGTGTTGGTGTGGGCGGCCACGGCACTATCGGACAGGACGTGCGCGATGGTCGCCTTCTCCTCCAGGAAAAGACGCTGCAGCTCCGCCGCGATGAACGCCGACAGCGGAGGGTTGGAAGACGAGGGAGGCGGGACTTGGCTGGGGGAGTAGAGCACATCCAGCTGGGCCGCATCCAATTGCAGCTCCGCCCGGGGAGCCGTCAGGTCCTCTCGAGGCAGCAGGCGCACCGTCAACGCGGTATCTGCCTTCTCATCGGGAGAAAGTCCATCCTCCACCGACGGGTCGTCCGATAGTTTTAGCCGGAGATGATGCGCAGAGAACTCGTTGAGATCGTCCAGGGTGTGCTGCGTTGTTCGGAGGAGATGCTGGGCCTCTGCATCTGGCAGCGACGGAGTTTCAAATCGGATTTCCAGGGGAAACACAGGACGACAGATCTGTATACCATCGCATCGGTCAGCGTGACGTTCTGGAGGGGGGGTCGCGTGCGGACAGGAGACGTACCTTTCCATCAGCCCAATCGCTCATATCGTCGATCGGCAGACTCGCCCGGTAGATCGACGTGGTTTTCCACCAGATCGGAAACCCCAGGAAGATAATGACGGCCCAGAAGGCGGCGATGACCTTGAAGCGCGTTCGGGCGGCCTCTGGCTTCTCCGGCGACGGGGCAGCTTTGGCGGGCGTGGAAGGGGTCATGGTGGCGTCGACGGCAGTCTTCTCCGACCCCGAGTCTTCATGCTTGCTGGTCATGACCAGGGCATGCTTTAGCCAGAGCGTAGGCTATTTTTCTGGCGGGGTGGTTGAAATGGAGGTGGTGTGGGTGAGATGAGTTGGGAGCTCAGGACGGAGCAAGTGGACACGGAGGCGGAAGTCCGTTGGAGCTGCGCAGATCGACGAATCCCGCGATCTCGATTCAACCACCAACACGTCGAATGATAGTAAATGATTTTACCCGCTACGGTTACAAATTAGTCAAGTTAATGAGAAATATTCTGTCGATTTATTCATTACTTCATGATCCTAAAAGTGTTTATGTTCCCGACCCGGGTACGAGTGACCCAATCTATGCCAACACCGGATTATAGACAAATGCCAAAGGGTATATATGATGAAGCGCCAATCCCAAACCATACCAAGATCACATCCTGATCAATACTCCTTTTCGAAAATTTTCTGGATCGGTTTCGCCGCCTGGGAGATCATTGTTAGCCAACGTCCTCAAACCATAGTCACCCCGTAAACCTACATCGATAAACCGCTCCAGATCCTGATCCAGGCTCGCTAGATCCTCCTTTCGCTTGTTATTCTCGGCGATCAACGCCTGCTTGCGCTTGAGCAGTTCCTGGCGCGCCTGTTCCAATTTCTCGCGCTCCGCGTGCTCATGGTTGATCCGGGCGATCATGAGTTCATGGCTGTCGGACTCCCGGTGTTCCGGGAAGAGCTCGAAGAACTCTTCCACCGGGATTAAGGGCAGGGAGCGGTATTTGTGACTAGACATGCCTGTTAGCGGAATCCGAACCTTCCGACCGTCTTTTCCCCATCGAGGTAGACCTACTCGTAGGAATCGCAGGCGGCAATTTCGCCAGTGAGATGGCGCTGTTCGTAATAGAGATTCTGTAGCTGGAGGTGTAACCGATCGATTTCCTGGCGGGCTTCTGCTGTCGACTGCTTCGTCTCGCGGACGTGGAAGACAGCATCCCGATTCTGACCGCGTAGTCGGGCTAGAAGCGCATACAACTGTTTCTGCTCACGGGAGGCGGCTAGAGCAATCTCCTTGGGATCCCTCGAAGTCGAGTCAACGGTCGGGTCGAGCAACGCAAGGAGTTTCTGACACTGTTCCCGCGTCTCGGCGCTCGTATTGAGCACAGGCAAGAGAGACTCGTCGGCGACGACGTCACGGACAGCCATGATCGTCGAGGAGAGAAGTAGTGGGTGATTTGGTATGCTGGTATGACCTCAACGACAATCCGCGACCGACCTGAAATCAATCAAATCAATCCGGTAAGGCTGAGTTGGTTCGTTGGTTAGTTAGTCCCCGTGCCGAGAGTGGTGGCAAAGACGTGGAGACCGGAGAGAATTCTGGGCAATGACGGGGGGGGCGATCAGGACCAATGGCGACTGGATTCCAGGCAAGGTAGTGAGGTCAGAGGAAGGGGAGGAGGGCGCGTGGAGGGCGATCTGGACGAATCGAGAGAGCGATCGAGAGAAATGGTGAGAAATGAATCCTTCTTTCCCCTCGGTTGTTTTCCCTTCATGAAGTGAGGAGAAGACGCTTGTGACGGGAATGCCTGAAAATGCCTGAAAATGCCTGGAAAGTGGGAATTTGGTGCCACCTTCTGCAGGCAGGGTATGGGATTCCCCACTTCTCAGGCACCCCAACCATTTTCCCAGCGGCCAATCAGATCAGCCCCTCTCTCACGCTTTTTCTCTCCTTTACTCCGGTCATTCATTACCTCAGGCTCACTCTCTTGAATCATTCATCATTCTTCTCTCTTTCTCTTGTTCTCTTTCTCTTTCTTTTATACTCTCCACTCCCTCCGTATTCATGTCTCCCTAGTCTCTTTCTCTCCTTCCTTTTGATTCATTTTATGATATCCGATCCTTCCTCACTTCCACTTTTCAGTAGTACGGTTCCTTGCAGCTTGGTATGTATTACATTGATTGATACCCCATGCACTACAACCCGAGTCCTCCCAAAACAACTCCTGCCCTAATTCTACCCAAATGTCAGAACCACCCAACTAACCCTAGTTTCCTTAATCTCTAGGATATGCCCGTCTAGTATTTTCTCTCTTTTTTTTCTTGACTATTCTCTGTCATCATGGCATGCTCCGCTCAATCCATGACCGTTGAATCTTATCCCGAGGAGGCCGCCGCCTCCACGGCAACGCCTTCCGAGGAGACCGCCATGCTCCGAGACCGGCGGCGAAGACACTCCTTCCACACGGCACGGAAACTCTCGTGCGACTACGATGCGGATGCTATCTATTTAAAGGTCAGCATATTCTCCATCTTTCCGACAAGACCTCGGGGAAGCCATGGAATCCGGTTTCACTAACCCCCCTAACAGGTCGAGCTGTTTTTGACCGAGTTGGAGCGACGGATGCAATGGATCGAACAGTCTCGCAAGGCCCACATGATGCAGATCGACGCCAGTCTTCGCAGCGGCTATGAGATCCTCGAAGCCGTGCGGGATTCCTGCTCCTTCGCCTCCGGGGAGTTGATGGGCAGTGGAAAGAAACGGGCCAAGATCCTGGTGGAGACGCTGGAAGAACAGTACAACGACGCCCTCGCGACCAAGGAGACCCTCGAGCAAAAGGCACAGGCCGGCGTGCGATGGATGGAGTCGTGCCTGTCCGAGATGGAGGCCCGCGCCCATGCGGTGTGCGACCGCGGCGTCTACGGGGCGCTGGATGACGGGTGGAAGGCGGTCGATTCGAAACTGGTCCATGCCCGCGAGGTGATGGACGAGGGCATGGAACGAGCCCGCCGAGCCAAGGACGCCCTGCGGGAAAGCGTCGACCGCGCCATCATCCTCGCCCAGGAACGCCGACTCATCGCCTACGCCGATCTGCCCCATCCGTGGCGCATCAACCCGCACATCCTGCGGGGCTACCGCTTCCACACCTCCAAGGTCGACTGCGTCACCTCCGTCTTCTCCTTCTCCAACGAACTGGTCAACATCTGGTCGCATCTGGTCGGCCTGTTCATCGTCCTCTCGATCGCCTTTTACTTCTACCCGCTGAACCCCAACTTCGTCCTGAGCTCCAAGACGGACATCCTGGTGGCGGCGGTGTTCTTCTTCGCTGCGTGCAAGTGCCTGGTCTGCAGCACCCTCTGGCACACCATGAACAGCATCGCCAACCAAAACGTGATGGAACGCTTCGCCTGCGTCGACTACACAGGAATCTCGATGCTGGTGGCGGCGTCCATCGTCACGATCGAGTACACGGCCTTCTACTGCGAACCCGTGTCGCGCTGGGTCTACATCCTGCTCACCATGTCGCTGGGCGTGGGCGGGGTGATCCTGCCGTGGCACCCGACCTTCAACCGCGCCGACTTCGCCTGGGTGCGGGTGGCCTTTTACGCGTCCCTGGCGCTGACCGGGTTTGCTCCGCTGGCGCAGCTGACCTACGCGCGCGGGCTGGAGTGGTGCCTGTATTTCTACGCGCCCGTGATCAAGAGTGTCCTGGTCTACTTCACGGGGGCGCTCATTTACGCGTCCCAGGTGCCGGAGCGGTGGCGCCCGGGGCTGTTCGACTACGTGGGTGGCAGTCACAACATCTGGCACCTGGCGGTGCTGGGCGGGATCCTGTTCCACTACACTGCGATGCAAGACCTGTTCGCGGGGGCCTTCCAGCGGGCCCAAGGGGAGTGTCCGAACCTGGCGAAATAAACTGGGACCGGACGGGACAAAACCCCGATGGTACGACGATTACGAATTCAAACCGGATCTCCGGTTGTCCCGAGCATATATCAAGTTCTCGCGGAGAGAGACGGAGTTCTCCTGGGCCGCATAGCATGGATGGAGTCATTATCTGGCGCGATTCCCAAGGGAATCATCTGATTTCTTGTAGATACTTTTCGGGGGATAGAATAGACGGTGACCTTGGGCCCTTGCCGGGGTGGAGGGGCCGTTGGAGATGAACATATATCATCATTAGCGTTAATTGCACATAAAAGCGATGTTTTGAGAATAATATCAGTATTCCGGGGGATGTACTCGGAGGAGGAGAGCGAAAGAATATGGGGTGCCTGAAAAATAAGCGGGGAAACACGAACGGTTGACGTGGCCTGCCTCAGGCAGTGCCTCCTGTCTAGATTTAAAGCACTTTGGATTCCTTCGAGGCTGTGCTTTTCTTTCTTGTCACTCCTCATTCTCCTTCCCCTCCATTCTTTTCTCCAGTTCAGCTCTGGCAACATGCTCTGACCCTGATTCGTCTGGCGCAGGAGGCTCTGCATGCACGCAGTCTATCAACGACCCTCAACCAACCATCTCCGTCCTGTCATTGATCACCGGAGATAAGCCTGGAGACTCAGCTGTCTTTGTGGGCCATAGCATATAAAGGAACACCTCCACCAACACTCCACATCTACAGTCCTTAAATCCCAATCATCAAATATGACCGTCCTCTCCCTCCTCTGTGGGTGCTTCCGCCGCCCCACTGATCATCCTCCCCAGGATCATCCCCACGAACACCGGCATCCTCGCGATTCAGATCCAGATCCAACGCAACACGGACCGGCCGTGGGCTCCGACCCTCCGACCATTCCCGAGTCCGGCGATGCAGGCTACGCCGCAATCACGCCCCTACCAGCCTACACGCCCCATCCAGTCGAGGTGCGCGAAAAGACCCTCGAGGCCCACCTGCGCGATCCGCCCCTATCGTCGGAATCCTTCCCCCACCACACCGCCGACCCGGACGCCAAGTCCAGCTTTCACCATCACCACTACTACTACACCCCGCACTTCCCCAGTAAAAATAACGAGGACCTCACGTCCGACGTGTCCTCCGCTGTCTCCTTCACAAGCAGCTACGGCAACACGTCCACCGCTACCCGCGAGACCCCTCCCCCGCCGTACTCCCCGCGGGGCGTGTCGCCGTCGCCCTCGTGGCGTCTGTACCGCCAGCAGTGGGCTAACACAGCTGCCAATTCTTTACCGTCGTCTTCGTCCACGGCCTCGTCGAGACGCCATTCAAGGTCTATGTCCGTCTCGTCCGCGACGAGTCTGCCTTATCCGGGTGTACCTCCGCCGGCGCCGGTGCCGCCGCTACCCCCGTTACCTATGGCGCAGGTGACGCCGCCGAGGCCGGTCCTTAGGCGGGGCTTAGGGGTGGGACGGCGGAGTGTGGAGGAGATGGCGAGGAGATATTCGTGGGAGAGTCGTTGACCTCCTTCCTTTCTTTTCTTTCCTTTTTCTTGGACGTTTTGGCTTACTATCTGCACTAATATACTTAATACATGGGAGGGGTGTGGGTGTTTGTTTGATCGCTTGATGCGTGGAATGAATGTTACGATGTGGATGAGGATGGATATGGATAGCTACATGCATGTGGTTTGGCGTTTGGGCTGATTTACTACAACTATATTAATCATGTCTTGAGGATTACATATACGAATACATAGACATACAGATTGGGTTATGAATTCTTAATTATATACCAAATAGAGCAAAGAAGAAGTCCGTAAAATCGTCAAGACATGGAAGACGTAAAGAATAGATATACAAAAAGAAAAAAAAAAAAAGAAATCTACTCACCAGTCTCCCCATCACCATCCTCACCCACCTCCAACACATCACCATCACCATCATCAACACCATCCCACTCCAACACATACCCACAAGCCCGCGCCGGAACCCCCAACAACCGCCTAACCCTCCCATCCCTCGACCCCTCCAAAAACATACAAACAGCCCCCAACTCAGACCTCAACCTCCCCCCCAACCACCACACGTCCCCGGCAGCACCCATCATAAGCGCCATCCACCACGCCAAAATCACAAGCGCAGGGACCTCCCTCCTCCCCAAACACTCATAAAAATCCGGCATCAGCCTGCCCATGAAATTACAATAGTGGTGGAAGGAGCGCGGGGAGCGCTCTAGTTCCAGCAACGGGGTGAGCATGCGCAGCGGCCAGACGTAGGGGTTGTTTGATTCTGTGTCGTCTTCAGAGACGATGTTGCAGAGCGCTGCGAGGTCAGGGTGTAGATCTATTGGGCCTGGGCGGTGGTCTTCGAAGAAGGCGTTGTCTGAGCGGGTGGACATGAATGTGGTGAACCAGATGCTTTGGGGGAGGTAGCTGCTAGTCAGGGAGAGGAGGTGGCGAAGGCCGGATTGCATTGTTAGCCAGGATAGGGCGTGGGGGTTTGAGTCTATTGTGTAGATGAAGGAGGTTTTCCTTGGGTCGTTGGAGGAGGATGAAGGGTCGAGCATGAAGGTGTGGGAGGTGAGGAGGAGGCACGTGGAGAAGAGCGCGTCCATGTTCTTTGGGGATGCGCCGTGGGAGAGTTCGCGCGCGTATTGGCTTATGCTGCGCTGCCAGTGGTGGGATTCGAGCATGGTGTAGGTTGTTCGGGTTGGGGATGAGGCGGGCGTTAGGTGGAGGAGGTGGGAGAGGGAGGTTGCGAGGACGGCGTGCATTACTGTGGGGGAGGACAATGCGAGGTGGGTCATGCGGGTGCGCATTAGGTTGAAGGAGTTTTTGTCGCTGATTGTGGAGGCCGTTGCGGAGTGGAAGTGCTGGAGGGCGTGCAGGTGGTGGTGTCTGTGTGCTTGGGGTAGTTGGAGGAGGGAGTCGAGGTTGCTTGCTATGTCCGTGAGGGACAGCGTGTAGGCTGTCCGGTCTGGATGGACTAGATTTGAGACTGCATCGAGCTCGTTCCCCCTGGAGATCGGAGCGTAGGTGCAGTCGACGCCGTGCTTCTGGCACCGGAGACAGTGCGGTTTGGTCTCGTCGCACTGATTTATCTGTTAGGGTTGGCTACTGACTATTCCATGGGTTGGTGTATACCTTGACCCGGCGGAGTTTACACTTTTGACATCCTCCCCGCGACTTGCGATGGGCCCGACGAGAGTGGTATGCTGCTTGGGACGCATCGCCAGCGTTTTGGGGTCTCAACTGTACCCGGAAGATGCTCTTCTGGCCTTTCATCCTGGGGGAGAGGTCTGCCGACATGCTGCAATTCACTCTAATGAGTCTGGCGCAGTGGTAGATGGTACACTATCATGACCATCCAGATATGTTCAAGTGTCGAGAAGTAGCATCGTTAAGACCCACCCAGAAGAACAGCTGGCTAACCCGATCGGGGAACTCGTATTCGCCCTCCCAGTGGATTGACTAAGAATAACTCAATACGAGATAAAGGATGAGCACTCAATGATATGCATTACTTCATACACCGTAAGAATACCTAACCTCTATCCGATCTGCGCATTGGAGAAGTCCATTTCTGGACCAATCAGTATAAAAAACCCTCATGGCGAACCCTCATGAGAAAAACATACCTGGATGCTCCGCCTGGAACTGCTTCAGAATATCCCTCTTCCGCTGCTCCTCACTCGACAACCCACCCGTCTCCTTCTGCCGCTGATCATACATCATCTTCTCGACCATCGCGCGCGTCTCCCCGTCCAGATCGCTCAGCGACGAATTCTCCGGCGTGATCTTCGTGACGTCAATCTTGGGCGCGCCCGTCACCACATGCGGCCACCATTCCATCTTATTGACCTTGTCCAGATGCACCGATACTTCTTTGCCGGGGGGATGAGACGTCGTTTCCAGCGTCCACGAGGATTCGTCCACAATGATCGGGTGGGGGAGGTCGCCCTGTACTCTGATTAGCTTCTCTTTCACCTCCATTAGTTTAGTTGTTGTAGATAGGAGATACCTCAATAAACGCCTCCTGCCCCTTAATCGCAACCTTCAGCTTCGTCTTGGTGAGAACCACGTCCAGATCACGACCCTTGATCGTCCCCGCGACGGGGATCGTCACGTCCACGTCGCGGATGCTCTGCGTCCATTTGTAGGGCAGCTGGGCCTGCTCGGCGGCTTCTCTGGCCTTGCGCTCTTTCTCCTCGTGCTCGCGCTCGGCGGTCTCAGCTGGGGTGGGGATCTGCTCGGAAGACATGTTGGGACTGAATTGTTCAATCGGTAGACATACAGAAGTGGGATGATGGGATGTCCAGAAAATAAAAAAGGTGGGGGAAGCTCGGGCGGATAAATAGTGGGGCCTGGATTTCTTCTTTGGGAAAAACATTCTATCATTATACTTCTTTCTACTCTTATCTACTTGAAAAGAGATTATGTCTATGTAACTTGAGTCGACTTCCACCCCCCAATCATCCCATTTTCCCAAATCTTCTCCCTATTCCCACGTACGGCGATATCAACCGCCGCCCGCGCGAGCACATCCACGCGCACTGACGGTGCTAGTCCGCGCACGAGATCCACGACGCTGGTAGTCTTGTTCAACACTAACCCCGGTCGCATAATGTATGATTCGAAGGTATCACCGTGGAGTGTGGCGTGTGCCAGGAGGGCATTTTCTCCCGCGCCCTAGAAATAATCGTTATCAATGCGCTCTCGTCGGTATCCGTTCAGTCTGCCCAGAAAGAGGGGGAGAAACAAACCCGCACTCGCCGATACGGCCCCGAAAACCACAACGACTTAGACTGATCCCTCTCCGCCAGGGACCCGCTCAAATACACAAACCGGAAGCGACTCCCCCTCCCGGAGCAGGTCCTGGTAAAGGCTTGCGCAGCCTGCTCCGTGAAATCCACCGTGACTCTCCGCGTCGTCTGTGCGTCGGACGCTCGCGACGGCACTACGCCTAGTGTCCAGATGCAGGCGTGAGCGCCGCGCAGGGCGGCTATCAACTGGGGGCTCGAGTAGGAGAGGAAGTCATCGTCTTGCATGCGGTAGATTTGCACTTTGGGGTCTGTGGTAGGGAGGTCTCGTCGGGTGAGGATCACGATGGAGGTTATGGATGGGTGGGAGAGGCATTGGGCGAGGACTTCTTTGCCGACGAAGCCGGTTGTCCCTGTTAGGATTATTTTCATTGTATGTCTGTATGTAGTGTTGTGGGGTGGTGGAGTAGATTTGGGAGTGGGGAGGAGTAGATAATCTATCTGGAATTATGGGGAAATATCGTAGATATACTCCCTAGGTATCAGTTCAGAGGATTGCACAGCCATCTTGACTCAGCCTTGCTGCTTGCGCCGATCCGATCTGCGGGTTGAGGTTATCGCGGCCAGCGCATGTAAGGGAGGTCATGTTCTATCTATAACCCGTAAATGACGCGGAGGTATTGGGCACCAACGGGATTTGAACCCGTATAAGGCATGACTGTTTGACCACGTCATGTCAAGATCTGAATCGTCCTGGGAGAAATACTCTAGATACGAAGGGACTAGTAGGCTACACTGACATACTAGGTGGTTGGGGGCCAAATCTGGGTGCCTGGCATCCTTGATCTCACACCGATCTGGTGTAGTTGTTTCATGGTGAGGACTGACTGGGCTTTCTAGAAAGATTCTTCTAGGTACCCGTATTATTCTTGGAAAAAGAACCGGTGATGACATCTTAATCGCTCGTACGTTGTTAGTAGTAAACCCTATCTGCTCTATAGCCGCCTAGGGCTTCCCCGGTGCCAGTATAACGCTCTATAGCGAGAACTCGTTAAATATGGATCAAGCAACGTAGATACTCTCTGAGAGCCTATATTCATGTAGACTAGTATAGCAGGCTCTCCATCGAGGGAAAACTATGTTGAAGATGGCATCATTGTAAAATTAGAGGTTTATGCTGTATCTACACAGCTCCATCTATGTAAACGACCACTACATGTATACCATGACACCATATTGACTTTGTGCATTGCATGATTACCAACAATGATCTCCGAATGCCCTATGGTCAATGACTCGCTAAGTCGTGAGATTGATGTGGAAAAAAGAGAGGAAATAAATACTCCAGACAACCGTGGACCTTCCCCCCAAACTCCACAAATAGGAAAGTGCACTCGACATCGCTCGAAGAACAAACAAGACTGGGTACTATTCTCAGCGTGATTTTCCCTCCCATGCGAAAACTCTGTTCCAACGCCTTTCCCCCTGTCCCATTCATCCGAATAACAAAAAAGAAAGAAAGTGAAAAAGAAGAAAAAGAGTATGTTCAGCGCCATTCATAAACCGCAGCTGCCCGCCTATGGACCGCAGGTGGAGTCTGGCCCCTGGTGAGGATCTTGCACTTCGGGCGTGGACTCATCCTCCACCGTGTCGAAGAACTGGCTGGCGTATTCGGCGACTTCGTTCGCGAACTTGTTGCCCAGGATTCCCTCCAGCGCCCACATGTCTTTCATCCACTTCTGCTCCTGTCGCGCTTTCTCCTCTTCTAACCGACGGCAGGTCCCGTCACGCTCGCGGAGCTTGAGGCAGTTGGGGCAGAGGTAGTTCACCTCGCAGTAGGAGCAGCTGCATGGTGGGTGCGCCGTGACGCAGTCCTGGCACACGTACACCGAGCAACTCGTGCATTCCCGCATCTCGCTGCCGCATCGCTGCCGGTGATCGCCCACTGCCCGGTATTGCGGACAGAAGAAGGACTGGCAGCCCTGCCATTTGGGTGGCTCCGTCGGTGACTCACAGTACACGGACGATGGCGACGATGAGCGGGATCGGTTCGAGTTGGACACCGAGAAGCTCCGGGACCGCCCGTGCAGTGCCGCGCCAGCTGCGTGCGGGGCTGACGTGCTCTCGCCGACGATCCCATCCGCCTGGTTGTCTTCGGTGAAGCTGCTGGTCGTTGAGTCGATCGCTCGCTGCGTGCGATAGGGTAGCTCGAACTCCGGCACGGTATGGGTATATGGGACGTGGGGCGACGGATACGAGCTGGGAGCGGTCGGCTCGCTGCTGGACGCCGACCGATTTTGAATGGTCAGCTTCTCCAGCGTAAGATCGCGATAGCCACAGATCCGTAACCGAAGGCCGCGAAGGTCGTGTTCAATACACAGGGGCTTCGAACAGCTCTTGCAGTGCACCTTCCACTGCGGTGTGTCGTAGCAGTCTTGGCACAGATTGCGCGGACAGGCCGTCGGCTGACGATCTGGCGGTCCCAACAGCCACTTCATCATAGCGATGTGACCTGTCTCCAGTGTGTAATCGGGCTTCCGTGGGTCCCCATACGCGTACTTGGGGAAGGTTTTGCTCCACTCCTGCGCTGAATACTCCAGATCCTCCCACCCTTGTCCACGGGGCAGGGGCGCAGCTCGCACCTGGTCGACATCCCGATTCGGCGTCCCAATGCTGATCCCGCCACCACCCGAGAAGATGGGCTCCGTGCAGCACCAGTGGAACTTCAGCGACGGATAAGGTAACGAGGCGTTTGGATTCCCGTGGTCCGAGTTGACGTGAGGGTCGTGCATGAGACACGGTGACACCGACGCATTGGGCGCCCACCACAAAGAGGCTGCCTTATCGCGAGAGGATGACGAGTGGCTACCGTGGTGGACGTAGGGTCGTTCATAGGCACAGCTGGCACAGAGGGTCTTTCGACACCCAACGCAGTGCATCAGGATGCTGCATTGCTCACACCTTTCGGGGATCGCGTCGCCGCAGTGGTCGCACCGGACGTTCTCCACAAAGCGTCGGTGACTCCAACGCAGATGTGCCGGCTTCATCCTGCCCTCCCCAAGGTCTCCCCCTTCGCCCGTCCCCAGGGCTTCCCCGAAACAGCCGGTCTCTTGGTGTTCCCACAGCTTTCCATTCTTCCGAAGCGACTGGGAGCCGGTGTCCACCGGGCCAATCCAGTTCTTCGACCGCCAGAGCCGGTCAAACACCACCCACACCTCTGGCGACCCCTGCGGCACCCGCATGGAGACATAGCCTCTTCTCCGGAAACACCGTGCCGCCGGGGTGGAGCACCACGCCGTGTCGGTCCAAATTCCCAGCTTCCGGCACAGGTTCACCAGTTCGTGGGTCGGTTCCGAGTCTGAATCCTTTCGGGCCAGGGAGGAGGACAGGTACGGTCGTCTGCGGTGGTGGCGGCATCGGTATGTGAACAAGCTCTTGAGCGCCAGGTGTTTGATCGAGGGCGAGCTGCCAATGCTCTTCCCCATATCCACATCGTACTGCAGTCCGAACATCGTGAGGTAGGGAATGATATGGTACTTGAGCGAGACATTCTTGCATCCGCGGACGGACAGGTGCTCCAGAGTCTCCCGCCGTGCGTAGAGGACGGTGGAGAAGAGAATCTGACCCGACACGGCCGTGTTATCCAGCTCCAGGCTCCGCAGACAGGGACTGAAGGGGATCACCACGTTCATCAACAGCTGATCGAGCGCATACGGGCGAGACTGACGGGGGGTCGCCAGATCGGATGATTCAGTGACGGCCAGCCGGAGGGGCGACGGAGTGCCCGACGGGTAGAAGAGGCGGAAGGAGAGATATTTCCATGCTGTGGGGTAGGATCGCAAGAAGGTCCGCAGATAGCGAGAGGTATGGTATAGCTTGACAATGGTATCGGTCGGGATCTGAAGGAGAAGGGATTCCAGGATCGGGGCATTAGTAGTCAGGACTCGTTCAAACATGGAGAGAACCCGTTGCGCAGGCATCGACTGTTCCCGCGCCGACTCCACGAGCCCTTGTGAGGCAGGGCCGGTGTCATCCTCCTTCATGTCCAGAGAGCCCGGATCCCGGCTATCCACCGCGGTCACATCACGAATGGACGTCATGATGTTGTCCGAAGTTGTTTCTCTTTTGGTTTGGTCTTTTCTTTTATCTTTCTTTTTTCGATTTTCAATTTATTCTTTCCACTCTGTCTTGCACTTCCAAAGATCAGAGGGACGCGAGATCGCGAGCACAGCGGAGGATGCGGAAGATGCCGCACATGATAAGGAGGGAAACGGAAGCGCCAGAAGGACGAGATACACCCAGGAGTCAAGACAACCGCATGAATTCCACCAAGGATAAAAGGGGAGAATGAGAAAGGAGTGTAAGGGAAGAAAAGAAGGGAAGGGGGATTCTTGGGAGAAGCAGAGAGGAGAAATGGTGCTCCGATGTGGCTTTGACAACTCACAATTGGGATCAAATCCAACGTCCGGGATCTGCCTGAGGTTGCATCATGTGATAGGTCGCCTCCACTGCTATCTCTACCTAAGGTATCCATTCACTTCCTTCTTTCAGTCATTTCATTCAGTATTCACTCCAGTCATAGTCATTCACTGCTGTCATTCATTGCTATGATTCATATCATTTCTCTCCTTCATCTGCTGCATTGTTTCCCTTTGGCTCCCCTAGGTAGGACGGAGCTTGACCCATGAATCATCACAGGGGGTTATTATTGGCCTGTTAGCGCCCTGGGAATGGGGTCCGTCCAAGGCGACGACTATCACCACTCCTATTAACTCTTCAGGAATCAATAGAACTCTAATTATTCTGACTTTATTGGCACATGGTGGAAACCAGGGGGGAGATGGAAAATCAATTCAAACGCTGATGCGATCATAGTCTATCGAGTCTAACGAGGTTAAATTCCTTGCCGGGAACTCTAGTGCCGATCGTTTGCCTCTCCTACCGTATATCCCCTTGCGATGCCCTTGCGCCCTTCCACCACCAGCGTACTATCCCGCTCGGACTCGCCCTCCTCCTCATATTGGATATCGAAGTCACTGCCCAACCCCTTCCAGGTTCGTTGCGACCTTAGAAATTCAGCCCCCGGGGAGACGGTCCCGCCGATCATCGCCAAATCGCCCTTGGCCCGTCTGGCGAGAGCCCGCGCGGCGGAGGGCCCGCTGCCCGCCGGTGCCCCCTCGTCGGCTTGTCCAGAAACGCGGGGTGCAGGGTTCCGCATCGGGCGCGAGTGTGAGACATATCGACCGGTGCGCAGATCGAACTCGGGCGGGGCGGATTCCTCTTCCGACATGTCGTCTTCGTTGTCGTCTTGCGCGCCGTCGTCCTGGTTGGTGTTTTTGTCGGGTCGGCCTTCTTCCTGGTTTGGAGACGGTTGGTCCAGGACGCTCTGGAAGTCACTCTGCCAGGCCCCCGTCCAGACCCGCTCCTCATCCCCCTTGAGGGTGAGCTCCAGCTCGAATGGGGTGATCACCGGCTTCCAGAAGTCTTTGCTGTCCACCAATGAGCTCTCCCAGCAGCCGATGACCACCCAGCCGCCGATCTCGCTGAAGTTGGCCACCTTGGCGGCGTTCAGCTTGCCCACGACAAACACGTAGCTTTTCTTGCCGGCTTCGGCAATCCGTCGTTTGACGTGCTCCACGATGTGGAGGTAATTCTTGACGCTGAGCGTGTTGATCAGGATCCCGAAGATCGGCTCCGTGCTGAGTCGCGTTAGGATCGCGTACCGACGCCGCAGGGCGAGCCCCGTCGACGCTGGCAGCGGCTTGACCGTCTCGCTCGCCGGGCGATCCGTAGGGTAGATATGGATCGACGCGAGGCGCGACGCGAGGGTCAGCAGCAGGGCGGTCGGCGGGTCCGAGAGATGGAACAGCTGCCACTCCGTCAGGGTGTCCGGTGCGCCCTTCACCGAGTCCGGCACCGTCCGGTTGGGAATCGCGGATGACGGGTCGTGGACCAGCTCCGTCGCGTACAGATTGGTGTAGCCTTCGCTTGTCAGGCGCGCGTGCACGGTGGGGATGTGGTCGGTGTAGGTGACATCGGCCGCGAGGATGACCTTGGCGGTAGGGTCCGGGTAGGTTTCTTTGAAAGCCCGGACGACGGGCCCGAGAGGAAGGGGCTTGTGGGTGAAGACGTAGATCACTGGCAGTCGGGCCGTTGGCGACAAGCACGACCGGCCGTAGTGCACGACGGCGTCTGCTTCCACATGTTCCGCCGCGACTTCGTCCACGCAGCACGTTCCGTAGGATGTATCCCCCAAGATGTAGAGTTTCGGCGCATAGCTCTGGTCCTGCACGTCTAGCTGGGCCACCGACTGCGCAAGGCATGCACCGCCGCAATCGCTATCGACCTTGGTTGCCGCGTCGCTGCAACCCTGGGCATTTCCGTTATCATCGTTATCGGCGCGTCGGGCATCCAGACCCCGACTGAGCAGCTGGAACACCCGCGGCGCATCCGGCAGCATATCATCAGGGAACTGGAGCGCAATGCGCTTGTACCGGGCTTGGCGGATTTCCTTCAACGTGCGCTCGATATCGTAGGTAATCGAGAGCTCCTCGTCCGACAAAGTGCGGTGTCCATCCTGCGCGGCGACGGGCTCGGTGGCTTCCAGGATGCGATCATCCGGCGTTGAGAGGACAGGGGCGGCCTCCATTTCGTTTGTCATTTCGCATTCACTATTTAGAAGAATAGGCGAGAATTATTAGAGCGGTGGAGAGAATTCGGCTGTTAGAGAGCGTTTGTCGGTAGGTGGTGGTATTGAAGTGGTTGATTTGGAGAAAAAAAAATCGCGGAAATCGTCCCATTTATTTTTTCCCCCACTTCTATTCAATCTTCACCCCGCCATCCGCTTGGGAACCAATAACACTAGTGCCAATTACTTTGAGAGTATACACATTACCTGCACCATATGTTGATATTGTATCGTTGATTTGCATGCGAATTGAATAATGGTATTGAAATTCTACCGATCCCATCATCAATAATCCTAGTGGTCTTCCGAGTGTGGTATTATCTACAGATCCACCCCAGCCGGCTAATCCGTTACCTCTCTAAATATGTATCGATAGATGATCTTCCGGCATCAGTCTGCTACGGCGATATCGAGCTCTTTAAACTCAAGGCCCGAGTAAACGCAATGTCCAACTCCGGAGGATCTTATATTATTACGTCACGTTCCTTATCCTGATATATAGAGTGTCGAAAGAGGAACTTATCTCAGATATTGCCCTTTTTTGGCTAGCGTGCCCTACGAGTGATAAAGTTACCATATCCACCCCAACAACACCGATATCAGATGCTATTTTAGCTCAGTCTGATTTATGCCTCATGTCTGTTGAGCCTGACAGGGAGTGTCATGCTTCGCGCAGAAGCCTTTCCAACGGGACTCTGTGCTCTGGGTTCCACTGTCTGCCCTCCGTGTTGATAGTATGTCCTGGAATGGATTTTCATTGCACTGTTATTAGAATAAGGAGCCTAAGAATCTATCAAGGCTTTAGTAGATAGGCCAGTTGCGTTGGTGGATGTCTGGCCTAAGAGCTAAGCCAGATTGTTGTCTGCCACGTACCTCTCGACTATCGTTATCTTGATGGCTTTCCCGCTTGTTACCCTAAGCATCTTTACCCTAGAACCTATGAAGATAGCTGCTTTTAATCTATCAATTAATTATTTCGATTCTGTCGCGCTGGGCAATGGGCAGTCATAAGGGTCATGATACGATACGATAAATATTCCACCTCGGCAACGGGCTATCTTAGAGCTTTACTTACATCAACAGAATGATCTCGCTTCTTCATTACATGTGTTTATACTTCCAAAGCTGCATGCAACTGACTGACCTATCAATTAATCAAACCAACTTGCTAGAATCAAGACAGTCATGACCCTACACCGCCAGTTATCTGTACACCCCCGATCCTTCCAGCCTTAAATTCATCCACCATCTCCCCAAAGGTACACCACTCGACCCCCTCATGGGCATTCAAATAGTCAATCAATCTCTGATGCAAGAGCAGAACCTGTGGCTTCCCACTGACCTGCGGATGGATCGAGATCGGGAACACAAAGGTCTCATATTCGCTGTAGAGGAAGTCAAACTGATCTTTCCAGAGTCGTTCAATAACGTGAGGGTCGACATATCCGTGCGACGGCCCGTCTTCAAGCTGAAAGGGGGGCCAGTCATCCAGGTGCCAGTTCGCGGGGACTTCAACGATTTTGCTGGTAGTTAGCTGTCCCATAGGGACCATCCAGGAGGGAGCTTGCTTCGATAGATCTGTTGTTTTGATGTCCTCTGGGAATTGCGGGACATAGTATAGCTGGGAGTCGTGATGCATGTATGAATGGTCATACTCCTGTAGTCCAAGTTAGCTTCCTGCGCTGTCGGCACCATAAAGCTGGAATCCTACTAAGCCGGCCTCCTCCAGTAACTTGATGCTACGGGGAGAAGTCTTCCAGGAGGGCGCGGTCCATCCTCTCGGACGCTTTCCAGTAAACGTCGTGACCACTTCGATGGAGCGGGCGAGAACTTCTCGCTCTTGCTGTTCCGATAAAGCGTTGACATGTTCATGGGAGTAGCCATGTAAACCACTGCGGAAATTAGCAGTCGACAAGCCAACCAGGGGGGGGATCTATACATTTCATGGTTTGCGTCTCTGATCTTCTGAATCTGGTCTGGAAACGACTCTATTGAGTGCCCTGGAACGAACCAAGATGCCTTGATGTTGTTTCTATCTAGCAACTTGAGTAGACGATCGATGCCCACCGTTGCACCGAAGATGCCACGGGACATGTCTGTCAGATCGGGCGCAGAGCCATTCTCAGAGTTGATCCTATTGCCATTTAGTTGTGATAACAAAAACGAAAGAAAGAAATGTTGAAAATGCTGGACTATACCATCCACTAACTGCGTCGACGTCGATTCCGTAGCCTACAAGCACACGTTTTCCCATCTTGAATAGTTCAAGTAAGCACTGATAGCGTCAATAAAGCAACGAATTCATGCAATTATTAAACAGTCGAAAGGCCAGGAGCGCCGATGTGTATATAATCTTTGCGATCTTGAGGTAGGGCCGCTGAACGACCTTCCTAAACCGGGCAAAGATTGAGCGCAGCCATTGAGCCTTTTCGACAAGGGAGAAAAGTAGGGCGAGAAACTACAAAGCCTTATACATCTTGAATTGAATTGTCATATATCATCACACAACTGTTTCTGATCTTGACACTCATTTACCTGAGAATAGTGCTTCTTTCACTTGTTCAGTCACCAAGATGAAAACCGTACACTGCCATGGAACGCCGTATGAAGTAAGTACATGGATTATATACTTATCTATTGACAGGACAAGCTGGGATTTTGTCTTGAATATTAACCAGCATATCAGCTTGGACACGCACACGGAGTTGGCGCAATGGAAATGGTTCAACGGAGTGTCTCATTCTATAAAAAGATGTTTGCCCATACGTGCAAACTCAAGTGGCCTGTTGTTCGCACAATCGCAGAAGACTGGAAGAGGGAGATGAAGCGAAAGTGGCCACATTACTACAGCGAGATACAGGGTGAGTTGGTTGACTTAACTCGCATTTGCCGTGACTAAAAAACGAAGGCATTGCGGATGGTTCTCAGATGCCACTGATTGACATTGTGATCCTCAATATCCGTACGGAAATTGCGTTTGGGATGTTCAACGATGGGTGCACGAGTTTGTACTGGAAAACCGACAGATATTCCTTTTTGGCACAGAACTGGGATGTGAGTCTTTCTTGAACCCGAATTGCTGCAGCCACCTTCTCATGTTGAGATAGTGGATGGAGGAGCAAAAGCAGAACCTCCTTGTCTTGAATATCGTCAGTGACACAGGGCCTCGCATCAAGATGATCACGGAAGCAGGGATTATTGGCAAGATAGGGCTCAATGAACTGGGCGTTGGCGTCTGTCTCAATGCTATTAAAGCGCCCGGCTGTGATCCGTCGCGACTTCCAGTCCACCTTGGGCTTCGAGCGGCGCTGGAGAGCTTGTCAGCGGACGCGGCTGCTCGGCAGCTGAAAGAAGTTGGAATTGGTGCATCCGCGCATTTTCTAATTGCTGACCAAGAAAAGGCTTTCGGACTCGAGGTAACAGCACGAACGATCGAGACTATCCAGACAAATGGAAAGGGTCAGATCTTCCATGCGAATCACTTGCTGCTACCGCACCGTGGTGTTGTAGATGCAAATTGGCTGGTAGACTCGCCTAGACGACAGCGGCGGATCGAGCAGTTGGCCCTCAAACATGTATCTTCGACAGGTCAAAAGGGACCAACCATGGCGGATATCATGGAAATGCTAGATGACCATGAAGGGTTTCCGTATTCGATCTGTCGATATGAAGAGGGACCGCTGGGAATGGACGCTACGCTGTTTAGCATTGTCATGGAGCTGCGAAGCAAAGGAGCCACTGTGCGTCTTGGACGGCCATGTCAAGTCGAGGAGACAATAGAGCTCGATTTCTAAGATGTATTTGAGGCTTAACAGTGGACTTAGAAGGGCCACACTACAGATACTGCATATGATTACGAGGGTGGCTTATCATTGTACCTGCGCCGTAGGGAGTATCCACAGTACCCCAAATTCCGGTCCCCGTAAACCCTAACAGGCAGTTGGAGGCGACGAGATAAGAGCTGGTGTCGGCTTCCCCGCATTCGTTAATCTTATCTATACGGTATACTTTATCATTTCTTGTCCTTCGATCCTCTTACTTCCCTTCCCACCTCTATTCTCGCCAGGTTGTGGCCATGTCGACCTCCCAGTTGTCCGGAAGGGCCTGCAAAACATGCCGCCGCCGAGGACGGCGCTGCGACCGACGTCTCCCTGCATGTGGTACCTGTGAGTCTAATGCCCTGACTTGCGAGGGCTACTTGCTGCGGTGGTCGGGACTAGCAAGCAGAGGTAGACTTGCTGGCAAAACTGTTCCGGTCAGTTCAGGCTCGGGCGAGAAGCGACAAAAGCGATCGCGACATGCTCAACGGGGCCCCTCATCACAGGCACCACCGCCGGTGTGTTCTATTGACTCGTCAGCTGCTGAACCGACCGCTGGACCGACCGCTGAAAGGAGAAGAGATAATCATGATTCCCAACCCAGCAATGAGGTGACTCGCAATGACGACTCGACTGCTCCGCGGCCCGTCGAATTTTCGCTGTGGGATATAGATGCAGACTCGCAAATTGACCCACTACTATGCACTACTCCGCCTGAAGAGCCTGATCATGCGCTCTTAGACAGTGGAATACTAGACCCGGCTCCCGATTTCAATATGCCCTGTGATGCACCTATTGAATCAGAACTATCCTCATATTCGAAACTGTCTTTGTTCTTTGGACTCGATCTATTACGTATCCCAGTGGAGTTGAACTTCATCTTGGAGTACCGTAAGGACTCCCTGCCACATTGCAAATACCTGAACGTAAATACTGACATGTTAATCTCCAGATCTCTGCGAAGTTGTTCCCAAGTTGTGCGTGGATAACTACGCCCCCGAAAATCCATACCGTGACTACATTTTCCCCCTTGCCACTGAGGTACCGTCTCTACTGTATGCGTGTGCTGCTCTGGCAGCGTGCCATTTCAACACACGACTCGGGACAACCCAGTTCCTGCCCGAGTTCTTAAGATTCAAAGGCAAGGCAATGAAGCGTCTCCAAGAAGATTTGTATTCCGAATCGCGCGCCAAACACCCTGCAACTATCGCGACGATCCTCATGCTCTGCCTCTGCGACATCTGCCAAGGAGGGTTTTCCAACTTCGAATCTCACTTTTGGGGAGCCAAGAAGTTGATTGAATTACGTGATTCTGAACGTACCCTTGGCTGCTTTGTGGAACAGTATCTGGTCTGGTGGGTAGTGGAACCCCCTAGATGTGATCCTGTTTGCCGCGTGTTCCAACGTGCTGACCTGTCTAATTCTCTCTGCTTTCAGGCTAGATATAATGGCAGCTGCTTCACATTCAAGACAGCCCGTATTCTCTTCCCAAGATGTAGAAGGGTTTTTAAATGGGAGTGGTCGTAATTGGAGCTTTGATGTTTTCCCATGCACCTCGGAGCAGTTCCAACTGGTGTGCGAGGCCGTCCGCCTCTATAAGGGCGAGTGCATTGCGGAGTCCCCGTCGCCAGAGACACTACACCAAGTGGAAGAGATCAAGCAGAGATTATTGCAAAGCCCGGCTCAATCAGACCGAGGAAAGCATTGGTTTCACTTGACAGAGGCTTACAGGTATGCGATCCTGCTATATGTAATACGGCTGTTTCAATGTGAGACCGACGAGTATGAGATCGATTGGCTGGCTTCAAGCGTCTTCTACCATGCAAGATCTACGCCTCCGGCCTCAGGATGGTCTGACCAATTACTTTGGCCGCTTTTCCATGCTGGTCTTGAAACCCGGGACAGCGAACGGCACGAGTGGCTAAGAGAGCGAGCACGATGCATGCAGACATCCGGCGGATTTGGCAACGTGCAAAGCGCGCTAAACATCTTAGAGGGCGTATGGGCCAGTGAACGGTCTACGAAATACTTAGACTTGATGTTGGGATCTGGAAATGTCAATCTGCTTCTCATTTAAGTTCTCTGCCCTGCTAATATAACGAGAAGCCACCTCTACAATTTCCCGGTCCGCTTTGGGATCTCCTTGTACTGCTTCTCCAGCTCTTGCGCACAGCGTAAGCCTATCAAGTAAGCGTTGATTTGCGTATGATTGCTGTTCAGCACGTGTTAACCAGTCGATTCTTACAGAGGGACAGAACGACTTACCATGTCAGAATGGGACACACGCTGAGATCAGCCACACGTAGATTTTGCATTCCCTTCACACAGAATCCATCCTCGACAACCGCAGTCGGATCGCCACGTTTCCCCATCTTGCAGGTGGCCATACTGTGATAGCCTTGGTCGAGATTATCTTGAATAAACTGCAGCAAATCCTCGTCTCTGATTGTGTCGGGGTCCGTGACTCCAATGTCGATCTTGGGGCCATGCACAAGAGTCTCAATTGTTCCCCGGTACGCCTCTGTACTGGCCACCTTCAAAGCAGCCCGGACGGTTTCAATAGCGATACGCCTGTCAAATGGGTGAGCGAGAAAATTCGGATCCACCAGCGGAGGATCGCGTGGATCTCGCGATCGAATGGTCACCGTGCCCTTGGACAGGTTATTTTGGATGAGCATTTCATGGGTGATGTAGCTCTTGGACGGATCATCAGTTGCGTAAACGGACGGGCCAGACCCTAGCCAAATTTCTGCCGAGGGTCTGGTGGGTTCCAGTAGGAATTCTTGAGTGTGGCTATCGAGATCAGAAAACTCTTTGGATTCAAACAGCCTCTGGATCCTTGGAAATGACACGGAGCCGCTGGATCCGTACGTGGCTAAAGGTCCAGTGCGGCTGTCGGCATATTGGGATTTAGCCTGGTCATAGAGCCCTGGGTCGAGGAAGATTTGGTTATGCGCTGGGATGCTGTCGTCTACCTTGTATTCGCAGGTGATGATGGAGTGGTCGAGCATATTTCGACCGCATCCTAGATTGATATACGTCAGCTTCATGTCAATCCAAGTGACTGTATTTCTTGACGAACCTGGTGAGTCTATGACTACAGGAATCCCGTGCTTCTGCAGTACGTCGAGGGGCCCAATGCCTGACAGCATCAAGATCTTAGGAGACCCAAACGTTCCTGAGCAAAGCACTACCTCTTTGCGACATCTCACATGGACTGTTAACAACTGAGCATTAGCTATCGAGCGACAACCATATAGACGCACCTACCTGTTTTTTCAGTCGCCTTGTGATATAGATCGACACCTGTGGCGATCCGGCCGTCGCTGCAAACCCTGTCACATTCAGTATCAGTCAGAACTGTCAAATTTCGGAAACGAGCACGAGCAGAATGGTCCAGGAAGGCGTTGGCGGCATAACTTCTTTCGCCTCGACGAACATTGAACTGCGCCAGTCCGACTCCCACGGGGTTCCCAGAGTTGTTGTCCAGGCACATGGGCATTCCGACCTCAACACATGCCTGAAAGAACGTATTCACGCCCGGTACCAGCTCCTTCCCGAAGCCGACCTTGAGGGGCCTAATTTCATGTTAGTCGGGGTTTCCAACGAACGTCTGGGGTTCTCTTGCCCTGATGATCCATGAACAGAAGCCTTAGGCTGTGCGAAATCACTCGCCCCTGGTGGTAGTTTTGGGTCAAAATCCTCGAGCTATTCATTGCATGTGAGTTGCATGCTCTTCTGCGAGTTGGAGACTGGCGAACGAACATCTTTCATCAAGGGGAGCACATTGTCCCATTTCCACCCAGCGTCACCAGTCAACTTCGCCCATTCATCGTAGTCTGCCGCCGGGCCTCGAGCAAGAGCCATATAATTTACCGCGCTGACATACGATAAGCAATTGTAAAAAAGGAAGAAAGACAATTGTGGATGCATACGAACTCCCTCCCAGCTGTTTTCCACGGAGGAACAGCAAGCGTCTATTATTCAAGTGTCGCTGGGGGACGGTCTCCAGCTCCCAAAGGCCCGCTTTGTCCTCCTGGAGCTGCTTGACATAGTGTCCCGGAATCAGGACCTCCGGCGCCAACCCAGAATCTCTGCCAGACTCTACTAGGAGCACGGAGATGTTCGGAATCCGTGCCAGGCGTGCTGCGATGACACAACCCGACGTGCCGCCTCCACAGACGATGAAGTCGAACATACGGCCGTCGATGGCGCCGGGGTCAACTTGCTTTCCTGAATGCATCGTCTTGGTTTTCCACAGGTGTTTGGACGTTTGCGTTGAGCCTCGCGATCGATGTTTGGGATGGGCGTTCTATGCATTTTCAGTTGGAATAAATCTCCCCCCTGTTTCCTGGATGTCGATAACTTCAACTTGACTGTTGGTGATAGTACAGACGTTTTCCTGGTGTGCTTGTATATTTGCCTAAAAAGGCAAGTGATCGGTCTCGACCTTGTACCTCAAGTAGCTAGCCCTAAAGCTTGATCGCGTATCATTTATTAACCCAAACAGGAATGCGGATGATATATATGATAAACAACAGTAGGAACCGTCGTACTAGTTTGCCGAGGGTTTCTACGCCTCACGCTTCCAATGCTGGCGAGGCCAGCCTTTTGTCCAACCCAGAAGGGTACTATGCGTGGCGGGACTTGTACGAGTCGGTAATTTGCAGATATGCCTGGTCATGAGGGTACTACAGTAGTGCGTAATACATTGTCAAGTACTTAAAATAAACACCTACTCATCAAAGGGGCCTACAGACAGGTGGCTATATATGGATTAATTGATTGATAATTGAATATCTACTCATCGCCATCACAATACGCAGCCTGAACCTGAACCTCCACCAACGCCTCCGGCGGAAACAGAGCACTGACACAAATCGCCGCCCAGGCCGGTTTATTCCTCCCGAAGTACTTTCTCGCAACCGCAGCAATCTGGAGCTGTTCTTCCCTCGTCAAAGTCCCCACATGGAACGAGGTGACGTAAAAGACGCCCTCCCACAGCTTTCTGGTGTCGTTGATGTGCGGCGACGCGGCAGCCAGGGACCGCTGGATATTGATCAGGGATTTTTCGAATTGCTCCGCGTGCGTCCCCCATAGGGGATCATGGTTGTCGGCGATCTGGCCAGAGGTGGCGACGATGCGTGCGTTAGAGGGGATTGAGACGGCGGCCGAGATGTTGAAGATGTTGCCGAGCTCTTCGTAGCCTGGGTAGTTGTATGAAGTGACGGCGGACATGGTGGTCTTGGAGTAGTACAGTGGGAGGAGCTTGAGAAGAAAAGGGTATATAATCAATGAACCCGTTCAATGCTGCGGCCGTTTACAGCTATCGGGCTTCTTAAAAAGCCTGGTAAAGTCTACGATGAATGTTGTAGATAAGAAAGTAGCGGCCTTGGATGTAGTAATCTGCATTATACCGCTTTGGGCAGGTAGATGAGTTGGCTGGGAGGGGAATATGATTAGCTTCCTGTCATCGAATTCAACTGCACGCAGTGCTTACAATCAGTCGTCATAATTGGCGGCCTGTCTGTCTACTATGGTCAGAAGGATAGATGGTGCTATGATAGTTCGGTTCCGGTGGCAGTGAAGTAATGCTTCGTATATCCCATCAAATTGCTGCTGAACTTAGATCGGAATATCCACCCGACGAATACTGCTCACGCGCTGTTATTACTCGGATATCTAGAGATAGAAATAGACACAATGTCAGTAGACTCCCCCCCCATCCTTGTGTTTTGCACTCGCACGACGACGTTGCAATCCTGACACACCATGTCAGACTTTTGAGGATAGTCTCTGTCTCTGGAGCCACGGCAGAAGATGTCAACAAAATAGTCAAATTCACAAGATCAGCGCTTACTGACTTGACCAGCCCGGAGGAATCTCTCCGGATTGGGCCGAGGAGAGATTTTGAACCAACTGGTTGCAATCATGGAAGAGAACCGGGACGCTGATCTCGATGTGTATACGAATATCGGGGCTGTTCACGTTAATGTGAAGCCCAGTATTCGGTAAGGATTCAGCGTATCAAATTCTGAGCTTGATAGAGTTCCTCGCTCTGGGGTAGAGTTAGCAGTTTGCCACATGGAACGGCATCAGCTGCTGCAGTCTGCGGGATTGCGGAGTCATGACCATCTCAAATTCAATACTATTCCCAAAGGAGTATATAAATGAGCCCCAAGACCCTAGTAGACCCACTTATTTAAAGTTTCACGTCAACGGTGAATTGCTATCAGCGCAGGGAATCGCGCATCTTGGTAGATGCTCCCATGCTACATACACTTATCGCTCTGATAACCAGACCTACACCTAGATTACGATACCATGAATCGGCGCCATATACTAATAATTCCCATGTTCGTCTGCTCTCTTGATGTCGGCTGTCCTGTAGCTTTTGACCTATGTTCCAATGGCGGACTGCACCACTCTTTCCATATCCAAAATGCCCAAGACGCCAGATCAGCTTGACTCGGCGACTGAAGATAGCGACCATACTGGTTCGCGAATGGGAGACGACCAAGAGGAACTGCCTCGCCAGTTCTCCCTTCTTTCTACGCTCGCACTCGGATTTAGCATGACCAATTCATGGCTCGGATACTCGGCCACCTTCATCACCCCGCTGTTGATGGGAGGCAGTCCAGCTGTCTTTTTTGGCCTCGTTGGTGCCTCTATTGCCAGTTCCTTGATCAGTAAGACATCCCCGTCTGGTTGGAAGGCATCATTCTTCTGACTTGTGACGGTATGCAGCGGCGGGCCTGGCCGAGCTTGCGTCGGCGTATCCATCCAGTGGCGGGCAATATCATTTTGCTTATATGGTTAGTTCTCCGAGATACCGTGCTCCGGTGGCTTTTGCAATGGGATGGTTGAGTGTGATCGCATGGGCTCTCACCAGTGCATCCACTGCGGTGGTCTGTGGTAGGTCCACTTGGCTGAGCGAGTTTATCAAAGCACTAAGAGCAAACTGATGAATATTTGCAGCACAGATGACTGGAAACCTGGCCAGCATCTACAACCCAAGTTACACCCCAGAGCCTTGGCAGACATATCTGATATATACCGCCCTGGTCCTTATCTCAACAGCAATTGTCTGCTTGTTGCCACGAGCACTCCCCCGAGGAGAAATTGTTATGTTTATTAGCAGCTTTCTCGGGTTTGTCGCCAGTTTTGTCACTGTGTTGGCGACGCAGAAACATAAAAGATCCGCGACAGCGGTCTTTCTCGATTACAAAAACCTCAGTGGCTGGAATGACGGTACATCGTTTCTTCTTGGGCTTGGGACGTCTATGTATGCGTATTTGGCTATCGATGGAGCGTGCCATATCGCAGAGGTATGCTACCTCAACCGCCCGTCTGCCGCCATGTTTGCTCAATGACGTTGTACAGGAGCTTCCAAATCCCGGACGCGATGTTCCTCGTGCCATGGGATTAACAATGCTAATTGGCGCCACAACGGTCTTTCCTTGGACAGTTGCGTTCTTATTCGCGGGCACAGACAACAGTGCCGTCGCCTCATCGTCCATTCCAATCTATACAATCTATCTGCAAGCCACCCAAAGTCACTCCGCGGCCACTGTGCTCACTGTTTGGGTTCTTTTTGTCTACAGCGGCGCGTTGGTGTCTTGTATAGTGACAACCGGGCGACTCGCATATGCATTTGCTCGCGACGAGGGACTTCCGTACTCAAACTCCCCGCTCGGGTCCATACTAAACAACAGGCCCCCGTGAATGCCACAGTGGGGTGTTCTGTCGCCATCATCATCTACGGGCTGATTTATATTGGATCTACAACAGCTTTCAACAGTTTCATAACCATGTCCATCCTGTCTCTTAATCTGACATATGCCGTGCCACAGGCTATAATTTTGTTCCGAGGTCGAGAACGCATCCTGCCTAAGCGCTCGTTTGCTCTGGGTCCGTACCTCGGACGGCTATGTAACGCCTTTTCGGCCCTTTGGGTACCGTTTATTACGATTATATTCTGCTTTCCCACGTCTCTTCCGACAACAGTCTCTAGTATGAACTATGTTAGTGTGGTTATTATTGGGATATCATTCTTGATTCTGGTCTCCTGGTGCGGGGGCAAACATAAGACATTCTCTGGGCCGGTAGGACCTCTTTTCCTCTCCTTCCCCCTACATTTGAAATTCCAGCCTCGCGACTTGGTACCTATGCGTATATACGACTGACCAGACTAGAAAATCGTAATACAGGGACTTGAGGTTGTACCTTAGCATATATACGGCACCAGTCAATCGGAAAGCAACGCTCTTGGGGATGAAATTGAATAACTATTGCGCTGGACTCGTTTGGATATCAATGATGCCTATTTTCAAAGTCTCTTTCTAAATGTAAGGGCTGGAACCAAAAGGCGATATAATGTATCTATTTGTTTATAGTACTAGTCTAGTAGCATCGAGTTGTAGAAGTCAATAATAAGACTACTAAGTAAGTCTCGTGTTGCAGATAGTTCTTTTACAATATGCTTGCTTTATCCCAATAGTTCATTCCCACTAGCTTCATTGCGTCATGCAATCTTTCTAAAGTTTAAAAATCCAATCTCAATGCATTTGTGAATCTATTAAATGAAGAACCTATGCTACTTTGTACCCGAAGTCTGCTTGATATATGGATTTTTGGTCTAGGCGAACTGGGGGATGAGTCGCAGCGTCTAGCTCAATCAACAACTCCATTTGGTCAAAAAGTGCGCTGATCGGACTATCTTACAGTGCAGATTATTACCAAGCATGCTAGTAGTGTTTCGAACTTCACCAGATCTCGCATGTCACTTTACGAGAGCTCGAACAATGGGATTTCAATGACATCTTGTCAGGTTCGTAGGTCGGTTTGATAATCCACTAACTATAAAGCTAGCGACCCGAACGCCGACAGTCTTCCACTTCAGAAACTATCTCACCGTTCCTGGTCTCATCCAACAAGATGGAGCTTCATTTATACGCCGCCCTCGCGCTGCTTGCTGTACTAGCAGCGACCTTCAAGTTCATCTTATACCCAGCCTTCTTCTCTCCCCTCGCCAAAATCCCCAATGCTCACTGGACATGCAGTTTCAGTCCGTTGTGGATTCTCTGGATGAAGTGGACAAAACAAGAGAACGGCCAAGTCTACAAGCAACATATGAGGAAGGGCCCCGCAATCCGACTTGCGCCCAGCCTGGTCAGTTTCAACTGTTTCGAAGATGGGCTGAAAACGGTTTACAATGGAGGGTTTCCAAAGCCAGATCTTTACTTCAATGGGTTTGCTGTATATGGGTATGAACGAGAAGTGCATGCATTTTGCTGATCGATACGGATAGAGTCATGCTGATTGTCAACAGAACTGGCAACCTATTCACCATCAAAGACAACGCAACCCATGCGGCTCAGAAAAAGTTTTTGGCAAGCTGCTTTTCCAAGTCGTCTGTCATGTCATCGCAGAGCGTTCGTGCCTCATCTCGAGAGACTCTGTTCGGGCACCTTCTACCCCTGATTTACCAGGCGGCCACCCAAGATAGAGCACTCGAGGTACTGGAGCTCAACTACTCGTATCTACTGGACACCTTTGTACAGTGGCAATTTGGTCGGTCGCTGCGGAGCAACCTGGTTGGGGACGAAAAGGAAAGGAGATTCTACCTTGATGGATTTCTGGGAATATCTAAATACACGTTCTGGCAGTACGAATTCCCAGGTCTGATAGACGTGCTTCAGAAGCTCGGCATCCATCTTATTCCCAAATCCGTGCTCGACGGGTTCAGGGGTGTTGAAGACTGGAATCTGGAAAAGTGCGACAGAGCCCAACAAGTTCTAGCGAGTGGGGAACCGCTTTCCCCAGAGGAGCTGCCCGTGGCGTTTGAACAGGCCCTGAAAGGGATGAGTGAGGTTGATGCAAAGCCCAAGTCCTACCCACGACGGCTACCGTTGGCAAGTGACATGTTCTCTTTGAACTCTGGTGCCTTCGAGACAAGTGGCAACACCAGCACTTACCTGCTGTACGAGCTGAGCCGACGTCCCGAGTGGCAGACGAGGCTTCAAGAAGAATTGCGCAGGCTTAGCCCACCCTTGAAGTATATACCCAGGGAAAGCGTCGAAATTGATAGCATGCCAAGCGCACAGGATGTTGACAAGCTGCCAATCCTCCATGCTGTCCTGATGGAAACACTACGACTCTGGCCCTCCGTGCCCGGCGGTCAACCTCGGGTGGTGCCCCGGCCTTGCACCCTAGGTGGCTATCACAACATCCCTCCAGGAACGACTGTGCAGGCATACGCGTCTGTTCTGCACCGCACGCCGGAAGTGTTCCCTGATCCTTTCACTTGGAAGCCTGAGAGATGGCTCGATGCATCGCAGGACGAACTGGCCGTCATGAGGAAATGGTTCTGGGGCTTTGGCAGCGGTGGGAGAATGTGTCTTGGAATACATTTTGCCCATTACTGTGAGTACAACACCGTTTTGTTCCAGCAATGGAAGTTCAATAGTCATATGTTAACTCTAAACCAGCCATAAAATTGTTGTTCGCAAGCATCTATTCCAACTTTACAACCACCATTCATGACCAAGGAGACATGGACCCAAGTGATGGCTACCTTTCGTCTCCCAAGGGACATCGTCTTGAATTGAAATTTCACGTTTTGGAGTGAACTGGCTTGTTCAATGGTTGTGTACATGGGCTACGATATAGCTCTCCAAGGTTGCGCGCTTTTTCACCGAGTGGAATCTCTCATCTCCTGTCTCCATGGCAGCGATTACAAGCCAACTTTACTATATCTTCCTTCTACTGGGAGATCACATAAGTAATATCGGTATCATCAGCAAGCTGACGAGAGCTGAGATTGGACCACCACACTACTCTCTAGGCACCATCGCGACAGTATCCAATGGTGTTATGTAGTAGGATATTCTGAGGCCAGTTCGAAAGCCCCTAGCAGTGGGCTTTCTCCGCTGTAATCTCGGTCTCCCCAAATCTATATTCCAATCTATCTTATTACTACTGAGCTTTAATTTTTTTGATTTGGTAGTAACTGCTGGGAATGATGGTATTCCTACGGTGTGCTACCGTCATGGTGAGGGAGCTCAAGGCCATGCATTGGGAATAAAGCACCATATAGATCTGTGCCATGAGAGAATCTCCTCTTCGAGAGACTCACCGGAGAATCTTTCGTGTTCAGATAAGGTATTAGTGGATGCACCAAATATAGTATTTATTCGCATTGCAGAGTAAAATCAATTTTCCCAAAACTTGAAATGTTCATTTGCACTAAATACATGAAGAACAGATAAAAAGGTACAAGAAATAAAAAGGGGTCGAATACAATCCGAAAAGGAAGCAGTAATGGTAACTGACCCTATCCAGAGGATTCAGAAGAATAGAAACAGAGAAGAAGGGTAAAAAGAAAAGAAGAACGGAAGAGTCTCGGGTCCAGGGCCTTATGTACAAGCTTTTCGTTGAAACTTAACCAAGAAATTGGTCGTCTTCTTGTTGTGATTGTCCGGACATCGCATCCCTGGTAGACATCAGGGCGTGGTGCCTTGGGATTGGTTTGGTTGCTTAGGCGGGAGCCTTGAAGGTCGAGCCGATGGGCCCGAACTTGATGTTGGAGAAAGTCACCGAGGCATCGCCGGAGGCGCTCTCGACCTTCTCGGGGTCACCAGCGTGGGGCTCGCAGGTGCCACGGGGAGCACCGAGCTTGTCAGCCGCGGCATCCTCGGGGTAGGTGCTGTCGAGCCACATCATGCTGGCGTAGTGGTCATCCCAGATGCTCATGATCAGGACCATGGACTCCAGAGCGTCACCCATGCCCTCGAGGCCACCGTGCTGGGTGAAGATGTCATCGTCGCCGAAGGCGGTCTTCTGGGCGGAGCAGAATTCGGTGGTGACAGAGTTACCCTTGACGCCCTCAATGTTGGACTCAGCGTTGGCGACAACCTTGTCGTTCTGGACCCAGAAGCGCTTGATCTCGGAGAGCTTGCCCTTGTCGGTGCCGTCGGCGGTGATGAACTGGGTCACGACAGTCATCGGGGACTTGGTGTCAATGGTCTTGCCGGGGCCATAGAAGGATTCATTGCCCATGCGGAAGGCGTTGAAGTCGCATCCATCGGGGTCGCAGGTGCCGGCATAGCGGGTCTCGGAGTAGGTGCCGCCGCAGTCATCGCCCTCGCACATAGTCTGCTCCACAGTGTCGCAAGGGTGGGGGGTATAGGCCGAGGAGATGCTGTTGGCCTCCCAGATGTCCATCTCGGGGCAGCAGGAGCCGTGGCCACCGACACCAGCATTCTTGTCACCCTCAGAGGGCTCCCAGCCTTCCACGTTGGCCTAATTTTAGACGGTCAGCATTCTTGCCTAGTGCTGGTGGGTCGTGAATGGTCTTACCTCGCCGTTGATGAACTTCAGATCACGCGGGCACTGGGAGTCACAGTAGCCGGTTCCGTACTTGGCACCGGCCTTGTTGCCCTCGTACTTTTCCAGTCCACCATCGGCGTCCATCGAAACGAAGTACAGGGCTCCGTTCAGACCGCAGGGAAGTTCCGAGACATCGACGTCGAAAGTGAACTCCTTGTTCTTGAGGTTGAAGATCTGGTACGTCTCGTCGTCTTCCGACATCAAATAGGTACGCGAGCCAACGTTTTCACCCTTGACGAACTGGAGCTTCAGGGAGTCCGCTTCGGCAGTGATACCATAGGTCTCGGCGTAGTCCGCCCCCTCCAAGGCACAGCCCGAGGCGCAGGCCTTGTTATCCGGGCAGAGCTCCTCGTCCCACTATATCGTTTGGTCCAGTGAGCCATGATGATACACTTTTCTGGTGTAACGAATTTAGGGAATACTTACAGTATTTCCCGTGTAGCAGTTGTCAGAGCCTTCGAGAGAGTGCAGCCAGCGCCAGTTGGAATCGATGACCACGGAAGCGCTCTTTTCAGTGCACTCGCCGCCTTCAGCACACTCCTGCCAAGTCATGGGAGGGTGAGTTTCCTCCTGCAGCGTTCCCGCCTGTTGGGCGCGAACGCTAGCGAGGAGAGCGGTGATAAGGAGCGATCGTTGATGCATTTCGAATGGAAGTCTGAAAGAGTGTCTGAGTTGTTCTGTGTTGTCTGTCTTGCAGAGATGATTTTTTATTATCCCGAGTCGAGCGGACGGCTCCTTATATAGCCATTCTGGGACGGGGATTTCAAGAATAGCTTCTCTCCCAGTCTCGGAGAATCAACACTCCTCTCCATGACCGGTGTCGCGGACCGCTACGCCGCTGGAGACCTGTTTCACACAGGCACTGAAGTTGGAGCACTGATAAGATCGGAGACACACTTCCATTCAACAAAATGACCAGGGTTAGATTAGCTCCTGCTGCCAAGCCGTGGGGTCTGGGTGCTAATGGCAATAATTTAATCAATCCGGATGAGTTCATTTGCCACCGACAAGAAGAATATCAGATGTAGACTGAGGATGATGGTCGCGGAGGATACTCCGGGCCGTTTTTGTACGAGACGAGAGTCCAGGCAGTCGATTCTGCATGACAGTAGCCACCATCGGCCCCATCGGGTATCCGAGAAGTGGGGAGTTAAGCTATAGTCCTTACGTCGGTAGATTAAGGAGCTTGATAACGGTGTCAACCAACGCTGGATTTTCCGTGGATCTCTAGCGTGCGTATCCTGGATTTCAGCCAGACCGGCTTCCACATGCCATTTGGTTACAGAATGATTACTCGATGCTAGGTAGAAACACACGCGAAACACTGAAGAATTGAACCCTGAAGGTCTGCCGTGACTTTTTTGGACCACCAGTCCTCAACCCAAGGTACATCTGCAGCAGGTGAGTTCTTCAGATCATCCGGGGTAGGATCTGAAAATCCCATACGGACCGACAATCCCTATGAAGGAATAGGACGAATCAACGTTGGGTCTCCGCACTAAGGATGGTGACGAGGTGACAATATGTGGCGCTTATTGGGCGTTGTGGGGAACCCGAAGCACAAGTGGCTGCAATGGGGACTGCGGGATGATTAAGGGACCCGTTAGCCCTTTCAATCCTTGGTTTGCGGGGGTAGATCTTCCCATCAATGATATCAATTGATTTAGATTGCCCCGCGCTTCGTGGCTTCCGAGGCTTTTGCAACGCAGCGCCATGTGGTGAGAGGCGTCTGACCAATTTAGCCACCCGAATGGTAGATGATAGGAAATATTAATGTCCGTGTTGAACCGATCCTTAGGCCCAAATCCAAACAGCTACTGTATCTTCTGATTTGCCCAGGTCGCAGGATAAATCCACGGCGTCTGAAGCTGCGTGTTGACAGGTTCCCGGATGGATTACTAGTAGCGTCTTCCTTCGCGAGTCACTACTTCCTTGAGCCTTACTTAGATGATACAGGCACAAGTTTTCGATAAAACTTGTCAACAGTGAAGTGTGTCGGTGGGAGTAGCGTAGGGTGCGGGGTGATCCATGCAGTGATCTCATGATCTGAGGATTACTCTGAGTCAGGATGAATGCATGGATTGTTTTTGTCAATTTTCCTCGAAAGAAGTCCCGAAGATTCCGATCGTCCGCCGTCAACTCGTCAAGCCAGGAACACGATGCCGTACCTTGCCGATCATTTCCATATGGAATCATCCTAGCGCCAGAATGCAAGCATTGCCATCCTCTGAGCCTGATTTAGCCGGAATCATGCCATGGCGAAGCAGACGGGGCACTATCCGCATTCCTCTAGATCTTGCCACACATGATCGAAAGGTGGGGGATGGGGGATGTCAGGGGAATCTCCCGGTTTCAAAGTGAACACTTTCAGCTCCGTTACGAAAAATGATAAGTCATCTGAGGTTTTTGGCGCCTTGCCACTCTGAAACTCGGCGAGGAGATATTTCCTCCGGCGGATCGCTCATGGTCCAGATGTAAATTTCTCATTTACCCCGGATCTCTGGGAAATTGTTCCTTCTGACCGCTTCTTCTTCTTCTGCTTTCTTGTTTTTCGTTCTTGTGTGTTTGACAAAGACTTTGTTGATTTTTATCGAGAGCTACCCCTTCCTTCCCCGTTCAAAGTTCTCTGTATCGTCTGGGGAAGTTGGACGGACGGTGTTGCCCAGGCATGGACCAAGTTCTGGCAGTCCATAGATGGGATGTGGTGGAACACACTGGATAATATGCTTCTGTCTGTTAATCTGTGCGCGTTGTCAGAGAAAACAAGACCGGAAGGAAGATAGCAGCGTGAGAAGTGAGAAGTGACTGGAGATGGTTCCAGAACGGTCAATATCAATGTCCAGGCAGGAGTGTTGGCCTCAGGCTCTCAATCAGGCCGACCTCGGCTGACGAGAATGACTGCCTGAATGCCGGGGCACTGCCGCTGCATTATCATTGTTCCTGTCCTTTCAACCTCCGTAATCGCCACAAGACTTACTCTGATCCCACTTCTATTAACTCTCTTTCTCTTCTTTGCAGCTGTCATTCTTTCTGTTTTCTCTTCTAGCCTCGTTCTTTTCCTAGATCGCATTGATTTTTGTTTTGTGAATAGACCCTGCAGAATTTCATATATAAACATCCCACGTGGGAACAAAAACCCGAAACCATGGCCACGGCTTGGTATAGCCGAACCGTTGAGGTTCTCTCCGATTCTTTGACCAACCGTCAGACTCAACTTCCTTTGCTGGCCTTGACCGGTGCCTCTGTCACCGCTGGTCTGTTACTTCGCTCGGCCCTGTCTGATAAACATCCGGAGACTCTTCTCCCTGCCCCCCGCACCAAGGTTTTGGGCTTATCGGATGCGGAGAACCGGGAGCATCCGTTGCCGACCGACGTTCTTCCCGGAGCGCGAGACCTGACGACACCATATGGATCGATGAGGGTGTATGAGTGGGGCCCTGTCGACGGACCCAAGGTGTTATTCGTTCATGGTATTACAACGCCTTGCGTTGCGTTGGGTGGACTGGCACACGCCCTAGTGGATCGGGGGTGCCGAGTGATGCTGTTCGATCTGTAGGCCATCACCATAGAGTACCGGTGCGACGCAAACCGCCATATTCGATACTAATAGAATCCCAGGTTTGGAAGAGGTTACTCAGACTGCCCGTCCGATCTCCCCCAGGACGACCGATTGTTTGCGACGCAGATTTTCATGGCCCTGAGCACGTCCCCGATCGCCTGGACCGGTGCTGGGTCTGGTAAATTCTGCCTTGCCGGCTACTCTTTGGGCGGCGGGATTGCCGCTGCGTTTGCAGCCCATTTCCCCGAGCTTCTCTCGTCCCTGGCCCTGATGGCCCCGGCGGGATTGATCCGTGACTCCCAGATCAGCGCCCAGACTCGGCTTCTGTATTCGAATGGTCTCCTCCCCGAGCGTGTCCTCGGGTTCCTCGTCGGTCGACGTCTTCGTGCTGGTCCGTTGACCACTCCGAAACCCAAAGACGAAAAGGTTGACGCCGCTTCTGCACTGACTGAGGAACTCCCGTCGCAGGGTGGGGCGAATGTGCAGCTCTTGTCTCGGGCCTATCCCCATGTCAATGTTCCTGGTGCCGTTCAATGGCAGGTGAACAATCATGCCGGCTTTGTCCATGCGTTCATGTCTAGCATGCGATTTGGTCCGATCCTGCAGGCTCGTCAGGTGGGAAATTGGGAACGCCTGGGCAGCTTCCTCTCAGCGCAGCAGTATCTCTCACCGGATCAGCAGCGTGCCAACGGTCTGCCAAGCAACAAAGTCCTAATCCTGTGCGGCATGCATGATGGAATCATCGTGAAGGAAGAGCTTGCTCCTGATGCCACATCGGCGCTTCAGGGGAATGTGGATTTCAAATACTTCGACGCTGGACACGAATTTCCGAGTACGAAATACGACGAGGTGGCAGACTGCTTGTGGAAACTTATGCATTGATTGGCTTTCCAAACTGCACTATCTGATAGTACTCTGGCTCTCCTTGGGAAGGCTCACCGAGCACTTTCCCTCTTGAACCTTGCACTTCTGGGATGACCCTGCCATCCCAGGCAGGTTATCCTCTCAATATCGATGAAATTGTACATAGACGCTTCGTAGGTGGCCGTGGGAATGCTCCTTCCTCACCCATCTCTGAAATATAGATTATGCCTTTGTTACCCCCTTCCAGCTGTCTTTCCTGTTTTCTTTCACTTCTTCATGATCTCATCTGTTGCATCAAGCTGGCTGGAAAGACGAGATACGTGATCCGAACGATCCTCCATTCGTGCGCGAGCAAAGTAAGGCTCCTCCGCGGCGTTAGATTGTGAGAACCGATCCACAACGCTGCCACTGCTTTCCTTGGGAACGTTGTTCAAGTCACCCGTACTGAGACCATTGCTCACCCCATTGGTGTTTCTGCTTGCGAAAGCTCTGTGAGTATACCACGTCGGATAAGGGGAGAGTACGAATAGAGGCCTTACTTGGTGGTCTGCTTGTCCGCGGAAGGCATTTCGGCGACGATGTGAGACTTATGATACTCGACTCGGGAGGATGGAAAGACGTCGAAATGCGAGGCGACCTTGGGTCGATCTACGTCCTTATGGCTTGGGAACTTGGGGAGTGAATCTTCAGGATGTTGCTGATACCGAGGTTGGTTCGAATGGACAGTAGACAACGAGTTTTCGATCGACGGTGGATATTTTATAGAAAGAGAGCTTATGCCGGTGCTAATGCTTGAAGGAGACTCTTGAGAATCGAGAACTATGGCGTGAGAAGAAGGAAGCAGCAGAGGGACCCCGTGGGCAATATATAACTCGAGGACGGGGCTCATCCTCTGCATCGTTGACTGCTGACGAATGATTTGGTCGGCTAGGATACGAGAATAAATAGAAGTCGACCGGATATGGGAGCGAGCGAAATATCTCCGATCGAGGAAGACCAAACCAGGAAGGGTAGGATGAGAAGGAAGGGCACAAATTGAAGAAGAAGCAGGCCTAGAGAGATAGAGATCTTCGGGCCGACTGTACTGTCTGGGAAGGTTTCAACTGCTCAGGTACACAAGCTTGATCTCTCTCATCGTTTCTTAATCTCAAGCCGTTGTTGTTGGTGATCAGCCACTAGATGAGATGGGAGTCTGCCCGTGATTTCTCGGTACTTGCTCACTGAGTCTAGGGAGTGAGCAAAGACACATCATTCGTTCGATCCTATCGATTTTGTGACACCCAGGCCAAGCCCCGACAAGAGGCTGGAGGCTGGCACCGGTGATTACAGGAGTGGGGGAGTGGAAATGGAGGGTGTATCCCACGACTGGGATGGAAAGTGTGATCCAACTTTGGGTAAGAAATCAGACGAGTACGGAAAGAGCACTCTGGGGAATCCATGATTGATAGGCACGGCCTACGTCGGTTACAGGAACCGAGAGCCCACCACCCACTCGTTCGGTATGTGATTCTGGTCCGATTCGTCCAGTCCAAGCTCTAGGTGACAATGGGTTTCTTACTTTCTTCCTGTCTTACAGGCGAGAACCGTCACTGTGGATCGGATGCGTCCGCCTCTAGAGGGGGTTGCGTCCAGCTGAAACACAGACATCAGATTGGCCAGCCCAAGTAAGAAAGCTTCGTCACGAGCCTTAGTACATTGGGTCCCAGGATCCGGTGGCAGCGTGTCAGGGGTGGGGAAACTATGTGCCCTCGGGATCCGAAAAAGATCATCGACAAACCGTTTGGAATGATCGGCTGAAACGAAAATGGGCAAACGTGGTCGAAAGCAATCACGCACTGCCTCAGTGGAGAGTCCAACCCTGGACTAGGCCATGCTCCTGTGATTCGATCTGATCTACTTTCTATTCTCCTCTCCTCTTTTCTTTTTATTCTATCTTTTTATTTTTGATTCATCCCTCGCCATCTTTTTACTGTGTCCTAATCCAGTAATGATCGGTCACGACCAAGATCATCAACGTCCGCACCGTCATCAGAGCCCGTTGACGATAGCGCACTGACCAGCGATGATTTCTACCCTGCTGCATCAAAAGCAACATACAGCTAGAATCTCTACGACGAGTATGGCTCCTTCATTAAAGTGCACCCTTTTCATCCAGGGGGTTTAATAGACGCCTGTTGGAGCAGACGCTTTGATCAATCTCTCGTTTCTTATGGTATGAGAAGAACCGCACTGCGGCAATCTCTTCTCATAATTTCTAATTTTAAAAAATCTCTTCTTTTTTTTTTGGGAAGAGGAAAAGGGAAAAGAAAAATTCTAGTCCATGTCCACACCCAAATTCGAGCGTGAGACATGACGATTATCATTATTGTGGATCCTGCAGCGTCACCTTCCACATACTTGACCATCACAGCCCCCAGATATGCTTACTGAACTACATTCATTGCACACCCAGCTCATAATTTCACCATTTGCTGGCAATTTCAGAAAAAGCAACACTCTCTTGGAGCTAAGCCTCGCTCTCCCTGGCGTACCCTGCAGTGGGTGGGGGTAACCCTAAGAGCTGTCCAGGCCGCGCAATTGACCGAGATAAAGTAGCGCCAAAAAAAGCAATTATCATTTTATTGTTGTTTCCCCCCCCCGCCCTCCCCCCTTCTCAAAAGGGAATCCAACTTCCGCGGTGCAAAGGTTTTGATTTCCCCGTCTTTTCTATTCTATCTCTTTTTTTGTGGGGGTAGTGGGTGGGGAAAGGATGTTGAACCGTCGCATTGCAGCAATTTGCGACATTTCGTCTATGGTTTGGGTCCCAATCCTGGCTGCCGACCAGCATTAGAACAGCGGAGCAGCGCCGGCTTGCTTCAGTGGCTTCCTTCGCATGGGCTACCAGAGAGTTGGTATGCTCCCCAGCCAAAGGGGGCCGAGTAAAATTGCAAGGGCAGTCAGGAAATTCCGGCGGAAAGAGGCTGACATGGGCGTCCGCCGTCAAAAGTTTGTATAACATTCTTTTCCAGCTGAGATCTTGCTTCCTATTCAGGTCGAATGTCTAAAAGATGCACCAAAGAGGGTATACAACTCCGTCAAGAACTCTACAGTGGGATGCAATTGCACAGCCGGGGAACAATTCCGCGGAGAAGCGACCCTGTCAGACCTGTCAGCTGAAAATTTCCTAAAATAAATGCACCAAATAGCCCCCTTTCGGTATCGGCCAATCCTCAAAAATTGATGGAGCCGATGAGTGGAAGGATAGCGATGAAATTTCACGCTAATAGTACGATAAATAATTTCCATCGTCGCCGACATGGGGTATGCTGCCGTATGCATGGGGCCACAGTTCAAGATGCAAGGCACGCGCTTGGGCCAACACCCGCGAAAGCTCAGCAACCTTATCGCTGATTGACACGCTCCACCCAAGGCTAACTTTTTACAGACCGTCTGTCCTACATTTCATCACGGATCGCCAAGCGAACGGTTCTCCTGAAGGGAGATTGGACGGAGATCGGACACGAACTCGTAGCGATTGGCCCCTTTTTGTGATATGACCCCCCATGCCGTCTACTGATGAGTCTGACCTATCTGGGTTTGCCGTCAATTTGAGTCTTGCCCTTCGGTTAAGTGGACTGTTCTATATGTGGTTTTGAGCCATCTCCTCGAACCGACCCAAGTCGACGAGAGCATGGAGTCAAGTCAATCGCTAGTATGTGGGACGCGAAGCAAGCGAAGACCAGAAGGGACTTTAGTTCAGCTCGCGATCACTTGAGGTGCATTCTGCATACAACAGTTCAGCTAACATTTCCTCTTCTCTATAAGGAAGGTATCAACGACGCCTGGAAAAGCACCTAGTTCGTCGATCCTTCTGAACGGCGGCCCCTAGATGGATAATGCTCGATGGGACAAACTTATTGGTTCCCGAGACAGCCAAGGTTTGAATTTTTCACTTAATCATTTTATATTTGTTTATTGCTGTGTTTATTATGGATTTTTCTTTTTCCTTTCTCTTTTTTTTTTTTTTTTTTCGCAATAACTAACTCCTTTTTCCTCATGGCGCCCTTCCTTCCCTCAGATCAGGGATGGCAACAAAACGCGTGATACTCACGAGCCGAGAGCTTGGAAAATGAAACAGTCGCCAACGTCAAATTACGCCAAGACGAAAACAGGAACGAGGTGACGACAACAGCTGATGAAGCTTTGAGGACTGTCTTACCTCTAGACCTTTTGGCCTTAGCAGCTAGACAACGGACCGGCTCTTTTCTGACCAATATGGAATGCCAGCTGAATTGTTGACCTGGTCCTACCTGAAGGGGCTTGAGCTGCAAGGTGTTCCTCTAGAACCGTCTCGGACAGCGTGATCCTACTTTTGGGAACTGGGGCTATTGCCGGCTGAATGTCCAGTTGAATGTTACACCGAGGCAAACAAGAGGGAAGCCCCATATCCCGCAGCCACGCTGTTATATCCAGCATGTTCGTAATCCCCGGTTTTACTTGGTTCACCCTACCATGTGGACAAGTCACGAAGACTTACTTTGGACGGCCAAAATCTTGATCAGCCTAGACGGCTTCATGGCAACCCGAGAGCAGCCCAGATCACACTGTTTGTCTGTTTGGTGTCAGCAAATTTACCCTGGTTGCCGCTTGAGACAGGTCTGAATCCACTTGGATTTGATTCGGACTCGCATGCTCGGGTCTTGCTTCGAAACTCCCTGTGGTGTGGGTTTGGTATAGCGCATGGGACCGCTCCCAGAAGCCAGTACATTTCGAGTACCTTTGTATCTCTGTGTTTGAATGACATCCAACGAGAACATTTTCGCAGAGTGGGTTATGGGTAATATTTCGAATGGCACTTTTGACGCCAGATCGAGCGAAGACAGTCATTTGATGCGTCATTGCCATCATTTGGAGACGGCAGCGAGGGATACTCCCTCAAAGCTTGGAACCAAGGTAGCGGATTATTCCCCGCATCATGATTACCACAGCGTTGCTAGCGAGATATTCTTGTTTCAATTTGCGTGTCTGAGTGCTCACATGAACGACAGAAGTACTCGGGCGAAACCCCTGCAACCAGTATCCACCATTCTCGCCATCTTTCTGGATTAGCGAGCATTGATTCATGGTAATAGATCTGTTCTCGAGAGTGTGGGGTATGAGAGGTCTTGATCGAGCTAGCCTTCAATGGCCACCCAGGCAGGTCTGCTGGTCTAATGTCGACTGGGACTCGCCGGATGGGCTTCTCGCGTACCATGTCCATAAGCCAGGTTGAGGGACTGACGACTGCCTGCATAATGCTAATCAAAATGGTGGTTTAGAAAGCCAGAGACTGGCAGGTGCTCAAATGATCATTAAGACGACGAACAAGTCACTCTCTTGTCACTGACGGAGTATCGAGGTCCTTCCTGGCATTTAACATGGTCACGTTCGGCGTCTGCATATGAATTGTACATACTAGCCGATCTTACCAATGCTCGCCGATTCCAACTAATTACGTTAAAGAAACCTTGGTATAGCACCATTGTACTTTCAAAAGCCCCCAAGCCCTCGGCCGCAGACTTCTCCTTGGTCAGGAAGGTGCAGTGGTTCATCTTTACTCAAGCAGGGCGTGTCGGCTAGTCTACCTTGCGTCCGGCTTCGACTGCAAGCTACGCAATATGGGGCCCACTTTATTGGAAGGCCGTTGTTGGCCCACAAGGCAAACCAGAAGGCAACCAGATAAGCTGATCATCGCCCATTCAAAGAGGACCCATTCTCGCGTCATCTTACATTGGTAGTCAGGACCATCAATGAGAATGGTTGACTGTGTTATCGGTTGATTTCGGAGTGCGACAAGCCCTAGAGTTAGCGTCCAGACGGACGCTGGCCGAATGCTGCCCGAACATTGGACGGCGCGCGTCAGCTGCAGATATTTCTGATGCCCTAATGGAATTTTCAAAGTGAGGGTATGTAATAACATTGTCTCGGTATGCCTATCATGGTGATGATTGTCAAAGCAGAGGGGGTTGACAACTAGCTGGGAATCATTGGCTGTCGGTCCTGATATGAGTCTTTTATAGGCGCCCTTACATCGCCATTACATGCCCCACACACCATAAGCTGAGCGGAGCAAGGCTAATGGGAGAGGCCTACTATGACTGGATTCGTGTCGCTCGATCTCTGGATAGATGGCAGTAGGGCGAGGTCTGGGTCTGTCCTGTGGATAGGGCTGCTGGAACTAAGGGCCACCGTTGTATTTCTGGGGCAAACTTTACATATAGCTAATTGATCTTATGGTACTCTATATACATGATAGGCCCAGAAACGCATAATGCTTACAGTAGACCGAGGAGAAGAGAGAAACACATGAGTGGATGATGATAGGTGCCTCAGGCATAAACACGATTATCACGTGGAAGGAGGCATGGATTCCCGTTCAGGCAACTCACCAGATTTCATCTCTCCATCCTCAACCATCCCCTCTACAGTCTCGATCTCTCTATACTTTCCCTTTAAGCTTGCTCTTTTTACAGAAACTATATCTAGCGGGCTCCAACTTGTCGACGGGAGTGACTGGGAGAGCGCGCCGGAACATTTCTTGATGATGGCCTAAGCTCTGCGGGGCAGCGACAACGCCAGCTGTAGCTTGTAATCTGACCAGGTGCCTCATTGTTGGAATCTGACTTCAGGTACTGCTCACATTACGCTTTTAAATCTCTGCATGGCATCATACTGACCGTCCGTAGCTAAATCGCTGGACCACAGCTGCTCTACCAACATGTACAGCCAGTCCACCCTCAACAGCATCCAAAAAGCAGTCTGGGACGGCAAACTTCCCCTCCAGATAGAACTCGCAGCCTCAGAGAGTCGAACATTTGATCAGACAGACCCATATCTCGTAAGCCACTTACAGCTTAGGATATCCACATCCCAAGCCACTACTAACCAGTGCAGATCTCCTGCCCCCGGATCTCTTATCTCCCAACACTGCTCCCAAGGCTCCACGCCTTCTTCTCATCATCACTGATCGACCCGATATCTAGCCCTCACGATGGCTGGCTGTCATTCGAAGGCGTGCCCCTGAAATGGCACCTGCCCATTGGTCTCCTGTATGACCTCTACGCGGGCGCAGACCCCGCCTCGAAGGGCGACAGGGACGCATCCGAGGACGCGACTGAACCCCCCACCGATGACACCGCAGGCGGCTCTTTACCCTGGCGGTTGACGGTCCATTTCAGCGACTGGCCCAATGAGGAGCTTGTCCGGTTAGACGCGAACGGCATGGTCATGAACGACGCGTTCATCAACAGCGTCAAGGAGGCGGATTTCCTGCGCAATGGCACAGCAAAGAAAATTATGAGTTTGTCCAAGGAAGATAGCTCTGGTCTGTGGATGGCTGTCGAAGAGGGTATGCTCTCCCCTCTCCCCATTTTCCCTACAAACAGTCACAATCACACCAGTCCATACACAAAAGCAAACACCAAACTAATCCACTCAACACAGTCGACCTCCCCTCCTACCAACGGATATCCAACATCCTCCTCCCCCCACCCAACCAACCCTTCCGCAACATCCCCATCCGCTTCTTCCTCCCCCTCCCCCCAGACTCAGGCTCGCCATCCCTCAAAATCGTCCAGTCCCCCGTCCCCCCGTCGCTTCCCCCCTCCAGCATGGCAGCCAGCCAGGCTGCGCTATCGCGTGGGAGTCCCGCCCCACAGACGCAAACGATAGGATCCGCGTTGCACTCGCTTCTCCCGAATCTTTTCCCCAGTCGGCGGACGCCTGTGCTGGCGAAGCCCGTGCTGCATGGTGCTGCTGTGCCGATGTCTGCGCCTGTTGAGGAGGTGGTTAGGAGTTGTGCTTATGGGGATGGATGGCTTTATATTGTTATTCGAATGATGGGGTGATGACTGCATACTGAGCATGTTGATAGCGGGCTTTATCTTTAGTTGTCGGTATATTTTGCATTAAGGCATACATCTCATCAATGACGCTTGATTGACATGAACATGTTGTATTAGCCTAGAGACTCGAGTGTGGTGAGCCTTGTGCAAAAGGCATCAATGGATTTAGGCAGACTACGAAATAGCCATTCAGCCCATAACATCAAATAGAACTTACCAAGAAGAAGGATGGAAAATAAACAGTGGTATCGTAACTCATAGTGGCATACTAAAAGAACTTATATTTATTCCGTATAACGCCTTGAGCACCTCGCTAATAGCTAAAAGTCCCACATTTAAATTAGGGGAAAAAATCGGAGAACCCCATACGCCGCGCATGATATACCGCGGAGGGTAGCACTATTAATCAATAATAGAAACCACCTGGGACGAAGTAACAGACCCCCACTGGGAACCTTCGTCCTCAACGAGAGTCGACCCGCCCGTTCCATCATCAGTTTCCGAATCCGTATCTATATCTATAGTGGTAGGCGTAGCCAGGTCTTCCTCCTCATGTCCAACAGACAGCTGCAGGTTCCCTCTTTCATCGAACCAGAGCGCACCGATGGGGTGTTTGCGCGCTAGATCCAGCGGCGTCTCTCCGGCGTCGTCTCCATCGTCGCATCTGGTAGTGGCGCTGTTAGGGATTTTAAGGGTCAGGTCAGCGCCGGCGGCTAGCAGGACCTGGAAGATGGAGTCGCGGCCCCGCTCGGCGGCGAGGTGGAGCGGGGTTTTGCCCTCGGCTGTTTTGCTGTTGACTGAGGCGCCTTGGTCGATGAGGAAGTTTACGAGAGAGGGGCGGGGGAGGGTGGCGATTGTGGCGAGGTGGAGGGCTGTTTCGCCTGTTGAGGAGGCGCTCCGCGCGTTGAGATCCGCGCCGTGGGAGAGGAGCAGCGCGATGTATTCGGAGGTTTTGTCGAATTCGATGTCTGGGGCGCCGGTTCCGGTGTAGACTGTTTGGAGGAGAGGCGTCCAGCCGTTGGTGCAGATTGCGTTGACGTTTAGGCCGCAGTCAACGACGAGGTTGGTGAGAATGTCGAGGCTGTCTTGGCTTGATGGGGTGGTTACGTGGAGGAGGGATTCGCCCTTTGGCGTTTGTACGTCGACTTTGGCGCCGTTGTCTTGGAGGAATAGGAACATGGCTTTGTTCCCGCTCATGGCGGCGCACTGGAGGGGTGTGTAGCCTTGGGCTGTTCGAGCCTCTATATTGGCGCCTTGGCTCAGCAGATGCGCTGCAATGCTCACGTTTGAAGCGCTTCTTGCTTGTTCGTGAAGCAAGGTCTCCCCGTTACCTTGCCACGCGTTGATGTCTGCGCCAGCGATCAGTAGCAAGTCGAAGGCTACCCAGTTCTCTCCTTGGGCTGCAATGTGCAGAGCTGTCAAGCCCAATATGGAGCAAAGCTCGATCTTAGCACCGCGCTCAAGCAGCGCCGAGATCGCCTCAAAGTTGCCAATCTTCGCCGCTAATTGGAGCGGGGTCAGCCCTTGTTTATTGAAGATGTTCATGTTGGCGCCCTTGTCCAGCAGGAAGAGTAGAATACGCGCTCGTCTCGTCTCCACCGCGACGTGAAGAGCCGTGTTCCCCGTCAGCGCGTTCTGCGCGTCCATGTCGGATCTACTTCTAATGAGCATCGGGACGGTAGCTTCGTCGTATGCCGTTCCCACGGCTAGCTGAAGGGCAGTGACCCCCTGCCTATTCGCAGTCCTTGAGTTCGCGCGGCGGCCAAGCAGAATCCTCATAATTTTCCGCTGGCCTTGCTCTGCCGCGTAATGCATCGCCGTGTTGCCATTATTGCAGGTGGCATTTATATCAGCTTTATGGTCGAGCAACATCTCCACCATTTCCTCGTGGCCGCGATGCGCTGCACAGTGTAGTGGCGTGATTCCAATGCAGTTATCCCGTGCATTGATGTCGTCGCCTTTTTCGATCATCCGCTGAGCCTTTTCGATCACTCCAAAGTAGGCCAGGACGTGAAGGGCGCCCCAGTCGGAAAAGTACTTCCCCAGCCCTAGAATGGACGGCATCTTCAACTCTTCGACAGTGTACTCATCGTTCGCGGGGGGCCGTCTCCAGCAAAGTTTGTTCAGGAAGGCTCGGATGAGTACCTGTGTCGTCTGCTCGTCTTCGGGGGCCTCGCGAGCATGCTGTCCCCAGTATGTGGCGGCATAACTCAAGAGACTGTTTCCCATGTTTCGTGGCGTGGTGCCATGGTTGATGTAGCAATCATCGACTACTTCGTCTGAAGTGATGACGGTTAAGCAGGTTTCTGCGATATGCTTCTTTGCAGTAGGAAAGAAGACCCTCGCCGCTGCGCCAGTCAGATATTCTTTGGCAGTCTTGTGAACAAGATGTACAGTCCCAGTCATTGGATCAACCTTCAGAAGGCCAGCCGTTTCCACATGTAAGATTTGTTCGAAAGAGTCGCCCTCTTTCTGAGCAGCAGTGCCGTTCTGCGGCTCGAAAAACACGGCTGATTTCAACTCTGCGACTGACAGTGGCCGACAAGCGTACAGAGTCCAAAATATGCAACGACTCGCGTAGAGGTTCTGGCTTGCCAGCTGTTTCATAGATTCGGCATAGGTGTCGTTCAAGCTCTCGGGTAAATGCAGAAGGGCTCTTTCTAGTAGATTTCCATCTTTACATCTAATTACTAAATCCATATGCAGCCGTGCTAATAGAAACCTGCACCAATGTAAGCCGGGACATCACGGAAAATAACGCGCGTATTTGGAATAGACAACCAAATCCCGAGGAAACTTACAGTCCATGGGATTTCTTTGCCACTTGTTGCGCAATGGCTTCTCTCAGTTTGTCTTCCAGTGTGAATAGCTTGAGGAGAGATGTCAAGCCGGCATCCTGGCTGATTCGTGAATGGACGTAACGTTCAAGATCGCTTCGAGGTGCTAAGACTGGTATGAATTCTTCTTTGGACCCATGCTTCATCTCACGCAATGTGATCAAGAGCTGCGCATGATCAGGAAGTTTCTGAAACCTGTTCAAGATGCGATCTTTCTCGTGAAAGCCGTCGAGGCCATCGATAACGAAAAATACCTTGGAAAAGTGGTTGGTCTCTGCACGAATAGCATCTTGATACCTTTTTGCGGAAGCCTTCCCGTTCGCAAAGCACTCTGATCGGTACAGCGAGGCGGTCGTATTGGAGGCAGATCGTCGGCGATATACGAGCTGGGCCAGTACACTGGCGAGCATGGTTATCGAGGAGACACTATCATCTTGCTTCTCATCCTGGAGAAAAAGAAATACAATGGCAACGTCGGACGACGCAAAAGTATTCTGTAGATTTTCGACAATGGAGGAGCTACATACTAGAGTTAGCCTCTAGAACAGGACATATTCAGCTCACTACTCACGCCAAAAAGGTCTTGCCGGTGCCAGCTGCAAAATATGTAAGCTTCATCGATATGCAGAATTTAATCAATGGGAGACCCATACCTGGTGCAATACAGTACAGCGTCCGAAGGCAGCCAAATAGCCACAACTTGTACTTCTCCTCGTTGAAGATCCACTGACACGTCCCTTTCTGGCGCTCATTGCACATAGCTCCGAGAGTCATGAAGCTCTTCGAAGTCGACGCGCTTGTGACCGCGTGGAAATCCTCCTCAGGTTGGGAGTTCATTCTGGGGCCTGCAAAAGCCAATCGTTGAGCGGGATTTCGACCACAAAGCCGTGATGCTATATACTCACTGTACGACAGACTGAGACTCGTGCGAATCCTACTCTTCAACTGATGCTCCACAAATGCCTTCTCTCTGGTGATGAATCCAGTCAGTATATAGTCACAGAGCCTTCCGCAAGGGTATATTCACTGAGTCTCGGGCTGCATCGCAACGACAAAGGCAGATTTATAGAGTTCCAGCCGAGCAAGGAATGTCCGCTCAAGAAGGGCTTTCTTGTAAGGGCGGCTGCCCACGCCTCCGCTTTGAAAGATCACATCGATACCGTCAATGGTCGAGTCGAATGTGGAAATAAGCTCGTCCAGGGCGTTAAGCCGTAACTGTCCAGAGACCCATTTCTCGTTTGACCAGCTTAATTGTTCCCGGATTTGGTACAGAACATCAAGGATGTCGCACAGCAAGAGCAGAGCTTTCTGTGAGAAGGCGTCCTGCGATTCTCGTCCGCCTCCAAGTGAACGGATAACGGCGCGCACTGATCGCACAGTCTTGATAAGACCGCAACGGATCGCGGGGACATCGACCATCCTGGGGAGAGGGGGAGAGGGGGAGACGGGACAGCACAGAGCCCTCCTAACCGTTGAAGAGCCCTGGGATGTATCCGAAACAGGAGAACAGAGAAAGAGTGGTGGCAAAAAAGGAAGGAGAAGAGAGGGAAGAAGGTGGGAGGGGAAGAAGAAGACGTAGGATAATTAAAACGCGAGCATGGGGTGGGAACGACAACCCCATTTGGACTAAAGTGAGTTTCGCGCTTGATGCCGCAGGAGAACAGTTAACCTTGTTTTTTCCTTTTTTCTTTTTCTTTTCTTTCCCTTTTCCCCTGGCTTTAACCCCTGGTTATGTTCTATGTTTCTTTTTCTCGCGAGGCGCTGAGAATCCTGGGGTCGACTAGTAACCAACTCTACTACCTCCCGTACGTAATGAGGTCGAACGACCTCTCAGATTAAACACCGGCCCCTCAACAAGTCTCGTGGCATGGAAAGATCGACCACACACGCAAGCACCGGGCGACAAACCGCTACCCATCAGACGACCGGTGTTACCCCAAGATCAGCAATGACAACTGGACCAACTGTTCCTGTTCCTGTGCGCCACCATCACGCGAGATTCGGGAAGGTTGGTTGGCTGAAAGGATGCGAGGAAGTGAGAGAAAGGCAGGTCGGCGCTTGTCTGGGAAACTGAGATGAAACGGTTGGTCGGCCGGAGTTTCGGTTTGAGGTACAGGGCCAATGGTTGGCTTTCTTGCTGCGTCCCCGACCCTGTCAAGACCCCCGGCTAGCCAGTCGTTGTCCTGCTTTAGGCGCCGAGGTGGTCATTGATCAGCCTATGGCGTCTTGCGATACCCCTGCTGCCCGATCGCCAATGAGGACGGCTGGCTTGTGTTGGGGTGTTTTACTGTTGGTGTCGTCTTCCGACGATCGGGCTCATCCTGTCTGCTGGAAACAATGGGCAGACATGCTCATTCGTGATAGACAGGTAGACGCTCTATCATTCCGGCCGTGAGGCTGATCGAGTGCCCATGCTCGATTACGTGTGGAGAAGGAATATACGGTGAGGTGATTGTCAAGCCAATATAAGTACTAGATATAGGACTAGATAGACAGTATGTGTACACTTTCCTTCCGAATCGAGGGCGTGAGCTTCCTCGTCCACTCTCCACTAGTTACATTCTAGAAAAAATGGAAATGAACAGCGAGAAGGGAGAAACAGAAAATGAAACCTATAAGATCCAGCATAGCGATAGTTCTTTGCAGGGAAAGAAAGGCAATCTCAAGAATATAGGCGCCGGAAGAAGTGCACTGAAGCTCCCGCGCCACAGGGAGGAAGAAAGAAGGAGAATTGTAAGCCTCGAAAGGTGAAAAAAAAGACAAGAAAAAGAGATTCGTTCCATACATCAAGTCGTATTATAGAAAGCAAAACCGGAAAGACACCAAGGTTGAGAGAAGAAATAACATAAGAGCATTGGGGTGTGATTATACGAAACATCATGACTTCGCTGCAGGCAAGAGAATTCGAAACGGGTATCTTGAGGGTCAAAAGCAAACTGATAAAAAAGGAAAATGACAGCAGGTAATAGAGGTCTAGATGACATTTCCGTTGACATTCACAAAGGCTCCACTGTCCCGACCGCGCTTGAGAGCTTTCGCCAGCATCAGTTCTCGCATCCAGTCGATGCGCTCGTCTCGGGTCTTGACGGCAAAATGGTGGCTCTTGCCGCTGTTCAGGAACAGGGCCTTCTTGTCAACGGTGCTGCCTCCATTGTTGGTTGCGGGGATCAACGAGAACCCAAAGGCGGCCTCGTTCATGGGAAAATCTTTGCGCTTCAGGACCGTCTTCTTGAAGGCCGCGGTCAACTTGGAGCTCGAGGCAAGTGACGAGCAGGCAACGGCATAGTCATCCACATCGATGTGTTCCAGCGCTTTGGAGTTTCGCCGGGCTGATTCTTCGTCGTTGTGCATGGCCAGCTGGGTTCCTTGCAAAGTGAAGTGGTGGTCATCCCACTCGTGGCGCAAAATTCGCGTAGTCTTTCGCTTTTTCATCCAGCCACTATGGGTCACGTCGGTAGGAGACCGTCGCGTGGGGGAAGAAACAGAAACGCCATTTCTGTAACATCCGCCCAGACGTGGGGTATTTTCCAGGTCTTCGGGGGTCTCAATGGGGTTGACGGCACGGCGCTCGTCGAGGGAAACCAAGCGCGGGACATCACTGTGGGAGGTGTTCCGGCGGTGATTCCCGGTCTTGGTGGAGGCCGGTCGAATGATTTGGTCAGCCTGCAGATAACGATTTGTACCGAAGCGCATGTTAGGGGGCACGGACTGCGATTCCTCGCGCGGCACCATGTTGAGGGGGAATGCGGTCATAGGGGCATCCATGTCAGACAGAGGGGTGTCCTGTCCGTAATGGGGGTCCGATCGGTAGAAATCCCCCGGGGAGGCCGTTGTACCGTAAGCATAACGCTGTCCACGAGGGATCGCTGTCAGCTCCTCATCCTCGTCACCATTCTGTCCGAAATACGCCCTATTGCGCGTCATCGAGGGTGTGGCTGTGCGCTGGGAAGACCAGTTGGGTGCCAAATTCGTGTCCTGCTCCTCGCCCGAGCCGGGGATCTGAAGTTTGGGAAGATGTCGCAGGTTCTCACTCAATGTCGGGTTAGCCTTGGCAGACCCTTGTTGGTCCGACTCGGGCGATGGCACGGTTTCCTTCGGGGGAGTTCCAGGCTGGGACACTGGCTGCAGTTTGCTCAAGGTCTGGAAACTCAGGAAGTTTCTCACGTTCTCCTGGGGATCTCTCGGCTGGACCTCGTTCAATTTTTCCTTTGACAACTGGAGTCCCGGAGATTGAAGGGGTCCCATGATATCAGACGAGGCAACAAGGGAGGGAGTGACATCTGACTTGGGCGTCTTCACGAGGTTTGGAGCCGTCTTAGGATTTCCCGGGTCGCCTGTGAGGATGATTCTGCCATTCACAGCACCAGCGGGCAAGTCTCTGGCAAGATGGGCCAATTTAGCTTGTTGCTTTTGCCACTTGCGACAGTTCTCTCCCTTGGAGCAGCTGTGTAGTCTGGGCAGGATTTGCTCGATGGCCACGATCGAGGCCGAGTCGCCCGGTTCAAGGTCTCTAGGTTTTTGCGGGGGATCAGTCTGCTGATGACGGCGTCGCCGACTTCCGTTTGAACTTTCCCGCGACCTTTCCCCGTCGGTCACTGAGCTGCTGGAGCTGTAACCACTTGTGGCCGTGATTCCCGTGGAAGGAGTCGGGGGTATCGCTCGATAAGACGAGCGATTTTCGGAGGCCCGAGAGTCCGCACGGTTGATGGTAGGGCCATTTCGCAGGTTTTGGATCGCATTCATCAGCATGTGCCGTTTTCCAAACGACTGTATGCCAAGCTCCTTGAGGTCCTGCGTCTGGAGCTCTAGGAGGATGAGCCCTGAGATGTCATTGACGAAGAACGTATGGATGATGCCGTCGTCGAACGCGCTAGCGTGCAGCCAGCCCACCACGTCTTTCGGGGTCCAATCCCGAACATCTGGGACGCTCTGCGTAGAACCTTGACTGGCAAGGGACCCCTGTCGGGAGTGAGGTTGTGCCTGAGGCTGTGGAGTTGAAGAAACCCGGTTTGGGACCGGGGTATCCCTCCTGATGGGATCGAGCTTGGATGCCGATTGGTAGAAGGGCACGAGCGTGCTGGGCGGTCGTTCAATATGCACGCCCGTCTCGATTTCATGGATAGAGTCCGAGGTATCTGAAGACAGTCGGAACAGGTGAGGCCCATTCGGGCCTTTTACGGTCTTCTCGTCGATGTGGAAATCGAACGCGGTCAAGCCAGTCGACTCCGGAGTTGTTGCTTCGTTCGGCGTCGACGCCGTCGAAACACTTCCCGCGCCAAACTGAGTCATCGTTAGCTCACTACTCCCAAGGTATCGAATGAGAAATAGTATCCCAGAACTTACCGAAGCGACACTAGTGAAAGGAGAATCCTCGGGATAGCTCAAATCATCATCGTCGTCGTCGTCATGATCGCTATCGAGGATATCCGTTGCTTCGGAGAGCGGTCGAGGAATGGAAGTCCTAGGGGCAAAACAGGGACCAGCCTCAATTTTTTGCTGACCTAGGTAGGCTCCATAGTATGCAGTCTGAGCTGCCTATTGTTTATCCTACGTCAGTATATTTCTCATCTCCAAGTAGAGTCGAACAACCCACCATTATTATTGTTCCTTGCTTGCCCCGAGGGCAGTAAGCCTTTTAAAGGCTCAGTAGAGAGGAACAAGCACAGATGCCAGTGCTTGGGGAGGAGTCACAAGTACGTATGAAAGAAGTCTAGGTAGAGACAGGATGTCTACCTAGCTCCCCATCGGACAATAGATCAAATTCGATATGGCTAAAGGGGGGTGAGAGGCCGAGAATTGGTCAGATCGGGCATGGGAAGAGTTTATGTACAACGGCCCTTCCTGCAGGAAAGAGCGGACCTTTTCTCCCAGAATCGACTCTGGGAGGGTGTGGGCGGGGAAAAGTATCACTGGACAGGAGGGATTTTCCCCCATGATGCGAGTTGGATGGTTTAGGCGAATGGAAAGCGTTGGATGGGCTGCAGACAGGGGTCAGCGGTAAGCCCGTTCCCCAGCGACGCTGTGATGAGAACGGTGGTTGGGCACGTCAAATATTAGCCCAAGACGGGACGAAGAGGACGGTCAGAGGTCTGACTGCGAGAAAGCGGAGACAATCAAGAGAGAGAATATGGCGGATTTGACATCTGTATGGACGGGAGGTTGTTGCAGGCGCGTGGCTGCGGCCTGTGAGAGGTCCGAGTCAACGACGCTACTGCTGTGACGACAGGTTCGGCACAATCTGCCATGCTGTGATTGACCGGCGGAACCCCTACGCGCCCTGCAAAAGTGCTGGTTTCACCATCAACTAGTTCATATCTGAAATCCTCCAGTCCGCACTGTAAGAAAGTGATGCGACTTGTTAATCGCTTGCGACGAAAGTCATGGGCGAATCCCTGGTTAGTGGCTCGCGATACGCCCGTTTCGATCGCATATAGTATTGAACTGCAGCCCGCTCTTCGCACACCGACTTCCAGCACACAACCGCCCTTGGGAACATTCTTAAAGGAGGGAATTGGTTGATCAACCTTACCTCTCGAAGACAGTCTGATGTTTCAATTCCTCTCCAATTCGCGTACTCATCTTGGTTTGCTCCAAACGCGATCAATCAATTCACGCTTCTCTCCTACCTAGTTACTCAACCGATCGCAATCTCCGGACTCGATGGCTCAGAAAATGATACTGACTCGGTGTAGGTAGTCTATCACCAGAGTGATAGGTGCTATCGTCTCATGGGTCAATTCCTCGGATTGATGTGCGGGTGACGAACGAATCCTTCTGCAGGGCTCTTTGTGATGGACGAGATTGGTGGCTGGGGTAATGCATGCACGAAGTGAGACTGATGGACTAACTATCCAACACTATATAATTCTGAGGACGTTGCTGTCACAAAGGCTACACTTTTTTAATGATACGTGGAATGAACAAGATGACGCTTCTCTTTCCCTCTTCTTTTTGTCTCCGCCCCCTCCCCAGTATCACATACGACACTCCATATCAACATGTCCTGCAAAATACTCCGGTGGCCATCGAGCAGTCGTCAGTAGAAGTGGCGGATGAAGTAGAGAGGAAAGCAGAGTGGAAAGCAATAAAGTGATGGTGATTGCCTTGGGTAGATATGAATCAATTAATTTGCAGGACCTCGATCGATTTATAGTATGGCCCTGTTACTCTATACAGTGTCTCCTGATCACCATCGGACAACTTGAGTACTTGGAGGACAAATCTTACACACACACACACAATCCTCTCCATCAGCCGCTCTGAGTGAGATATTACCAATTTCCTTCTTCTCCTTCCAGTGAAGTATTATAGGGTTCCTTTGATGGTAGGACGAATCCACGATGAGAATTCTAGTTGTCCCGTCTGTTTGGCAACCATTTGATCTACCTAATCGTAAATTGTATGTAGAAGATACCAGCGGTGAAGGAATTCTGGAGGACATCGGTGAAGGCTATGAAAATTGTGATAGTGATGGTAAGAGAGAAGGGTGTCGCACTGATTATAGGATTACTTACGGAGGCCAAGAGTGGCATGATACCTTTTGTAGCCGAGGGTACTTCTTTGCAACAGATGGCTAGAATGTGCAGTAAGAGCTTTGTTTCGTGCTACTTTTCAGGCAGGTAGCAGAGTACAGACCATGTGTTAGCTAGTGGGGCTCACTGCGATCCATAATGTGTACTCATGTTCCTGCGCGAGGCACAGGAAGATGTCAAGCTTCAAACCTCGAGCCATCGGGGAAAAGGTTGTGTGGCCTGAGATGCATCCAGCATGACTAACGGAGCTGCCCGTATCGCCGAGTCTCAAGTCACTAAGACAGAGTCCTCATCATAGCCAACCCAATGTGATAGAATTGTGGTTATTTTTGGCACGATCGTCTCTCTCCTCCTCTGAGATGCATGAGATAGTGACAAAATTAACCACCAAGATGTCTCAGTATGGCAATAACCCGGTGATCTCTCAGAATAATATGGCAGCCGGTAAATATGCAAGCCACGCTTGATCTCCCCCGCATGGTGGATGGTGTGTTGCTAATTATGACAACTTCCAGAAGTTATTAATAGACAATTGACCAGAGACTAAACCCCATGGAGATCAATCAAGCCAAAATCAACCCGAAAATGTAATCCAATTCCAGTGATCCAATGGAATGTGAGGAATAGCCAACAAAAGCCAACAAATTGATCCAAACTGTCGGGACCAGAGGGCGGTTAAGTGTTGCTAATTAAGGGATCTCTATCACATCACATCGTCTTCCCCACTTACTGCACGGGCCGAACCCCACGGTGGATAGACGAGCCAATCAGTCAGGATGGGATGCCCCGTTTCGCATGGACTGAACCAAACCAGTTCTTGAAGCAGAAGCTTGGCACGTTTCGCTTGCCGCCCACGCCGTCGTCCTCCTTTCCATGCCAACATGATTCGGGTTTTCTGATTGGATCGTACTGGGGATGAAGATAATGGTTTGATTGACCCGTTCTATGAGCGGAATTCGAACACCTGGGCGCTATCGATTATACAGTGCGGATAACTGTGCTTTGCCAGGACACACATCCATACGGGCTCATGACTATTGATCATACTACTGCCGAGTCGATACTATTCTTAGCACGGGACATGAGGGCTCTGTCAATCAGGAACCAATTCTATCCTATCCCCCGCCAGATTGATTGCATCAAAGAGGCTAGTCCTGGTTTCTCATTCCTAGGCGCTATAGTCCCTGACAGGAACTGAATCTATGCGCCCACAGTTGATCCCTGCAGCCATCGGACCTGGTGCGCGTCTAGAGGTCTCGAGTTAGACCTGGTCCCCCTCTACCGCCGCTCTCTACACCACCAAAGCTCCCGATTTAGATCTTGCTCTCTATCTACCCTCATCTGGTCAACACTGATTTGCTGTTTGACATGGGGTCCCCACTCAGTCTTTGCATATCAAACTAGCTGTTGAAACAATATCCCTTGTCTTCAACCGCTCAGGTTGAAGCAAAAATAGAAGCATCTAAATCATGGTGGCTCTCTGCAGATGATCCATATAGGGCTCTGTCATGCTGAAAGATATCACGATGGGACATCTTCATAAAGACCTCCTCCATGCCACACGGTCTCAGCCCTCCTCGGTGACATCTTGGTTTCACGTTTGAGAACTGAGGTCGACTTGTTTCAACCTTGACCGGCCATTGCTTGCTCGGACCGTTATGCTTCGTATGTCTTCAACACCAGCTTCCTCTCACTAGTCTACGGTCATCTACCCTGCTCGACGTCAATAGCAGCAACAATGTCGGGCTCTGCAGCATCTTCGTCGATTCCATCGACCATGGTTGGGGGCATGTACGCGCCAACTCAAACAGCCTCCGAAGGGCCTTCCGCTCGTGGGTCGTCAGGCAATGGCAAAGGCAGATCGATCACGCGGTCACGTTCAGGTATAGGTGCCCCTGTCCGACACGGCGCAAGACTGTTGAATTGTTTCGTTTTTTTTTGGAGTGAGAGTTTGCGGATTGTCTCTGATTGAATTGGGTAGGATGTTTCACCTGCCGTTTGAGGAGGAAGAAGTGTGATGAAGAGCGACCATCGTGCAAAGCATGCTCCAAGCTGGGTCTCAAATGCGACTACCGAGCGCCGCAGTGGTGGGCCACTGCCGAGCAGCGAGCAAAGCAGAAGGATCGGATCAAAGACCGGATTCGACAGACCAAGGTCATGGAGAAAGAGGGTTCCTTGAAAGGTATGTCAAAAGGCTATCTCTGGGAAGAACCTTTTGGTCGTGCTAACTTGGTCAGAATATATGGACCGGATTCGAGCCCTCGCAGAGAGAACTCCTGTGACGGTGGAATATGACTTCAGTCGGCCGGTGTTTGTTGAGCAGGCTCAGCCTCAGCCTCAGCCTCAGATACAACCCCAGCCGGAGATATTCGCAGCGCCTTTGCCTACGCCAATCACTCCACACGACGCGAATGCAAATATCAGACTCAACGTCAATGTGGATGCCAGCAATGTGGCTCCGACGGCACCTTTGTATCCAGAGTCATCTTCGTCGGCTTATACTTCGTTAAACGCACCAGAGGCGCAGACAGTAGCCGTAGCAGCTCCCGAATTGGCCGACGACGACTGGTTCGGCGACAATCCCAACTATGACACAGTGGCCCAACCAGTACCCCCTGTCAATGCCCCAACTGTGCCTCCGAATCGAGCACTATCATCCTGTCTTCGGTATCTCATCTCCGTGGATGACTGTGACCGGCGACTGTTCGACCACTTCGTCGACAACGTCATCCCGCTCGTCTTCCCCATTCTCGAAACCCATCCGAGGGCGTCCTCCAGCATCAGCGAAGTGTTCCACTCAATGCAGAGCAACCGTTCCTATCTCCAGTGCTGTCTAAGCGTTTCCGCAGTCCACCTAAAGACGAGCCTCGGCTTGGAAGACGAGATGGACTACGATATCATGAAACACCGATACGAAGCCGTTTCGCGACTCTCTCGCACGATCAACCACAGCAGCGGCCAAATGCAAGTGATGGACGCCACCCTCGCCATGATCTTCTACAACTGCTCGATGAGCAGCTCAGACGACTATCTCCCGGACATCTCATGGAGCGAACACTTCAAAGCAGTGTCGAACCTAGTCACGACACTCAACTGCACGCCAACTCAATTCAACGTCTCTCTCATCACCTGGATCGACATCTTGGGCGCCACCATCCTAGGCAAAACGCCGAAATTCTCCCACACCTACCGCACCAAGCACCTCAGCGGCACCTCCTCCGGCCTGCAGCAGATGATGGGCTGCGACGACCGCGTGATGTATCTCATTTCTGAGATTGCATGTCTAGAATCTCTAAAGCTAGAAGGCCGCGTCGACGACATGACCATCTACAGCCACGTCTCGGCACTAAATGCCCAAATCGAGTGGACCGAGCCAGCCGATCCAACCATCGAAGTCCTATATTCATCCTCGGGAGTCGTTCGACCCGACCAGCTAACCAAGGTCATCAGCACACTCTTCCGCCTCGCCGCCAGGATCTACCTCCTCAGTCTCATCTCCGGGTTCGACTACTACGACCCGTCCATCATCAACCTCGTCGCCTCCGTCACCAACATCCTGCAATGCATGCCCGCAGGTCCGCAGGGCTTCGACCGCAGTCTCGTCTGGCCGCTTTTCATTACAGGTGCCTACTCGGTACCTTCTAGCGCCTTTCGTAAGGTCCTGGGCGAGAGAGTCGTGGCATTGGGATACCTCGGGGACTTTGGCAGCTTTGGACGCATGTACCGCGTGCTGAAAGAACTGTGGAAGCTCACCGACAATCCGACTCCTCGTCCCAGTGGCGCGCAATCACAAATTGAAAGCACCACCTTCGCCGTTGGGGCCAACAACCAGCTGCAGCAGCCTGCCCACGAGCGCATCCACTGGCGGGAGGTAATGAGGCGGAACAAGTGGGATTACCTGCTTATTTAGGAATGACACAATGACCATCTCCTTTGCGGTGTTTCGACGACGCCATCGCAGCGGTATGCCATCCATTACTTACCTACCAGCACCCTTCACTAATAAAAGATAGGCACCTCTGGTTTGACTCGCCAGTGCCGAGCTGCACATTGCTTTTTCGACTATATCATCGTATTTGGGTTCGCATTCTGCTTCAAACGGTGTAACGGACGTGTGGTTCCCTGCTTTATCGAGCTTCAGTTCTTTCTTCCTTTCCATTTTCATCATACCTTACCATGATATGGTGCATCATATATCCACTCCTTGGGAATTCCCACTTTATACCCAGTGCTACAAGCACAATTTCACTCCCTCATTCGACACTTCTTGCCTTTTTCCATTCTTACTCTCCCTCCTAATCTTTATTCTGCCCGCGACAATACCCTTCTCATTCGCTCGTTTTGGCGTCTCTGCCTCGATTGATTGATTTATTGATTGATTTTGTTGTTTATATGACCGTTCATGACGCCATGTTTAGTTTGGGTCCGCGTTGTCTTGCTTTGACTTTTTTGTTCTGGTTGCATGTTAGTCTTCAATGATATTTATTATTCTATGTCCCGCTTTTCTGCAGTAGGGCATTCCAAACGGGTCAGAAAAGATGATAGAGATAGATAGTAAACAGCGTATAGTAAATAAACGCATCCAAAAGATAAACCCATCAATAAGTACACACACACATATATGTACATCAGCCCAACCGCGCAAAACAAAGGACTCCAAGCCCAGACCCAACAACACACCCATGCACTAAGCCCTACAAGACAAAGAACCAGACGCCATGGCGCAAATAGGCATAGGGAATAGTAAGAGCCAGGACACGAAGGATCTGGCTGTGGTCCGGGCGAGGCGCTGAGGCGTTTGGAGGGAGATATCATTTGCGTTTCGGGGTTTATTGTGTTGGTTTTGTTGTCTGTGGGATTGGGCTGTGGGGATTTTTATCAGTGAATTTGCTACCTAGATAGGTAGGTGGTATCTTGGGGGATGATCTTGGGTGGTAGTGGAGGAATGGTATCGCAGGAGACGATGGGGTGCTTGGTGGGGCTGTGAGCACAAATATAATAGATGTTATAGTCTAGAGCTACGCTTACAGCGGTGCTTTGGAAGACAGAGCTCGGTTGACAGGCAGATGGATAGGTGGGATGGATGAATATATGGATATATGAATAGACCGATGGATATAACCGGCTGAGCAGCAGCTTTATCCAATTCAGTTGGACATAATCTTGACTACTTCGTCTATCTACTATCTGAGACTGTTCTTAGTATCCTGATATCTGATTTCTACAAATATACACGCACAAGGCCCACATCTGTTGAAGCAATTCACGAACCACCTCAACGAGTAGGGTCAACGACAGCGTCAAGACTCATAAAGAAGCACACCAAACTAGGCAACGGGAAGAAACAGAGTCCATACAGTACAACAGCCTCATCCCAAACCAGTCAAATATTGGCTTCGTGTTGGCTTTCCATAAACGATTGGTTCGGATGGTGGTGGCTGAGTCCCCACGTGGGAAAGGATAGAAATCCTTCAGGCTGCAGCTTGTTACTAAGTTTGTCCCGTGTGGTTGTGGCCGGGGAGGCTGAATCCTTTGTTGGTTTTGTTCATTTACTTGTCAATTAGTTTCTAATTTTTTTTTTTTTTTTTTTTGGCTTTTGATTTGTTTATGGTTCTGTTTGCGGGTTGAAGCGCTGGTCTGCAGTGGTTAGGGTTGCGACTCGCGAGACGGTGAGTAATACCGTCGTATTATTGCGTATTACCTATGGTTTATTCCCTTTAGGTGATTTTCCAGTTGAATGTGTCCTACAGTTCATTTTAATGACATTCAATAGTAATGATAATGATGGATACGTAAGTCATTCAATGGTTGCTCTAAATGAGATGCCTTTATCAAATCCCACTATACATAGCAAAGACCAACTCCGCACCCCAGCCTGCTGCTCAGAAAAATACATGCCGCAAGCGATGCAATGAACAACGACGAAACATGAGACAGTGACAAACAAAAGAAAGATTGACAAAAACTCAGAAAACAAATAAGAAAATAAAGATAAACCTATAGCCAAACGCTTATCCTTCCAATGCTGAGCAAGACAAAAACAATTAGACATGAGAAATGGCCATGACTACCTAGTCCAGCTAGTGATGCAAGACTATACATTCCGACGATCCACATTTCTTCTGCGCTTTCCCTGCGGAGGAGGGTCCAGCTGCGGTGCACGCTTCAACGTGATGGTGGTGGTGACCACATGGCGGACACTGAGGGTGTGGCCGTTCTCGCTGACCGGGGAGTCGTACGGCCTCACGCGCCAGTCAGACGGGGAGTGGAGAGAGCGGAGGGGGTGCGCACTGCGCGGAGAGTCCGACACGGGGGTGTAGAGATAAGGTGGAGGCAGACGCAAGCGACGGACGTGGTCTGGGCTCCTAGGGGAGTAGGAGGCTGCGGAAGGAGGAGGATGGAGAGAAGAGGCGCTCCTCGGCAGGTGGCCGCTGAAGGTGGTGGATGTGGCACTCGAGGGAGTCGAGACAGGCGAGGCACGAGGCCGGTCGTGCATGTACTTGGAGAAGTTGGCCCGGGAGTGCGAAGGGCTGGAGAAGATGGGACTGAAGGTGTTGAGGAACTCGGTATAGGCTGGTGGAGGGGTAATAGACACTTCAGTGTCGAGGTCTTCTTTCTTCATGTCCTCGCAGGGCCGGTCAAGACATGTCAAGTAGGGACGCTCACGGAGCTCGGATGGGAAGGACATGTTCATGTTTTTGGGTGTCTTCAAAGGACGGAGGGTTGGTCTGGTGGGAGCCATCCTGGAGGGGCGTGCGGGACAGATGAGTGTATATGTAGGGTGGACCAGGAGAAGACAAGCTGAGAAGACAGGACAAAAATAGAACAAGGTTGTTCTGGGAGAGACACGAGAGAAGCTGGAGGGGGCTGTGACGATCCCGAGAGGAGAGAGAGAGAGAGAGTCTTAAGATGATGATGGGATGTTGGAGTGAATCGAAATCCAAACGGATCTATATCGTAATATTACACAGTATTGCCGTACCAGACGGTTTCAATACTCTCGATTACGGGACTAGTCTTGATCCGGTTAGTCTCGTTCGTCTGGTCCAAAATAGCAACAAACAGAGCCAAAACAACAATTCTCTCCTTTCACTCACATTGTATGCAAGTCTATTCAGACAATGAAGACAGACAGAAATAGATCGATCTGTTTGAGTCTCGTTTGGTAGTGGCTCAGCACAGCTGAGTTGGTGTCTACCTGGAGTTGGCGTTCAATAGCCTGATGTCTATCAAAAAGAAACAAGGTTCGTGAGGTTGATCAGTCCGGCTGACAACCCAGAGTCTATCGAAACGGAAAGAACAAGAAGAAATAGAACGAAAATAAAACGAAAATGAAACAGAAAGCACGATGAAAGATTGGATATGATGATGGAGAGACAGACACTCGATCAATCACTCTTCTTATATCCCTTCAGCCAACCTCCCATCCCCAAACAAACAAGAGAATGGCGCCTACGTACATGGCCGATTCTTCAACATTGACGCGCGCCATCAGGGCCAAACCTCATTTTATTGCCCTTGTCCCCTTCTCCAGGCCCGCGTTATCTATGATCCTCCCAAATCCGCTGCGTTTGTCATGCGTGGTTCGTTGGAGCAAAGCGCGCGGTACACTGAACCAGAGTCGGAGGCGCCTTAATCTTGAATTTAAAACACGGAGCTCGACTCTCGACATGTTCCTGCAGCACTAAGCACCTAAACAACATCTTGGCTTGTAGGAGAAGTTCCCAGTCGGCAGGGTCTAGGTCGCTCATCCAATCAGATAGTACAGTATGAGCAGACGGTACAGTATGAGCTTGTCGACCAGCGTGTTTCAGCTATAATGCTTCCTGCGTCGAGTGCTGGGTCGGCGCGTGAGGGGATGGATAGATAGATAGACATGGGCTGAGTAAACGCCCATCATGTAGAGAGTCGCAGCGGCTGTTCAAAGACATGACGTCCAGCGTCGCAGACGAAGCACTATCCTACAAGACGACACCAAGTGAGTACCACAAAGTGTACTATCGACAATCCGCTGCCCCACATACACCATCCAACGCTGATCGCCCCCAATTTAACATCATGACCAGAATGCTGTTGGTCTGAGCTGTCAATTGGCTAGTAATTGGGAGAACTCTTTATTCTCGACTCGAGCCATCCCACTCCTACGCGCCTGTTGCTGGGGTAAATATCCACAATTGCCAGAAAAGCTCACGGCGGCTGCGCGGACTGCAATGCCTCCCGGGAAAACTGTTACTACCTGGTTAATTATGTTCTAAGCCACCGTCTTCCCTCGCTAACAGAAAGGCGCCTCCGATGGACAATAGCAACGTTCTCTCGAGGAGTTCCCCTACTCAATAGACATGGCAGCTACGCGCCGAGTACTGCGGAACCTCCATAAACAGCATCCCAACCCAAACCCTATCTAGCAAGTCACTTATCTTCATAGTCAATCATCCAATGACTTCATGATCCGCCAGACCGACAAACACAGACACGGTCGGAGGATCATCCATATACGACGGCGATTGGAGGAAGCAGAGAGAGACGCGGGGAGATGCTAAGAATAGACGGCACTAGCTCCCGCCCGGCGGCTGCAGATCTAATTATAGCGTCTATTTTTGGAATCCCGCAACCTCATCTCTTCTTTGCCCGCGTTCGCCTTATAATATCAACCTGGGGTTTTTGGCCATCGCGGGTGCGGATGGTGTAGACTCGACTTTGTGTGCTTTGCTATCGATGATATTGATTCTATCGACCACTGTATCCCCAACAACTATCACCGTTTCTCCCATATCATGGGGAGGCAGTTCTATACAGAAACAGTGAAATCCTCTGATAACCACCATAAAAGCAACCGAAACAGCGAACCCAAACACCCCCAAGCGTCACGCTGATCCACGTCCAATCAGAGCCTCCAATCCCAAAACTAAAGCAGTCCGTGCCTGCATCGGCAGGTCACTAACTGGAAATCGCCCCGTATCCCCCAGAACCCTAAAGCAGCCGGTCTCCTCCCTGTGTGATCTTTCCTCCAAACACACCACAGATATCAACCGTCCCTCCCACCAGACTTCTATTCTTATCCTACTCCCATACCTGACATGCATTAGATCCCAGGGACTACCCCAAGTCGTGTATATCGTGTCTGTTGCTGCCGTCCGTGATTGGGTTTTCCCTTGCCCATCTCACTCTCCTCCCCTTCTCTAGACTATGATACCGTTCGCCTCCATCCCAATCACATCACACCTCTTGGATATTCCCCTCTCTTTCTGTTCTTTTGGCTTCGCAAGACCTAATTTTAGAATCATCACCAGCGCTTCTGTCGTCACTTCCCCACTTGCTCCCTCCCTTTTTTGTTGCCACTTGTGTCCGTGGGGATATACCTACTGACCTAGCTACTTGCTCTTCCCTGTCTGATATCGTCCTACTGACCAATGAGTGATCGCAATTGGGCGTTTGTAAATGACCGTATCATACATACGCCTGTTTCTACAGATACGGTCCAGATATAGATCTCTCCTGCTTCCTTTCTTCCCCTCTTTCTTTTCATCGTTGTGTCTCACGATCATGATCAATCCCTCCTGGATTTCTAAATTAAGATCTGTCTCCTCTTCTTTTGCCCCTTCATCTAGTCTCGTGTGGACGGTAGCGGGGGGTCGGCGCTTCGTCTATCACGAGTCGTCCTTGTCTCCTACCACCTGCACATGTCTAAAGATAGACAGACCACCATCCTTCTTGGCTTCACTTCCTAGCTAGCCACCCACTTACCTACCTATCTACTCATCCACCCCTGTCTCTATCCAAAACAATTTCCCCGTCCATCCTCCCTTCTCTCCACAGACACGATACACCCTATCTAAACAACCTAAGATATATCCCGATAGCTGTAGATACCAATACAAAATACATAGCGGATGGTCAATACACGGTAAGCAGATAGATGAGCAGATAGATGAGCAGGTAGGTAGGCAGGTAGGGAGAAGTGGAAGGACGCAATGAAATGCAGTCAACGATGGTAATGAACCCGATGAATGCGATGCCTATGAGAAGGCTGCGCATGGTCGCAGGACTGCAAGAGTCAAAACCCGATTAGTGTGGGAAAGATTTTTGTTGATAGATATACATCTAGGTATATGACACCAGGATCAATCAACAATCAACGATCAGCCCTCCCATCCAGCCTAGCCACAATAACTACAGCCAAATAAAAAAAATCAGGGACCAAAATCAGAGAAGAATAATAATAAAAAATCAAATGTATTCGACTAGTATCAAATTAAAGCAATATAGAAGAACCAAAATCCGTGGTATCATCTTGCACAGTCATGGTCAAAACAAAGTGGTATCATAACAAGAAAAAATGAAAAAAATGAAAAATCCAGCCGTTGAACCGAAGGAGAGGGTAGCAAGGGTGTATAGATGTGTGTATATGTAAATCAAAATCAAAAGTCCGACGATGAATGAAAGAGATGGGATGGACCAAGGAGGAGAAGGTAGAAGAGACAGAGGAAAGGGGGGGAAGGTGGAAGGAGGGGATAAGCAGGGTCATGTCAACATCAAACTTTTTTCTTTTAGAGCGCTTATTCTTCGGTCAGGGCGTCGTCGCCGGTTTCGCGCCAGTCCCGGGATCGTTCGGTGAGGCGTCGGACGCCTGCGACGCGTTGCGCCCAGTGGGCTTCTGATGAGGAACGGTAGGTGAAGGCGCGTTGGGATGAGATCACACCGATTGCTTGGAGTACGGCCTTGCGCGAGTCGCGTCCGAACACGGCGGGGTGGTTGATCCACTCCAGCGCGGACTCCAAGTCGCCGTCGAGCGCTGTCATCGTCTGCCCGTCGACTGCGGCCACCCCCGTCACGGTCGCGGCCTCGGAGGTGCCCGATGAGTGGCTGTCGGCGAAGGTGGACGACTTCGGGGACGTCGACGTGGGCGTGCCGACCCGGCTGCCGGAGTCGCTTCCGTGGGGCGGTCTCACGGCGCCCGGGGGCAGAGGGGGCAGACTGCCCTTGCCGAGGCCTTTGAGGATGCCACGCGTCTCGATCAGCAGGTGCTGGGCGCGGTCGTGCTGTCCGCGCGAGACCAGCGTGAGGGCGCGGGTAAGCATGTCCGAGGTGAGCAGCTCCATGCGGCGTTGAACGATGGACGGGTGCGGCGGGATGGGCGGCGTGCTGGGACGGCCGCCCTTGGCCCGGGGGTTCGGGGGTAGCATGGTGATGGCCAGCAGGGAGGGCCGGGGCGAGTGCATCAGATGGCCGTCCCGGAGCAGATCGCCGTAGGTGAGGTCCGCCTGGATCAGCGGGACTTCCTCGACGCTCAGCACGCGCTGTTCATCCCCGTCGGATCCGCCGCCCAGGGCCTCCAGGCCCGAGACCAGGCTCTCCCAGGGATCCTGGGGCATGCTCTCCTGCGTGGAGTGGTCGGGCGCGATGACCAGCTGGACCAGGACATCGCGCTTGTCGCCGAACCGCAGGTCGCCCAGGGCGGCCTCGGCGTCCCGTCCGGTGGCGCGCTTCGTGGTGTGGAGGGCGCCGCTGATCTTGACGAACTTGGCGGGCGAGCCCTCGGGCAGGCGCAGCTTCAGCTTGACGTTCTGGTGGGAGGTGGTCTGCATGGCGCCCAGGCAGCCGGCGACACACTCCCGCAGCATCATCCAGTCCTTCACGTACGAGTATGATCCCTTGGTGCGCGTGGACAGCTCGATCATGGTATCGGGCTTGTGCGTCAGTCCGAGGCCGAACGAGTGGATCCCCACCTTGGCTGCTTCGGCCCGAGACACGACGAAATCGACGCTGTCGGGGTCGGAGGTGGACGAATCGCTGATCAGCAGGATGGTCGAGACGGGGTTGGCGGATTTGCGCTGCATCAGCAAGTCCATGGCCACGTTGGCCCCCTCCACCACGTCGGCGCGCAGGCTCTTCTGTCCCACGGGGCGGATCGAGCTGAGGATCTTGTTCCACCCAGCCCACGATTTAGTGGTCATGCCGACGAGCGGGACGCCGCCGCCGCTGGATCCGAAGGTCACGAGGCCCATGCGGTCGCGGGGGCCCAGATGCTGCACCAGGAACTTGAGCGCGTCCCGCAGCAGGGTGATTTTGAGACCCTGCATGGACGACGACACGGGGATCACGACGACGAGGTCGAGCGGGATGTGGGTAGGGCCGGCCGGGATGCTGTCCCCGGCCACGTTCGTGTAGTCAGTGATCGCCGTGTTGTTGGACCGCGCCGCGCCATAGGAGGAATTCAACGACGCCTGTCGTCGGATCCGACTGGCGCGGTAGTCTTCCTCCTCCGCGCCCGAGTTATCGAAATCGTAGTCGGTGTGGCGGGAGGCATTGTCGGGGGGGTTCAAGTCCGACAGGGCCCGACGCCAGAGGTCCAGCTGATTTCGGTTCTGGAACCGGAGATAGAAGCACGGAAGCTCATTCACGGACAGATGCAAGGCCAGCACCGGTTCCTCTGTACGGATTGGTTAGCCTCGGCCATCGGACGAAGTGAATTTGGAGAGAAAGTGTCGAACTTACCAGGCGAGGCCTCGGTGCCGCGCAGATGTCGCTTGATGAGGATCGAGCCCTTCAGCGTCGTCCGCGTGGTCCGTTTCGCCGGATCATCGGGGTGACGGTGGTCATTGATCCGCTTTTCCTTGACACAGATAAGCATCTCCGCGAACAGGAAACACTCGAGTTCCTGCCACGATTCCCGATCCTTGCCCACCCGCATGTGACCGTGCAGACGGAGCTTTCCGAATCTGCAGGATACAAGTCAGCCGAGATCGTCTTCCCCCCTCCCCTCCAAATAGGAAACTTACCGTTGGAATTCGAGACCGTGCCAGTTGTCGACGCGGGACCGGAGATTCTCGGCGACCTCGTCTAAATTCTCCTGCGGCTCGAACGACAGGGGCGGCAGGTGACGAGTCTCCTGGGCGGAAGGGCGACGCACGGCCGCGTACGGCTCGTCCAGGGGCAACGGCTGGTCCATAGTACTCTGACGAATGTCATCGGCGCTCGCCCGCCAGCCCTCGGGAACTTCGACGGTGATCAAGCAGGTCAGAGACTGTTGTTGACGAGACCGATTGAGTGTGGGGAATTCGCTGCGGATGGTCACGGTCGGGGCTGGGATGGGGTTCTTGGTCGAGCCGGGCCGCGGGCTCAGGTCCGACTCCATGGCCTGCAAATCGTAATCGTGACGGCGGCCGTTGCTCGCGATCTGGGCGTCATTGTAGTCGCCCGACGAGCCGGCGAGACTATCGTTGCGGCCGTGTTGGGGGCGCGAGCCGATGGTCAGCCGTTCGACGCGGTCCCGCTGGCTGCTGGTGTCTCGGCTGTCGCGTCGGGTGCTGTACATGTCGCGACTATCCCGGTTGTGAGACGACCGGCGGGTCATCTCACTCGGGGGGGCGAGTCGACCCTGGGGCTGGTCCCAGGGCGTGGGAGTGGTCAGACCACTGCGCGCGGTGGCGGCATCGCTGGTCACGGAGCGGACGATGTTGCTGAGTTTCTCTGTTTGGGGAAAAGACGGGAGATTAGATCAGAGCCGGGTGGTTATCGCACGTGGGCGTTATCGTTATCGCTTACCGAGATCCAACACGTTCCCCCCACGACTCGTGTCCAGCCCCAACGGGGCATCACACGTTGGGCAATACTGGCCCTCACACTCTCGGATATACTCATAAAAGCAAGCCTCGTGGGAGACATGAGCGCAGGAAAATTGCAGGACACGCTCCCCGCGCAGGGTATGCTCCAAGGGTTCTTCACACACGGCGCATTCGCTCCCGACGAATGTCCTCTCCCTCCGAGAACGGGTCCGGTCGACGTCCATCAAGCCGGCCATCGATCTGCCTGATCGCGAGTTAAATGACGCTCGAGAGGTTGGGGTGTGCTTCGAGGACCGCCAGCCAAACTCCGAATAATCCGGGTACACCGAAGTGCTGGTGACCGTGGATGGCGCACGAGACAGCGGCGCGTCAGTGACGACAGAGAGCGTGCTCTCCGGACGGTCTGAACGAGCGAGAGAACGAAGGGATCGCAAAGGTGAGCGAACGGGAGATTCAGTGGGCGGTAAATCTGTCGAGCGCGGAAGGGAGCAACTTGGTTAGTGACGGAGGAGGGGAAACAATGGAACGAGTGAAGGAACAATTGGACGCGGCAGGAGTGTAGTATTGCATGCGAGGTGCAGAGATATCCTTGACAATCTTCCCGTTGTGTATATGGTGGATTGGATAGACGGGGGGTCAGGAGGAGGGGGATGTGGATAGACGGGACAGGGAAGGGGGAACGAACGGAGAGGGGGAGAGAGAGAGGCGCGAACGGTGTTGACGGAGGGAGAGAAGAGAAGAAGAAAGAACAGGAAAGGAGGCTTGTGATCAGGAGGCGCAGATGGAACCAGAGGATCGGAACGTGGACAGTCGAACAATGAAGATCGGGAGAAATGGGATTACACGGTGGGGAGGATCATGATGAATCGGGGGGAGAACGGATTAGGGAGGGAAAATCCACATCAAAGAAAATCACCACCACAACAAAAAAAATAACACCACAAATTTAATCAATTCAGGAATAAAATGAGTTCATCGAATAAAATGAATAAATCAAATGAAGATCAGAAAAATCAAAATGAGGATCAGAATGAAGCAGGACAAGACAAGTAAGGAGGACTAGCATGAGACACTATGCCATATGGTACTTACGAAGCGGAGACTTCTTCTTAGCACGACTAAAGAAGCCACGCTCGGATCGTAACCCGGGCGTCGAGGAGGTTGAACCCGGTGGATTAGTGCTTCCAGACTTGGAATCCGATCTGGAAGACGGACGATGCTTCCACATGAGCTTGAGAGGGGATTTGACGGTGGAAAGCGAGGGACGGAGAAAGCAAAACGCAAGAAAGAGAGAAGAGAGAGAAGAGATAAAAGGATGGGCAGTCGAGAGATGATACCTATTTTCAGGGAGGACTAGTGGAGAGATTGGAGTGGGGGAGATGACAGGGAAAATGTCCCGAGGATGAAGCAAGAGGATTAACTAGGGAGTTAGGGGGGGATATTGATGATCAGATTGGACCAGGATGAAGATTTAGTGGGAGTTGGGAAGGGAAGAAAAGGATACAGGGGGAGCAAAAAAAGAGTACAGATAGAATAGAAGATAAAAAATAAAAAAATACAAAAAGGAATAAACACTAAGATAATAATGATAATAAAAAAGAAAAAGAATATAGAAAAAAAAAAGAGGAAGAGTATCGTGGTGGAAATAATTTTACGACGGCGCCACAGCCGGGGATTTGTTCAGGAGATGGCATTGGATAGAGAGGATTTCATCATTCAGGTACTAGTCAGTCAAGCGGATGCTCGACTAACATTTTAATGCTAAAATAGTTCCAACAGGGTGGTGGGGAGGGGTGGCTTCATCGTGGCCACTGAACCAACAAGAGGAGGCGACAAGGTACCCGCGTGGGTCCGATCCAGGGACCGTCAGGAGGCAAGAGATAGGAGGTATGGTTGAATATTCAGTCAATATTCATGACTGATTCAGGATTGATTATTCACGACAAGGTTGAAGAAGAAGACAAAGAATGAAGATAGAAACAAAGAAGATGAGATAGGGCAGAAGGGATCAGGTGACGGATCAGACAATGACTGACAATAACGGAACAATAGATGCATGAATAAGATCATCCTCAATCGGATAATATGATTGTCATCCAAGCATCTTGGACTCCGAACATAAATTGTCAGTATCTCCCCAAGCAACAAACCATGACCTATCATGATCCCATCAACTAGTGTCAATAATTCAGCAAAGATGATGTCCAATGATCCGATCTTGGTTCTCCTTACATGCCTTGATTGACTGACAGTTCTACCTATCCAGTGTACCTATCGAAATTACTCAATAATCGAAAGAAGAACAGCAATAACAATAAACAAATCAAAAGATAGATAAAAATACAGAATTGAATCATCAAAATCATTTGATTATTATTAAACGACTAGAATAATTATATTATTTACTGACCCTGCATAAGTGTCTGGTCGGACAACAGCATCCTCAGCGCAACCAGTGTCAGCCACCCGTCGCATATGCACCTCCCAATGATCGCTCCATCGTCTGCACGCAAGAGCTGAGACCCTACATCAGAGGGTCTCCTCACCTCGGCATCATATCCTGGTCGACGGGCCAACGTCCATCTCCACGGCTCCGTACTTCTCAAAATAGAATCCTGTGCGTGAAATGAACCCACTCGATCGACTCTCTGATAAACCCATGCCGGAACTCCTTCCTGATAATTATAGAATCGATAACTCCAGTCCATACTTGGTTGACAGAAAACTGTGGTACGGTAAGGATGGCAAGTGGACATGCCACAATCCAGTAACGATTGACATGAGCTCGGTTAAGAGCGTGTCGATCCCCGAGCGTTTCCCTGCTTGACTGTCCTATAGTAGGATCATAGGATGAATATGACTCTTGTCTGTTAGAAGGGACTCCTGAAATCTGGCAGTGGAAGTAAGGATCGGCCGTCAGTTTCATGGGAGGAAGACGGGAAGCGGGGCCTTTTTACCCTAGTATCTAGATTACCATTCATTACCATATCATTGTTTGTACTCTGCTCTGTCTCATCAATGGAAAGAAGTAGCGGAAGACCGGAGATGGTATTTAATACCATATCATACCGGGAAGTATCATGCAACCACATCCATCGATCCAAAATCAAAATCTCCCCAGACTAAAGGTCAGAAATCAATTCAACCGGGGAATAACAGGATGACTCGGGCTCTTTGCAGGGATGAAATTCCATCTGGAGAATTATGAGAAAAAAAAACTCCCACACTGATCAGCAACACCCACGTCAAGTTTTAAAAGCACCAGCAGGAAGGATTCCGAGGCGTTGCTCAACCTAACGCTCTAATCCAATCACCCATGGAACACATTTTAATGGTTGGTGGCGATGATTCGTCGCATGGTGCCTGATTCTCCAGGTTTCAGACCCCGTCGTGGTGGGAAAGATGAATGTACCCTGACTTGTTCCACGGTTTAGTACCGACTAACCTCGCCTCAATCCACGGAGGGGTTCCAGTTTCAACTAACTCCCGAACACTTGGTCTCGGGACCTTCAGTCTGACCAAGTGTTCGAACGCAAGCCCGTGGGAAAATGCCATGCAGAACCCCGTCTGTCGATAGTCTGCCTCCCTTTCCCACTTAGGATACATTAGAATCCTCCACTCCCTCGTCCATGGCAAGGTCTAGAACAAAAGTCCTCGGAACATATCGTACCCCCTCCACTACACTCTCACTCTTAACTGGTTCTCCCGTCCGAACTAACGAGCCATGATTGTCGTGCATGTCCTCTTTTAACCACCCCCCCCCTCTTCCCTCCCCTCCCGACGGCGCGCATCCAAACTTTCCCAACGGCTATCCCATTCCAGCGCCCCACAGACGGCACTAAACCCTCTGGTCCACCGATCCCGGCTCAATAATAAAACTTGGGTGGTGGGCTAGCTGCGTCAACTAAGATTGCGACGGGCGTGCCGTCGGACGCCTTGGCTTTTTACGGACTCCGGCCAAGGCTGATGGTCTCTCTCCTCTCCAGTTTACTTACTTTCTTACCAGGGACGGTGAAACAACCCTGAAACCCTTCGCTTAACCTCTCACCACGGTCGTAGTCAAGCTAAACACCCTGGTCCCCGACGGATGGATGCCGGGGGGCAAGGTCCGCGTCGAGGTCCGTGTGTCACCTGAATGATTCTGACGCCTGAATCAGTGGCCATTTGCCGGCTGATTTGGCATCTGATGGTGGCCTGGCCGAACAGACTCTGTCCGATGGACTTGGCCCTGCTCCTCAACCCGAGACCTCTCATCCGACTTGTCAGAAAGGCGCGCTCTCCTGCGTTCTGATCCGTCATACTAACAAACCCTACCCGCTTCAGTCGGATCGCGTTCGTATGTGTCCTCCCCCAGGCTGCCAAATGCAATACACAGATCCGCAATGTGACGTGACACGGCTCTGTGCGAGTCAGGAGTAACCTTAATATCGACGCCCCGTACTCCATATCGAGCATCCATGCAATGCAACCTAGCCTCAAACCCGACGCCCTCGGGCGTGCTCTTCACCGGCATCCTATCTGCACATGTCCCTCCCGCATCATCAGCCATCCAGGGGACGGACGATAGATAGATTAATCCGACAGTCTTCTTCCCCCACCCGCTCTCCGATGGGAAGGATTCCGGAAAAGCCATCTAATCTCGTCCGTCGGCGTGTGGCTCGTGACGATCTAAGGCCCATAATGTGGCTTGCGTGAGACGTCACATTGCATCAATCGCACTCTCGCCACCATCGGCTTTTGCTCTTGCGGCCAACGTGGCCCTTCCCCTTTCCTCCTATCAAGTCAGGAACGGCCTTGCCCGGACATTGAGTATGAGGATGCGTAAGTTCGTCGGGTTCTTATGAAATGGCTCGCCCCTTGCAGGTTGATCGGATCTGACTGGGTAAATGGGGACTTTTCCGGGTGACAAATGCTGGGGTTGTGGCTTCATGTATTGGTGTGGCGGAGGCGATATCTGGGATTTGTCAAGTCGTCATTCCAAATTATGGGGCTCAATGTAGAGGGTGATGACCACTGCACCAAATGCCGAAGAATCGGTGTTTGGTCGGCTTGATATGACCGATGTCCACAGAAGTTGATTATTGATGGTTCATATAAGCATGGTGGGGGCCAGCTCCAGTAGGTTGTATGGGTTTTGACCTGAATCCTTGAGTCTATCTAATCAGTCTTTCGCGAAGGATGCTGCGTACGGCTGCAGTTTTCTGTGAGGTTACACTGATGTAGGCATCTGAATGACGTTTTGGTGGGCGTGTTTCTAAAGCTGTGGCATATTTATATACAGCATACTCGTAGGTCTACTACTGTTCGAAATGATAGCATTTCTTCTTCAGACACTACTCCCTATTGTTCATATTCAAACTATACACTCTGTTATTTTGCACAATCACTGTCTGATAGATATCGACTACAACTCCTGCTAACTACTTCTATCCACCATACTACAACAATGACTCTCAAACTGGATCTGCTGGGTCAAACCAGCATAAGAGCTACACATAAATACAGAGGTATTTAATAATTTACTCCGACCGGATACCTAGCTATCTATCTAGAACCAGCAACAGACAGCCGCTCCTACCATCAACGAAACAAGTCCAACACCACAAACACGCACCGTCTATACTATACAACACCTACGGTCCAGATCCCACGTACCAAGATAACGGGCTGTCACAAAAAAAGCCCCATACTCCATCAACCCAAAACCAAGCGGGTCGGTTCGGCTTGATGGCCTGATCCTTCCTGATGAGTTAGTTGATCCGTAGGGCGGCGGGCTCGTTAATAGCCGAATTGAATCCACCATCGGTTGTCCGATCGATCTGATCTAATTTGATTAAATTTTGGACCCTGAGAGGGGCCGTGACATATATTTGAGAAGGCTGAGATGGATTTGGAGGTTGAGACCGTTGGTGGGTTCAGGACCCACTGTGTTTGGGGTTGATAGGGTACTAGATTGGGAGGATGGATGAATTTGCGGGAGGTTGGTTGCCGGTTAGGGTTGGTTGGGTATTTAAAAGGGTGTCTTGACTCTTGTGGTGAGGTGAAGGATGATACCTAGAATTTACTCCATACTCCGTACTCCGAGTATCGTCTGGAGTAGATCGAGTGTTATCCAGAGATAAAGATGAAGATGAAGATAGAGATAGAGATAGATAGAGATAGATAGAGATAAAGGGAAACAAAACAAACAAACAAACAAATCCAACAAACAGCCTGTTTGGCTGGTTTGCATCATCTACACCGGCTGACCCCAAACAGGAAAGCAACTGCTTACCTCAGCCCGGCCAGCCAGCCGGAAAATCCCAACATTATTCGTTCACTCGTTGAATGGGAAAATTCCCCAGAGGTTATCAGCGACTTCTCATCTCTCCCATCTCCCTACACCCTCCCCCCCCCACCCCTTCCTCCCATTCCCCATTCTTTTCCCGAACAGACATCTTCATCATGCTGTTCCGTGCTGCCTGGGCCCGTCAGGCCGCGCCTCTGCGCCGTCAGGCCTTTGCTCCCCTTGCCCGTCGCTCCGTCACCACCGACGCGGCCTCGTCGCATGCTGAGAATATCCCCCAGGTTTGTTGGCCTTAGGCCCTTCTCTTCGCCCCTCCCCCATCATGATGAAGAATTGGACAAAAGACTGACGCGCCGTGTCGCGTGTATAGGAGGAAGACAAGCCCTTCACCGTTCAACTCTCCGATGAGAGCTTCGAGACCTATGAGATCGACCCGCCTCCGTACACCATGGAGGTCACCAAGAAGGAGCTGAAGCAGATGTACTACGACATGGTCACGATCCGGTATGCTATCCTCGTCTTGCAACAACACACTAGCCGCTTCCAGATCGTCCATGCTAATGGTGTGAACCAGCCGTATGGAGATGGCCTCCGACCGTCTATACAAGGAGAAGAAGATCAGAGGTTTCTGCCATCTGTCGAACGGCCAGGAAGCCGTCGCCGCCGGTATCGAGCACGCCCTCACCCGCGACGACAAGGTCATCACCGCCTACCGATGCCACGGTTTCGCCCTCATGCGCGGTGGTACTGTCCGCTCCATCATCGGAGAGCTGCTCGGTCGCCGTGAGGGTATCGCCTACGGCAAGGGTGGCTCCATGCACATGTTCGCCCCCAACTTCTACGGTGGCAACGGTATCGTCGGTGCCCAGGTGCCCGTCGGCGCTGGTCTGGCCTTCGCCCAGCAGTACAACGAGGATAAGACGGCTTCCGTGATCCTGTACGGTGACGGTGCCGCCAACCAGGGTCAGGTCTTTGAGGCTTTCAACATGGCTAAGCTGTGGAAGCTGCCGGCCCTGTTCGGTTGTGAGAGTATGTTTTCCTCTTATATTCTCTACTGATCGAAACTAATACCATACAGACAACAAGTACGGTATGGGTACCTCCGCCGCTCGTTCCTCCGCCTTGACCGAGTACTACAAGCGTGGCCAATACATCCCCGGTATCAAGGTCAACGCCATGGACGTCCTGGCCACCAAGGCCGCCGTCAAGTACGGCAAGGAGTGGGCCGTGGCGGGCAACGGTCCCCTCGTCTTCGAGTACGTCACCTACCGCTACGGCGGCCACTCCATGTCCGACCCGGGCACGACCTACCGCAGCCGCGAGGAGATCCAGCGCATGCGCAGCACCAACGACCCCATCGCGGGCCTCAAGCAGAAGATCCTCGACTGGAACGTCCTGTCCGAGGACGAGCTCAAGGGCCTGGACAAGGACGCCCGCGCCTTCGTCGACGAGGAGGTCGCCATCGCCGAGGCCATGGCCGTCCCGGATGCCACCCCTCGCATTCTCTACGAGGACATCTACGTCCGCGGCAGCGAGCCCCGCTGGATGCGGGGTCGTACCGTCGACGAGACCTTCTACTATTAGATTTGGGGGAAACCAACAAAAACGAAAAGCCAAAATAATAGAATGGGAGGATCGAAAGGGGTCAAACGGGAGCACATGATATAAAGGAGATATAATCAGATTGGCCGGTTCCTGTGCATTTACCTACCTACCTTACCTACCTTGCTCTCTACGATATGTTTACTATGTAATTTAGCCGTGAATTTATTATATTGCATTGATTTTTTTTCTTCTTCTATCATATTATCATCATTACGATCCTTGATAAGACTATCTCTACCTTGAAATCTGTATTTGGGCCTAGGTCTAGATCTATCTAACAGACCCACAGACTCGAATAAAAGACAACATGAAGCAAAAACCACCAAGATAAGTAAGTAGAAGTAGACAAATACCTAGGTAGTCAAGATAACGAACCAAGCAAGTTCAGGAGAACAGTATAGAACTGAAAGAGTATAGAACTACAACAGCATACGATATCATACAGTAATATCCAGCACTGGTTGACTGATGTTGACGATTCTACCGTATCTGCAACTATATATATAGATTGATTGGATCGATCTATGTGATCACCACTGCTTGCCAATAATGAATTGCTAGAAAATGGAGTATACATAGCGTACGTGTTGAAGATGGATGAATGGACGTATATATATAATGGGTTACCACGTATGATGGATCAAGATATTATAGATATAATAAATATATGTTGAGCAGGACCTGGTAACCTACGCTGAGTGTATACGTTGAGTAGCAATATACTGTCCCCTATGATATATAAGTATACAAAGTAAACAAAGCACCTCAATTCCCAGGGAATCAACCACATTATGTATATTAAAAAAGATGAAATATAAAAACACCGCAATCAGGGTATCACAAAAGGACCTCAAACAAATCATCAACATCAGCCATATCAGCCGCCCAAAAACCATCATGACAACAATGTTCAATAAAACGGATATAAAAAAGAAAAAATGAAAAAGAAGAAAGAAAATATTCAAGCAGGCTCCTGCCTCAACATCTCCAGAATCATATCCTGCGTCCGCTGCACGGCATCCAGCTTCTCCTCCAGCGCCGCGCGATCTTTCTCCAGCTCGCGGTGGATCTCGTCGCGCATTTCGAGTCGGAGTTCGTTTTTGAGTTGCGTTATTGCTGCTGTGGAGAGATTGCCGGGGGAGTTGGTTTTGTTGGTGTTGGTATTGGCATTGCTGTGATTATTGTCTTGGATGCTGGGACGAGGGGAGAGGTTTTCTCGCTCCGAGGACGGAGCTGATGATATAGAGGCCGCGGAGGAGGCGGAGGATGGTGGTAACTGCAATGGTACTGGTAATTGTGGTGCACGGGGAACTTCTGTCGGGGTCGTGCTGGCTGCTGCGTCGAGGTGTTTATTCAGTTTCCCCAGCGTCTCGAGCATGGCGGACATGACGCCCGCGTCCATGGACGGTGCCTGTGCTGTCGGGGTGTGGTGGATGGGCGTCGCGGGCGAGTTCCCCTGGAACATGGTGTCGAAGCCTGGGGGAAGGCGCACCGCCGTTGGCGTGGAAATAGGCGCAGGCACAGGCGTAGACGTAGACGTAGACGTAGACGTAAACCCGTCCTGCTGGCTCCGACTACCGCTGACATCCCCTGCGGGTGGTGGTGGTGGTGCTGCTGCTGCTGCTGCTGCTGGCGCCGTACTCGACGGAGACTCTCCGCTCCCCGATGCCGGTAGCGACGGCACCGGCGCCGGCGCCGGCGGAGCCTTCCACCCCCCATCGCAAGACATCGTCGAGATGACATCCCAAGGCGACGACGCCTCCCAGTACTTGCGCTTGCGCGGGCGACGCATATCGCGCTTCTCAATGCGGCGGGCCTCGGCCTCCTCCCAGCGCTGCCAGGTAGGGATCCAAGCGTCGACGGCGACGCGCCAGCGCGGGTTCGCGCTGTCAACGGGTGGCTCGCGCTGCTGGCGCGACTCCTCGAGGAACTTCTGGCGCTGCTTGGTGACGATCTCGACCTTGCGGCGGACGCTGTGCCATGAGTATGGGTGGCCCTGGTCGCGGGTGAATTCCTCCGTCACTGTCATCCACCACTTGCAGAGGCTGCTGCGGTGGCCGAAGTCTGCGGCGTGGCGGTTGCAGATGTCGAATAGGGATACTTCTTCTAGGGTGGTGAGGCGCTTGCCGTGTCGGCGGTTGCTGTTCGGATGGCCGTGCGTGTTGTTGTTGTTGGTGGTGTTGTTGGTGTTGGTGTTTGTCGCGGCCGTGCTGCTTGACTCGGCTCGGCCCATCCCGCTTTCGTTTGGCCCTTCGTCCACGATCATGACTGCGTCGTCATCGGGTGCGTCTCTGTCTGTCTGATCCCGTCGGTTCTTGTTCCCCTCGCGGTTATCACCCGTGCGGGCTAGTCCGGACGTCGTCGCGCCCCGCGTGCCGATCCCATCCACCGACCGCTCACTGTCCGAGCTATCTAAGCCGTCGATGCGCGGCTGGGCACGCGACTCGATGACCACTGATACAGGCGGCATCTCGTGATTAGAGCGCGGACGCGACAGCGACATAGGGCGAAACGGAGAAGCGGTGGACCCGGGGGTAGGGGAGGACCCCGTCGCCGAACCTTGGTTCATATGTAGCCCGGCGAGGGGTCCTTGTGTAGAGGAGCGCGACGTCATCGACGGCCGCCATTGCATCGACGACATCTGGTGGGAGGTGTGCGCGGGTGAGGAGGTGGAGGTGGAGGCGGGAAATTGGAGTCGGCCGGTCGCGGAGGGCGGCGGGGGGAGGGTGGTGTTCCAGGGATACATCGAGGGGGCGGAATCTGGAAGGGACCCTCCAGATGAGAAGAGAGGAGAGGGGGGAGTGATGGAAACGAGTGAGAGAGAGGGCGGGAAGTTCACGATCGCGGTCTGGATGGAGTTGAGTGGCCGGAATGGACCGGGGTCTGTATTCCTCGGTATTGGTATTTTTGTAGATACCATCTCGGTACGGCGATACCCATGTTATTCTCTCCATATTATACTTCTCTAGACTACTCTATACATACTCTGTATTACAATCTATACCAGCATATGCTGGTGATGCATGAGACATCCAATGTACATTGATATGGTATACAATACAGCGTGGGTCTAGGATTAGACAGTCAGAGCGCCAGATCATCCGATCGTCGCAGATGCTCGAAAAGAAAAAGAAAAGACAGATAAAATCAAACAGAAACCCAGACAGCCCAGTTATACATGCACCTGCAGATCAAGTCTACAGAGAAAAATAAAGAAAAATAATCAACCCCAACCACTCGAGAGAAACTACCGTCGGCGCAGATACCACGCAAACGCACCCGTACCCACCACCTCGCCAAACGGCGACGGCACTTCAGACGCGCCGGGGCGCGCGACAGGATGGCGCAGGTACACTGCCGCACAGATGCTGTGGTTGACCTCGAGGTAGCGCGGCACGAAGGCGAAGGCGCTCATGAATTCGCGCGGCTGCCACGGCGTGCCGTACGGCTTGCTGTGGTCGATGGGGTTGTCGCGCATCTGCACCATCGCCCGCCTGAGCACGTCGAACTCCTCGTCGGACAGCTCCGACGTGTCGGGCTCCTGCTCCGGGTTCTCGGCCGCCTGTCGGAAGGCTTCGGTCAGGGCCTCGCCGGGTTGGGCCTCGTCGGCGGCGGCGGCGGCAGCGGTGGTACCCTGAGGTGCACCGGGCTGCTTCTGGGCGTCGGATGCCTCGGGCTTGGGTGATCGGGCCTCCTTATCTTCCCTGCGGTCGCCCTTCTTCTTCTCGGCGCGCTTGGCCTTGAGCAGCTGGGTCAGCTCGGCGAACTGCGACTCGAGATTGTCGGTGAGCACGGTACTCGAGGCCGAGCGCGACAGCACGCGACGCACGGCCTTCTGGAAGCCGCGCAGCTCCTGCTTGCGCTTGGCGGGCAGGACGTCCTGGCCAGTGGACATAATGCCCTTCGCCTGGGCCATCAGCCCCTTCAAGACCTTCCGGGGATCCTCCTTGGGCTGGTCCTTGGCCTCTTTCTCCGCGGGTTCCTTGGACTCCTCCGCCGCAGCGCTGTCTTCCTCCTTGGCCTCGGCCTCGGTGGCCTCCTCGCCCTCGGATTTCTTCTTGCGCAGGGCTCGGCCTTCCCGTCGTTCGGACCTATCCTTGGGGGCACCAGTAGCAAACATGACGCGTTCGGGGTCGACCTGGAAGAGGTCTCCGGGGTTCAAGAGGTAACCGGGGTATCTCATCTACAGAATTAGCCCATATCCACACACCCATATACGAAGAGAGAAAAAGAGAGAAATACCTTCTGCCCATTAACCGTAACCGCCCCATGAATCACAAACTGACGTGCCTGGCGAGTACTGCTCGCAAACAGGGCCCGAAAAACAGCAACATCCAGCCGCCGCTCCAACGGAGCAAACGTCATCTGCGAGAAAGGAATATACTGCTTCGCCTGCTGGATGGTCAGAGCCATCCGGTCAGGCTGGCCCTCTAGACCAGAACCACGGCCAGTGGCGGCCCCCGCGCCGTCGTCCTTGGCCAGGTTGTAGGGATCCATGGGGATGACGCTGCGGATGCGGGAGGAGAACATGCGCTGCCACTGGCTCTCGCGGACCTGTTCGCCATGATAGGCGCGGGCGATGCTCTTGGCTTTGAATTTCTGCTGGAAGTGCGTGCGGAAGGAGGTCTGGGGGGTGCGCATCCGCGTCAGGTTAAATAGGTTGTATTTGCTCCATGATTGCCGGATTTTCTGCGGACGCATATCCTGTCAGTGGTTTACTCCTGGAGAATGGACGGGATGGGTTGATGTCGTCTGACATACCGGATTGGTCAATGTGGTCGTCGCCCTGTTCCTCATGGTGGCGGAGTAGACGTGGGCAGGGAATAATTGAACGTGTCTGGTTCTTCCTGCTCGGGGTCGAAGTGAAGCTGCTGGCTGGCCTGGTATCTCCGGCGCCAAAACTTCACGGTCACGTGTGGCATTAATCATCAGGAACAGACACCTGAGGACACAGGCACTGACACTTTTCTTCAGGCCACCATCCCCTCTCCCTTGATTGGCTGGTGTGACTCTCGCTTACCACTAGCGCCAGCTGACTCACCCGCTTCCCCTATAAATACTCCTCTCCCCCTCCACCCTTTAACCTTTTTTCTTCTTTCTTTCTTCATACTTACCTTGTTTGGGTGGCTGCGATCAAGAAGGCGGTCCACCACAGTCTGGTCCCTGCATTGCACAGCGCGGCGGAACAGTCTGTTCAACGGCCTTCGGGTCATTGACAGGCGTATTCTTTGGCACCTTTCCTTTGTGGAATATCTTATCTTTTCATCATGCTTTGGGCTATATGCTTGAGGGTGGAGAAGAGATTGTAATTGTAGCTTGTAAATCCCGTGGTTCAATCAAAGTCGTATAGACTGTCAACGTTGTATCGGTACATCCTGGATAGATTACTGTGTGTATTACTATAGTCGTTGCTCGTTTCGTCATTCGTGTCATTATAAGAGCGCGTCCACCGCATACCCCCCACGCTCCCCCCATCCGTAGTCCTATTCCTCCCGCCGCGAACTGGAAAATGCCTCCTGTAACGCCTCCGCTTCCTGCGGATTGACCGCGTCGTCGAGAATAGCATGCGCCATCTCCACCGTCTCGTCGTCGATCCCCTCCTCCAACACCAACCCTTCGCTAAACGCCAGTCGCGTCAACGCAACCAAAAACTTTTGCTTCCCCCCAGCAAGACGCCCGAGCTTCGACGGCAGGTCCACCTGGTCCGGATGTCGCCGCAGCACCCCGTACACCAGCCGCATCAGCCCGTTGACCAGGGTCGCGTGCAGTGCCCGCTCCGGCGGGAATCGGTAGAGCGCGTCCAGCTCGTCGTGCATCGCGCGGATGGCCCGCGCCAGCACCGTCGGGTGCGCCGCGATCGCCTCGCTGCCGTGCCGGCTGCCCGGTGCCATCGCGTTGAAGGCGATCGCCTGCAGCAGCGACAGCGCCTCCAGCCGCAGCTGGCATACCGCCGCCGCCGGGTAGGGCGCGGCGCCCTCGTCCGGCTGTGGCGTCTCGCTCAGCAGGTTGGCCACCCGGTCGATCACGTAGTTCTCGTTGGCGCGCTGGTCTGCCTCGGTGTCGAGTAGGGACCCGAACGCGTCGGGTTGCACGCTGGTCGCCAGCAGGCTCAGCGTCAGGATCAGGTCGTGGAGCGGCTGCGCGCAGTTCAGCATCATGAGCACAAAGTCGTAGCGCATGCACCGCCAGAACCGTTCGAGGTCCGCCGCGACGTGGAGGCGCGAGCAGGCGATCTGGTGCAGCAGCGCCAGCGCCGCCGTCGCGTCGACCCGCGGCTCGAGCTGTGACGCCGGCGTGCGCCGGATCTGTCCTGAGCTCTGCCGCGACTGCGGCGAGTGACGGAATCGTGGCACCCCGTTGACGTCGCCCGAGTCCTGTAGCACGGGCACTAGGAGCTCGATCAGCCCCGATCCGGGCGTCCGGGCGTCCAGCGCGAGCACCTCCCGCGTGACGGCCAGGAAGATGGGCACCGGAGCGAAGTACTTCTCCGCCAAGGCCTGCGCCCACAGCGCGATCACCGCCTCAGCGTAGTCCATCAGGTAGCTGCCCCGGTTGCGGGTGGCTGTTTCCTCCAGCAGCCGGGTGGACAAGGTTCGCTGGGGCGCCGACGGGAAGGCTAGCCGGCCCAGCACCTCGAGGTCGCTTTGTTCGTTCGGGTACGTCCGGTGGTTGAGGAGGCGTTTCGTCACCCGCGCGTGGGCGTCGTCGTCCGCGGTCCGGGCCGGTCTGTCCGCCACCGTGTCCTCCATCTCCATCTCCATCTCTTCCTCGTCCGACGGGTCAGGATCGGGATCGTCCGGCGCGAGAGGCTCGGCGGTCTGGGGCGCGGCGGGGGCGTCCAAGGGCAGGCCGGCCTGACGGTCCGGGCTCAGCTGCCGTCTCCGTTTCCCGCGGGCGGTGGTGGTGTAATGTTTGGAGGGGGTGGGTTTGGTGGGCGAGACGGCCAGGATCTCCTCGTCGTTGAACCCGTCCCGGAAGGGGAGGACCCTTGTCTTCTTGGGCGTCTCGGGGGCGGGGGTCTCCTCGGGGCGGTCTTTGGGCTTGCGGGCGTGGATGCGCATGGACTCCTCGGCGAGGTCCTGCTTCAAAAAGGCATTCTCCGTAGCAAGCATCTTGCCTTCAGCCCGCGCCGCCTCGACCTCGCCGCGATGGCGACCGATCTCCTCGGCCAGCTGCTTCCGTAGGGCTACCAGCTGCCGCTCGTAATTGTCACTCAACTTGGCCTGGTTCGAGCGGATGATGGCGATTTCGCCATTTTTAGTGGCGGCCGTGGTTTTGGCGGCGGTCAGTTCGTCGACCAATTCTTTATAGCGTGCATTTTCCTGCGCCAACTGTCCAGACAACATTAGTCCCACGTCCGAACCACGCTGTCTACTGCTGGGAGCGGAAAGAGAAGGTCCACTACCTTTTCCATGAGGAGGTTGTAGTCATGTTGGAGTTGGGCGCCATGGGGGGAGAAGTCTCCTTCGACCTCCATATACTCCGCGGGGTGGTCTCGGATCGGCGCTTGGTCCGCGTCGTGCACTTCGAACGCATGGGGCACGGGGAGATCTTGTTGCTCCGGGTGGGTGAAAGACCCATCCAGGACGATAGCTGAGCCATCGTCAAAGACCTCCGCATCCAATTCGCCGACATCCAGGGCCCCGTAATCACCGGTCAGACCGGTGTGCAGACGCGGGGGCGGTGGGAGGGTCGTTATGTCGTGGGAGGGGATGCGCTGGTCGAGGGGAACGGGATGGTCATCCTCAGTCACATCCATACGAAACGAAGGCACTTTCAAGCCCGAGGGCGCGGTTGGTTGCGACCATTGGGTGGCTCGAACGGCATTCTCCTCCAACTGTAGGAGGGTGCCGGGGGGAAGGTCCTCGAAACCATCGTCGGAGAAGAAATCCTCATCGTTGTCATCCATGCCCACGGGTATTGTTGATCGCCATGGGGATTTTACAAAGGGGGGAGGGAGAGAGGGAGAAGCGGTTCAAGAAGAGAAGGAGAAAGAAGAGTATTATAAGAAGTAGGTTAGAGAAAAAGAGAAGAAGAAGAGAAGAGATGAAGATGAAGCTGAAGATGAGAGGATGACAAACCTGACAAACTGGACAAACAGACAAACAGACGGATGGCATAAGTAGTCAGCAGTCAGCTGATCTGCACAAGGTGCATTATGCTCATCATCTTCTTGATTCTTCACGATCAATCGATCATCTCATTCATTTCAAAAGAATAAAATATGATAAAAATATCCCGAGCTTAGACAATAGATATACGTCTATAGATATATAAATATAAGGTAGAGACATGGTTGGAATTCAAGAAAGACTGATTCTCCGCCCAACTGCACACCCAAATCCTTCGCCGATCTTTCTCTCAACCACCTCTGTCTCTCTCTCTCGCTCTCTCTCTCTCTTCTCCTTCTTTTCTTCTTCTTCTTCTTCTCTCCGATTTCTCCCCCGGATTTCTTCCATCCTCCTTTTCTCTCCTCCTCTTCAATCCTTCTTCTCCTTCGTCTCCCATCGCGTCTTCTTCCTTCTGCACTCCCTCCGTTCCCTCATCTCTCCCTCTCCCTCTCTCTCTCCCTATCCTCCTTCCTCTCCTCTCTCCCCTTCTCCTCTCCCCTCTTCCCCGCGTACTTGGTTTCCCCCCCATCTTTCACCATCGTCAATTGCGCACAACGTCATCTCCCCTCCCCCTCACCTCTCCTTCCCCACCTCTCTGGTCCCTCTTTAATCCCTTCTCATACACCCTAATACTCCTTGATCATGTCCAAGTCTCGCCGGAACGTCCGGTTTCAACATCGCGGCTCCATCGGCTCCGATACTCGCCGGCCTAGTATCTCCGATACCAGTGATGCCGCTTCGGATCCCGGCAGTGCTTCCAAGAATGGCCCGGTCGATACTCCGGCGACCATCCCGGAAGAGGTGAGTGCCTGACTACTTCACTGCGACTTCCCCGGTCTCCATCCATCCAGAAGACTGACAACTTCTCCCGACAGAAACCCCAGCAGTCCGACTACGAGAAGAAGAAGGCGACCTTCATCACCCGCACGATATGGACCTTCGTCATGATCGCCCTCTTCTTCATCGCCATGTTCTCCGGCCATATATACGTCATCGGGATCGTCTCCGCCGTTCAGATCGTCTCCTTCAAGGAGGTCATCGCCATCGCCAACGTCCCCAGTCGCGAGAAGAACCTCCGTTTCACCAAGTCGCTGAACTGGTATTTCCTCGCCACGACCATGTACTTCCTCTACGGCGAGAGCGTCATCTACTACTTCAAGCATGTCCTGCTGGTCGATAAGGTGCTCCTGCCCCTGGCCACCCACCACCGCTTCATCAGCTTCATGCTCTACGTCATGGGTAGGTCTATCTTCTCCCCGGAAAATCAAACTTGAGAATGCTGAATGCTGACCCTTTAGGCTTCGTCTTCTTCGTGGCCTCCCTGCAGAAGGGTCACTACCGCTTCCAGTTCACCCAGTGGGCCTGGACGCACATGGCCCTCTACCTGATCGTCGTCCAAGCCCACTTCGTCATGAACAACATCCTCGAGGGCATGATCTGGTTCTTCCTGCCCGCGTCCCTGGTCATTACCAACGACATTTTCGCCTACGTCTGCGGCATCACCTTCGGCCGCACCCAGCTCATCAAGCTGTCCCCCAAGAAGACCGTCGAGGGCTTCCTCGGCGCCTGGATCTGCACCATCGGCTTCGGCTACTTCATGACCAACATCCTCATGCGCTACAAGTACTTCATCTGCCCCGTCAATGACCTGGGCTCCAACGTCCTGACCGGCCTGGAATGCACCCCCAACCCGGCCTTCGTGCCTCAGCCCTACTCCCTCCCCGAGTGGACCGGCCTGGACAAGACCCTGTACATTGAGCCCATGCAGTTCCACATCCTCGTCTTCGCCTCGTTCGCCTCGCTCATCGCCCCCTTCGGCGGTTTCTTCGCCTCCGGACTCAAGCGCACCTTCAAGATCAAGGACTTTGGCGAGTCCATTCCCGGCCACGGCGGCATCACCGATCGCATGGATTGCCAGTTCATCATGGGCTTCTTCGCCTACATGTATTACCACAGCTTCATCGCCGTCTACAAGGCCAGCGTCGGCGACATCATCGAGACCGCCATCAACGGTCTCACCGTCGAGGAGCAGCTCGAGGTGGTCCGGGGGTTGGGCAAGTACCTGTACAACCAGGGGACCGTGTCGGAGTCGGTAAGTGAACTGAAAGCTATTTTCCTGGCCTTATTCCAGCGAACTAACTCCCCTAGATCATGGATTGCCTCACCACCGAGCTCAAACGGCGATGAGCGACGCGGTCACCATCTGATCATGACCGCCCTTCTCGTCTCCCCGTTCTTCTCCATCTCGCTAGACGGCGCTCGCTCTGCCGTTTATCCTGTTTGATGTCACTTTGTCTTTATATTTACTTTATTTATTTATTCTTCTCTGCAGCGTCTCTTCAACATGACATGGACTCTACTTATTATTGAACTTCAACCTCTCCAACCTTTTCTTCTTCCCGGACGCTGTCGCTCGTCTGCGCGTGCTGGTATGTGTTATACTTGGGTTATACCGTCAGGTCAGGTCAGATCCCGCAAGCAAAACTAGATGGATGCATGGATGTATGGAGTGGAATGGACCGGTTGTCTAACCGGGGATGGATTTAACGATCGCCGCCTTGTGTGATGTGATTGTAGCTATGTGGATAGAGTGGCAGTGGTAGTGAGTAGATGTGTGTAAAATCAATCACCTAGGATAAATGTATGAGTCCGTTTTGTATGCTCATATCTATCAGGTTGGACGGTTGAACCATCAACAGATCTATCTTCGGTCAATCCCCACTCTTGTCCGTCCATCCTCTATAGTATATCCTCTGATCATGGCCGTTCCCTGCCCATCTTCATCCATCCACGATCCAACCACCCATCCGTCATCTATCCACGCCCGTATCCAAAACAGGACAGACAGATAGCAAGGTAGTCTGTTAACCACCTCATATCTGAAACAGTCTCCCAAGCTGGCAGTAGATAGCAAGGGCCTTAGGCCTTCACTTTTTTTTCTCTTCGAGACGGTTCACTTTTCTTCCAGGCGCGTGAGTTGACTGGCCTCTGGACCTGGCTTGGGCAGTGTCGGGGGGTGCGGTGACGTTGGTGTCTTTCTTTCTTTCTTTCTTTCTTCCCATCCACATATGCATACATCCATCATCTATCCGCCCAGCCCATGTATGCACATATGATAGAGATAGATGGCAGAGTATGCACATAAAAAAAAGATCAAAAACCAACAGAAGCAAGATCGACCGATCAATCAATCATCAACTCTATACTCCTCCATCTCCACCTTGAAAAACTCCGCAACGCGCGCCCTCTCAGCCCCCGCACACTCCGGGTCCAACATGAACCGCACGGCGCCATCACGACCCTTCTCGTTCGCCCTGGGCCGCTCCCCGTTGGCGGTTACGGGTGTCAGCGGGTGGAGGGGTCGTGTGGGGCCTCCGTTTTGGACGGTGCTGCCGTTGGGTTGTTGTTGCTGTTGCTCTCGGGAATCTGCGTCGTCGACCCAGTGCGTGTAGCGCGGAAGTCGTTGGGCTTCGGCTTCTTTGTTGAGGGGGATGCGGACGGTTAAGAAGCGGTCGGCGGGGAAGTGGGGGCCGAGTGTTGTTGAGGCGCGGTTGTGGGTGTATAGTTCGAGGAGATCAAATAAGGTTTCTATTTGGATATTAGCTTATTGCTTGATTTGCACGGGAGATAGGATAGGGAGAATGTGTGTTGGCGGGTGGGAGCCTACCCATGACTTCTTCACGACTCGTCCGCCACGCGTGGTAGTCCCGTCCCTCCTCTACAGCCTCGATGCGCTCGTCCAGCAAGCGCCCGGCTAGTTCCAGGCAAGCAAACGCCATCGTAGACGACGTCTGCTTGATCGGCGCAAAGGTGCGGTAGAGGTCCTGCGAGATGCGGTAGGCAGTGCTGGAGACGGCGGACTGCGCGGTGAGACCGTACTTGCGGGCCAGCTTGATCAGCGTCTTTTGGGGATGACGCGTGCGGAAGTCGAACCCGGAGGCTTCGAGCATGAGTCTTTCCAGGCCGATGATGCCTCGGGAGGGCATTTCGAAGATCTGACAGTATTAGTACAGAAATGGACAAAAGTTTTCGTAAAATAAAAATAAAATAAAAATAAAAACATACCGGGTTGTCTGCAGACAAGTGCTCGGAAGGAGACACTTTGAGATTGTACGCGGCGCAGACAATCTCGCGGGACTTTTTTAAGGTGTCCTCGATCTTGCACGCAGTGAAGAGGGCGGCAGCAGCAGCGTCCTAATAAGATCCGTCAGTAATAAATACTTGACAGCGCGCAGTTGGAAAGTACCGTGTAGCTATACTCGTTATCCGGGTGAACAAGCCGGAACTTGTGGTAGTACACCACGGCGGTGTCAAACGTCCGGATAGGACTGAGTGTGTCAGCGTGGGTCACAACGATCGCGTAGATTGCGCTTACAGATACAGCACCCGACGAACGTTGTCAATCCAGGTGACGCCTTGGAGGCGCAAGGCCTCCTCGCGCAGGGGATTCACCCCCATGGCGGCAATACATCGCTGGATGGTCTGCTCGAAGATGTATGGTTTTGCCAACTGGATGAAGGAGGGGTGGATTGGGGGCGGGTCGGGCAGAACCGACTCTGCGGGCGAAGGAAGTCTCGCGTCGCCTTTCATATCTGGGGTCATGGTGGTTACCAGGATAGAGATTAGAGAATAGAGAATGGGAGAGGATGATGGGATGATGGAGATGGAGGATACCGAGATGCGGATTTGATTGGCGAGAGAGGACGGGTCACGTGGGCGGGAGTATCGACTTATGTCGAGATTCTAATTTATCCTTAATTTATCTGTATTAATTTATAAAAGAGAAACGTATCTATAAATGTGTAGATGAAGACAGAAGAATGTATAGATAGAAAAGGTTTGGTCTATTTGTGTCGATACGTGTGGAAGTAATACTGACATTGATCCACCACGTGCTGAGGTATATATAGCAGCATCGATAAAACCACATTACCAAAAGATGGTATGATAGAATCTATGAGCAGAAGTTATAAGACAAAGTTATAAGACAGTGTTGATTGTAAAGATATGATTCCACTATCAACACTCCATCGTGTCTATCTCGTCACTATCTCCATACCTGAATAGACATCTACCATAACTATAAATCAACCCGACCCATACTTCTTGATCAGCTTCTGCATAATCGCCATGGCTCCAGAACGATACCCAGCCCCAAAGATAGCATGATGGTTGAGATGGTGGTACCTACCCAGTCAGTCAGTAAACATCAACAAGACATAACCAACAAGGGAAAACAAAGAAGAACATACAACTCATAAAGGCTCACCCGATCGTCATACTCCCCCACCGGCTCCGTCCTCGGCACAACCCGATGATACTCCTCAAAGAACCCACTCCCAAAGCCCCCAAACATCCTCATAATCCCCAACTCAAACTCACTATGCGCGTAGCAAGCCGACGGATCATACACCACATCACCTCCCCCTCCACCATCATCCCCAGACCCACCAACAATAACCCCCCAATCCGCATTCCCACTCCACAAGTCCCCATGCACAACAACAGGTTCCACCCCAGCTTCACCCCCCAAATGCCCATCCCCCAACAAAGCAGGCACTACCTCCTGAGCAGTCCGCTCAACCATACCCCTCAACTCCCTATCTCCCCTCCCATTGCGTTCCTCAGATACCCGCAGCACACTCATCAGGCGCTCCTCAGCGTAGAACTCAGCCCATGAGTCGTGGAAGGTATTCCCCTGCCTCGTATCCCCGCAGAACGTAGGCACGGGAAATCCAAATCGACGGCGTCCGGTGGATGGATCGGGGCTGGCAGGTGTGGAATGGAGCTTTCCCAGCCTTTGCGCGAGGGATTTCTCCCCCTTCGCTTTCCCTCTTCCTACCCTCCCACCCAACTCCAGAAACTCCGTCACTAGGAAAAAGGTCTTCCCACCCTCGTCTAAAGCGCCCCACGCGATCCCCCTCGGACAAAACCCCGGCACGGCGTTGGCGATGGCATTCAAGGACTCGTATTCCCCGCGGAACATTTCCTGGGCGGCGGCGCCGGTGGAGGACGTTTTGACGAAGTAGCGGCGCTCTTCTTCTTGGTCGGGATTGCTTGGAGATGGGATGAGAGCGCGGATTGTCCCTGTGCTGGTGAAGCCGGAGCCGAGGTTGGCTGTTGAGAGGGTTGCTTTTGTGTTTGGGGGGAGGGAGAGGGATTGGAGGATTGGGGGGGGGAGGGGGGACATTTTCTTTGCTGTATATCTTTGGATCTTCCTTGGAGATGGATCTTATATGGGAGAGTTGTTGTATCTGTGTGAATGGTATGTAGGTGTCGTATTGACAGAGTGAAGTTGAGATGTGAGGTGGAGAAGACAGTGGTATCCCTCGATGACGTCATTAATTAAATATAGCTATGGTCGATAAGATAAGATGCAGTAGAATATTATACCTATCTACGCCATCTATATCAGTCTGGCCACCACGCCCAGCGGTCCGCCTCCGATATTCCAGACTACGACACCATAGATTTCACCAAATGCTGCGCCGTTTTAGTCCGCTCCCGCACGTCCAGATCCGGATCATCCTCCAAACTAGCCAACCGGTCCATTACGCCCATCGATCGCAGCGTGGATGCCCGCTCGCGACACCCCTCCCGGTCGCTCGCATCGTCCTCGTATGTCAGGTTGATCACTACCCACACGCAGTTGATCCGCACGTCGCGGTGGTTGTGGTTGAAGTACCCTACCAAGTGGCGTAGTAGGTCGCGATGCGAGACTAGGAGCTGGCGGTGCCAGGGGAGTCCTGCTGCGAGGTGGATGATCACGTATGTTACTGATACTAGGATCTCTGTGGGGACCTGTAGTGCTCGTTGCGGCGGTGTGGCTGTGTCCCGCCGGGGTGGGAGTGCGATTGCTCGTGGTCGGAGCTTGTCTGTGAGTGCGTCTAGGAGCACGTCCTGCCCGATCTCTCGGAATAGGTGGTCGATCATCTCTGATGCCCCTGGCCCGCAGATGAGGTTGCGAATCAGGTCGAAGGTCTGCTCCTGCACTGCGATGTCGTCTTGTCGTGCCTGCGTCGATTGGTCGAGGTCACCGTGTAGCGCTAGTCGACGCCGTCGCGTTGCGTCCGGTAGGAACATCTCGAGACTCATCTTCGACGGCGGCATCGTGTCCGCCATTTTGAGATCGTCGTCCCGTTCTGGCGATGGGTCCACCGGGTTCAGCAGATTCACTTGCTCACCCGCCGAGTTGGCGCGGCTCATCCCTGTCCCCGCCCCGTTGTCCCCCTCCTCGTCTATCCCGCGCTGGGCCAGCGCTGCCGTCGGGTCCTGCGTGATGATGTGCTTGATCCACCCGGACCCTAGGCTCTCGACGATCTTGATCTTCACGTCGTTGGTCGAGTTGCAGGCTACGTGCTTCAATGCCCAGAGGGATTCGATGCGGAGTTTCGTGTTGGTGGAGTGTGCATGCTCGCATAAGACGGGCAGGATTTCCGCCGAGATGATTGCCTGTCTTGTTAGCAGTCTTTCTTTCAATATATTCAACGACGGGAAAAGGAAAAGGGGAAGCAAAGAAAGAACTCACCTCTTTCATCGGGCTGAAATCCAGTGCCAGATTACAGATCACAGACGTGGCCGCGATCTGCACATCGATGTCCGGATGTCGGATGAGGACGAACAGCGGCGGTGCCACGCCCGCGTCGATCAGACTCGTGCGTAAGACACTAACAGACCGGGTGAGCATGCGCGCCGCGCCACAGGCGGCCAGGAGCGTCGGCGTCGGGTTGCCGTCGACGGCGGTGTTCTTCGGGTTGGCGGTGTCCGCCGGCGGATCGCGGGGACACGGCTTGAGCGAGTCGATGATGTAGGGCACCACGCCATTCTCGCACACGGCCTTGCGATACTCGTCCTTGAAGGGGACCAGCGCCGCCAGGGCCTTGAGGATGTTCTCCCGGTATCGCATCACATGGCAATGCCGCGGGGCGAACCCCCGGGCCCCCAGGCGACAGTCGGGCGGGCGGGTTTCGGTGTCGCCGTCATCGCCGCCGTCGCTGCCGTCGGCGGACCACATGGGCTGGGCGTTCTCGTGCAGTGGGTTGTAGGTCTCCTTCAGCAGCTGCGACAGCCGCTTGATCGCGCCGCCTTCGACGGCGTGCTTCTGCAGTTCCTGATCGTCGATCACCAAGGTGGCCAGCACCGCAGGCGCCTCCTCGCGCAGGCGGTCCGCCGGGGGAATCAGCCCTCCGTCCGGACAGCCCTCCGCGTCGCCCAGGACCGCGTAGTCCTTGTCGAGCATGCGGAGCAGGATGGGGATCACCAGGTAGCAGAGCATGGCGACCCGATGCTTCCGGGTCAGGCTCAACCGGAACAGCACAGTGACCAAGCGGGCGGCCATCAGGCGGGCCATGCCCCCCTCGGCGCGGAGCACGTAAAGGAGCCAAGGGATGACCGCGTTCTCCTCGTCATCGGCGGTGCCGGGATTGTCGAGGAGGGCGAAGGGCGAGGGGAACGAGTGGCTGTGGCGGCGATGGCTCGCCTGCGGGCCCAGCGGGGGGAAATTGGCGACGCTGACGGAGGGTTTCCCCGCGGACAGGGGCACGGGAGGCAGGAAGTACTCGAGCGGGTTGGCGCCGGTCTGCCGCGGCACGGCGGACCCGGACAGGTAGGTCGAGCCCCAGGGCCCGCGCTTGACGTCGGCGGGGGCGAACTCGGGCACCTGCTTGGGAAACACCGTCCGGATCCCCGGCGACGAGAGGAAATGTTCGGCGCGCCACTTGGAGTGCTCGACGATGACGGTGACGGCGCGCAGGATGGGGGCCAACCGGGCGGACGGCGGCGCGGGGGGCGGCAGGGCCCCCAGGGCCCCCGGGGCCTGTACGTGGGCTTCGGCGCCAGGCAACACGAAGCCCTGGGCGACGATGAAGGAGGCCAGCTTCACGGCGAGGGCATCCAACACCCCGCAATCAGCCAGGATGGCCTTGTGGGCCTCCTCCGTGCAGAGCTTCCCCACCAGGGCGGCCGCCAGCTCGATGGCGGCCACGTCATGATGGGCGGTATAATCTTGAGCGATAATCCGGGACAGGGCCCCGACATGGTCGGTGGAGAAGAGGAGGTCGGCTAGGCGGGTATCTTTGCGGCCTTGCTGCTGACTCTGCAGGGGGAGACGATCGGCGACGTTGTTCAAGGTGCGGAGGATGGGGAGGACGAAGAAGCGGGGGCAATCGGGCGCCGACAAGATGGTGAGAAGGATGGATAGCGTGCCACTGGCGAATATGGGAGAGAGGAAGGCGGCACCTCCTTGACCACAACCCGTGTCAGTCAACGGCTATTCTACCAAGGTGTAGGCGTGTGTATGGAGAATAGAAGGGAGAGAATACCTTGTGCTAAGCTACCCAGAATGATAATCGCCTGTAGACATGCTTTGTCGGCCTCCGTGGTGGGCGAGGGGGGATCACGGGAGGCCGCTCCGTTACGCCCGGACGCCGCGGTCTTCCCGGGGGAGGACTGTCGCGTGGAGAGGACCTGCGCTAAGATGGGCAAGATGCCCCACCGAATCCACGCCTCTTTCCGCTGCTCATGACCAATGGTCTCATTCTTCAACGAGCGCAGCGCCGCCGCCTGGGTTGATAGCGAGTCCGGATTCTGCAGCTGGAGAAGGATGGGGGGAGTGGCCGCCCGAGTCATGGTCCGTCCGACAGATCACCGCCTCCCGCGGGGAGGGCCAGATAGTCAATATCCGATCACGCCTGATTTCTTCCTCTTTTTTTCGCTATTCGTTACCCACCGGTGAATTGAGCGGATTGACTATGGATTCAGAGATCGATATAAGATATAAGAGAGGCCGGAGGCGGAGGTGATGGGGAAGGGAGATCGGTGGTTCGACGGGACTGATAGTGGGACGGATGGGGAGATGTCTGGGGTTGACGATGTTGCTGGTGTCGACGTAACACGATGTGATGAGTTGAAGGGGGAATTGAACAGATCTGTAGAAGAGACCAGTAGAAAAACAAGAGAGCAGATCGAACAGACGATTGACGATTGACGATTGACAGAAAGTGAGGTCAGTGAAGATGGAAACGTTTTGGTGATGATGAAGCTTGGCATGACCTGGCTGAGTCAGCGGGTGGATAAGGCCGCATAAAGTGCGAACACGCAATGCGTCACCGCATCCGGGGCAGCCTTACAATTCGGGATCGATAGTTGATATAGTCGAGTCTGTATAGATTACATAGATATTATTGATAATGTACCGAAGTAATACTCTAGTCATCGCCTAGTTATAGTCTGGTCATAATCTAGTTATCGCTGAGATAATATGAGGGATTACTATGAAATACTATGATAGGGCTGTGGCGTATCGAGCCATACCGGTATGTATGGTAATCGATCGAGACAGTCCAAATACCGAGTCTGGATGGAAAGTCCAGCAGTTTCCACGAATGGGCGGGGGTGGAATGGAGTCTTGGCTGTAACAATACACAGTAATACGCATTGAAAACCCCCAAGTGGAGTGACAAATACGGCCCTAAATCAGGATTGACTTCGATCCTCCTTTTCTTCCTCCGTCTTTCCCTCTTTCTCTCTCTCTTCCTCTTCTTATCTTCCTCTTCCTCCACCCAAGATTTCCAGAACAAGATATTGAAAGATCCCGCCATCATCTCAGGACATTCTTCCCACAACTGAAGATCGTCCGGATCATGATGCGTCAGGGGACTCCCTTCATAGCTGCAGCAAACGAGTGCGCGTTGAGAATTCCAAGTCACCCACGTGGTGGTTTGGTTGGACGGAGATGTTAGTCTCTTCGCCTTCACCTTCCACCCTGCAACGCCCTTCCCCTACTTCCGCCTCCACCACCTCCAATTCCCTTCATCATTCCTCCTCTCCCTCCTTCCCTCGTCGCTCCTCCACTTCGACCGGTCACCACCCTCCACTGCCCTCGCAGTCCCACCACCACCCGTCGCAGCCGCCGCCGCAGCATTATGAGCCTGCGACCAACCCCGTTGCTGCGTCGAATGGTCCTCCCCCGTCCTCTTCTGCCTCCCCCCGCGTGGCCATCGAGGAACTCCGATCGGCTTTAACCCGACATACGGTTGCGTCATCCCCATCGGGGCCCTCAGGGGATCAGCCGTGCGGTCGTTCGTCCGCCGGGCCGACGACCCTTGAGGGCGGACTGTCCAGTACCGCCGCCCCCGTCAGCGCCGTCGCCCATCCGTCGGTCGTTTCTGACCCGCTCGCTAAGAACGGGTCGGCCGCTGTGCCTCCAGCTCCCACTTCCATCCCTGCACCGCAACCGCCGTCCATGCCCGCCCCCAACCCCAACCCCACCCTCAGCGGCGGCGCCTCCTCCCACAAGCGCAACAGCCCGGTGGACCCCTACGCCGATGCCACGGCACCCCGTGGGGGTCAGTCGGGGGACCCCGACCGGGAAGCCTCGCAGTCCAAGCGACTGCGACCCTCCCAGCCGGACCGCAAGGTGTTGCCTGCCTCGTACGAGGAGGCTGACCCGCGGGATCTGGTCGTCTTGATCTCCAGCATGCTCATGGAACTGATCCAGTTCAATGACAAGATCCCCCTCCACCAGGGCCGTCTGACGCGCTTCCACTCCCGCTCGCCGCCCCGCATCTCCGTGAAGGATTACTTACAGCGTCTGACCACTCACGCCACCCTGTCGCCCCCGATCCTGCTGAGCATGGTCTACTACATCGACCGGCTCTGTGCGCTGTATCCGGCCTTCACCGTCTCCAGCCTGACCATCCATCGCTTCCTCATCGCCAGTGCCACTGTGGCTAGTAAAGGCCTGAGCGACAGCTTTTGGACCAACAAGACCTACTCCCGGGTTGGCGGTATCAGCATGAACGAGCTGGCTCTCCTCGAGCTGGAATTCCTCTTCCGCGTCGAGTGGCGGATCGTACCCCAGCCCGAGGTTTTGGTAGATTATTACCAGAGCTTAGTAGAGCGATGCGATGGGTATGAGATCCAGCGCGATTCGTGATGGTTCAGGTTCACCGACTAGATATCGACAGATACAGGCATGGTGTTGTAGATAGGTGGTGTTTGTCTACTCTTTTTATATCCCTCCATTTTCATCTGTATAGTTCCGCCATTATATCCGGCGTTTCCGCTCTTACCGAGCTTCCTTTATCTGATTCTGTCTACTCATGATTCTGTCTACTCAAAATTCCATGGCGTCGTGGTCGATTCAATGCATACCATATCTCTAGTAAGACCTAAGGATAATGACGTAGATTGTATGGAATACTGGGATAGGTTACGTAACCATGGAATCCGCATGTCAGGAGAAACCAGGGCTTAGGGCTTAGGGTAGAGGGTATACAGATGCGCGAAAAGTTCCATCTCAACACCTCCGCGTCCGACGACCCCAGTCTGAACCGCATCAATCTTTAACCTGGGAAGAATGCCCTGATCAACTGCCTCGCATTCCAAATATATACTTCTCTGTCCCGACTCCCAGCCCAGTCCGTACCCGCCATACGGACGCCCCCCGCCTCTCCATCTCACAATCTACCTCCAACCATGGACGTACAAGATATCCTACGCAGTATTCAGCCCATCCCAGGGGACGTCACCGCCGTGAGAACAGTCCAGGAAACACGACCACCTGAAGAATTCGGTACGTCACCAAACCACCTGAGCAAACCAACCTACACTAACATCCCCAGCCGACGCATACGCCGCAGAAGTCAACCTGAAATGCGCCTCCAAAGTAATCAAGTACGTACATCCCCTCCCTCACCTGTATCTTTACCACTCTTCCCCCAGCCCATTCCCTAATAACAAAAACAGAGCCCTAGACAAAGCCTACCCCCGCGACGCCTCCCAACCCCTCAACCACCTCCGCCGCTTCGCCAAACACGAGCACCTCTCCCCGACTCTCCAATCCACCCTCCTCAAAGCAGACCCATCATCAACACAAACAATCTTCGTCCTCATCCCGCCTCCCCTCCCAGACGTCGACTCCCTCAAAGACCTCCTTACGCCATTCGCACCCCCGAACAGCGACATAACCCTAACAACCCTCCGCGTCCCCCTCTACGCCCCGCTCAACAGCGCCCAAGCAGATAAATGGACCAAGTCCCTCTGGCCTGTGCTATACAACCCCGCTGCTCCGCGCGGCTTCGTCGCGCCCCCGCCTCAGATTCTGACTCGCGCACGAGACTCAATCCAGCCTAAGGCGGGACACTATCTCGCGCTGGCATACGGGGTAGCTCGCGAAGCTGAACAGTCTGGTCTTGGGAGGGGGGTAGGCGCCGTTGTCGTTGATCCGGAGATTGATGCTCGTTTAGACGGCGAGAATATCGACGATGATGATGAGGGGGATGATAAGAGATGGTCGGACGCGGTAGTCGCCGTCGCCGGAGATGCGCGCTACTCTCGTCAGGAAGGGCCCGTCCCGACAGGTCCTAATTCCAATAGACTAATGTATAACGCTGATGTTGAGGGCGGACCGGAATTACATGCGCTTATGAGGGTCGTTGATTTAATCGCTGGGAAGCGGCGTGCCGATGACCCTGATGATACATCCGCATCACCACCTTTAAGACCGCTCGAAGCGCACTTCCTTTCCCAGTCTGATACCACCTCCTCTTCTACCTCCGACCCCACCCACCAAACAACAGCAGCAGCAACATCAACATCAACACCAGAGACAGACCCAGACACCCCTCAGCAAAACCCCGAAAAATTCCAAAAAACCGAATCTGGCGCTATACCCGTCCCCTCCACATCCGTCCCCACCCCCACATCTACATCCTACCCCCCAGAGACCAACCCACGGATCCGATCCCGCACACAAGGAGGCTACCTCTGCACAGACCTAGACGTGTACCTCACCCATGAGCCGTGTCTGTGCTGCTCGATGGGTCTGCTGCTTTCGCGGTTTAGGGCGGTTATCTTCCCGAGGGGTGGGAGGATGAAGACGGGGGGGTTGGCTTCTGAGCCTTGTATTGGGCCTGTAGCCGTGACTGATTCTGGGGATGGGGAGGGGGACGGGGGTGATGGAGGTGATGGAGGAGGTGAAGAAGAGGACAAGGGTGAAGTAGGGAGTGGTACGGAGGAGGCGAATGAAAGGTTATATTATGGCCTACACTGGCGCAAAGAGTTGAACTGGAGGGCGTTGGGGTTTGAGTTTGTGGAGGATACAGCAGCAACAGCAGCTGGTGATGGGGAGGGTGTGCAGTTTCATGCTTGATTGATTTTCATTGATTAGTGAGCGGACTGGTTGATGGTGTTTACGTGGATGAATTGATAACTGAGCGCTGTATAGCTAGTTAGTGGTAGTATAGATAGTGTATTTATTCGTATATCAAACATACATATCATATCATATCATATCATGTGTATCTCAAGTCAATAGGATACGATCACATATTAGCCCGTCCAACTGCTATTGCTGACTTCGTGCAAGGTGTCTAGACATGTATACCAATGTCTGTGACTCCCCATCCACAGTATAAGTGTAAGATAGTAAATATAACGTTACATCATTACTACACCTTCTACAAATCATACCACACTAATCTCCCGAGTAAAATCTTGACATATTAACCTATGCATTATCTTGAATCCACCATTCAATACAAATGTGCTCACTACCTAGGTAGATAGTATATACCGAAACGCCAAGAGAGAACCATCTCAGGCAATCATCAGTTAGTACATACATATCAGAACTAACTCCCAACCCGAATAACAATTACAAATCCTGCATTATCTTCACATTGACCGTAGTCATTGCTGATATTTTTTATTCATGTGACAACATGCGTCGTGAGCTGAACGTCGTCGATCGTCAGATCTGATTGAGTCTACCCACGCAACTCCCTCGCACGGCGAGCCAGTGCTGGGATGCGGCGGAGGTAAGGCTCGTGCGGAGCGGCGTGCGCAACGGACATGTACAAACTGTCCAGGCGCTGGAGAAGGATCTCCATGATCTTGGGAGCGACTTCTTGGATGTCGGGGTCCTAACTAACATTAGCGAGTGAAAGATAGATATATGAGTGTATGCATACCTGTGCATTGACAGTCTGCAAAACAACGTCCAACCACGCAAGACGCTGGGCCGTGTTCGTCTGCAGAGACGATGTAACCGCAACACCGACGGACAGAACCACGATGGGCGACAGCGCAGTCAGATAAGCCGGGTTCAAGCGGACAAACAGGTTGTCAAACAGATCGGCCTGTTGGTTGGATTGGAGCCACTGTCGTAATATGTTAGCATGGTCTTAATCAAACCGTGACTATAAACATACCTTGACGGATCCCTCTTCGTATTTACCCTCCTGCATCATCTGTGCGATTTCTGCCAGCTCGGGGTCCTTGACGCCCTTGGGTGCGCTGGGCACGGCGGGCGCTGAAGGCGCAGGGGCAGGAGCAGGGGCAGACACAGGCGCAGGCGCCGCAGGAGCTGTCGTAGTCTGCGGAGCGGCCTTCGTGGGTCCGCCCGCGGGTCCACCCTGAGACGCCACGGCACGGTTGAGTCGGAGCACTTCGTTCTGGAAACCGCTCTGCGCGGCGGCCATCGACGAAACGGTGTCAGACAGACCCTGAACGAGAGACGTCAAGCGATCAATCTTGGCCGCATCGTCACGGCGCTGCTTCTCGTATACCTGCAGGCGGGCCTGGTTCTGCTTCTCCACACCCGCAGCGACCTTCTCGGCCGACTGCAGGGAGAGATTCTGCAAGGCAGGCGTGAGGGCAGTCTGCATCGCCCGGACGACCTCACCCTCAAGGTGCGAAGAGACCTTCTGGCTCACGGCGTCCGACAAGACCTGCATCATATCGGGACGCTTCATAGCCCGGCCGATGGCGTCAGGGAGGGCGTGCTGCAACTCGCGGGGGAGCGCACTGCCCATCTGCTGGGCGACGGTGGTGGAGATCTGGTTGCTGACCGCAGTCGACGTGAGATCAGACAACGCCGGCAGCACGTCGGACTTGATGCTGTCGGACACAATCCGGGTGAGGTTCTTCTCCACGTTGTCCGACAGGGTGCTGGAGACGAGACGCAAGACTTGGTCCTGCTTGGCTGCGGACGCAGCATCCCAGTTGCGACGCTCCTCGTCGAAGCGACGGTACAGGCTCTCCATCTCGCGGCCGAGGCTCTTGTTGAATTCGCTGGAGACACCACTCTGCAGGCTCTCGATATTCTTGATGAACGAGGCGCTCGACACGCCGGTTTCGGATGCAGCTGCCTCGGGAGTGGGCATGGTGACAGGTGCCTTGGCCAGGGCATTTCCGTTGAGCGGTTCGCCCGTGGCCTGAGCGGAGGCAGAAAGCCCCTCAGGCGCACCAGTGAATGCGGCGGGGCTGGGCTGATTCACCTTGGCCGGTCCTTCACTAGCCGCAACCGCACCCTTCTTTTTCTTCTTCTTGTCCATCTTGTCCGCACCATTCGCCACGCTGGCTGGCTCGCTCGGCCCCTCCGAGATCTTTTTCTTCAACGGCGGCTTGGTGGGGGATTGCATGCGGGAGTCGCCAGCACTAGCACCAGTCGCGGCACTGGCAGCGGTAGTGACGTCGGCGCTCAACTCCGGTTTCTTGGCAACCTCCTTGGGTGCGGACTTGCCGGGCGTGGACGCGGGAGCGGAATCCCCGTTGACCGAAGGATCATCCGTGACGTAGGTGGGGAAGGTCTGCAGCGGGGCGATCTCAATGACACCTTGCTCCAGGGCGTTGATGGGACGGATGATCTTGTTATCGGCGCTCCAACCCAAGTCCTCCTTGCTGATGTTCAAACAGGTCACGCCACGAGAATGCATGACGTAGAGCTCAAACAGACCATTCTCTTCGCCAGTCGTCTTGGTGATCGGCAACAGGTCCAAGCTGCGCAACTGCCCCTTGGAGGCGAACGAGATCTCGCGGAGACCGCTCAGACAGGCCGTGGATTCGGTCTTGGGCAGGGTGGCATCCTTCTCACCGGCCCGCTTGATGAACGAGGCCTGCGACATGGCCTGCAGGTTGTAGCGGGGAGCCGACAGATGCACCAGGTAGATGGAGTTGCGCGTGGGGTGGCCGACCACGATGATGCCGGATCCAGGGTGGTATGCGACGCTACAGATCGCATCCGATTCATTCTCATGCGGGAACTGCAGTTCCTGCACGGCCTTGCCCAGCCCAATATCCCAGAGCTGCAAGGTGTGGTTCTGCTTAAGCCCGACGAGAACGTAACGCAAGGCCATCGACTTGACGTAGGGGCGCAGCTTGTCAATGAAGAGTACAGAGGTCGGCCACGACTTCTCCGAGGGGGAACCCGTCACAAAGGTATTCAGGGGGACCCGGATCTCGCTCGGGTTGGGGGCGGCAGCGAAGAAGGACTGGTTGTTCACCACGTCACGGATGTCCCAGAAGCGCAGGCGGCCGGTCTTATCGAGGGACGCGATGACGGTGTCATCGTCACTGAACATGAAATCCTTACCGGCTTTGCCGGTGGAGATCTTGAGGGCGCGTTCGCGGAAGAATTTCTCCGTGTTCACGGTGCGCTGGGTCCCCGACACGCCGTAGGCCGCGTCGGAGGCCGCCTGGGGGGAGATCACGTAGATGTTCTTCCCCCGGCCAATGGCAAAGAAGCCGGGATGGCGAGAGCTCCGTTTGGCACGCGTTTTCAGCTGACCACCCGAGGTGTTCTCGTCCGACGCAGGAAACGGCGGGAAAACCAGGCTCTCGCTCTCCAGCGCATCCATCTCGAAGAGGTCCTTCTCGGCCCGCGAGATGAGGGCCCAGTACACGGTGCCGCTAACACCGATGCCCAGGACGGCCTGTTCATCGGACTCGCCACTGGTAGTCTGGGACGTGCACACGGCAACATTGAACACACGGTCCCGGGTGGAACGGAAGGCTTGCTTGTCGTTCCCGTCGTCCTGGCGGATGATCCGCAGGCCGCCGCTCTTCGCCAAGGCATACACGATGTAGTCCGAGGTGGCCGAAGTCAACGACCGGTCGAGCTGGTCAAAGTCTTTCTTCAACCGAGCGATATCCATGATTCCGTCGTCGCGGAGGGTCACGAGCTTCCCAGACTGGGGCTTGACCGTCATGGTGACAAACGGGCGCAGGGGGAAGTTGTAGACGGGGACGATCCGTTCTTCTTCCTTTTCGGCGCTATCTTCGGCACTCTCCCAGCTGTCCAACACATCACCGCCGTTCTGGGAGGTCTCCCTCGCAGCGGGGGTGGCGTTGGCGCTTGCGGGAGCTGCCTTGCCGGCCGGCTCACCGTCCTGCTTCGCTGATTCCTTGGTTTCAGGAACAGTGTCACGCAGGTGGCTCGCGATCGACGACAGCACTTCCTGCGTGTCGTTGCGTGGCGCCGCAACCGCCGGCTTTTTGCCCTCTTTGGTGGATTGAGCCACGACGTCATCGACGTCACGAACGATCTGGCCCACCAGATCCTCCACCACCTGCGTCACAGCTTCCCTCTGCTCGTCGGCCAGCACGGGCGACGTAGAACGTTCCTGCTGGGAAGCGGGTTGCTCAGAGGCAGAGACGCTGACGGGCTCGTCCAAGACGGCCTCGACGGCGGGGGTTTCACTGCGAGACTTGGGCTGCGGAGTCCCCTTCCGGGGGGAAGCGGCGGCCAATTGGTCGAAAGGATTCACATAAGTGAACAGAGACTCCTTCGACGCCGACGCAGGTCCCAGCGCCTGGGGTGCGACCGCATCCGGTTTCCCGGACAAGATCTCATCGGGACCAAGGGCGCTCGAGACCAAGAAATCCGTGACCGCTTGGACCGGGGGAGCAGTAGAGGTTGCCGGCTCGACCGCAGAAACGGGGGATTTCTGGGGGGAGGCGGAGGTCGAGGGCTGAGACGCCGGCTTTGAGAAACCTTCCGTGGCACCCTGACCCGGCTTGGGGCGATTGAGCAAGCGAAGGAGCATCTCCTGGGTGTTTTCGGCGGTCGGGGCGGGAGACGAGGAGCTTGGACCAGGACCTGGCTGGAAGCCGGCAGGTCTCACGGGGGCGGCCGCAGACGGACCAGACCTCCCGAACATATTCGCGACCAAGTCCGACGCGGAAATATTTCTGGCGTGAGACGGGGATGCACCCTCGGGAACGGCGCCATAGGCGTGGGGAGCGGACGCAGCGGGCTGGTTGAACTTCAACAAATTCAACAAATTGGCCGCACGGTCCGGGTTCTGGGCCTGGGCCTGAGCTTGAGCCTGAGCTTGAGCCTGGGCCTGGGCGTGAGCCTGAGCTTGAGCCTGCTGGTGCAGCTGGGGCTGAGGCGAAAACATCTCACCCCGGGGACTCAAAATATCCGAGCCATGATGGGGCGGAGTATTAACAGGCGAGGGACTAGGGATAGCGGAAGTCACCGAGGGGGGATGGTAAGCACGCTGAGTCGGATGCAGGTGGTGTTGATGGAAGGGGTGAGGGAAGCTCTGCCCATCGTAGGGAGGCTGCTGCTGTTGGTGGTACTGCTGGGGGTACTGAGACTGAGACTGAGACTGAGACCTGGGAGCATCCTGACCGGGGGTACCTGTCGGAGAGGGACGCGGACGAATGCTCGCCAGGAGAGCCTGAATATCATTGGGGTTGGACATTTCTGTCACTCGCCGTGATGGCGACACCTATGAGATTCGAGGTTGGAAGGGTTTGGGAGGAGCTCTCTTTCGAGAGGCGATGGAGCAGTACGCCCACGGAGGGTCGAGGAAGATTGATTGCAAGAACGCACAGACAAAACAAGACCAATGATCAAGCCCAATGATGAACCCAATGGATGGAGCTTGTGAAAAAAAAATTACCACAAAAGTAATGATGAATTGTAGAAAAGAAAGAGACGTAAGGAAGAGAAAGAAAGGAGGAGGAAGAGAGAGAGAGAGAGAGAGAGGTTGAGGTGAGGGAGAAGAAGAACAAAATGGAATTGGCGTCAGAGAAAGTTGAAGTAGCAAATTGAGTGCTGAGTCGTGTATTGTTCATACCACGGTCGGAGCTTCATTTAGGGCGTGAAGTGGCAACAATACAGAGCCATGACCGTACTGTCGTTAGTTGATTACGGGGCCTCTGCCTGAGGCACTCGCTGACTGAGGCTCCCATGACGAAAAGCGGCGAAGTTTACAGAGTGGAAAAGCATCATCGTCAACATCATGGCTGCATTCTAGAACCCAGATTCTCTGTCTTGATTCTCGCTGCTGGTCTTGGACCTTTCTGTATCTACTCTCCTTCTGTCACCACAGCAGCCATCTCGCAGTCGAGCTCAACTCGATTTCACAGCACCATGTTCTGTCTGAGGAGGTAAGCAACACCATACTCTCGAATACACAAGAAGAAAAAGACAATATCATTGATGCACAACGTCAACAATCCAACAATAGAATAGATAATCACTAATACTCAAATAATAGCTGGCTCCCCCTCCTCTTCATCCCCACAAACGCCTCCCCCCTCTTCATCCTCTCCTTCGTCACCCTCACCTACCTCCTCCACCGACCATGCATCTACTGCTCCGCCCTCCTCCTCATCCTCTTCCTCTCCTCCTGCAACTGGTCCGACCACTGCTTTGTGGATCTCCGCTCTGACTGGTTCTCACCACGCTTCCCTTCCCCGTCTTCCTCCTCTGATCTCATCTCCGCCTCCTCCTCCGGGGCTGCCGCGACAATGACCTACCCCAACAGCGACTCCCTCGCCGGGTTCGTCTTCGACTCGATTAATTCCACGACGAAGGCCTTGGCAGGTGCCGCTATGGAGGAAGCGCAGCGTCGGTTTGCGGCGAATGGGTCGTCTATCGCTGCTGCGGCGGCGGCTCTCCCCGCGCAGGAGGAGTGGACGGGAGTTGGGTTGGAGTGGTTGAGGAGTTTGTTGGGGAGACGGGAGTGGACGCTTCCTTGTGTGGATGTTAAGGTTAGACTTTAGTATGCCTTTTTCTTCTGCTTCTTTGGCTGGCTTTGTTTCTTCTATGTATGTATGTATGTTTGGATGGATGGGTGGATGCATGGTTGGATGGTGGTGCTGGTTGATACCCTGAGCGTGGTGTAAATGGGGAGCATACAAGGAAAAGAAGGAAATAAAGGAACGGGAAGAAAAGGAGAGGTTGATCTGTCTAGTCCGCGGTTCAACGTCTCTGTATATTTGCATACTTGTTGAGTGCCGCGTCAAAGCAGTCAAGGAATCAGGGGACTGTGATTTGTTCCTTTCTTCCTACAAATTGAATGAGTGTACATACATGCATGACCTCCCTCTTTTCCTTCTCCGAACAATATGATAATGAAGATATTTCACAACTGGACTAGGAGAAACACAGATTATGAAATAAATTAATTATAGTCATGCACTATTACAAGCAAATAGGTATCTAACAAGAACAAGGAGGATGCCAACCCATGACCAATGAAAGGCCAGGCGATAGATCGGGGATAGGTGAGGTCACGCCCATGCAAGATGGACGGAGCGAGACGTCAGTTGGATCGTGAAACATGAAAGTATACAGCAGCAGATCAAAGAAAACAAGAAACATGGTATCGGACGTGAGTGGTCCTCTCATAGACGCCATTAACATCAAATAAATCAACACAACGCGGCGAGGCAAGGAGCGGGTATCATGGGGCGGGCCAAAGGAATGTCGAGAAAGGCGAGATTATTATTTTTCGAGGTCGAAAGAAAGGAAAGTCGAGGGTCAATGAGGTCGATGTTGTCTTTCGATCAACTGTATCCCCCGCCCGTTCCCACCTGCATCGGTCCCGTGGGCATCGGCCAGTCATCTTCGGTGATACTGCTCCAGAAGAACCAGATCGTCACCACAGACAGCATGGTGAACAGGGTCTCGAACAAGGCGCCGTTAATTTTCCCGCCCGTCGCGTTGCAGAGATGCGTGCTGATGACGTAGTTGAAGATCTGCCCGATGGCGAATAGGAGAGCGGCGCCGGCCAAATAAACTACACACAGTTAGGTTTTCGTTGATGGATACCATACTGGACGGAGGGACATACACATCGGTCGGAATTCGCCCAGGATCCGGATCACCAAGACCGTCTCCAACACGAAAAAGGCCACCAGGCACACCAGGGGGAAGAGTTGGTAGAGCACGTAAAGGGCGATATTCCGGTAGTTGTTCGAAGCAGTCGTGGCAAACTCGCCGGTCCAGTTGAACGCAGTGTCCAGAGAAATGTAACCCGTGCCGATAAAGAGGACTCCGGCGGACACGGCGAAGAGAGCGAGCGAGGCGGGCGTGCCGTCATCGAGGAACTGGTATCCGACCATGGCGTTCAAGAACAGGATCCAACAGGTTGCCGTGATGGCGGCCACGTGCACCGCGGTGAAGCCCTGATAATAAGGTTAAAAACGGCGGGACCAATTGCGAATGGGCGGTTGACGAACCTTCCGGACTGCCTCGTCGAGTGGAAAACCACCGACCGTGAAGATTTCACATATCTCAATGATGATGAATCCCAGGAGGAACAGTTGAATTTCCCTGCGCGATCGCTGTCAGCGTCTTGTCCCCCATCGACCTTTTGTGCGTCCACGCCTCGTACCTTCGTCCCACTGCCGCTTGTTTTCGTTCCGACCGCCAAAGCAGAAAGATAGATGCCAGGATTGCGATGAACGCCAATAAGATCGAGCCTATGCCGACATTAATCCTCCGATTCTGTTTTGTTCCGCTGTCGGTGCCGCGGGGCCATACCCAAGTTGCTCAAATGTCGGTCGTCGCTCAGGTCAATGCCAACCAGGGGACACCCATCAAACGCCTTATTGGGAGGCTGATTGCTAGGGACGAAGAGCTGGCGCAAGGTAAGTCAGCGACATGAGGTCGGGGGAGTTCATGGTGGATCGGCACATACATTGCAGACCGGTAACGTCGAGTCTCGACAAAAGTCCTACACGCGTGGGCAATAACCCGTCAGCCCACACATCCCATGGCGACCGTGAAGATGCCGTCAACTCACGTTGAAATTGCCGAACTGCGTCGAACCCATGATGCACGAAATTCACAGCGATGGACCATACACCGGAGGGTCCTGCGGAGGAAGAGAGAGAAAAGAGAGAGGACCGGCGAAAATCCGGCGCGCCGTTTGAGCCGTGAAAAGAATGGATAGCCTCGGACCCACGCTATGGAGCACTTGGTCGCAGATCTGAGGGGCGCAGAGGGCCAGACGGTAAGATTAAATATTGGCGATATGAATTAAACCCGATCTGTCTTGTCGACGACTCGATTTGAAAGAGAGGAAAGAAAAGAGAGGGGAAAGGAAAGAAAGAAAAAGGTCGAAAAAAGACGTTGGTTGTCGAGTCAGGTCGGTTCGGTGGAGCAGTGGATGTGACGAAAATCGGTGGGAAACAGAGAATGAGGGAGCCTAGAAGGTCCAATAATTCGACCGAGACGAAGACGACCAAAATTAAGAAAGGACAATAATCCTTCCAACGGGGACGGCCTGACGATTGCGAGGGAAAATGCAAAAGCAGATCTATGTGCAGGAGAGATGGTATGTATGTACGGGGACGGTCGATTTGACGTGACCAGGCTGAGAGAATAGCCTGAGGGGAATAGCCTGAGGGGGGATGGGCCAACACAACAACCGGGAAGGGAGGGAGGAAGAAAGAGAGGAAGAGAGAGAGAGAGAGAGAAGTGGGAGAACAAGGAAGACGAGAGGTTACTTTGGATCAACTAGTGGAATCGAATGGGGAAATGGGGAGAAATGGGGGGATTCGATAGGTAGAGGAGAAGACGCTAGAGGAGGCGATGGTCTGTTGGTTCTGGTCTAGGACCCAGAGGGAAGAAGGGCCGAGATGATTGATTGATGCAGTTGACAGGGCAATATTCTGGAGATTGTAGTGTCGTGGCAAGTGAAGTGAAAAGGCTTGAGAGATAGAGAGACGGAAGATGAGGTAAAGAAAGAGATCAAGAAGAATTGAACGAATGGTGGAAATCCAGGATATTCAGGCCAGAATCAGACCCATCCAGGCCTATTAATAAAACGAAGAAATTAACGCTATATCAACAGTCAGGGACCCAGTTGGTTCCTGTGGTTGTCCGGTGAGATCCATGGTTCAGTATTATTATTTAGTATAATGACAATATATTATTACCCTAGTATTTTCTTATTTGATCATTGTTTATTTTATTCCATTTATTTGATGATGTTACTATGTTATTATTAGTCTATGGTTGCCTGCAGAATAAGGATCTCAGCAACAGAATCAAGCAGCGATCATCCCACTAACATCATTATAAGAATATAATCAAGTCGATCGATCTCGTCATAACGATCCTCCCAACTGACAGAAGATCCTGATTTCATCTTACATTTGACAGATGAATAAAATAGAATCAATCAAATAAGAGACATATCCATAGCAACCCAGCCACAATACAGCTGACAAGTGCACTGTTACACGGTAAGATTGACCCTCTCCGTACAAACCAGGTGTATTGGAGACACCCATACCGTACCATTACCCTCCATCCACTCCCTTACTTAGATACTACTAAGTTGAAATCCATGCAACCTAAGGCACGAACAGAACAACTTTAACCGACGAGAAAGTGATGCCTTACTTGCTAATCTTCGACCTGAAGTTGTCCGAGGAACCACGACTGACATACATTCAGACAACAGGATGATCATCTATTACTTGGGTAACGATTCCATGCTAATCTCCAGCCCAATTTCCAAATCCAATATGGCTATCTGATTGGTTGTCCCGTCTGTAGGAACCCTAGCATGCAGTATTCCAGGTACGAGGTAAGGTACCTACACGGCTATACCAGTCCAAAGTTTATACCTCTCTCGGACGTTGTCGCTGTACAATGATATGCAGACCGAGTCAGTAACCAAATCATGGTTATGAGCCCGCAGGGCGCAGCCTGACCCCAAGACCTATGAGCCCTGCGGAGGCGCAGGCTATGTTATAGTATACCACCTACTATATAAGAGGAGTCTGGGGATGTCAGCCAAGGCCTCATGCTTGACATCGTGGTCTTTTGGTGTCTTACGCCAGTGCGCGCACGATACATCGGTGACATATAAGGAGACAAATGTTAAGACAAAACAATTTAAATACTTTGGCGCAGTATTCATCTGTTAAGCAACTGGAGCAAAAACTATATTTTGTTCTATAGCACTAATATTAGAAGAGTCGTTTTTCTCATTCAAAAAAAAAAAAACGCATTCTACTAAAATCATACTAAAATCAACTTCTACATATCATCGAAAGTTAGACCCCAAAGATCATCACAACCTCCCTACCATCTCTCAAATAAGCCAGACCAAAACCCCAACAAAGACACCAGGGGGATAAACCCAAATAAGCAGCCTCAAACATCCCCCCATGCCATTGTCGAGCCTCGGATAGGTGGCAGGCGCGCGAAGAGCTATCGAAGGGGTGGGGAGGCCGGTACAGCGACCTTCAGTTGGTCAAGTGGACCGCGCGTGAAATGCTCCAGGAAATATCGAGTACGCACAAATGCCTCGTATAGATCCTTCGGAAGGTCCTTGGTGGGGGATAGCTGGCCCTGATACTTGGAGAGAAGGCGACGCAGATAGGCGAGTGCTGTACGGAGAGTGTCCCACGTCTCAAGGGCAATGTAAGCCTCGGCGACAACGTTTTGCAGGACATGATTCCAGAATGAACGCTCAGGCCACGGCCATAGAGTCGGGTGGTCGTTGCCATTCATATCGGGAATCATTTCCGATCGATGCTCCTTGTATTCGTCGACGACACCGGCAAAGTATCCGGGGTCTTCCCGCAATGTCAGGAGATGGTCCTCTGCCGCGGACCGTTTCGCATCGACCACGTCTTCGAGGGCCCGTACGTCCAGCTGGGCGGGAAGACGGTAAGGGGCGTCCGCCGTTATAGCCACGAGCGACTGCCAGTCTCCTTCGTCTTGGATTGTGGGCTCCGGCTGAACAGGGAAGTCCGCGATGATGGACTCCCGAGGGATATCATGGAGGATTCGGTAGCAACACTCTAACAGGAACTCATAGACCCGCTGCTGGATTTCCAAAACCTACAAGCCCTGCATGAATTCCTCTCCCGCCGATAGCCCACGCCATTGCCTCGGGGTTTTCATCCCATGCAAGCAGTTCTCCGTATGTTTCCGGTGTGGTTCTCCCAGCGAACATAATGGTATGCAAGTTAAGAAAGGGAGGTCTTATCACACCCGAGCCACGGCCAAGGCGAAGGGCATCGAAATCGGCTTGGGCGAAGAAATGCGGTGGGTAGCGGGCCCGGGCATTCAGACACAGGAGCAAGGGCCTTGGTCGCCTTAGATCTTCAAGGTTGATGTAAGACGGTCATAGGTATGCCTCTCGCGCCTGCTCGCGGATTCCCTTCTTGAACGCGGCAAAATCAGGCCGGTGGACCTCTGGCATGTTTGGCCATGCCGTGAGGAGGATCTGCCTGGCGTTTGTGCTGCGTCTTTTGGCGCCACCGTTTCTGGATGCGTTCTTCATGGCGCTCGATGATCTTGCTCAGAGTTTCCCAGGTCGACAAGATTTGGGTCGCTCTCTCCCTGCTCTCTTGGCGAACCTCTTCTGCAGTTGGATATGATGACGGTCTAAGCAGGTCAAGCATTTCGAAAAGGCGGCTGGATTATCCCTAGCAATCCGCTTAAACTCATCCTAATCCCCACCGCCCCGGTACTGGGCAGCATCTTCACTCGTAGGGTCGAATCTGTACACGGCATCGGATAGATCCATGGCGTTATCTACCGAACTGCAACATGTGGAGAGGGATTACATAGTGGGGGAAAGCTGAGGGTTAAGTATGATGACCGAACATAAGTCGCGTTGATGGGAGGTCAAACAGACTATTTACCTCAGGTAACTGTATATGCAACTCCAAACCGATGGGTTGGTCTGGGTTTAAATCACGTTGGTGGCGGTCAGATCAAGCGTTTGTTCTGTAACGGTGATTTCACAGCTCGATTCAAACTACATCCATGGAAATATGTTTTCCAAAGGAGCCAGCAAACACGCGAACTTACGTTTGAATATCATGCCTCTGAGATTCTGCATCTACACCCATACTCTTGACCGCATGAAACTTGTCCATGAAAAAGAATTACTTGGAACTAAAAGCTACTTAGACATCCATGCACTCCACCTCACCATTCCGGGAGGTGTCGTAGATGTTTGCTCGGTAGGTAGGTACCCAGGTACGAGTGACTCAACACACATCCTCCACTTTCAACTCCTTTCCATCATGCTCTCCCAGATCCAGCTTCAGCGTACGACCAAACAGCTCCAGCAACATCTCAAAGCACACCTTGCTAATCGCGGGGTCATACCGCCCCTTGCTGAGTTCGTCGCGGATAAACGCATCTATCGATCGTTGTCAGCTTCTCCGGACGAGATATGTCTCATGCAGTACGTACGTTGCGCCCAAGCCACCTCGTAAAACCCAAAGAGCACGCCCTTGTCGTGGAGTGTCTTTCGAATCAGATCCCTCCCTTCAGGTGGGACATGCGTATCGTTTTTTCCGAAGATCTGCCACGCCGTTAGATTCCACAAAATCAAAGTCATAAATAAGAGTGGGGAAATAAAAAATAAAAAAAAAAGACCTACCATGAGTAGCTCCCCCTTAATGTCCCCCGCCCTCGCCAAACTATCATCATTCTTCCCCGCCGCCAACGTCTTACTGTGGATATCAGTAGCAAAGTAACAAACCGACGCCTTGACCCTGCTATCCAGCGCGCATCGATACGCAAGGTGTCCACCCAGACACATACCCGTCGCTCCGACACGTCCATTGCACGTGGGGAGCGAGAGTAGATAGTCAACTGCCAATGAGGCATCTTCGTCGTAGGCTGCGAGTTTCTATTGAGGATTAACATGTGTTGTATTCTGGGGGCGGTGGATACCCACCTTGCTAATCTTCCACTGGTTCCCCTTGTCCGTATCCTCAGCATTATACTGCAAGCCTTCCGGTCCCGTAAACTCGTGATAGCTAGACGGAGCGGCGCAGATATAGCCCTGGCCTGCGATCTGTCGTGCGAAACGTGCAACCGGGCCGGTCACTGTAGCGCATTAGATCAATATCCGAGATGATTGGAGCAGAGATGGCCACGACGGTTGGTCACTACCTACCTTGGTAGATTTCACTAAAGACTACGACGCCTGGGAATCGCGCTTTCGGGTAGCCTGGGATGGTGGGGTGGAATACATAGATGCCTGTACGTGTTGAGTATTAGCATTGCGTATGTCCTGGAAATTAATTGAGTGGCTGTTGACGAACTAATGAACTCGAGCACTAGAATTCCAGAATAAATGGGGACGAAGGGTAGAAACTAGGAAAGCATACGCATCTGCCCGCTCCCATCCGCGGTGGTGGGCACATCATGGAAAGATTCTTGGATCAACATGGTGGATTACTCGTAGGCTGTGACAGACAATGCGCTACTAATGGGTAGAGAATATCGGATAAAGACGAATTAGCCTGTACTATTCCACTGTTCAGCCTTGAAGTAGTGAACCTTACACTAGAATGCTAAGTGTAAAGTAGACTGGGAGTAGAATGATAGTGGGGTGATATGGCAGCCAAGCTAATGTTGACCGATAAGCTAATACGTCATGTGATCGCCCGAGACAAGCCCCAGTTATCTCTGCTCCAGACATCCTACTGCATCTCATTGAACAGTGTCGGTAATTAGATATTATTTGCTGTAAAGAAGGCTATTCCACAAAACAGCCTCTGACCGACCGCCGGATGATACCAAAAAGAGGAAGGAAAGATGACCGGGCTATGTGTATGCTGGTGGTACAAAAAGGAAATACGAACTGCAGATTCCAATCCAATACAATGACAAGAAAAAATAGCAACCGAAGAATATACACGAAAATAGAAGGACAAGAGAAATGATGGTTTGGGGAAAGGGTTATATAGGGTTAGGACAGGAAGAGCGTCTACGCTCTAGCACAATCCCACGGCTGTTCATATGAGCCGTGTGCCCTTTAAGTGATGGACGAGCATGGAATGTAAAGGGAAACCTGACAGCAGGAGAACGTCTGGAAATTTACCACAAATGTTCTAGAGTTGCTCCTGTGATCTGACATGGCATGCGATGAAGCATTCCGCTTCCTCGCACTTCCCTTAAAACACATACTGGAAGACAAGTCAGCTGATTGTTCCTCGGAAGACTCCCGCCAATGGACAGCGCTTACCGGGATGAACAGGTAGGGAACCCGTCTCTCATACTCGGCCCAGGCCTCTCCGTACTTGGTCCGACAACGCTGGATGTCGCGCAGTGCACGGTGGCTGATCATGCAGGCGAAGAAGACCGGGTAGAACCAGGGGAACGGGCTGGCGAAACCAGTGATCAGGCCCCAGTTGAGCGCGAAATACAGATCACAGGTGTAGTGAATCTTGCGAGCTTTGCCATCTATAGAACAGTTAGTGCGACTCCAGCGTGTTGAGATTAACTAGGGAGTTCACGTACACCAACCGTCGACCAAGATCTTGGTGCCAGCATCGGTGGAGATGGTCTTAGGGTTCTCCAGCGTCTGCCAGGGAAGCTGAGGGAAGGTCTTCCGGAACACCATGGTGCCGCGTTCCTGCTGACGGAATCGGTTCTTCTGGCTGTTGGTCGTATCCCACACCCAGTACACAAAGAGGTACGCCACGTAGAGGGCCACCAGGAAGTAACGGTTCCAGTGGTAGGTAGCCGGGTCGTGCTGGGCCAGGTAGATCGTGCAGTGGCAGTAGCTCAGAGGGACGCCAGCAAGGTTCCAGAAGATAAGCATGAAACCCCACTTCTCATAGTACATATCCCTAGCCCGCTGTTAGTTGGACCCCGGTCCGGGGGATATACAGCACTTACCACGTCGACACGATGCACTCCTCGCCCTTGGAGCAGGCATTGGCGTACAAGAAGTGCGCCATCAGCAGGAAACCAACCTCGCCAGAGACATAGCCATAGATCTCGTACTGCTTGGCAGCCGCTCCCATGGTAGTGAACAGAAGGATGTACCAGGGCAGGCGGACTTCGAAGAACATTTTGAAATCCAGGATGCCGAACATGCGGGGGTTGAGCTCCGCGCCCATGAAAAAGTCATAGACATGGTAACCAGTCATACGGTGTTGGGCTCCGCGGGCCAGGGCGGAGAAGTAAGCGATAAAGGACACCAGGAAGCCGGACAGGATGGCGACGCTCATGAGCGAACCAAATTCATCGATGACGGTGTACAGCTTGAAGAGGCCAGTAAAATGCAGCGCCAAAACCAGCACAATACTGAGGTAGAAGGACCAGGTACCCGAGCAATGGTACGGAAGCTGCTTTCCGTTGGCGTGCGGCAGCGGGCGACCCATGACTGTGATCCCGGGGAGAAGCACGTAACAGGCACCCTCGAAGATGAAGAAAACCCAGTAGATAGTCCAGGCCTTAAGCGTCGGGAATGCGCCCTCATACACCAAATTGCCCATGTGCGCGACAAAATCGGACATGCTCTGGCCCTCCGCTGGGCGAGGGAACTTGCCATCGTAATAAGTGGCGCCAATCCACATGTAGTACATCAACAGGGGAAATCCGATCATCATGGCCAGGACTCCGAACGACCCTCCGAATTCAAAGTGGCCGCTGTAATCCACCTTGGGATCCAGTCCTTCCTCCCAGCCGTCCACGATCCGCCGTTTCTTGCCCGCGGAGTCATTGGCGCGTCCTTCGGAGACGTCTTCCTCCTTCACCTTTCCAGTCGTCCGTCGTCGGGATACTGACTGGGAGTCGGTCGGGACTTCACTGGGGGGCGTGGACATTTCGCGCTCTTCGGGTTCGACGGACTGTGTGCTGCTGCGGGTGGCTCTACGGCCAGGTGTCTCGATGAAGCCGGGGCGGTCCATTTTTCTAACACAAAGCACCGACAAGTCAGCCAATGGGTAGACAAAATTAAAGTAGAGGCATCGTGAAGAACAAATCATCGGAAATAAGCAAAAAAATTGAACACAATTATATTTCCCCCCCTTCCGTTGTCTTGATTCCCCCCTTGCCACAATTTTTTAATAAAAACAGTCACTTACTTGGGGGTTTTCCCCGTCTGGGAGCGAGTGATTCTCATGACGATTTAATCATTCAATTGAAAAATCGAGTCAAGCAAAATAAACCTCAATTGAGGGGTGGGAGCAGAAAGAACGCCGAAGCGAAAGTGAGGGAGGCGAACGAAAGAAAAGCAGGAGAGAGAAATGAACGAATTGTTTTGGCGTTTGGTCCGATATGGAACTAACACAACATCGGCAAGGAAGCACTGCAACTCCCCCGGTTTCTGTCCATTTTTCCTCGTTAGTTCGGTGAGGACCCACTTTTAACCAGGGATTAATCCCTTTTACTGTCCGTCTTGTTCGAATTGGTCAATTTGTCTTCTGTTTGTACAAATGGCCACTGTTTTTATTCCAATCTGATATACAGAGATGAATCAATGATTTTCGTTGTCGATTGGCAACCAGAAATTCAATATAACAAAGTTTGGACATTTTTGTCAGTCATTATCATTTAAAATAGGGTCATGCAGCTACTATATATACAGAACGAGTGGCTTGTGGCAACTGCATCTTCCTTACTCTCTACATAGTGTGTTGTTATATATTTAAGTGTTAGAGCAACACTTTAAAGTAAAGTAGTTTACAATTCAAACAACACCTTATAAGAGTATCGACAAATGATGATTCGTCTATAGGTATGCAAATAGATATATCTCGAATCCCAACCCCAACATCCATTCACAACTTACTAGGGATAGGTGTATCTGCAAGTTTGGGTAACTCCGTCAAATATTCCTGCACGTCGCTCGCCACCTTCTTCCCAAGTCCAAAACTGAAGGTATAACCACCTGCTTCCTGGCCATACGCGTGAACGACTTTCTGTCCATGAAGGACTTCCTTCGCGACGCGAACGCCACCGAATTGGTGCTCGATAATGGGAAACACGCCCACATGGTCCGTAATGAAGTCGTAGTCGAGTGGGTTCGGTGACGGGAAGACATCTGGTTGATTCTCGTGCTGGCGTTGCATGATCTAGAAATTGGGTAAGTACTATGTACGTAGTTATGGACTGATGAAAAAGGCAAGGAGGATGTAGGGGGAAGGGGTCACCTTTTTACGCTGATCCTCATAGGAAGCAAAGTCGACTTCACCCACAGTCTTAATCCCACCCATGTAGATCGTGCCATCTCCGCGCGCAAACGCCGTGGAATAGTACCCGTCTGGCCCACGACGGATGTAACACCGATTGTATCCCTCCTTGCGAAGCCTTATATTCTGCTGCCGCACAGGAGTGATGCGTTTCTCCTCCACATCCAACAGCTTCATCGCACCGAACCCAGTAGCGTTGATGAGCACATCACTCCCCAAGCCCTTCAGATCCCGCAAAGACTTAACATAAGTCCGCTGAAACTTCACACCCTGCGCCTCCAACCGCTGTCTAAACCAGGGCAGAAACGTCGGCGGCGTAATGATCACCGTCTGGAACTTCATACCAAACTTGGCACCCTTGGGAAGCTCCTCCGGCGCCATAAAGCGGAACCCGGGGAGCTTCCCCTGATACCACACCTTGTCCGGGTCCCCGTTGTCCATGATCTCCGTCATTTCGATCTGCCGGATGCCTGACTCGGGGTGTCGCTCGGCGATGCGCCAGAGCTCGGAGAAGGAGTTCAGTTGCATCTCTTGCTCTCGGGGAGTTGAGTCGTGTACGCCGAGCCAGATGGCTCCCGCCCATTGACTGACGTAGCGTTGGTCCATGGCGTCGCCGGGGAGGAATTCGCCTAGAATTGTTATGTCGGCGGTTTTGGGGAGTTGGCTGGCGATTCCCATGCCGGTGATTCTAATCGTGTCATGCCGTCAGCTTGTTGTGGTTCCTAGCAATGCGGTCTAGCAATGCGAGGTTTATCATACCCTGCCCCCAAGATTGTTATTTTCGACATTTTGGGAAGAAGTCAGTGCTATTATAGCCGTTTGAGGAACGTCAATTGGAGTAAGTAATCTCTTTTAGTGAATGTCGTTTTTTTTGAGCGAAAGCGAGAATATGTACCGCTCAGTAGGTATATAAGAGATTTCCCCAGAACACATCAATCTAGAGCTACCAGCTAGTGCTGAAGACACTGATTCCCTGAGGCCCCATCCTGATCATCTTTCCCTAAATAGGTGCCAGACTAGAATTATGCAACATACAAGCAAGTCCTCGATATCTTCATTTGCATAGTTCCAGCTCGTGCTACCGTGCCGAGTGGGCCAACGAGATGCCCACCACAGCTTGCCATATTGAGAACATAAGCGGGCAGGGTGGAGCCCCGGCTTTACTATATCTCTTCCCCCGAAAGTGTATCCCCGCATTTAGGAACGTCCAATCGGCGTATAATGAGGACTGTATCGGTTATTGGTTTGATTTAGAATGTCAGTTATCATGTCAATGTTACTCCACTGGGCGGAGAAGCGGCACGCTAAGCGGGGAGAGTCATCCCAGTGTGTTGCATATTCATTTCCTGATTCCTCAGCTGGGGGGGTTTCTAGCACCTGCGACGTCCATGACCTAACATTATGGAGTATATCGAGCGACTTGTTCGGTGTGGGGTATAGATGACATTTGTAACAGGATAGCCTACCTTCCTAATCAGTGAAGCACCCGAGACGCGTGGTTGTGATTCATGATGCACCGAACTTACCTGTTTGAGATTGGAAACGAAGCCCCGAGTGGTTGGGTCTCCACTATGGGCGTTGGCGTATTGATCAGTCGCTCGCTGGGGATGTGGGAATATTCAATAAACTATAGCTTGGCTCATTGCTTGTTATGTGTCGTCATATACTCGGACCCCAGGTTCTAGTCTCAAAATGATGTCCGGATATAGAATTTATGTGGATCACGCATTGGTAAATTACAGAATAGATGCTCATGTTTATCTGAAATCTCATTGATTATCCATAGCCTATCACAATTAATCCTCACAGCAATGGTTGCGCCTTGACCGGACTGTTCTCACGTAGAAAGCCCTCAATGGTCTGAGTCGAGGCATGTCCTTTCCCACGCGCCTTCGACGCCAGCGCCTTGAGCGTTCTCATCTCCTCCAGTAACAGATCATCCGTAACCTGACCATTGCAGTAATCCCCCTTCATGTAGTGACAATAATTCCGCAATCCGTTGACTTCCTTCGTTTTGCCAGGCGTGGCAGCCTTGAGTGGCTCCGTCTGCGGTACAAAACGCGCGATCTGCGTCCCAGTGATGCGGTTATACGTATCAACCACATGTTGAAAACCGACTGCCTCCGAGATAGCCCAGATAATCCGATCCGCGTACTTAACGGGATCCAAGAACACAGCATACACAGCGTCCCCGTAATCATCCTTCACCGAGGACCACGGTATCCGCTCCAGGTCATTGCCCATCGAGAACGTCTTCAAACTGAGAAAGCCCTCCGCGTCAGGGATCGTCGCAAATCCACTAAACGCCTTGCCGTACGTCTCCATGAAGAATATATCCATCGCCCACCCCGCATTCACCTCCACAAACGCCTCGAAGCCCGCCTTCCGTCCGTAGTTCGCAATAGCGTTCTTGTTGCTGAACGACAGGATCGACACCTCCCCGTTCGTAAGACGCTCGCACTGCGGAAGGCCCGAGTAAACAAAATATTTCACCCCCTGCCGGATGGCAGCGTCGATGACGATCTTCCCCATGGCGGATTCAGGGGCCCCGATCTCGTTTTTGAAGTTCGCGTCGTCCGAGTCGGTGTTGAGGAATACGCCGTAAGCGTTTGCGAATGCTGAATCGAGCTCCGCGGCGTTCCAAGAGTCGGCTTTTACGAGTAGGAAGCCTTCCTCGTGGCGCTGGCGGGCTTTGGGAGAGTTGGGATCTCGTGTTGTCAATAGGACTTGGAATTCGGCGTTGTCTTTGAGTGAGTGTGCGACTGAGCCGCCGTACATGCCGGTGCCGCCGATCACAACTATTGTCTTCTTTGCGATAGTCATGGCTGTTGTTCAGTTGCAGACACCTTTATAGATGTAGTAAGAAATGGTCAGGTCACAGAGGAATACAGCGGGATAAGGGAACCGGGTTCGAGAGCGAGACAGCTGTGTGTGCTTAAATACGTCCTGAGTCATGTACCAGTCGTTCATTATCAATGACTATATACGACATGACCCCTATGGGGGCAAGAGTTGTACAACTCGGAGGTTCGTCTAGTGACCGAATTGAGTAAGTCGGCGGGGCCTCTGGAGCTGCAGGAGCGGAGATAAAGTGTCGTGCAATGGGATTTAGTGCGGGGATTATAACATGCTAGAGCTACACAAGTGTAGTGTCCCTTGGGGCCTTTTCCTTGTAGCACTTCTGACTGTCATCTTGTGTTGGTCTCTCAACAAGGGTTGACATCGTCAGTGGAAGTTAATGTGGTTTCATTCTACCTGCTCTGTGAAGCAATACCTCGGCACTATACATTTTCTCCACCGAGATGGTGGGGTGAGATAAGCCCCCATGAGGACTATCTACGCTGCAGAATCATAGTAGTAGAGTCGTGTTCTATTGATGCGGTCCTACGCAGATTACTCACCCAGAGAAAGTGTTCGGCTGTAGAAACAGGTACATATGAAGACAAGTATGCAAAGATGGCGGCCCCGGCCGACTCCGGTCCCATATGATTTCATAAACACAATGCAAAGACACCACGCACGCTTCGTCGGGAAAATACGCCGTATATCCAACCGTAAATATAGAAAGGAGGAAAGAAATCAAAACGAAAAGGGGCGGTGAGATCTGTCCAGAGCAACGATATCAATCCGAGTTTTACTCTACGCCCCTCTCTGGATATTGGTCGACATTAGGGTGATCTTGTTCTTCTTCTTCTTTTTCCCGCCCGTAGGCGCAGAGGAAGCAGCCGCATTGCTCGCCGCGGCGGCGCTTTCAGCAATGACTTCGCTTTCTCGCTGGGCCATGAGTTCGTCCTCCCATCCTTGAAGCCACCCGTCATGCGGAACAGCCCCTGCGTGGAGGTCTGGCGTCCCTGAAGGGGGCGCGATCGCTGTGGTCCCCCAGACCGTCCGAGACCCCGGAGGGCTAGTGGAGGCGGAGGATAATGCCCCGAGGTGAGATGATGACTGCGGGGGCGATGCGGAGACTCCAATATCTGCGGATGCAGCGTCGGCACCGCTCGCCAGTGGTTGGAAATCACGGTCGGAAAAGAAAGTTTCACGAGTCTCGATGCCGGGATGTTCCTTGCGGATAGTCGCCCATCGCTCCGCGTCCTCTGCTTTCTCAGCGCGGACCCGACTCTTTTCCTCACGGTGTTCTTTCTCGCGATTACGCTTCCTTCGCCTCCCTATCTCCGAGCTGAAACGCTGTAGAACCTCCGGAGCAACAACATCGGTCCAATCGCATTCCAGAAAATTCACCTCGCAGCCCTGAGGAAGGTGGCCCAGATACTTGGCGCGCTTGCGAAGCTCATCGTCAACAATATGGCCGGTGGAGATGTGCTCGACTCGGGGGAGGATGGTGGCGGGGAACAAGGGATAATCACCAAAAGCGGCCTTCAAAATGCGGATGTCCAGGGAAGAGAGATAGAAGTGAGGGAGTCCTTGGTAGAAATAGTAGGGGTGATCGGGCGGATGAGGCCCGTTGGTATCCTTGTTCCGAGCCGACGGGAGGTGGCCTCGACCGACTCCGGGATCTCTTTGCTTGGACTTCGCTTTACGTCCCCGACCTATGTTCGTGCTGTCCATCGCTTCTGTTATGCCATCAACTTCACTGGAGACGGTAGGGACGGAAGACGTTGGGATAGGGCCGCATGAAGAGCTCTCTCCGGACTTGGTAGCATCCTGTGATGTATCTGTCGGGACCGCTTCTGATGGCGGCGGCTGAACTGACATCGATTTCTCGGGCGACGTGAGAGGTGCAGGCTGCCTTGTGACGTCAGGTGGGTTTCCGATGCCCTGTAGATTTAACTTGGCGTCATTGATGGCACCGATGGCCTTTCGGCTCCAGGTGGTCTCGTCCCCGAACAGAAGTTCATCCTCGACTTGCTGCTGGCGAATATCTTCGATCTCTGCATCATACTGTGCGGCCATATAATCCTCCCCTCCTTTCATAATGCGCGCATAATCTGACACTTCGGCCGCATGGTACCAAGGGATATCTTCTCCCGGCCCAAGAGGCTCCGCGCCGTCCCGAGGCAGGGCCAGGGTGCTGCTAGGGTCTCTCTTGACCAGTCGCAGCACGACGTCGCCACCCTCATAAGGAAGGTCTCCTTCCTGCCCCCGGAACCACCGGACTGGACGAGTCTCCGAGATGTACACGGAGTCCCAGCAAATGGGGCATTTCTTCCACCGAGGTTTCTTTTCGGGCCCCGCATTGTGGTCGTCCGTCGAATGCATATATCGGATCAGGCATGGTAGGCAGAAGATATGGCCACATCGAGCCATGCGGGGCGCCACGGGGATGGACAGGCAGATAGGACAGCTCGCGGACTGCGTCTGAGCCGACACCAGGACTTGGAGCACCGAATCCCAATCTAGATGGACATCGGCGTTGGCCGCTTGCGCATAGTAGTTTCGATTCGGCGCCACAATAAAACGGTAATTGGCGTGCACGTAACGGGCTTTATCCATGGCATGGTACCCGGAGCCGAGGCCCCAGGACGCATAGCGGCGTGAATTGCGTGGCGGTGGTTGGTACTGCGGCCGCGGAGGGAGGGCAAAATTCATCAGGTGCGTGATAGACGTCTGTCCCTTGCGGCTGTTTGTTGAATTCATGATGGCCTATACCCACACGATCCGGTTAGGTCAACCAGCCAACCCACAGGGTTACCGGGCTCGGCTCGCCAACAAGAGCCGGGACCGCATTCGCGCGGGGACACCTACCAGCTCGCTATAATCCTCATCATCCAACAATTCCGGGGATTTCTTTTGCCTGACTTGTTTCTTCCGAGACTGGTTGTGCCGGGGCGAACTCGAATTCCGCGATGAAAACCCTGCCCCAAAGCTACCAGAACCTCCCGGACGGCGCTGGGAGCCACTGTCTACCGATGACGACTGGTGGAACGAGGAGGAACCGGGTTGATTCGAGGGGTTTGACGCTTTAAAGGAAGAGGAATTCTGGCCAGCATTGGACGACATTGCTCAACAATGACTGAAGTGGAGCGGCCTACCTTCTAATGCTGGTGATGTGGTCGGGAGAATATGCGCAGTGGTAGGAGAGGAATCTAGGATGCAAAAGAACGGGGGGGTGAAAGGAAATGATATAGAAAAAGGCTAAAGATAATGAAAAGAATGAGTAATGAAGAACCGAATAAGTAGGAGAGCAGGAGAAGACCCTTCCCAAGCTCTTCTCCGAACGAGGAATGGAAGAAGAGGAGAGATTGGAGATGATTGATAAGTAGGAAGAGGGAAGGAGGGGCGAGTCATATTTAGTATGTAACCGTACCTCATATACCAGAATACCACATATAATACGCCCGATAATACGGACAATACAAGAATACCGGAAAGTACGACGATCGTACGGTAAGATTCCCGGCTTGGCATCCCGTCGGCAGCCTCAGGCACGTGCCCCCCCCGTCCGCCAAAAAAACATCATCTCATCTCATTCTCCGCCAACCGCTTCTTCTCCTTCCTCTCGGTATCTCACTTCTCCCTCAGACCTCCCCGTGCTTCTTCCTCGATCCTACTTTGTATTCTTCTCTCTGGACCTTGAATATTCCCGGGGGTATTCTTAATTTTTTCATCTCTTCCTTTCCACTGTCCTACTGCAGGTGGGTGCTCCCAGACGACCTTTCATCAATCCCACTACACCCGCACACTTCAACCTTCCTGCCACCCCTCCCCAGGCTTCTCTATTGGGATCGATCTGTCTTCGCGCGCAAATTTCACGCTAATAGTTATTTCGAAAGACCCCCGCAGGTCCATCATCCCGCCCGGCGCCCGCATACCGCCGCCGTCGTCAACTTTTCCTTTGTCTACGTCGCAGATCTAGCTAGGATGGCAGCATAGACGGGAGAAATAGCTTTTCCAACCTTGGCTTACCTCGATTTCATCACGTATGGCTACCGTTGAGGTCATCCGTGGCTGAACCGTCAAGGCGACTTTTCCGACGTGTCTAGACCATGATGAATCACCATCTGCCCGCGATGCCGCTTGGGCAGCCACCCATGTCTGGCCCCCGGCGGCAGCAGGATATACCATACTCGGCCGGTCCTCCCAACATGCGCTCGCCGCCGGCGTATATGGGTTACCCTCCTCACATGAATGGGCACATGCCTGCATATTCGCCCCAGCAATATCCGCATTGGTTCCCCGCATACCCTCAGATGCAACCGCCTCGTCCCTTTCAACCTCCGTACGCCCCGATGTTCGTGTCCTCCTACCCTCCTCCCGCTCAGCCGATCATGGCCCCGGCACATATGCCGCCACCACCCCTACAACCCCGGAATTCCACCCCCCTGCAAGCGACCATGTCCCCGTCCGTGGGATCCGCCCCGGCTCCAATTGCGATGCAAGCACAGTCGCCCGCGGCTATTCCGCTGCAATATGTCCCCAGTCCTGCCGTGTCTTCCCCTGTTTCGGCGCCTGTCAGGGTCTCAACGCCTCCGAGGGAGCCATTCCATGCACCGGTGGGTCCCTTCATCTCCTGTTCTTTCCCTGGGTTTTCCAGGTATCAGTTTGCTGATCGAGCAACGATTCAGCTTCCATGGCTCTCGGTTCCCGATCACCCTTTCCCCGCCAGAACCCCGCGCAGACGTCGAAAAGGCCGGAACCTGCAGTCCTCATCGATCGATGTAGAGCTTCCCACGAAAGGCGGCCAGCAGAGTCATCGTGCTGTGGAGAAAACGGAAACGAAAAGAGGCGAGGTCCCGGCTCAGATTCCTTCTGAGCCTCAAACCCCTGCTCTGTCCGCTGCTCCGTCAGTTGCGAATTCGACGCAACCCACCACTCCCTCGGCGGTTCCCAACCTCCCCGCGCGGTCTCAGTCGCAGTCCAAGGGATCGAAGCCAGCGGTGCCCGTGGTACCGATTGTTCCTGTCATCCCGGGCCCCCCTACACCACGCCAGGCTCCCACGGATGATGCTGGTCGTTCTCCCGAGGCCCCTAAAGCTACCGGGGTTGTGGCAGAAGCAGACTCGGCCGCTGCCGGGGAGGCCAATAAGCCCTCGCCTCAGGCGACACCCAAATCGTGGGCGGACCTCGTCCGAAACAAGGCAATCGCCAAAGGTGCGGGCACCGGAGGTGCGCCGCCCGTCGTGTCGAATGGCCTAGTGAACGTCAAGACCGAGTCCATGGCGGATGTCCTCACGAGTCTTGGAGTAGACGTCTCTCAGTACAGCGACAAGGTTGCATTCCTTGAGCCTAGAGGTCTTGTAAATACGGGCAACATGTGTTACATGAATTCTGTATGTCATCTCTGGACCTGTTCATTCCCCGACTTTCGGCTAATTCCAACCCAGGTTCTTCAAATCTTGGTTTCGTGTGTGCCTTTCTATCAGTTTTTGGATCATATTGGACGACGCGCCTCGCATAGCTTCCAGAGCGATTTCCCCATGATCGACGCCATGTGAGTCACCCTTGGAATACACATTGATTATCATTGAGAGCCAGCTGCTTACAGTTTTTCTTCTTCTAAGGATCATGTTCATGAAAGAGTTCCGTGTCATTGACGCTGCGCAAACTGAAGAGCAACTGAAGCTTCGACTGAAGCCGAATGAGCTCGAAGAATATGGAGACTCGTTCACCCCGGAATTTGCTTACCAGGTGATCAGACAGTTGCCACGCTTCCGAGACATGCGCGTAAGTTCTTCCGTTGTGTATACAAGAAGGTTTTCCGAATTTTTGCTAACCTATCATGTCACTAAATTTAGCGAGGCCACCAGCAAGATGCCCAGGAATTTCTCGGCTTTCTGCTAGAAGAGATGCACGAGGAATGTGCTCGGGCCGCAAAGGACGTACCTCCGACGAAGGTAGATGAATCGCTACCGGATGCTGAAGCTTCGGCTGCAGATGGAGAGTCCGGCGATGGCTGGCTGGAGGTCGGTCACAAGCAGAAGGCTGCTGTCACTCGGTCATCCGGCCATATTACTCTGGAATCCCCCATCACACGAATCTTTGGCGGCAAGATCAGGTCCGAGTTCAAAGTTCCCGGCAACAAGACCTCGGTGACTTTGGAACCTTATCAGTCCCTGCAACTTGATATTGGATCACCCCATATTCACAACATTGTCGACGCACTGAAGGGACTAACAAAGCCGGAGAGTATCCAAGGCGATTTCAACTCCCCACGCGGCCCCAATGTGACGGCAACGAAACAGGTGTTCATTGAGAACTTGCCGCCTGTTCTTATCCTCCACCTGAAACGGTTCCAGTATGATAGCGTCACCAACGGGACGCAGAAGATTTGGAAGAGGATCGGTTATCCGCTCGACTTGGAAATTCCTCGCGAGGTGTTCCCGTCCAACAAACGCAATATCATGATGGCGCAAGGTGGATTGCCCAAGTACCGACTTATGGGCGTCATTTACCACCACGGCAAGAACGCGAGCGGCGGCCATTATACGGTTGATGTTCGCCGCCAAGAGGGTCGCGAATGGATCCGCCTTGACGACACAGTCATTCGCCGCGTTCGAAGCGAAGACGTTGCCGAAGCCGGCGGTGAGGAAGATCCTAAGGTTATTGCTGCGGCGCTGGAGCAGCACCGAAATGATAGGGATCCAAATGTCAACAACATCTACGGTCACATTGAACAAGATGACATGGAACATTCCGACAATGAGCGTGGCTGGAGCCAAGTCAACGGCACGGGTTCTGGCCATTCCAGCAAGAAGTCTACCGGTGCTGCAAACGGGGCTGCACCATCTGGACCCTCATCCGGGGTTCGGACTCCGCTTGGACGATACGGATCTCGGGATAACAAGGTGGCATACTTACTGTTTTACCAGCGCATTGCATGATTTGAAGAACCTACTAGACCGCTTCGAATTGCCGACTTACAACAGCAGTGTGGGCAGTCTTCGATTGACAGCTACCAAGTCTCCACACAATGCAGAGACACAAGGGAATCTTCCGAGGGGGAAAGAAAAGGAAAAGGAAAAAAAGAAAAACGACCAAAAAAAAAGGAATAAAAACAAAAAAAAACAAAAAAAAAACTGAAATTTCGACCGCATCCATTCGATTCCATGTTTTCTTTCTTAGCGACATCTTCGTTCATCACAATCGCCTGAGTCGATATCTTGACCGTTTATTTGGTGTTGAACAACGACACAATCTTGCTTCGTGAATCGCACTGGGGTTTGGCTGTTCATACTTCGGCTGTACATACGACGACATGCATATTTCAGGAATGTTGAACCAGCCTAAAAACGTTGCATTTTGAGGCAAAAGCATGATACGTGCGACATTTGCCTCATGACCCGCCTTACTTGCTTCTCATACACGCCAAAACCTTCAAGAGGGCGATTTCCTGCATATTACCCCTGTTCTGGATCTCGACACTCGCGATACCCTATAATCATCTCTTCTTTCCGCTACCACGACAAACTTCTTCTACCCGTTTCCCTTGATCATGATTTTGCATTTGCGGTATCAACCAGTTATGCTGGCCATTGCCGCTTCTCTCCTATATACCTCACCTTTTCCACGTGCTGCTCCGTGATTGGCTCACGAGTGAAGATGAGTATCTGATGTGAAATGTGCTTGCCCAGGTGATGCGGGCTGGGGAGTATAACGATTGCACGATTTTTTTACACCTTATTTCCCATAGACGTATTGGCATGGAGATAACAGCACCGACTGACTGACTGTCCGGGTTTGGAACTGTCAGCTGGAGTCGACAGAGTCCTTGAAAAGAGGAAAGAGAGAAGAAGAAGAAGAAAAGACCAGTCGATGGGATGGATATTGTCACTTTTTGTCCTTTCTCCTCCTTCTGCCGTGTCTTACAACCTTTTATTTCTCTGTTTCTCATCTCCCCTTGATATTTTTCTTTTTACACTATCTAATCGCGATGTATGGGTGGTGTATGGGGTCTACCCCGGGGACGGATGAACGAATAAATGGATGGATTGATGGATGGACAGGATTGGATCGATTGATGGAAGAAATGAAGGAAAAACGGAGGTGTCTTTTGTGTGTTGATGTGGATGAAAGATATGAGCGTGGATATGCAAAGGATTTATCATACTCACTAGGTAACCAGAGGAGGAGGTGTGATGGATGAGGGGGGTTTCTCGAATATCCTAAAAGCGTGTGATAGGAAACTTATTCAAAATTTTCCATAAATTTTCTGATCTTATTGGATTTACGTGATAGTAGCGTAGCGGATGTGCATGACGGACATATAAAACGTGCGATCACCATGAAATGTGGCACCCCTTTGGGATGCTCTGTGGGTGTAGCCCATATGACGGCGTCCAAGGCGGGTGTTGGTTATGGTATATAGATAACGAGAGGTAGGAAAAAATTCAAAACCAGAACAGATCTCGGTAAGCCAAGCTAGACACATTCAGATCGTGCAACAGGATGTGTTCTCACCCCACTGTCAAGCAAGCCGCCTAACCTAGCGCCGGACCGGCTTGAGATGAACATGCAGAGGAGGCTTCTCCCAAAGAAAGTACACCTTCTGTCTCTGCATCCAATCCAAACTATCTTTCGCAATCTCCATATCGAAATTGTAGATGACGCGAGCCAAAATCAGGCGCATCTCGGCGTACGCAAGGCTATATTACATCGCTTTGTTAGGAGGGCGAGTTGCACCGTAGAAGGAGGGGGGTTGATGCTCACTTTCGTCCTAGGCAGTTGCGAGGACCCACGTGGAAGGGCTGTAGAATGTCAAAGTTGTCGTTGGAGTACCGCTCATCGCCGAGAAAACGCTCCGGGTGGAATTCGAAGGGGTCGGCAAAGTGCTTCTCGTTGTGGTATGTGGCCCAGTGGTGGATTGCGACGACCGTCTGTTAATGAGGTCAGATATTGTGGGTTTTTATTTTCTATGTCCCTAAATGAGAATAGAGGGAGTAGATAGGTGGTGGAGATAGTGTGGAAGTGAAAGACTGTCTGTTGCTTACATCTTCGGGGATAACATGTCCCACGATTCGGCGCCCGCTCTTGGGTACCACTCGGGGTAATCCGGCAGGGACTGGAGGATACATCCGCAAGGTCTCGTTCAGACAAGCCATCATGTAAGTGAGCCTGCCCACAGAGTTGATGTCAATCTCGTCCTCGCTGGCGAAAGAACTGCGGACCTCGTCGGCGAGTCGGGCCAGTGCTTTTGGGTTGGTAACCAGTAGAAAAGTGACGCCAGAAAGCAACGTGGCCGTGGTTTCTGACCCTCCGATGAGCAATATGGTGCTGTTCGCTTCGAGTTTATCAAGAGTGAGTCCCTGTCCAGCGTCAGCGACATAGACACCAATCAATCCGCGGCATAAAACCGACCAGTTCTTCCTGCTTTCTCAACAGCCCCTCGATGAGATCCTCGCGGCCTCTTCCTGCCTGCATCCGTTCACGAAGGTTAGCAAACGAGAGCTCCCTCTGCTCTTCGAACTTTCTCGTCATCGACTTGGGTATCGCAGAGAGAAGGAAGCTCTTGAGTCTGGGGAAGACGCTGCCTAGACCCAGCAGCATCGTGCCCGTTTGTGCCGACTTGAGAAGCAGAGGAATAAACGGGTGGTAACATGAATTTTTCAAGCAATCAAAGCCTTTCCCGAACGCTAGGTCACCGATGATGTCGAAGGTAGTAAAATTGTACCAAGCAACCATGTCCAGCGGGTTGGAGCCAGCAGACGTCTCCCGTAGTCGTTGGATGAGCAGATCGACATACTGCCCGATCAGAGGCTCTTGTGCTCTCATCGATTTTTCTGAGAACCCGTGAGACATCTGCCGACGAAGGACGCTGTGCTCCTCCCGGGGTGCATTGATAATACTGGTCGGAACGTAGTCAATCGCACGGTAGAACTGCGCCCACTTTCCTATTTCTTCGGTGCCTGCGGCCTGATGGCCCATGATGTCCTTCCAGGCGTCGGCAGTCGAGAAGGCCAATTCATTAGGCGCAATCCGCACGATATCTCCGTACTTCTCGTGCAGAGCTAGCATATCGAAAGGCAACGTGCCCCTTAGGAGCCGGTAGCAGTACGGAAGCCGGGACATGGCATAGCTGCGTGGGCCTGGAAAAGACCGCAACGGATGGAAGAAGACATTATAGATCACCGTTCCCACTGCACGAACAATCACCTGAATGAGGTTAATACGCTAAGACCAGACAGGTGGGCAGTACATACGGCTGCAATGATGGCAACGGCCAAAGTGCCCAACTGATTGATCAGAAATGTCATGCTGAAGATCGCTCACGAGGAACTATATCGGATTCCAATGCAAGGGAACGCAGGCGATATAAGGCGGGGCCTCTGCCTTTTTGAAGATTTCCGGCATTCTTCTCGGATGGCAAAGTTTCCGTTCCAGGCGTAGGATCGTCTGGGATGAGGAGGCAATGGCAACACACACCCTCGTCTCGGCTTCCTCACGTTCCCCGACAATCACCATCGTGCCTAGGCTTTTCTCCGCTTCGGCAATGAGCTACAGAGGGATGGTGTAGGGCATCGACGCCTGTGATTCGACGGCCGACAGCTGCGTATTCAATACGCAGTCTTCCTTTAAAGTTATGACACATTGCCAAGAGAGGAGTGGCTGGTCCGCACGTCGCGTTGTCGTCGAATAGAAAGATGGTTGGCGAAGCCATCCAAAATAGTCCAAAATACGGGGTTGACATGTCGATCATCTGCATTGGTATACATATTAGTCATGGACATAGCATTAACTAGTGCACGTGATAAAATGACTCAGCATGTTTACCTCAGCAACGATAAGATACCGTAATACCGTTACCACGCCCGGAGTGATCGCGGAGATAAACTCTGTTGGGTCAGAGAGAGTCCAGGATGCTCTAGAGACTCAGGATAGACTTGTCACAGCGTTCAATGGCTGAAGACTCACTGTTGGGAAACATAAATGACACTCCTCATATTTCAAATCATCCGAGTCCCCTTACCTCCTGCGTCCCACCATACCACCTCCTAACTCTTCCTTGACCTCCCTACAGTTCTGTATGTCCTCTTACCAACTCTGGTATCCTGCAGCGCTCTCCCTCCCCGCCCTTTGCTTCTCTTCCCCTCTCGCAAATCGCCGACTGACCAGAACCCCCTGGAGACAGCTCCTTCCTCCACACGTCTTCTCCATGATAAACTGTGCAGCTGTCGACCGGTCTTAAGCGGTCGGATAAAGGTTCAGTCCCGTGCTTAGTGCTGTGGCTAGTGCTGTCTATCACAGCGGCGGGATCTTTTTTTTGATCGCCCTTCCCCTCCAGTGACATTGGCGGCGAAACTGGGTCTTCAGGGTCCATTTATAAGCTTCAGGTCGGGGATTTACATCCCAAGACTGCAGCCCCTCCGGCCCCGAAGCTTGTTCAATTTGCCAAGAATATTTTATTTTGACTTCCTCCCCGCTCCGACCCCCCGCCTCAGTCCCTTCCGGCCACGCCCGTTGCGATCCCATCCTTATTCGACCTGGTACGACGACATGAATACTACTACACCCTCTCCGACGCCGGGCCCTGCCATCAAACGCTCCCCCAGTCTCCGATCCCCGTCGAACTCGGCCGCCGGGGCTAAACGCAAGCGCACAACCGCCGCCAAATTCTACGCCGTCAAGGTTGGCTATCAGCCCGGGGTCTACAATGAATGGAACCGGTGTTTGAAACAGGTGACTGGGTTCAAGGGCGCGGTGTGTAAGTTTGTCACATTCGTCTTGTCTCGGGCTTGGAATAAGACGTGGTCCTGACAAAACTCGTCTACCTTACAGTTCAAGCGTTCCCCACTCTCGAAGAAGCAAACGCTTTTCTCACGGGCACCAAGCTCCCTGCGGGACAGGACGGTGGCCCTTCCAACCCCGAGTTTACGAGATTTTACGGGATCCAGCGTGGGCGGACGCCAGGAGTGTACACGGACTGGGCCAAGGCGCAAGAGCAGATCAAAGGGTTTCCCCGACCGCGGTACAAGAAGTTTGCGACCAGGGAGGAGGCGGAACAATTTGTCCGAGAGGCTGAGACTGGGCAGGCTCCCGGTGCTCCCGGTGTGCTGAAAGACGTGCCACGAGACGAGCAAGGAGCCCCTGTTGAACCGGGAGACGGCCCCTTGCCTCCGGGCGCGGAGGATGGGTTCGATCCCAATCTGTTGTTGGATCCTGCTACCGGGAAGGTTGTCTACCGATCGGCGGACCAGGCCAATGCCACGAAATTGAAGGCCACCGGCCCGCCGGGGATGTTGCGGATCTACACCGACGGGAGCTCGTTGAAGAATGGCCAACCGCTTGCGTCGGCCGGGGTCGGCGTCTACTTTGGTCCCGGGGACACAAGGTTTGTCTCTATTCTTGCCGATCCGTCCTCGTCTTAATCCCTCTTCGCTGACATCAACCCTTTTTCCCCAGCAGAAACGTCTCGGAGCCCTTGAAAGGTGGCCGACAGACCAACCAACGCGCGGAGTTGACCGCCATCTTCCGCGCACTGGACATCGCGCCCCGTCATCGGGACGTGACCATCTTTACGGACAGCCGGTATGCCATTGACTGCGTGACGGTGTGGTGTATCAAATGGCGGCGCAACCAGTGGATGACCGCCGATAACAAGCCGGTCGAGAACAAGGATCTAGTCGAATCGATCGTGGCGAAGATTGAGGAGCGCAACGAGCTCAAGGTCAAGACATGGTTTCAATGGGTCAAGGGACATAACGCTGATCCGGGCAATGTGGCGGCGGATCGATTAGCGGTCAACGGAGCCCAGCGGGGCGTGTCGGAGAAAGCAGCGGCGCTCGAAGCGACCCGGAATATCCCTGACGAGGCATTTGACGAGGAGGATGAACTATTCTGAGCGTCATGGCAAGGGGGGAGAAGATCAAGGGACTAGGAAGGAAAGCAAGGTTTCTGTTTATCCAGTGTATCTGGTGTTGTTCCTTCATTCTACGTTTGATGATGATGGTATCCTGACGGACTCTTTTTTATGTCTATTTCTATTGTTATGACTTTTCCTTTCCTCGTGTCTTCCCCACTTCTTTCCCCTTGAGTGGGGAAAGGAGGGGGATCAGCTCGTTCCTGGTTATTATTTCTGTCCCTGGATCTTGGACTGGTTTTTTCCATCCTTTGTGGAGGGACTGTTGGCATATTAAACTCGCACGATGACATCTTGAATGATAAATGATTGATCGTAATGAATAGAAACAAGCATTGAAGTGACGATAATTTGTCTGGCTCGTAGTAACCCCCGTGTCTCTAAACCATGTAGATAACTAGCTGGAGTTTATCTCCCCAAACGGGGATGGATCGGACACGGCCGCATTCCGATGGCGTTTTTCCTTCCCACATTCCCCTCTTGCTTCTTTTCTTCTCTTCTTCCCATGTGTATGACAAGTGAAGCTTCTGCTGAACGTCAGTCCTCTTACGGTTGATATCATCTTGTCTATTGGGTACTTCTGATTTGTTCTCCTGCTGATAATCCTGCTCTCCACTCCGCTTTTCACTCGCGTGGTCCGAGACATTGTCGTCTGTGACGAGACTGAGAAACCGGCCGGATTTCTCAAATGACACTGCAGACACTGCGCTGGAATCCAACTCGTACCATGGTTGAATAACACGTGCTGGATTAGACACTATTATTTACTCTTCGAAACACTGACCCGGGCGTCGTTGCCCAAGAGCTCTTTTTCCGGCCTGTCTGTGAATAGTACATATACACTTCCGCTGTGACAACTTCCTGTCTCTCCTTCAAGCAGCTCGAGGAGCACGAAAGAAGACGTGAACGAGATGCCGACTCTTTCACTGATCAATTTCAACATCGTCTGTGCGACGTTGGGGGGGTTCATATCGATCTTTGGGCTGGTATCTTACCTGTTCAAGGAGAGATTCTACCTGTCGGAAGCACGTACGTTGACCCTCTTATGTCAATGGGATCAATAGTAACAAAACCAGTGATCTCCTTGCTAGCCGGTGTGGTTTTCTCTCCAGCGGTAGCAAACTTTATTAGACCCTCAGAATATGCACTAGGCTCCGACCAGAACCTGGAAGAGATCACCCTGTATTTTACCAGGCTCGTCCTAGGAGTCCAACTGGTCCTCGCCGGGGTCCAGCTCCCCAAGCGTTACCTCCAGGTGGAATGGAAAAGCTTGTCTCTTCTCCTGGGCCCCGGCATGAGCGCCATGTGGATGTGTAGCAGTCTTGTCATTTGGGCCATGGTCCCAAACCTATCGTTCCTGCATGCGCTCTCGATCGCCGCTTGTGTGACCCCGACCGATCCCGTTCTGTCGAACTCGATCGTGAAAGGCAAATTCGCCGATAAGAATGTTCCCCGGCCGCTGCAGAAAATCATTGTCGCTGAGTCTGGCGCTAATGATGGTCTCGGGTATCCGTTCCTCTTTTTTGGGATGTACCTGGTCAAGTACACGGGGATGGGAGGCGCCGGACAGGTCGGCGGTGCGGGGAAGGCCATGGGTCTTTGGTTCTACGAAACGTGGGTTTACACGGTGATTCTGAGTGTGATCTATGGGATTTTTGTCGGCTGGTGCTCCAGGGAGCTGTTGCACTGGGCGGAAGAAAAGCATTACGTTGACCGGGAGAGCTTCCTGGTCTTTGCCATTGCCCTTTCGGTATGTCGAGTCTGTGTGTTTTCCAGTCGCTGCTAACGCATAACTGCAGTTGTTCATTGTCGGAACGTGCGGTCTTATCGGAACAGACGACCTTCTCGCGTGCTTCGTTGCCGGAAATGTTTTCACCCAAGAGTAAGCTCATGCTAATCCCCGACCTGTGGTCTACATTGAACAGAACTGTCTGCTGACGGACCAGCGACTGGTTTCGCCTCGAGACCATGGACGATTCGTTGCAGCCAACCATCGATATGCTTCTTAACTTGTCCATTTTCATCTGGTTCGGCGCAGTCTGCCCGTGGTCCTCCTTTCTCAATAACGACATCATCCCCCTCTACCGGCTAGTTTTCTTGGGCGTATTGATCTTGCTCGTGCGGCGCATGCCGATCATCTTCGCCATGCACCGGTACATCCACCAGATCGAACACATCTACCACGCTGGTTTTGTGGGATTCTTTGGCCCGATCGGGGTTGGAGCGGTGTTCTACCTGTCGATCAGTCGCGAGTTTCTCCGCGAGATCAAGGTCAATGGCGAGGTCCGCGAAGACGCCCACCGGCTGTCGGAAGCGGTGAATATCATCGTCTGGTTTCTTGTCGTTTGCAGTATTGTGAGTTATTTTCTTCGATATTTCTTACTCTGGCCTTCGTTTCTAACCAGCCAGGTGGTCCACGGTCTATCCATTCCCTTGGTGAAAGCCGGGTACAACCTCCCGCGGACCATTTCCAACGTCCTCAGCACAAGCACCGCCGTGGACTCAGAGCCCGTCACCATTGCCAGTACCCCTCACACCCACAGCACTGCGACGCGGAATGTGGATAATGGTGCCAACAATCGCGGTCGGAAGCGCGGGGGTGGGCGTGAGGATCCCCAGCCTACAGTCTTTCGCATTGGTCGGTCCGTCGTGCAGCCGTCGTCTTCCCAGCAGGACGGCCAGATGCTGGGGACCGGGAATGTCGAAGAACCCGAGCGACCGGTCAATCTGATCACCACCGGCCCTAGCACGCCTAAAGCGCCGTCGGTCGGTCTGGAACAGTCGATTTAGAGTATCTTGGTGGAGGGAGAGCTTGGGGGAGGCAATGGGGTGTGTTGCAGTCATCAGGGTGAAATGGGTGAAGTGTAGGGGTGGATAGATGGACTCGAGTTCTATTAGATATAGTTGGAATTTGGTACATAGTAGACTCGTAAGATATCCATAGACTACAAAGCAGTAAGAGGATGACATATTTGAATGAATGGTGTTACCCGCAGTGATTTAATTGCACTGATAACTAACTTGGCATGCAGACGATCTTCGTCATCTAATTTTGTCTTAATTTATCTTTATTTTACTTTGTTCCATGCTAGTGATTATACTTTACTCCATACAGACAGCCAAGATAGTTTCCACGAACCAGTGGACAAGATCGATCGTCCCGACTAGCAGAGCGGGGGCAAGCGGGGCTGATCAGCGATGGATTCTCAGCCACTAGATAATAATCAGTTATTAGAGTTGGAATACGAGGCTGAGGCTGAGGATTGTGAGATACGTCGAGGTACTTTGTCCAAGCTCACAGTGTTGTTGATCATTCTGGCATATCATCAGTCAGATTCTTATTCCCGACCAGGTCCAGCCCCTGATCAGTTTCTTCACAACTTATTTCTACCGACGCATATCTATCCATCTCTATCTACATCTACACCTTTCATATATGTATCAAAATGGGCGACTATAAACCCCTAAACAACATCGACGTCCCAATCACAGTGGTCGGCGCCGGCCCAGTGGGCATGCTACTGGCACTGCAGCTGGACCGTCTGGGCATTCCTCATCTACTAGCGGAACGAAACCTCCACACCACCAAATGGCCCAAGATGGACCTGACCAGCACGCGGAGCATGGAGATTCTTCGCCTCCTGGGTTTGGCGGATGAGTATCGCGCGCTGGAGGGGTCGGTCGATTTGGACGCTAATTTCGATTGCGTGTTTCCTACGAAGGTGTTGGGTGAGGGGAGGAGGGTCTTGGGGGAATGGGTAGGTTCTCTTCTATTTTCTTCTTATTTTTTTTTTTTTTTTTTTTGCTATTGTTTATTATACAACGAGGTTCAAGACAGTGTGTGATTGAACGACCTCTGATGAGACCAGAACCAACCATCTGCCAGGGTCCAAGCGGCCCACATCCGCCAAATCAACGACGGTAGCCAGCCCGCAGAGACAGGACAGCGATGCACGCAGATTGTCTTCGAAGCTTGGATGAAGAACATTGTCCTAACCCGGACCAGCTGCGTCGAGAGCAAATTCGGATGGACGTACGTCGGCCACGAGGAGACCAGGGATGGGATCGCGACTACATTCGTCGATCAGGCTGGCGTGAGGCATGTCATCCGGAGCAAGTATCTCGTTGCCTGCGATGGCGGTGGCAGTCGTGTGCGAAAAGAGGCTGGTATTAAGATGATTGGGGGTCCTATGTTAGTTTCATCCGCAGTTCAAAGATTATTCGTGTCTGTTTTGTTCTAACTGTCCAAGGCCCCTTCGACTACACCTCGTCCATTTCAAATCGCAGGAGCTTGCACGTGAGCTCAACGGCAGACGCTTCTGGCATGCATTCCCCATCCACGGAGGATTCCTGATCGACCAAGATGGTCGCGATACCTTCACGGCCCATCTTGCAGTCGACCAACTCCCCCCCGGGCCCATCGACCCGTACGAACTTGTCTACCGCGTTTTGGGCGGATTCGGCCAGAAGCATGAGATCAAGATCGACGAGGTCCTTGTTCACAGCGAATGGAACCCAAATTTTGGCGTTGCCGAGCGCTATCACAGCGAGAGTTTGAAGGTCTTTCTTGCTGGCGATGCAGGTTAGTGCCCCCTGTCCTAGACGTATCCGTAGCATTCTAGAGATCATCGGCATCTAACCAGTGATATAGCCCACCGCAGCCCACCCCACGGCGGCTACGGCATGAACAGCGGCGTAGCAGATGCATTCGACCTCGGCTGGCGACTCTCAGCTCTTCTCAAAGGCTATGGTGGTGGTCTACTCCTCCAATCATACGACCTCGAACGTCGACCGATGATGATCAAAGCCCTAAAGCGATCCCACCGCCACGCAATGGAGCACGTCAAGTTCCACGCAATGCTACCAGCAGATCGCACCGTGCTTGAGCAAGAAATCCCCGAAACCGAAACCCTCTGCCGCCGGATCCGAGATTTTCTCACCGCGTCCGGCCCGGACACTATCGACCGTGGCGTCGAGCTCGACCTCCGATACCACTCGCCCGTCATCTATCAGGACGGTTCGCCCGAGAGAAAGTGGTCCCCTAGACGATACGTCCCCAGCACGCGGCCTGGTTCTCGCGTGCCCCATGTGCTCCTCCGGGATGGCACGACGAGCACTTACGATCTGTTGGGCCGCGAGTGGACCCTCGTCCACTTCGTTGATGGTGATGACGACTCCTCCGCCAGCGAGGTCTTCTCTGTCACCGCTTACCAGATCTCCTTCCCCCTTAAGCGAGTCATCCTGCGCAACGAGCCCCACGCCCGCCGCATCTGGGAGAAGCCGCTTGTTCTGGTCCGTCCGGACACGCACGTCGCTTGGAGAGGCACGGAGGAAGATCTGGCGCGCCAGGATGTGATGGACATTTTGAGCGTGGTTTCAGGGAATGTGTCCTTCAGTGGGTATGAGCCAATGTCTGAGGTTTATGTGGAGGATTTCAAGAAGCTGGTGGCGCCGTTTTGGTCGGGCGATGAGAACGCTGATTCGCAGGCTAGTATTGCAGGGGAGGATTTTTGAGGGTTGATATGTATGTATGGATATCAAGACCCTACCACCCTCCAATTAGACTTTTTATTCCAGTGGTCAGATAAGACATGCGAACAGTCCGAAATCCAATTTAGTAGTGATACTTGACCACTGTGCATGCTCTATAGTCTGTGCAGTAAGACCCACAGCGAAAATATCCAATAAACAACCGTTCAATACAGATTGCGTCCAGTTTCCATCACGATCTCTCGATGAGCTCACATAACTGACCTTTTGCGGATAAAGGTTTCCGAATTTCAAGTGGATTGATAGGTTGTCATCCTTGCATATACATGCAGGTTAATGAGGATGTTGGAGGCATGAGGACATCGTCAATAAACACGACCGTTGACTTTCTGGGGATCGGTGAATGTTCTGCTGAATCCTCACTTACGGAGGGAACGGACTCAATCTTGCCAACATCTGGATGATTCGTGAATAAAGGCAGAAGAGCAATCTTTGATCATTTGTATCCAACAATCGCATCATCAAGACGATAATCGCATCAACACGCGATGTAACCTGCACCATCCCAGCTAGCTCGTTCGGACCAAATAATCCAATGGTGCGATTCTTGTTCTTTAAGACGAGTTGGTTTATCTCCTAGTAGAAAGCTTGATATCCTGGTCTGTCTTTATAACCCCGCCCCTCCCAGCTTCTCTGCAGACTTTACTCTGGCCTCTGCTAGGTTAACTTCCGACCATGGTCAACATGACGGGCCATCCCAAGGGTCCCGTTTCGAGACGCATAGGGAAATCTGACAATGTCAAGATAGACACCAAGAAAGAGGCGCAGGTTGTGCCTCATGAAGTCGATGGTGCCCATGAACTGGATGGGGAAGACGGGCCTCCACGAGAGGGCGATACTCACTATGTCAAAGGACATCCGGTCATTCGCAATGGTAGACACCCCAACCCTCTACGGAACGCAGCTAATTAAACAGGCGCCGATGTCTCCAAGTATATTGTATCGGTGCGCGATGATGGCGATCCGGCCCTGACCTTTCGTTCTATCGTCTTGGGCTCCGCGTTCACTGCCCTTTCCAGTGTCATCACGATGCTGTACACCTTCAAGCCCATCCAGATGCAGGTCTCGGCGGTCTTTTTGCAGCGTATGTTTTCAATATACTGAACTCTCTTGTCTTTGTCTCACTGTACTAGTCCTGGTTTACGTGTTTGGGGAAGCATGGGCCATGTGTACGCCCCGTCCGGAGCGGTTTCGATCGACTGGGCTGCAAAAAGTCCTGCGCTTTCTGAATTTTGGCCAACCGTTCGGCATCAAGGAGCATGTGGTGGCTGCGCTGATCGCGTCTTCGGGAAACAACGGGCTGAATGGAGTCGAAGTCTACGCCATCGAGAGGCTGTTCTACGACCGAAGCGTGTCCGCCACGACCGCCGTGCTAGGCACATTCTCCATGGCCCTCTGCGGATTCGTCCTGGCCGGCGTCCTGCGCGCGCTGATTGTGTATCCCTCCGAGATGGTTTACTGGTCGACCCTACCCCAGGTCGTGCTCTACCAGAACCTGCATTTCGACCGCAGCGCCAACAAGGCGCGTCTCGCCAAGTTCGGATGGGCGCTGGGACTGGCTGCTATCTGGGAGCTCTTCCCTGCGTACATAGTCACCTGGTTGAGTGGATTTTCGGTCGCCTGTCTGGCGTCCATGCGCGCCCCGCAGGGCACTCGCACGGTGCTGACCACGATCTTCGGAGGCGCCTCCTCGAATGAAGGACTGGGGCTGATGAATTTCGGCCTCGACTGGCAGTATATTCAGAGCACGTATCTCTCTCTGCCGCTCAAGCAGCAACTCAACACCTGGATTGGCTACATCATCTACTATCCGTCCTTGCTGGGCCTGTACTACAGCAACGCGTGGAGCGCCAAAAGCTTCCCATTCATGTCGACCTCGCTCTTCCTCGCCAACGGCACTCAAATGTCCACCACCTCGATCCTCAACGACCGCGGCACCGTCGACTACGCCAAACTCCAGGAGATCGGCCTGCCCTATCTCACCTCGTCCACAGTCTGGGGCTACTTCACCGCCAACCTCGCCATCGGCGCCCTCATCGCGCACGTCCTCATCTTCTTCACCAAAGACATGCGCCAGTCCTGGACGCAAGCCCGCACACACACCCAGCCCGACCCCCACTACCAAGCAATGCGCCGCTACAAGGAAGTGCCCATGTGGTGGTACCTCGCACTATTCATCCTCGCCTTCGTCGCGGGCCTCATCGTAAACATCAAAGGCGAAACGACCCTCTCCGTCTGGGGGTACATCATCGCGCTCCTTCTAGGCGCCTTCATCGCGCCCTTCTCCTGCGTCCTCTACGGCCTCTACGGCGTCGGCGTCGCCACCAACCAGCTCTCCAAAATGGTCGGCGGCGCCATCCACCCCGGCCGCCCCCTCGCCAACCTCTACTTCGCCAGCTGGTCCCACCAAGTCATCCTCCTCTCCGTCAACCTCTCCAACTGGCTCAAGATCGGCCAGTACACCAAAGTCCCGCACCGCACCATGTTCGCCACCCAAATCTACGGCACCCTCCTCGGCGCAGGCCTCAACTACGCCGTCATGACCACCATCGTCACCAACCAGCGCGCCATTCTCCTCGACCCCACTGGGAACTCCGTCTGGAGCGGCTCCAACGTCCAGTCCCTCAACTCCCAGGCTATCACCTGGGCCCTCGCAAAGGAAGTCTACGGCCCCAGCGGCAGATACCTTCTCGTCCCCCTGGGCCTGCTCATCGGCCTCGCCCTCCCCGCCTTCCACTGGGTGCTCCTCAGACTCTTCCCGCGCCTGCGCGATATCCACCTCAACACGGCTATCATTGCCGCCTCTGCAGGCTTGTACTACTATGGGACGACTGCGTGGATCTCGTCGAGTATTGCTGTCGGCTTGTTCTCGCAGTTTTGGCTGCGTCGTCGTATGCCGGCTGTGTACAACAAGTATAATTATCTGATTGGGGCTGCGTTGGATGGTGGCTCGCAGATTGTTATCTTTATTCTGTCGTTTGCGGTGTTTGGTGCGAGTGGGCAGGAGAGGCCGTTTCCTACCTGGTGGGGGAGTCCGCAGGGGCATGCTGATCATTGTTTATGAGATTATAGGCTCTTTCACCAAGGGATATGTGAGAGCATAGCCCAGGAATAGATTCGATGCTTCAGGATGACACTGGGCAAGTCACACGCAGATATGCCAAGGATGATGACAACAGCCAGATACGACCTGTGTTATAATGTCCGACAAGGCTGACCAGCCCAAGTAGGCTAGATGCGGGGATTCACCGTAGAAATGGTATATCAGATCTCGTATGATTCCCTCCAGGAGCGCAACCGATCTCAACTACAGCACCAGCAAACTAACTAAGATGCCGCCCATCTACAACTCCGCCATGGGAGCCAAATCCCCCGCCGTGCTGCAGCACCCAGCCCTAGCACAGTACCCTCCAGCAGAGCGCATCCGCAGACTCCTAGCGCAGCCACTCTTGGCTTCGCTAATGGATCCCAGAGAGACCATAGTCTTCCCAGAAGAACAAATGCTCTGTCCGGTCTGCTGCAACCTCGACCCGCGACGAGCGGCATCCGACGACGGCAATTTCGAGAGCAGGCATGGGCGCGAGCCGAATACTGGATCCCCGATGATGCCTTCGTCGCCATCGTCGAGCTCAATACGCCCATGAAACTCCTCGAGTCTGCTCGGAATGGATGCTTCTTTTGTCCTATTGTTGCCTCGGCGCTGGGAGCTATCCACCCCGGGTGGAAGGCTGAGGGAACCTTTCTGGACATCTTTCTGGCGAGTGGGCTCCCTGTCGTTGTGAGTCTGCAGTTTGGCACCAGGAGTACCGAGATCTCGGGCGGACGGGCGATGATGGGGTCTGGGCTTCATTTACCGCTAGATATATCTATAATGAGCATGAGCTGCTTGAATAGGCTGTACGTCTTATAGTCAATACATTTAATTATTTACATATATATAGATATATGGGTTATATGTATCTCTAATTAAATATAAATAGCTGATGATGACTTACCCAAAAGAGTGCCCGATACTTGGCATTCAGATCTCTAACCCTAACCAGCCCGTATATAACCATCCAGCCCACTATACCTTCTTTGACTCTTACACACATTTGCACTCATTCCAACCTCAGTATATCCACCATGACAGACAAATCTATCGCCTCAGAGGTTCTCGCCCAGTTCGCAGACACCCCATACGCCTGCACCAGCCTCACCAAGCTGAGTGGAGGAACCGGCAACTTTGTCTATCGAGGTTCTCTGCGACATGCGCTGCCTGATGGCACCGACACGGTTGTTTTCAAACATGCAAAGGACTATTTGGCGTCGAATCGAGAGTTTAAACTCTCTCCAGAGCGATGTGTAATGATATTTACCTACCCTGTTTCTCATACAGAACTAATACAGTCCAGCTCATCGAAGAAAACGCCTTACGATCACTGAATGATTTCCCCGAGTCCACAAACACAGATAGCGCAGAAGAAACCCCCCACATCACCGTCCGAACTCCCCACCTGCTCACTTCCCGCCCAGACACCTTCACTCTAGTGCTAGAATGTCTCCCCAACGCCACAGACCTCAAATCCCTCCTCGTCAGCGCACCGGATGCCTTGTCCCGTCCCCACGCCGTCGCTATCGGCCGCGCACTTGGTATCTGGCTCGGGTCATTTCACGCCTGGTCGGCAGCGTCGGCGCAGACTGCGCTCGCGACGCAGCTCGAGAAGAATCATCTCATGCGCGACTTGAAGTTCTCCATCAACTATGACGGTATCGTCCGCATGGTAGATTCTCGTCCAGAAATATTGGGCGAGAGTCGCGCTGTGTTCGAGCAGGTGCGCGATATGGCTGCTGCGGAGGTGGGAAAGACTGGGGGGGAGGGGGTTGGGCCTATACATGGGGATTTCTGGTCGGGGAAGTATGTATCTTTTATTTCTCTTTTGCTCCTCTCGGTCTATCTCTCGCTCTCTCTGTTTGACTCTAACTAACAATACGAACAGTATCCTCCTCCCCAAATCAACACCCACCACCACAACCCTCCTAGTCACAGACTGGGAACTCACCCACGTCGGCCCCCGCGCCCTCGACCTCGCCCAAATGCTCGCCGAGCTATACCAGCTCAAACACTTCAAAAACATCGACGCGGGCGAGTGGATCGCCCGCGCTTTTATCGAAGCTTACCCCCCGCTGAGCGACGACATGGCGTTCCGGACGCTGATCCACGTTGGTGTTCATTTTGTTTTCTGGGGAAGTGTTGTTCCCGGCTGGGGGGATGAGGAGCAGGTTGAGGGGATTGTGCGGTTGGGGAGGGATTTGATTGTGAATGCGTGGGGGAGGGAGAGGGGTTTCTTTGAGGGGACACTGTGGGGTTGTCTTTTTCGGGGGACTTAGTTTGTAGTTGACTATTACAAAGCTTGTGGCTTAGTTTATAGTTGTTAAGTGAGTGGTGGGTTCAATACTGCTTTAATCTTTTTTAAAATGGTTCGATGTTCGATGGTCTATCGCTCTATATGCCGACATGTATATATATGTTGAATCAGACTCCAGGCAGAACTACCCCCATTCTTCACATCACAGCTTCGAGCGGAAAACACTCCGTAGCGGCTCCAGGCCCGACGGTCCATCGTATATCTGTTGCTCTACCAGACGGGTATTTATCTGGAAACTCCGTTAGCTCTGCATCCTGACAATATATCGAGGTATTGACGTACGTGCTGCGGTCCCAGATCTTCCACCCTCTCCACTCCCAGTAACCGCATAGCGGTCTTGGTCTCGTCGGACAGAACTAGACAGGTTAGTCACTGAAAATCCTATACCGTGATGGGTGACATACTCTGAAGCGTTCGCTTGACTCCCTCGGCTCCCCCAGCACCTAAGCCCCACAGCGCAGGACGGCCAACCCCCACGGCTCTAGCGCCTAAACAAAGAGCTTTGACGACGTCCGTCCCCCGTCGGATACCACCGTCAACCAGCACCTCGAGCTTGTCAAACACCTCCGGGCAGTACTTCCTGATCTCCATCAGAGTGTGCACCGCCGGCGGGGCCGTGTCCATCGCTCGTCCGCCGTGGTTCGACAAGATAATGCCCTTCACTTGCGGCGTGTGCAACGACGCGATGTACGCGTCCTCGTGCGTCTGCAGCCCCTTCAACACGATCGGTAAATGCGTATGCTTAGCCAGCCACGGCAGCGTCTCCCGCCAGTTGAGCGACGGGTCCGTCCCCGCGAAAAGCTGTCTCCCCACGCCGCCGCCTCCCTGGTTGGGTCCTCCTTCCCCAGCCTTGTCAGCGGCGACGGTCGCGCTGGGCACGGGCGCAGACGCCCCGACCGTGTTGCGCCGCTCGTCGTCCTCCCGCTTCCCCGGCACGGGCGCGTCCAGCGTGAGCACGACGAACTTGATCTCGGGGATCTTGTTGATGCGCGCCAGCGAGGCCTTGCTCTTCTTGCGGTCGATCTGCACGTAAATCTGCCACCCGAATGTCTGGCCGGGCGCCGCGTTCTTGACGATCTGCTCCGGCGTCATGGACGAGTTGTGCGAGATGATCTGCATTCCGCCGAAGTCGCGACAGGCTTCCGCGATGCCGGCTTCGCCGGCGGGGTGCGCCAGACGGGCCATGGCGGCGGGCGATACGTAGATGGGCATGCCGAGCTTGTTGCCGAGAACGGTGGTGTCCAGGTCGCATTTGGTGCAGTCGATGAAGACGCGCGGGCGGAGGAGGATGGAGCGGTAGACTTCGGTGTTGAAGCGCTTCGAGATCTTGTCGTCTGATGCGGAGTAGTAGTAGGCCCAGGCCTTGTTGCTGACTGTCTTGGTAGCGACCTCTTCGATGTCGTCCATGTTGAGGAGGGATTCCATGGGGGGTGGGCCCTCCTGCTGCTGTGCCGCCGGCTCCGCTTGCACCTTGGGGAGGGTGTCGGGGTTGACTGTGCCTAGCAATTGCTCGGGTTTGAGGTTCTCCTCTAGGGTTCCTGGCGGGTGGACGGGGTCGTAGTCTTCGGTGGCATCTTTCCCGGCGAGCTTGAGGATGATCTTGGCGCCGCCTGGGTGGTCGTAGATAAAGCTCGTTACGTCGTATACTTTGCCATAGAGAATGACCCAGCAGCTTTCGGGGGTGTTATGTTTTGCGACTTGATGGGAAATGGATCAGTGGAAGCCAGTTGATCTGTTAATAACGAGGCTTACCTTCGGCGGCATCAAAGACTTTGGTCATGATGAAGAGAAGCCAATCAATTGAATTGATTACGGAGGGGAGGAAAAGAATCAAATTGACCAGGAATAGAGAACATTGAAATATCTGTCCATCAAATGCGTTCCACTTTATAGGCCGATTCAAGCAGACCGGAGTCAAGTCCGAGTGTGGGGAAACTCCAAGAATGGGGGGATGGAGTACCTCAGGCTAGTAAGCATCTGTTATCATGTAGAGGTACGGGGTATATGGTATTGTATTGAATACGCCTGACTCGGGGCTGACCGAGTCATGCTTACAGAAAACACAGCCGTGATTCGTGGATAATTGAAATATAATGCCATACACTGTAATACAGTCTGTACGATACGATACGGTGCAACCTGACATCACGAGATCCGTCGATTCTCACCTCGTCATCTGCTCTGTCGCATCTCTCTCAGGCTGTGATATCTCGTCTTTCTCGCGTTTCAGCGTCTTCTCTTACAAGTTTCTTCTTTATGATAGTATCTTTACATTACTGTTACCTTTCTGATATCTATCCTCGGCCGTCCCGTTTACCTACCTTGACTCAACCGGAGGCACTCCTATCAACCTGACCTAGCCGGTCGCGACCTGTTATTCAACAACGCTGTACATACTGCCACTCAGTTGGTAGACCGTCACCATGTTCGAGGTGCGTTGGAGTGGGAGTCATCCTCAGTCCCCTTCATTTATCACCCTCGTTCTGCCACCCTGTAACTGGCTGGGATCATCATCCAACGATCTAACCCTCTGCAGCGCGGCGTAGCGGATCGTTATCGTCTTCGAATGCACCGGGCTCGCACGGTGGCCCTGACGTCGGACGAAATCGTCGAGGTGCGAGCGGCCCAGCGGACCTTCGAGGGGGCCTACGTGCGCACGGCGCTGTCGCAGTTCTCCTTCGCCCTGGTCGTGCTGAAGATCTTCACGAGCGAATTCTACAGCACCGGTGCCCTGTTCGCCATCTACGGCACTGGAATCCTTGTTATTGGTCTCTTTCGCCGCCAGCAGGGCAATCGACAGTTCTTTTCCGAGGTGGGCGAGGACGGGGTGCGTCGACATAAGTTTAGGACCAGTGGGAATGCGGTGATCGTCTTGACTGCTCTCAGTGTTGCGGCTTATGCAACGCTTATCGGACTCACCGTGCGATTACAACATTGACGGCGACGAGAACCACATACTACTACTTCTACTCCTGTATATAGCGATGTTTGGGTCTCTGGACGAGTGATGCGTAACTGGCATAACTGCCAAGCGCCAAGACTACCCGCAAAGGACGACAGGGCTCCGGACGACCCACCCGGCTTGGCCCACTACAGATGACCGACGGGGTACGGTGCTAAAGAGTAAAGACAACGGAGCGGACGAAGCCAGAGTTGACAAACTCCGGTTCCAGCCAAATTAACCGTGAGGATGGACCACCGTGCTCGAAAGGGGAGGGGACAGTCACACAGGGGACGCCTTACTTCCACCCCAGATTTGTAGTTCGTTGATGTGATCTCAACGAAAAAAAGCCACCGTCCCTCCAGACAAGCACGGCGCCAAGATGATGGTTGAACCAGGTGCAGGGGTGGTCGCGACGGAAGGTTTCCAGTCTATTCTCTCCTAGTCCCCGCAGGTTCTTGTGATTGATGATTGTTTAATTAAATGAGTGCTCGACAGTGTGTTTGACAACTGTGGCTGCTTGCTCTTATGGAAGTATCTGTCTAAATACAGTAGTGAGATGGCCAGGAACTGTTGGGACCATCCATTCATCTCATCCTGCACCATCTGTATATTCTTGATATCTGTTCCCTGATCTTCAAACTCAACCATCCATGGTTTGTTGTGCCAAGCCATCTGGACCATCACGGGTGTTTGTCGGGCAGTTGAGCCAAGCCAAGTCACCTTAAAATAATGTTATATTTTCTATCCCTTCATGAATCTCACGACGGTCGAGAATTCAGTCGCAAGGGGTATTCTCACATCCAAGGTAATGAAACCCTCCGAGGTCACCATGTGGACTCCACCTCGGGAACATTTTGGACATGATTGACATCATTCATCCATGATTCTGGTCGATCAACGCCCGTCGGGAGATCCACCGCGTGCAAGTCCAGCGCAGTGACTTCATCGGGCGGGTGGGCTGTTTTCTTCAGCCGGGATGGGGAGATTATAAGATTTCGACTCTTTCGACTCTTTCGGTTGCTATATTTAATCTCTTCTGCTCCTGATTTTCCTCGAGGGTGTGATTGTTCCTTGATTGTCTCGCCTCCTCGCCTCTCCCTTGGGCATCACGTTGTTTGTTGACTCGACCACCACTGTTGACTTCGGTTTGTGTGGTGTTTTCCTGTTTCTTATTTATACCCCCTGGAAAAGAAGCCATTATCTCATTGTGATCTCAATCCTTTGAACCGAATTGGGGTTGGATTGAGTAAGCTCCGTTCACAGCCAGTTTTTGGTGTTGGAGCTTGAACTTGAGTCATCCCGCCGTCCCGCCGTGGATCTTTGGATCTTTTCTCGTCATTTTCTTTCCCCTCCCTTGTTTTCTCCCTTCCTCTTCTTCCTTTCAACGTTCTGAAACCGACCTCGATCAATATTACCGTTAGACAGTCGTTGCTGAAAGTCCGGAATTCCTGCTTTCTGCTTATACCCTGACGGTCGACACATCATTTGTTTACTTTTTTTTTTTTTTCAAAGTTCTTGCTGCTTCTGTGCAGGAACTCGTTCCAACTCATCCCTCTTACGTCGTTGCTGCAGTGCTGCGCCACCCAATTGGGGATGGCTCAACATAGCAACATCGCTCGGACTGCAATCATGTCGAATGCTACCAATCCCAGTTCTTCTCATGATTCCTCTTCCGCTACCTCCAATGGGGTGCCTCCGACCGGAAAGCCTAGGCCGGATGGGGCCCACGACTCCTCGCTGATGCCCCCGTCCAAGACCGTGGCTGGTCGAGCGCTAGGGAACGAGCTGCATTCCGAAAGCCTCAAACCCCCGTCGGCGGACGATGGCGTGGGGATCGCCTTGACGGATACTCCGGTTTCTACCGCTCCGTCGTCTCCGCAGATGTAAGTACATGCACGTCATTCCTCGTCAGGCACTTGTCCGTTGTCTTCCTCTTGTTTTCTTCATGTCCTGTCGGAGGTCGACAAGGTCGATCCCTCACTTTGAAACGGATCAGCGGTTGACGGTCCGTCTGATCCCGCACGCAACCCCTCTTCCCCCGCTGCCTTGTGCGCTCTTTCTTTTCGTAGCGTCAATAACTCCGCATTCTTCATACTCAATTCATTCTCTCTATTTCCATCTTCCCTGTGATTCCGGTCTCCACATCTTCTGTCTCCAGGTGACAAGCGAGGATGCTGACCCGTGTCCTCTCCCTAGTAATGCCAGCAATCAGGCCTCCACGCCGGGCTCGGGCCGTCTGCGTGCCACCACGCTGGACATCCCAGGTCTCACCAAATCCAAAGTATCTCCCGATGGCCGTATCGCCCAGCGGGATCTCGGCTCGAAGTTGGTGGTTGTAATGGTCGGTCTGCCCGCGCGCGGCAAGAGTTACGTCACCAAGAAGCTGGCCCGCTATCTCAACTGGCTGCAACACGATACCGAGATCTTCAACGTCGGTGAACGGCGTCGCGTGGCGGCCGGCAAGTCCCCCACTCCGGCCAAGCCGCGCGACCACCGGAAAAGCTCCGTGCACAAGGATCTCATCGATTCCGTGCGTCGCCTGAGTGTGAGCGTCAACAGTAAGAATCGCACGCCGTCCCGCCGCCAGACCTCTCCGCCCGAGATCGATCCACAACGCGCCTCGATTCCCTTCGCCCAGGCGAAGATCCTGGTCAACGGCAAAGAGGCCGAAGTTGAAGAAGAAGCCGTCTCCGCGGAGCCTAGCAACATCCTGCCGCCGACGGGCGGGGCAGCTCCCGAGCGCGTGGAGAGCCCAGAAGGCACGGATGGTCCTCCCGAGCCCATCGAGCAGTCCGCCGATTTCTTCGACCCCAACAACCAGGATGCCGTGCGGGTGCGGGAGTTGGTGGCCCTCGACACGCTGGACGAGCTCTTGGACTACGTCATGGATCAGGGCGGCAGCGTGGGCATCCTGGATGCCACCAACAGCACCATGGAGCGTCGCAAGGCGATCGTCGATCACATTCGGGAGCGCGCAGGTTCCGAGCTGAACATCCTCTTCCTCGAGAGCAGCTGCGTGGATCCAGAGCTGCTGGAGGGGAACATGCGCTTGAAGCTGTCGGGTCCCGACTACCGAGACAAGGACCCGGTCAAGGCCCTGGAAGACTTCAAGAAGCGTGTCCAACTGTACGAGAAGTCGTACGTGCCGCTCGGCGAATACGAGGAGCGCCACAATATGGCGTATATCCAGATGATCGACGTGGGCCGCAAGGTCGTCTCGCATCAGACCCACGGCTTCCTCTCGTCCCAGATCGTCTACTACCTGCTGAACTTCAACCTCTCGCCGCGTCTGCTCTGGATCACCCGGCACGGGGAGAGTAAGGATAACCAGGCTGGTCGCATCGGTGGCGACTCCGAGATGAGCGAGAACGGCCATCGGTATGGAAGGGCGCTGAGTCGCTTCATCGACTACAAACGCAAGGAATGGGAGTCCCACCAACGGCAAAAGGAAGCCATGCAGCAATTTCCCCCGCGCCCCGGCGACAGCACGCCCCCTAATCCGTCCTACATCCCGCGCGATCAGCCTCGCAATTTCTGCGTCTGGTCGTCGATGTTGAAGCGGTCGATCCAGACGGTGGATTACTTCAACGAGGAAGACTACGACGTCAAGCAGATGAAGATGCTCGACGAGCTCTACGCCGGCAAGATGGAGGATATGACGTACGACGAGATCCGCGAGAAGTACCCGGAGGAGTACGCGGCGCGGAAGAAGAACAAGCTCTTCTACCGGTATCCCGGCCCCGGCGGCGAGGGATACCTGGACGTCATCAACCGATTGCGGGCGGTGATCATCGAGGTGGAGCGCACGACGGACCACGTGCTCCTCGTCACTCACCGGTCGTGTTCCCGTGTGCTGCTGGCGTACTTCCTGGGCCTGAAGCGCGACGAGGTGGCCGACTTGGAAGTGCCGTTGGGTATGCTGTACATGTTGGAGCCGAAACCGTATGGAGTGGAATTCCGCGCCTACCGCTACAATCCTGACAAGGACTGGTTTGACCATATCCCGGGCTTCACGCTTCGCCAGTCGAGTACTTATTAACCGGATCCCCATCTCCCAGTCCCTTGTGTTTGTAATGACTGTTAATGACCTGATGTGTTCTTTATTGTTCTCGTGGTCTGGCGTCATTGCCGGATGGACCTACCTCGCGATGACAACCCAGCGTGTCTTTCTTCCTTTCTCTTGCTTTCTTCCTTTCTCGCTTCATTTATTTTCTGTCTTTTTGGGGGTTATCTGTACGGTCGCGTGTCTTGATCTTGCATTTTACCGGCGTTCCCCGAGATTTGTACGCTGTTTGGAGGTTCCGTGGGATATGATCTCGTCCAGTCTTGGGCATGCCCTCAAATGTTGCAAGGGCGAATAACACGAGAGCGATTCCCACCGTCAGCAAAAGACAAGTGATTGTATACTTAGTTTAGGTTAGGTCAAGTCAAATTACTTAGGGTTCGCTAGAATCAATCCAACCCCATCACAGCTCCGCCACCTTTTCAAAGATCTCCAAGAAAGCGGCCGGCTCCTCCGCCCCTTCAACCACATACCGATCTTGAATCGTAAAAAAGGGCACACCCGACACTAGCTGTCCGCGCGCCTTCTCCGCCTCCGCATCCACTTCTTTTCCCCCCTCCTCACCCGCGAGGAACTTCTCCACTGCGGCGGTATCCAATCCCGCAGCCGCAGCAGCCTCAACCAGGACCCCCCGATCCGTAATATTCTTCTCTTCCTCGAAATACGCCTTGAATAGCGCCTCCACTACCCTCGTCTGCAATCCCCCAACCTCCCCGTCCGCCTTCCCCTTCACGGCAGCAGCGGTGGTAGACGAAGTCCCCTCCAACCCCCCCGCATACCACACCAACCGATGCGCATCCCTCGTCTTCCCCGTCCTCCCCCCAAACCGGAACTTGATCCCCTCGTTCTCCCCAACAGCCGCCAACCGGGCGAAGATGGCTGCCGTGCGGTCTGCGCCGAACTTGGCGGAGTAGTGTTCTGTTTTGGGGAAGCCCGGGTAGGCCGGTGCCGTGGGGTTTAGGTAGAAGGCGTGCCAGGTGAGGGTGAAAGTGGTGGTTGGATGGGTGGCTTTGTGGGTGGTTATTGCGTTGGTGAGGCGGCGGAGGCCGATGTAGCACCACTTTTTGTTTGTTAGTTCTTGTAGGTTGAGAGAGGAGCGGATGGATGTAGTATATTCTTTCAGGAAGTGTTGTTCATGTTGGCTAGTGTAGTGGGAAGGGAGGGGAAACGTACCGGACACACGGCGTCGGAGATGATGGAGATGCTGATGTTGGTCATGATGCTCTATACTCTAGTTATGCAGATACAGGACTGAATAGAGCAGATAGAAGCAAGGTACTCAAAACGCTTCATACATCTATTATAGTCCAGATGTCGATGTAGAATTTGTCAGCAGCATTGATACAAGACCCACCATGACATCATCATCCTCAGGATCGGCACTGGGATCGACTCCGGGGAAGCTTTATCAGATACCGATATCAATCTATTCAATCTATATTCTGTCTTCAATGGGATATTAGGATGTCATTGAGAAAAATTATCAACAGATCGCCTATGTACATTATCCTCCTCATCCCCCACACCAGAAACAGATAGAAAAACCCAATGATCGAATCCCTCCTAATCAAATGCCACAACGCAATCTGGTCCCTCCTCCACGCCATCATCCTCGACATCCCCCCAACCAGACTTCCCCTCTTCCCCGCCCTAGCAGGCTCAGTCTGGTTCTTGACGCTCGCGTCTTTGCTCCTCACGTGGATCGCCCGTGGCATGCCGCGGTATCCGGGGCAGAGTAATCCGCATGTCGCGTTTGTACACCCTTTCGGAGTAGACGTGGGGTGTGAATAGGTATGCTGATAGGATTGTAGGTTTATCTCGGATATTGCGTCCTTTGAGCTCAAACCGCTGTTTCTTATTGGAACTTCCATGACTGCTGTCGGGTTCTTACTGACTGTCGCTGCTGTCCACGTCGTTTACTATGAGCCGGGGTTTGCCCTGGCGCGGGCGAGAGCGAGAGCGAGAGCGAGAGATACCCCCGTGCTATCTCCCCAGCTTGAGAGGGCCCTAAGCAACGATGCCCATGCCCCCTCCATAACCACCTGCTCTTCAACACGCACCCAGTCTATCGGCATCCCCGAAGAGGGGCCCCAAGAATTCGAAGAAAGAGAAGATGACCCCACAACCCGCACCCTAAAACTCATCTCCCTCCTCGCCATCCTCGCAGCCAGCACAGCCAGCACCGCGCTCATCCTCCTCGGCGTGATGGACACCTTCCGTTACAAGACGCTGCACCACTTCTTCCTCCGACTGTGTTTCGCCGGTCTGGCGATTCAATCTACCTGTACGGCTATTGTGTATGCTGATGAGGTGCTTGATTTTGTTGCTTACCTGTGTCATGGGGCACGGTGGCAGAGTTATACCGGAAAGAGGAATCCGAGGGTTAGGGTTTTGTATGTTCTCTTCCTATTGCTATCTTTTTTATTTATATTTTTTTTCTATGAGGGAACCAAGAATAAGGGTGCATGGCTTTGGCTAATGATAGCAGTGCCTCCCTCTCAACGGCACTCATCCTCGTCGAGCTCACCCTCGGCGTCGTCTTCCTCTCGCTGATCGTCCCTGACGACGCACAGTATCGCACGGCTGGAATCCTAGAGTGGGTGATTGCCTTCCTCGGCACGGTTTACCTGTGGTTGTTTTGTGGGTTTTTGGATAGGTATTTCTCCTCCCCTTCCCCGTTCTTCGTTCATCATACTCACCCACCACACACTGTGCACTGCATATATGGATTGACTAACGCATAACATAGTGCAACCCTCGAAACCCTCGTCCCGAGCGCTCTTTACATTTCCCCCGAGCAGGGGAGATTGTCTATACCAGGCGAAGGGGGGTTGGCTGGGTCTGTTGAAGGGCAGGGAAATAGAGTAGAGGGTGAGAGGGCGCCGCTGCTCCATCCCGCCGTGAATAGAAAATATACGTGATGTGAACGTCTCCTTTTGGGTTTGTGTGGGCTGTAGATGTGTTTATTTGCACTAGTGACTGTCATTTGCCGAAGTGATGTAGTATCTAGTATTTCTTAATACTGGGGAAAGAAGGTATGGCACTTATACCCCATCTTGCTATCATATTAATGTTCATATCATGCATTGGCTGTACCAGGATTAAAGAACGAACGCCGTGAGATCATGCTTGTAATAGAATTTGCCATTTTTACAGAACCCGAACGATGGTTAATATACCGACTGATGGCAGTTAAGGTTTGAATGATACAAAAATAAAAAAGGGAGAGAAAAAATCAGAGATGATCACCCTGCACGACAAGTTGCGGCATGTCGGCGCCCGGCTGATTTCCGCGAAGCTTGTCGAGTGTGGAGCTGTACTATATGTAGATGTGAGCAGCTGAAGGATGGATCAGAGTAATATGGTCATACCTTGAAAACAAAGTTCAGGACTAGCGCCACCGCCAGTCCAATGCACACCACGATTGGCCCGAAGGTGTTGTCCAGATCACGTCCGCTGCGCGCTCGGATGAGTCGGGACCGTTTCTCGTACATGAACCAGCCCCAGGCGGCGGCGAAGATGGCGAAGATCGTGTAGACGATGGACAAGGCGCGCGCGATATCGTTGTGCTGTCCGGCTGCGTTGTACAAGCCGAGAGACAGGGTGGACAGCAGAATGCTGATGTGCAGCCACTTGATGAACGTCCGCTGGTTCGCCAGCCACACTTTAGACTCCACGCGGACCGGCCCCGAATCCTTGATCCATGTGCCTGGGTCCCGGACCCCGGGTGGCAGCACAGCGTCGTCTTGGTTGGCGCGGTTGGCGCGAGATGTGGGGAGTGACGGAAAGTAAGAGGTTATCCGGGAGAGCGAGGCCGGCTGCTGCTCGTCGGTTGGTCCGAGCAACTTGGGACGTTCCGCGGGCCCCGACAGGGACGGTCTAGCAGATGGTGAGAGAACCTGTGTCGGTCTACGGGACATCCTCGGAGAGCCGGGGTCCGAGAGTAGTCGGGGGATGGACGACCCCAGGATGGGTCGAACGGGTGGACTGCCCTTGCTCCCCAGGAAGCTACCCATAGCCATATCGTCTGCTGCACGCTTCGCAAGGCGCTCTTGTTCCTCGTGGAATGCGGTCTCGGGATCCCGCCGGATGTCGCTCTCCAGCTCGCCCAGCCAGAAGGGAAAGCTGTTCACGTAGTCTTCAAATAGTTGAGCCACACCGTGGACGAATTTCGAAAAGCGAGGCGCCTCCTTGACCAGATGCGAGAACATCAGGTCTTGGACCCACTCGGCGTTGTGAGCAGAGTTCCCGCGTAGCTTGATCTCCAGCAGTGCATATGGGAATCGCGCGATCTCACCCGTTTTGATGGAGCTAAACGGGTATTCCATGCCCACATCATCGATATCCCTGCGGTGCCATTGGCTGGGATCGCGACACGGCCGCTCTTGGTCCAGCGAGTCCTCCCGGATCAATGCCAAGTTGGTGTCGAGGGAGATGCGGATCCGATCGTCTCCCGGGATTTGGAAAGCTGTCCGGGTATAGTTGGCCCGCATCATGGGCTGCAGGTTGTACTCCTTGATGAAGGACTGCAGCTCGCTCACATCGTGCTTGAAAGGTCCGACCTGTTCGGACTCTCCGCTGCCCCTGTCCTCCATACGATGGATCTTCTTGTCGAATTGGTATTCGCCGTCGAGAAATTCCTTCACGTGTTTGTCCTTCAGTTGCACTTTCACGTCCCTGCTGTTATTGTCGTCTGTGGCGACTTTCTTCTCCAGGAAGATTGCGGGTTTCTCGTTCAGGTGGCCTGTCCACCGTAGCCTCAGGGACCCGGCATCCGGCGCCCGGGCCACTTTTTGGTTGTAGAGATCAAACTGCGGGTTATCGAAATACAGGGAGGTAATCGTGGGGTCGTCGGCGACGGTCTCCAGATCCTTGGACGTGCCTGGGTTGTAAATCAGGACCGGCAGCCGCCGTAAGATATAAGTTTTGACTTCCAGAAGATTATCCGGGTGAACCCAGAATTTAAAGGAGGAGTATGCGTCCTGGCCAAACCAGGGTTCCGACGGCTCCCTCGGCTCCACGACGCCCTGGCTGAGGATCTCACGGACAAAGGAATACAGCACCGACAGCCTGCGGACCAAGGGCGAATAGTCTTCCGAGTTGAACGGCAGCTGCGACAACCGCACCTGGAGCAACGGTTTCACGCGGTACCGGGCTCCACGCTTGCGGTCATGTTTTTTGGCGGACTTGAGGAAGCCGGTGAAGTTGATGCGACTGTATTTTTCGAGTTCACTCACCTCCTTGGTGATGCTATCCAGCTCATGGATGACCCCGGAGGCAATAGATTTTCGTTCCCCTTCGTCCTCAACGCCGGAAGACTTCTGGTCGGGTGTCGGCGCCAACGGTCGCAATTTTCCCTCACACGCCGATATACGCTCTTTCAGCTGCTGCACCTTTGCAACTTGAAAGGCATTGACCTTGTCGAGTTGAACGTTGATCAATTCCTGGACGAAAGCTTCCTCGTCTTGTTCGGTCCACGGGATGCTTTCCGAGTCACTGGCATCCCCGGTGACATCATCCTCTCTTAAGAGGACCTTGAGCTTGTGGTAGTCGATGTAGTTGCCCTTCCACGGAGGGTAGACAGCTTTCCGCAAAGTTTTCCCGAACCGCATGTTCAAATCATGAAAGCACTTCTTCGTTTAAAATCGAACCCGAGCTATTTAAGTGCGGTGGTAGAGTGATGAAGGCTGGCCAATTGGTATGTGGAGTCGTGATAGGTCAGTACATCTGACATTAACACTCGAGGGAAAGTAAAAAACAGATTGGAAGATGGAGTAGAAGTGAAAGGAGAGAGAAAAAGTAAAAGAAAGAGAAAAAAAAAAAAAATCAAGAGGGAATCACGAAATGTGTAGCTTAAGAAGGGAAAGTATGAATGGAGCTGTCTGGATACTTTCCGGTTAGCCTGAAGGAATTGGCTCCTCTTATTGCGCCCAGGGAGGGCACGTGCTGCCTCCCACCGCCCTGGCCGATCTTGGCTCTGGGCGATCATTACCGTACTTTTGTGTAATACCGATACATTACCATCTTCTTTCAAGATCATGACTCATCCATCATGTTCACCGCGGTTTCCATTGCATACCGAAGTGCGGACTGCGGAGGTACTCCGGACAAACACCATCTTATGCTTCTATTCTTTTCTGTACAGCTTAGTTTTTTCTTCTTTCTTTTGATATAACTACTACTACTTCCTATTATATCGTCATTGGGCTTGCCATTTCTGAATCCTTGCGCGGGTATTATCAATCCAAAGCCACATCACCATCCTTGTACGCAGCCAATATTCGGTCACTTGCCTCGGCTTCATACTTGACCGCCCACAATGGAACCCGTATCCAACTCCCTACACGAAGTGTTGGTGGATTTGCACCGACACCCATATCCTCACGTCCCCAACCCCCCGTCATGCAAGAAGCGCGCCTCCGTCGCTCTCATTCTGCGAGTCCGTCCGACATACAATCATTGGCCCGGCGCATCTTCCAACCCGTCACCGGATAGTTCCTCGTCCACCAAGCAACAACTCGATACATTCTTTTCGCAATCTTGGGTGCAAAACGGAGATCCAGAAGCCGTCTTCATCAAGCGGGCGTCGCGCGTGGGAGACCGATGGACAGGCCATGTTGCGCTCCCGGGAGGGAGACGAGACCCCGAGGATGCGGACGATCGAGCAGCGGCCATCCGGGAGACCTCGGAAGAGATTGGGCTGGACCTGACGCCAAACAATTGTATATACATTGGCAATCTCCCTGAGCGGGTGGTGACCACCAGCTGGGGCGCTGTTCCGTATGTCTCACCTGAACCTTCCTATCCCGAGGTCACAATGTAGTATTAACTGGATGGACAAGGTTGATGGTTCTGTGCCCGTTTGTCTTCTTGTTGACGAGCCCCGAATCACCCTCGCTGAAATTACAACCCACCGAAGTAGCGTCAACCCATTGGGTTCCTCTCCGGGCCCTGCTTTCCCCGGCACTGCGCACGGTGGAGTACGTCGATATGTCTCAGCGGCTGCCCACCGTGGGCGGGTTCGCAACCCGCCTTGCCTGTCGCGCCATAATGGGCCTTATGCAATTTTCCGCCATCCGATTGGTCTCGACGGAGAGCTTATACTGCAACACTACCCCTGGACTCATCCCCACCGACACCAAACTCACCCCGACCCCTTGGTTCCAGCGATGGAAAACACCTTGCGGGGGTCAACAAGGCGGTTCCGGCGAGCGGGCTCCCCCTCTTCTCCTGTGGGGGCTGACCCTCGGCATTCTGGCCGATTTTCTCGACATGCTCCCACCACACTCGGCGGTGACGCTGTGGAAATATCCCACGTTCACCACCCCTGATCTCCGACTGATTGTGAGTCTCATGACATACCGCTTGCGAAAGCAAAACACTCTCCGAGTACGCTCTGGACGACGAGCTAGCGATACGGCCGTGGACGGCCAGACGGCTGCATTGCCCGTCACGCGGGCCGTGGATGCGGAGTCGGAGCGCAATCACGTCGGCATTGGGGGACTTGGAGTGGGCCGATATTACGGATCGTCGGACCGGAGTCCTGATGGGAATGCATATGCTGTAGGCATCATGCTCAAAGGGTATTATGACCGACTTCGGGTCGCCATCTACATCTACCTTGCATGGAGAGCCGCTCTAGGCTCTGTGGCCGGATACACCGCGTGGAAGTTACTCCGACGGTAGCCAGATTGGGCGGGACATTTTCTTTGTCATTTTTAGAACAGCTTCTATACCCGGTGGACCGAGTGCTCTACGATCATTTTGCATAAGGGGTCATTGCGGTCACCTGTAAATTTTATCATGGACTTGTTTGTATTGGTATTGTCTGGTAAATACACATCTTGAATTCCCCAGACTAGTCGCTCCGTATTACGCAGTTACATAAACATGACTTCGTATCTTCATCTCCAAACTGTTTATCAACAAGCGACTTGCCAAGTTTCTGCCAGTCAGGTCTTCAATCAGACGACAATACATCAGGGCGATCCCATCCATTGCTCCTTCAAGTACCGACACGTTATCCCTTCCCGCACAAAGACAGTCGCATCCGCTATGGCGGCAACCCAGAAGCTCTACCCCCGCGCGACAGTGAAGCGTATCGTCAAGGCGCAATCGAATCGCAACGTGAGCAAGAACGCCGACATTCTGGTACGATTGAGACCCCAGTCACGGAAGACTTATTTCCATCATTATTAACTGTACTGCCTCCACTCAGATCTTCCTGGATTACATGCTATTCATGCAAGAGTAAGTCACGCTATAGCCATTACATGCCCCCAACTCTCCGCATCCCTGCACAGCGCGCACGAAACTCGAAGAACCCAACCTAATATCTCGCAATTTTACAGACTCATGCGCGAGTCCGCCATCCGATCGCGCAAGTCTGGCGAAAAACACATCTCCCCCAATGCAGTGCGGAAAGTGACGGAGGTACGTGGATTGATTGATTGATTGGCTCGAGCGCGCATGCGACTCACTCCCCTTACGGTACTAACGATTTCGATTCTTGGCTTGTAGAGAACACTGCGGAAATTCAAGGGCTAGCGGGAGACCCTGCTTGTTGATGATCTGGCTTATGATGGGGGTTGCGTCTTTCCGTGTTTTGAACCGTGGAGCGATTCTTCCATTTCGCGCGCTTTTGCAGGACGGTTTTTTGTAGTGATTGGGGTGTCATAGGCGAAAGGGGTTTGGCGTTTGTTTGATGTTATTCTGGATGGTCTATATACCCAAGAGGAGAGAGTGTTGGACTTCTCCCATATGACAGTGTTTTAAATTGAAACTATGGTGTATCAGCGACTAGAACACAAGCGTAGTGGAAGAATACAGGGTAGTAGACAGATCAAATTCAATATAAAGAAATGATTGGTTTGTTTGATGGTTGGGCTGGACAAGAATCAAAGCCAAAGCGACGACACGCGACAAAGGCGGCGCTTCTGGGATTCGGAAAAGTTCCACCCGCATCTACTCTCCGCTCCTCAGCCTTTCTCCCTCAACTTCCTCTTCCCCAGCTTCCTGTTTTCTTCTTCTTCGTCCGTTAGGTCATTTTACCTCTTTTTGAATATTCTCAACTCTTACGAATTCTCTCTAAACGATCGATCCCCATCTTTCACCCGCCCCCGCCATATCTCTAGGTGACCCAGTTTGACTCACCGCATATCATTAACACACACCATGGCCGCCGCTCCTGTCCCCAGCAAGTCCCCAGCACCGTCCGAGGCGACGTCGGAGAAGCTCAAGCAAACTCCAGTGTCTCCCTCCAGCGCGGCGGCGAACCTGGACAACCTCGACTTCCCGCATTTCAAGGATCTTCAAAGGTGCGTCATTCCCCCTCAAGCTTGTTACCTGATAGGGTACATCTACCGTCAAGATGACGCTAACGGATGGACTTCCTTTAGGAGCCTGCGCAACGCCACGAAGAAACTGGTTCGTCGCGAGTAACCGTTCCCTTCGTCTATCCTGACACTAATCAGCGCTCGGCTCCAACAGAACGCTACCGCCAAGCTTGATGGCATCCTCGCCGAAAACCCCAAGAAATCGCTCGATGAGCTGGTCGCTGAAAAGAAGATCAACACCGATCAGAAGGCCCAGATGTTGAAGAAGCCGGCTCTGCAAGCTTCCGTTGTTCAATATGAGGAGCAGATCGCTCGTTACAAGGAGTTTGCGGTCCACTATGAAGAACGTCTGACCACCCAGAAGACGGAGACCGAGAAGGCTCATAAAGCTGAGTTAGATGCCGCTCGCGCAACCGCCAACGCGGAAGCTGGTGAGACCCGCGAGAAGGAGTATCGGAGCCGTCTACTCAGCTTGAGCAAGTTCCTTTGTGCTGCTGCGGCCATGAGACGCTCTGGCGATGAGACTTCGGGTGAGAGCCGCGCATTTGAGGGCGTCCTCTACCAGGTCTACGGGGGCTCGAACGAGGCCGTCGAGTCTATGGTGAAGTTGATTGGTGGCGTGGATGAGAAGATCGTTAGCGTTGAGGGTGAGCGGTTGGATGTCACCTGTGAGTCATGCCCGTCCAATCCTTTAATCGTCTCTAGCTGCTAATTACTATAAAAACTAGACGGCAAGGTGAAACAGATCTCCGAAGGTTATGCCCCCGCAGAGGCGACTACGGGTGCACCTGCCTCCGACCCCACGGTGGCCAATGCAGCATCTACCGAGCTTCAGGAGGCATCCTATGGCACCGAGGCCACGCCCGCCAGCGAAGCCACGGGCGACGCGTCTCAAACCAACCCCCCACCGCAGACAATTGTCTCCGATGCGGCTAACCCGGTCGCGGAAAAGAACTGGGATGCCAACGCCCCCGGCTCGCTCGCATCCTCCGCAAACACGGACAGTTGGGTCGAAGTGCAGCGTGACCCTGCCGAAACAGAAAACGGTCTCAATGCCACCCCCGCGGCAGCTCACGCCGGTCTCAGTAACATCACCACCGCTCCGGATGCCGCCAACCAAAGCGCCGAGGCTGTCACCGCCCCCAACCCCCCAAGTGGTGAACCCGCTGGGGCAGCTTCCCACCAGAGGCAACCCAGCTTCCGTGGCCGTGGCCGCGGCCGCGGACGAGGCGATGGATTCCGTGGACGCGGGCGCGGTGAGTTCCGAGGCCGCGGTCGTGGGGGTCGAGGAGGTCGTGGACGCGGCGGCGCCAACGGTTCCCCTGGTGCAGCCCCCACCGCACCCCAATAAACGTGGGTAATCTTGCGGTTGACCTGCTACTGGGTGAGGCTTCGGTGCCAGGTAGCTTCGACTTCCTCGTCTCTCCACTCTGGATGGCCTCCGTTTTTCACCAAACGGGCTCGCCATCCAGGTGCACTGTTCATGTACTCTGCGACTTCCCTCTGACTGTCACTATCTTAATTAGGCTATGGGTCACAGTGGTGTTATGGTTCACGAAAGCAATGAATTTCCTGAAAGGTCTACAGCAGGAGTCGCAGCGCGCGGGGTGGCAATGGACCGTGGTGTCTTTTTCTGTTCCTCGCTCTGCACCTTACTTTTGGATTATGGATGTCCCAAAAGTCCTCGTTGTACATGTTTCGCAGTTATTCAGCGTGCATATATTTGACATTTTCTTTTCTTTTATCTTTGGGCGGTATGGACTACCGTTCTTGTCTGCTTTTCACACATATTTCCATTCTCCTGTACTTTATTTCATGACATATGGTGAGAGGGGCACTGGGACGTGGGAGTGGGGTTGTTCACAGTTGGGTGGACATGGACGGGGATGGACCTCGGTGTACAACAGTCAGTCACAGTGGTAGACAATGGAAGAACCCCGTAGTGGGATTCGACCGCATGGCGTCTTGGATCAGTAGTTGAGTGTAGTGTATACCGAGGTTTCTATATGCCGTATACTGGATATGCCGTAGTTGATTGATACTATCTCCGCATTATGTAAGCGGGGTCCATCACATCGTCATCTTCCCCTGCATCTTTCTTCAACTTCACACCTCCCCTCCTGAATCTCCTGCTAGATCGGTCCATTGGCGCAACCATCCTCATGATTGATTGATCTTTCTTTTTTCAGATTCCCTCATTTAGTTTCTTTTACCCCTTACGCTATCACTACCAAATCTTGAGCTCCGCCGCAACCATGGTACTAGCCGCGGATCAGCGCCGGAGGATCCTCAAGGTGTTGATGACATCGCTGCTCTTGGATTTGGTATGTCCTCAATTCCAAGTCGACGTGCATCGGACTAACGATAGGAACTGCTAGATCTCATTTACCTTCATTTTGCCGCTATTCCCCTCTCTATTGGAGTTCTACCGAACCAAAGACCCCTCGCCGACCTCCCTCTTAAACCGCATCTTCCACTACCTCAACGCCTACAAGAACTCCTTTGCCAAACCAATCGACTCTCGCTATGATATAATCCTCCTCGGCGGGGCCCTCGGGTCTCTGTTCTCTTTTCTGCAGGCCCTAGCGGCCCCCGTCATCGGCCGCCTCTCCGACAAACATGGCCGCCGGACAGCTCTCCTCTGCTCAATGATAGGCAATACGCTGAGCGTCGCGCTCTGGGTTGCAGCCACCGACTTCCGGACCTTCCTCGCGAGCCGCATCGTCGGCGGTCTGAGTGAGGGGAACGTCCAGCTCGCCAATGCCATCGCCACGGATATCAGCGACCCCAGCCAGCGCGGCTCAACCATGGCTCTCGTCGGCGCCTGTTTCAGCATCGCGTTTACTTTCGGCCCTGCCCTCGGCGCGGGCCTCGCGACTATCACGACTGTCGCTGCAAACCCGTTCGCTACGGCTGCGGGTGTCTCGCTGTTCCTTATCATCCTCGAGACAGTATACATATACTACTGTCTTCCCGAGACGCATCCCCGTCTAACAAAGCTCAACCACATCGACGCCACCACGAACAAGAACACCTCCAACTCCAAAGCCACCACCTCCCCCTCTACACGACCCCACCAACACACCAACAACCCCGCTATCCTCAACCTCATCCACTTCCTCTTCCTCCTCCCCTTCTCCGGCCTCGAGTTCTCCCTCCCCTTCTTAACAGCAACCTTCTACGCCGGTAGCAAAGCCAGCCCATCGGCCTTAAACGGCCGCCTCCTCTCAATGATGGGCCTAATCGCCTCCCTCCTCCAAGGAACCCTCGTCCGACGCCTCCCACCGCTCATCATCGTCCGCGCCGGTGTCCTAGCCTGCACCGTCTCCTTCTTCCTCCTCGGCCGCATCACCACCCTAACAGGGCTCTACACCGTCGGCGGCCTCCTAGCCATCACCAGCGCAACGGTCGTCACAGGCCTCAACAGCCTAGGCAGTCTCGAAGCGCAGGAAAGTGACCGCGGAGCGGTGCTCGGCCGTCTGCGCAGCTGGGGCCAGGTCGGCCGCGCGGCTGGTCCGCTCCTGTTTTGTTCGCTTTTCTGGTGGGTGGGGCGTGAAGTCGCTTACACGACTGGGGGATGTGTCATGTTGGGGGTTTGTGTTGCTGTGTTTACGGGGCTCAGGTCGCCGGTTACTTCGGCTGTGAATGGGAAGTGAGATGGTCGTTGAATTGGGTGATGCTGTCGTCTGCTTTTCTTCTTCCTTTATCTCGTTTCTTTCTTTTTTTTTTTTTTTTCCCTCCCCTTCGTGCCATGTCTATTCCCTTGTTTTGGTTTACGTCTTGTCATTTTTCGCAGGTATGATGCGATTCCATAAAAACATGTATACTACATTACCCAGGATGCCATTCTTGACAGGAGAATAGTTAAGTAGCTGAATTTGAAGCCCCGCGCTGCTGGTCAGCGACGGGGTTGTACATAGTTGAGAAAAAAAAAAAACTCTATCGATACATTCGATACATTTGATACATTGGAGTCAGACAATAGTAAACGCCGAAAAAAAAGAATAATCATAAAAAGAACACCCCTCATGGGTATAACGTACATAGACACCATAAACCTAGCAGAGCTGGCCACAATACGAACTAGAGCAGTAACATGCCTAGTCCATGGAAAGAGAAGAGAAGAGCCCAGCCCATCCACCCCCAGTAAATACTACACATATCCCATAGTACAGCAAAGACAGTGTCAGCGAAACACGACAGCACAACTACTACGTAGTCATCGACGATGATACAGATCCTCCCTCCCCAGCCCCCAAGCTAACCCCTCGGACTCCTCGCACCCCTGCATAGCCAGACCCGGGGCGGGAGCGGGATCCAACGAGCCCCTCGCTTTCCCAATCAACCAGTCTGTCAATGTAACGAACTTCGCAGTGCGCTCCCATCCCCTCGCATCATCGGCATGCTCGATCGTATGAGACGCGATGCGGCCCTCTTCGTCAAACGAGAAGATGAACAGTCCTGTGAATTGCTCCTCCTTGGAGAGTTTGAAGATCGGCGCGTCGCCGCCTAGAAGAACGCTTAGGTTTCGGTTGATCCCCGGTTTAGAGGACGAGGACGCCACGCGGGATTGGCCGGCGTCACCGGAGGAAGAGGACGACTGGTGGTCTTCATTCCGCGGTTCCGTCTTCCAGCGCACGACTAGACGCTCGTCGCCGATGTCGTTGTTGTCGCTGGATCCTTCGGGGTCGAGGACTGTCCCTGCGCGCACTATGCGCTCGCTTAGTATCTGCAGTTTGACGTTCCCGACTAATGGGAGGGCGCTCCATGCTACTGGGACGGTCCACAGCGCGGCGCGGTAGAGGGTCCGTCCTTTGACTGTTGGGAGGTGCGGGTGGGTGGATGGAAACAGGTGGAGGGTGACGTGTGGCGAGAGAATTTCTGTTGGAAGAGGGTTGAAGAGGAGGGTGGGAAGGAGGGGGGAGAGGGTTCGAAGGGCTATGATACAGATCGACTGGTTAGCACGAATTCATCCTGATGTTTGAGAAGGAGAAGACATCGGCTGCAGCAAAGCAGTAGGGCAAGCGTACTCTTCCCCAACTTCAAGACCCGCTCATCAGGCGGCTTGCGCTCCCCGTTCGAGCCCTTCCCCTCCAGCTCATCGGAAATGCTCCGGTTGCGCCCCGACGGCGAGAAGCGCAGCGGGGGAGCCTGCCAGTGTTCAGGCTCGTGGAGGATGCCGTGTTGCGGGTGCGCGAGGGGCCGGACGGGCGAGGAGACGAAGAACTGGCAGGGTACTGCTGTGCGAGATGTGGATGGTCTTTTCGCGGTGAGGAGATTCCGGATGGGGAGTTGGGACGCTGGCGGCGCGACTAGCTTGGGCATGGTGACGGACGGTGGATGTAAGGGAGTTGGCGCAGTCAGTACAGGCCGCGGACTGATGACGGCGACTGGGGATGATTCAAGCCATGCAGTGAGGATAAATGGGTGGTCCAGTCGATGAACAAGATTGGGAGAATCGTTGGAGTCGTTGCAGTGGTTTGGACGGAGTCGATTCGATGACGGCCGATCCCGTGCGACTTGCCTTTTTCGGCGATGACATCACATGCCCAATCTATAGTTCTTTCTATGTTATTTACCTCAATGCATCAATATCAAATATCCATCAATCATTAATACCAGTCTAGCGGTATGTATAGATAAATCAAACGCGTATCATATCCTGGTATCCAGCCTCTCAAGCCAACTCATCATCGTCATCATCACCACCCAGTCGCCTCTCCGCCATCTGTCGGATCTTATCCTCCAACACGCCCCGCCCATACCGCTCCGCAATCCGGACAGCCGCTTCGACCATCTTGCCATTGCGGTCCTTCATCATCTGGACCAGCTCCAGGGCCTTCATGCCTCGTTCTTCGCCTTCTCGGCACTCCACAGCGAGCAGCTGCAGAAGGATCTTATCCAGCTCCAGCTCCTTGCGGACAAGCTCCGCACGTTGGCTAGCTGTCGCATTGGTGGAAGAGAGTAAGTCCTGGAAGAGTGACAGCATGACGTTGCCTCGCACGAAAGACTCCTCGAACCGCGGGCCTTCGTTGCGCTCTGCGTCCTCGCCGAGGCTTTGCCCGGGAGTGTCCGAGATGGGGACCCGGAAGTCGAATTCGCTTAGCAACGGGCGGGGGAAGTACGGGTATTGGTCTCCTCCCTTCAGGATGATACAGTGGAACTTGTCTTGCGCGACGGCAACGGGCCAGTACGTCTCTTCCTTGCGACCGCTGGCTAGACGCTCCATCTGTTTGGTGTCTAGCAGGGGAACCCAGCGCGCCTGGCCGGGAGTGCGCCAGTGTTGGAGGATCAGCAGCACGCCCTCGGTGTCGTAGATGCATGGGTCCTGTTATGAGTCAGTCATGGTCGGTTCATTAGTATAAGTGTGGGCATCACTCACCCCGGTATCGGAAAAGAAGACGCTCTTCAGTTCGGACCCCTCCGGGAGCGCCACTACATCCTCGTTTTGGCAGATCTCGTCGCGCTTGACGTTTTCTACGGTGTATCGAAGGGACGCCGTGCGGCCGTCGCTTCCCAGTGGTCCGTTTCCGACTGTCATCACGTAGTCGCGCCAGGCGGCGCAGGTCACGGCTGGACTCTTTTGCCGGTACACTTTGAAGGGAGTGCCAAATAGCGTATACACGCGCACGTAGTCTTTCGTAGTCACCGCGACGATGTAAGAATCACTTAGCGCCAGCGCTGTCGCCGTCAGCATGAAACCATCTACCGTCCAGTATGCTATGTCTCACCTCGGATGAATTCCCCTTGGGGCAGCTGGGTCCGCCAGTCTGCCCGCGTGGTCCAGGTCTCGTGGGGACGGTAGAATATCGTGGCAGGGCTGCCGTCGCTGGGGTTATTAGAGAACAAAGTCCCATTGTCGTCTACCATCATCAGCATAGTTTGTCAGCCGGGGATCAAGTACACTTACTCAGACACGCCCGGTCATAGATATACGGATCGGTAAAGTGAAAGTCGCGGTGAAGTTCCCGGTCGTAAAACTCCACGGTCACCGTGTTATGGGTTTCCTGGTCCACAGTCCAGACGGCGCCAGTCAAGTTCAGACCTGGCGAGTCAGCATACTGGTCATTCGTCCCGGTTATGTGGAAGCCACTTACAAAGGTATCGTCGGTTGCCTCTCCACGGCGTGCTACCGGGCTGAAGAGGGGGATGCACCTTCGGTTTTCCAAACGAGCCGATCATCCGTTTATCGGCGTGGCCATCGATGCCATCCAAATGCCGGTTCGTGCGTTTGCCGAATTCATTTACCTCGTCCTCAGCATAGCCCGCTCCGTCGTCATCATCGACAAAGTCCGCCATTCCCTGATCACCGGCGAGAAGATCGTCCAGGGAATCAGGAGACCCCAGCCTGTCCCTCCGCTCAATAGACTCCTTCGGTCGGCTCGCCAACGGTCGCCGTACATTATCAGAGATCTCCGTCAACGGGCCGGGGAAGATAGGAGCGGCCTGGAGCGGTTTCTGCAGCAGAGGCTGGTGCGCAGGCTGTACAATCCCGTCGTATATGAACAATTCACCATCCGAGGTGGTAAACGAAAGCGAGTTGGTGGTCGGATGCCAGGCAAGGTTAATCACGTTCGCAAAATCATGACTCTGCAGAACCTTCTGCGTGCGCGTGTCCCAGATCAGAACCTGGCCGTCGGCACCAGCGGTCGCAAGAAGCGCCCCGTTAGGCGACCAGCTGATGGCGGTGACCCGTCCGTTGTGGCCGCCCGAAAAGACCTTTTCCTTTTTCCACTGGCCTGTCGAGAAGATCGCGATGTCACGCGTGGCTTCTGCAGACGCGAACGCCGTCCCATCCGGATGCCATACCGCTCTCGATGTCGTCTCGTCCTCCGGCTCCAGTCGCTGTATGACGCCGTCTAGCCTTTGCACGAGCTCGGGCTCCTCTGACGCGATCGAGTATACGTAAAGGAAACCATCTGTACACGAAACCGCAATGTACTGGCCGTTCGGGTCGAACGTGACGTGCTTGCTGCCCTTGGTCTGCTCCCGCAGGTACTTCACTTTGGTCATGTCCTCGACATTGACGATCTTCACTGTGAGTTCACTGCAGTATACATGTCAGTTCTGTAAGATGCGCGCAGATGTTAGTGACGGGGACATACTCGCTCGCAACGGCAGCCCACTCCCCATCTCTCGAAACAGCAATGTCCCGCACTGGCAAGGCACAGCGAACCAGCAATTTCTCCATTCGTCCCGATCCTATCTCGTACTGCCATACCGTTCCGTCTTCGGCGCCCAAGATGAACGACTCGTTCTATCGATTTTCCGTCAGTACCTCGCCGCCTTTCCAAGAGATATCTGTATCGACTAACCGTAGCACCGATACCCATATGTCCATCGACACCTTCGTCGACGGTCTTCGGCTCGCCATCCTGGCCGACAGTGTAGATACGAATCGCCGAGTTGGAACCGCCCGTGATCACGCGGCGACCGTCGGGGGTGTACGCCAGAACCGTCGATCCGGGCGTGTCTATATAATTTCATGCGGATTAGCAAATTGCGCAGTAAACAATTTTCTGGCTACTTACGCGCTGGCCGACCCCTAGGTCGGAGTGCTTCGGAGGACATCGTTAGGGATGGAATGGAAAGAACGTGGCCAGCTCAGCTGAACACGGCACATCGGTCGCCGGCACGATTATCAATCTGTCAGTCTCTAAGCCGATCAGAACAGATCGTACCTATACCCAGGTATGTACGTAGGTATGGAGTAGTCTGACTCCGGTGGTTGATCTGATTTGATCGGAGGTTCAGCGCCTGCCGACGCGTCGAGCGCGTCTGGGCGCGACTCACTCCTACCTAATCTGGTATGGCTTAGGGCTTAGGGCACTTTATCAGGGCTAAATCAGTTCCATAGTATGATCTCATTCTACGATTTGACGACTTCCCCCATCTTGTCTACTCTCGAGAACTATTAGCTATCCCACTAGCCATCAGGAAGTCAAAATCCGCCCCCTCCTCCGCCTGGTTCACCGACCGCTCATACAAAACACAGTACCCTCGTCTCGGCCCCTGTTCGGAGGCACCCGCGCCAGCCAAAGCCAGCTTCCTCGCATCCACGCGCGCTTTCAGCTCTTCGTCGGGTATCTCCAGCTGCAGTCTCCTCTGTTCAAGGTCGCAGGTAATCCAATCACCCGTCTGGACGACGCCGAACGGCGATTCAGCCAGGGCTGCTTCAGGAGAAATGTGAAGGGCGATGGTCCCCCCCGCTGTCCCCGACATACGGCCATCTGACAGGCGGAGCATATCCTTGACGCCCTGTGTCGCGAGCTTGCGTGGGATGGGGATGAGCCCCGCTTCGGGCATCCCTGGGTTGCCGACTGGGCCGATGCCTTTGAGGACGAGTACTGAGTCTTGCGTGACAGGGAGGTTGGCGTCGTCGATGCGCTGTGCTAGATCTGCTGAGTTTTCAAACACCACTGCGGGTCCTCTGTGGGATAGGAGTCTGCGGTCTTTGGACGCAGACGCTTTCATGACGGCGCCCTTGGGCGCGATATTCCCGTGGAGAACGACGAGCGACGACGCCGGGTGCAGCGGGTCGGACAAGGGTCGGATGATCTGCTGCGAGAGCGGGAACGTCCGAAAGGGAGAAGAGTCCAATACCTCCCCTAATGTGCGACCGGTGATGGTCATCGCCGACAGGTGTAGCAGCGGCCGCAGGGTATGCAAAAGCGCCAGCATGCCGCCCGCGTTGTGGAAATCATCCATGTAGTTGTCCCCACTCGGCTTCAGATCGATCAGCAGCGGTGTCCGCTTGCCGATATCTTCGAATGTCTGCAGGGTGATCGCGCCTTGGGCCTGCGGGTGACGGTTGACAATAGCCATCAGGTGGACCACGGCGTTCGTTGATCCCCCAATTGCCTGCAGCACGGTGATGGCGTTCAGGAATGATTCCGTGGACAAGACATCCTGCGGCTTCCGACCGGCCTGCGCCACCGCGACTGCATTGGCGCCTGTTTCTTCCGCGACTCGAATCCTAGCCGACGAGACAGCAGGCGCCGATGCCCCCCGGAGCGGCATCATGCCCAGGGCTGCCGTCACGCACGCCATCGTGCTGGCCGTGCCCATGACACCACATGTGCCGACCTATCGTATCGATGAATCGATCAGTACTACAATCAAACGCTTGGCCCATAACCACTCGGGGGACCTCAGAAGAGATGCAGCCTACCGTCGGAGCAAGCTCCTCATTGACCGCCGCGATCTCTTCAACATCGATCTCGCCCGCGCGGAACGCAGCCCAATGACTCCGACAATCCGTACACGCACCGATCCGCCGTCCACGGTGTCTCCCAGGTAACATGGGGCCCGTAACAAGCGGCAAAATGGGCTTATTCGCCGAAATGCCACCCATCAACTGTGCCGGAACGGTCTTATCACAGCCTATAAAGACCACGCATTAGCCTGGTCATATCCCCTGTCCTATCCCCTATCCCCTCCTCCAAGCGAACAATACCACACCAAACCACCCAACAACCACAGAAACAACAAAAGAAAAAAGAAAAAGAAAAAGAAAAAGAACAAACCTCCAACCAAAATACATGCATCCAGCGGCTGCGCCCGTATCATCTCCTCCGTATCCATACTCATCAAATTCCTCAAAAACATACTCGTCGGCGCCGCAAACGACTCATGCACACTGATAGTAGGGAACTCGATCGCGAGCCCACCGCTAAGGTGCACCCCGCGCTTAGCGGCTTCGATAAGCTGAGGCACGTTCGCGTGGCAGGGGTTGAAGCCGGAGAAGGTGTTGACGATGCCAATTATTGGGCGGGAGAGGGCGTCTTCGGAGTATCCCAGGGCTTTGATGAAGACTTTGCGGAGGAACAGGGAGAAGTGTGCGTCTCCGTAGGATGTTAGGTTTTGTTTGAAGCCGGTTGTTGGGGAGATGGGGGTTGAGAGGTTGTAGTCGTTAGTGGTGGTGTTGTGGTTGTCGGGTTGTCTTGCTTGGTCCATGGCTGCTGCTGGTTGGGTGGGCTGGGTAGGTGGGTAAGTAGGTAGGTGGATAGTATTCAGATTGTGTCTTGTCTGTTAACTTATATCCTGGATGAGGTGATTGTGTCCCCCGCTTGGTCTAGTCGGATATTTCTCCGTAGCATTGTTAGTACTCACTAGGCATGGACTAACTTTGGAGGATGATCATAGATGTTCTGATAGCCTGTTACCACGGCTGGAAGGAAACAAATTCACACTCAACCCCATTCTTGCGTTTACAGAGATACACTATAGACACGTCAGCCTACGCAAATATACAGGCGTAACCTACAACAAGACAATTAAAGAAGTATAGTAGGCTAAATTGTAAACACCTGCCGGCACTTGGCCAGATTATGTACAACATGAGACAACAGAACTTCAAGAAACATATAACGCTCCGACACCTTGCACGTCATTTTGTAAACAAAGGAAAAGAAACAGGAATACAGCCAAACCAGATATCATCACCCCGTGGGAAACATAAATAATGAACCAGAACCAAAGACCATGAACCATAAGTGTAGTGAGAATTGAATATCGCATGATGAAATGATGAAAGCCTCGCTCCCAGACAAAAAGCCTTGACAGATCATCTAGGGAATGGTGGTGAAAGATACAAAACTTCCCCAGCAATTATACCACCAATCTGACGAACTTTTCGTTTGCATTGAAATCTTGATAGATCATTGTCCGCATGACGCATGGAAAGAAAGACTCAACAGTCGGAAGCCGTCCGGAGAGCTACTTTAAACTTTCACGCACATACAGGCTGCGCTACCTGAGGGACAGAGTCAATGGCCGGCCGGCGGACAATACCTCCAGTAACAGGGAGCTGCGAGCTGGTATTCATGAGGAAGGTGTCGATTTCACGAGCACACTGGCGGCCTTCGTTGATACCCCACACGATGAGAGACTGTCCGCGACGGCAATCTCCGGCCGCAAAGACACCGGGAAGGTTGGAGGCGTACTGCCCCGGGGGAGTCTTGACATTCTTGCGGGCGTCCCGTTCAATCTCATCACCCAGCATGCGGTCTTCAGGACCCAGGAAGCCCATAGACAAGAGGACAAGATCAGCCGGGAAGAACTGGTCGCTGCCTTCGACCGTCTTCATGTCCCAGCCACCCGAAGCGCTCTTGGTCCACTCAACGCGGACGGTGTTGATGCCCTTGACGCGGCCGCTGCCATCGTCGACAAAGTCCTTAGACATGACGCAGTACTCACGAGGGTCGTTGCCCATGTGGGTCTTGACCTCCGAGTGGCCATAGTCCACACGGTAGATGCGGGGCCACTGCGGCCATGGGTTGTCACGGGCACGCTCGGGAGGAGGCTGAGGCAGAAGCTCAAAGTTGGTAACGGACTTGGCGCCGTGGCGAACCGAAGTTCCAATGCAGTCATTACCGGTGTCACCGCCACCAATAACCACAACGTGCTTATCTTTGGCGGAGATGTACGCACCATCGGCAAGTTCCGAGTCGAGGAGGGACTTAGTGTTGTGGTGCAGGAACTGCATGGCGAAGTGTACACCATCCAGCTCACGGCCGGGCACCTTCAGGTCTCGAGCGACGGTAGCGCCAGTGGCGATGACGACTGCGTCGTTACTCGCGCGCAAAGAATCCAGCGACACCTTATCATCGGGCCCGACAGACGTATTGGTGACGAACTTGACACCTTCCGCGGCCATCAAGTCCACACGACGTTGGACGATCTTCTTGTCAAGCTTCATGTTCGGAATACCGTACATGAGCAGCCCACCAATGCGGTCAGCACGCTCGTAGACAGTGACGCTGTGGCCTGCACGGTTGAGTTGGTCTGCCGCGGCGAGACCAGCGGGGCCGGATCCAATGATAGCAATGGTCTTCCCGGTGCGGGTCTGAGGTGGCCGAGGGACCATCCAACCCATCTCAAATCCGCGATCGATGATGGCACACTCGATCGACTTGATGCCCACGGGGTCCTCGGTGATTCCCAAGACACAGGCCCCTTCGCATGGCGCAGGGCAGACACGGCCAGTGAATTCGGGGAAGTTGTTGGTCATAAGGAGACGGTTGAGGGCGTCTTGCCACTGGTTCTGGAACACCAGCTCGTTCCACTTGGGGATGATGTTGGAGATGGGACATCCGGTATCAGACTGGCAGAAAGGAACACCGCAATCCATACAACGAGCCGATTGATACTTGAGCTCATCCTCGGTGAGTCGACTCGAGATCTCTCCCCAGTCACGGGTACGAGTGGTGGGGTTGCGGTACTTCTCGCTGCGCCGGTTGTATTTCATAAAGCCCCTGGTCTTGTCAAGGATGAGGGCGGACCGCTTCTTTTCGGTCTTGGAGTCGGTCACACTGTCCTCAATGTCCAGCATTTCGGCCTTCTTGCCGTCATCCGTAACCTTGGCCTTGGGCTTCTCGGCATTGGCCGGGGTGCTGGGCAGGCGCGGGAGGGTAAATTCGGCTTTCTTCGCTGCCTCCGCCTTGGCTGCCTCCTCCATCAGGATACGCTTGTAGTCAGTAGGCAGTACCTTGACGAAATGGGGCAATGCCCGGGTGAAGTCCAGAAGGATGCGGGCAGCCAGCTCAGAGCCGGTATAGTGGTGATGGTCCTCGATCAACCCACGGAGGAAGGCGACCTCGGTCGGATCTTCCAGGGAGGAAACCTCAACCATCTCCATATTGACCTTGGAGTAGAAGTCTTGGTTCATATCCAGGACATACGCAATGCCACCAGACATACCGGCAGCGAAGTTACGGCCGGTGGAGCCGAGGATCAGTACACGACCGCCAGTCATGTACTCACATCCGTGATCGCCCACGCCTTCAACCACAGCCGTAGCGCCAGAGTTACGGACCGCAAACCGCTCGGCAGCGACACCGCGGAAGTAGCATGTTCCACGGGTGGCGCCATAGAGACAGGTGTTTCCAACGATGACATTCTCCTCTGCCTTGAAGGCCGCGCCACGGGGCGGGTAGACGATGAGACGGCCACCGGACAGACCCTTACCGACATAATCGTTCGCGTCGCCCTCCAGTTCGAGGGTGATACCAGGCGCAAGGTAGGCACCAAAAGACTGGCCAGCCGATCCCTTGATGTTCGCATGGATCGTGTCCTGTGGAAGGCCATCTCCACCAAAACGGCGACTGACCTGGTAAGAAAGAGTAGCACCCAGACTGCGATCCGTGTTGACGATATCGCATTCGATCCGGCACGGCAGTCCCTTCTCCAAGGCAAGCTCCGATTCGGCGATGAGCTTGTTATCTAGGCGAGTATGCAGGCGATGGTCCTGCTTGCGGACATTGTATGTCGCAACACCAGGGCGGAGAGAGTGAGCCGGGGTGAGAATGAGGGAGAGGTCGATTCTCGCTTGCTTGGGCGTCCGGATATCGTCCCGGACCTTGAGAAGCTCGGCACGCCCGATCATCTCGTTGACGGTGCGGATCCCCAGCCTGGCCATGATAGCGCGCATCTCGTTGGCGACGTAATAAAAGAAGTTGATCACGTGTTCAGGCGTACCCTGGAATTTGGAACGGAGATGAGGATCCTGGGTGGCGATACCAACGGGGCAAGTGTTCAGGTGGCATTTCTAGGGGAAGATTAAACATCAGTAACCATATCAGATAAAAAATAATTGGGGATCGGATCGTTAGGAAATACTCACGCGCATCATGATGCACCCCATGGCAATCAACGGCGTGGTCGCAAAGCCATACTCTTCGGCGCCCAGCAGACAGGCGACGGCAAGATCACGGCCGGTACGGATCTGACCATCGGTCTGAACGATGACACGGCCACGGAGATCATTCAGAACCAGAGTCTGGTGTGTCTCAGCGAGACCCAGTTCCCACGGCAGGCCAGCGTACTTGATGCCCGTCCAGCGAGATGCACCAGTACCGCCGTCATGGCCGGAGATCAGAATGTGATCGGCCTTTGCCTTGGCAACTCCCGAGGCAACAATGCCAACACCGACCTCCGAGACAAGCTTGACGGAGACACGGGCACGGGGGTTGGAGCACTTGAGATCATAGATGAGTTGCTTCAGATCCTCGATGGAGTAAATGTCGTGGTGGGGCGGCGGCGAGATCAGGCCAACACCGGGCGTCGAGTAACGGGTGTGAGCAATGGGACCGACGACCTTGTGGCCAGGAAGCTCGCCTCCTTCACCGGGCTTGGCTCCCTGGGCCATCTTGATCTGAAGCTCATCAGCATCGGCCAGATAGTGCGATGTCACACCGAAACGGCCGGAGGCGATCTGTTTGATGGCAGACCGCATCGTATCGCCATTCTCCATCCGTTTGCTCCGCTCGGCGTCTTCACCACCTTCGCCGGTGTTGGACTTGCCCCCCAGCCGGTTCATGGCAATGGCGAGGGTGGAGTGGGACTCCATGGAGATGGATCCGTAAGACATGGCACCCGTCACAAAACGGCGGACGATCTCAGTCCACGGCTCGACCTGGTCGATCGGGATCGGGGTCCGTTGCTCAAAGTCAAAGTCGAGCATGCCGCGGAGCGTGCAGTTCTTGATCTGCTCATGTTCGGACTTGGCATAGGCCTCGTAGGACTTGTCGTTCTTGGTGCGTGCGGCGTCCTGCAAGTTGGCAATGCTGACCGGGTCGTTCACGTGCTGCTCGCCGCCATCACGCCAGTGGTATTCGCCCGACTCGGGAAGTCCGGGAATCTCCACAATTTCACGCGAGGGGTAGCCTCGCTCGTGGAAGGCAAATGCGTCCTGGGCGATGAGGTCAAACGTCAACCCGCGTATGCGGCTTGCCGTCCCTGTGAAGCACCGGTCGATGACGCTGTCGTCGATTCCGAGAGCCTCAAAGATCTGGGCACCCTTGTACGACTGCAAGGTGGAGATACCCATCTTACTCATCACCTTTAAGATCCCACCGTCACACGAAGCCTTGTAGTTTTCAATGATCTTCTCGTCCGACATCTGCTTGCGGATCAGGTTCTCACGGTTCATCTTGAGGATGCACTCCATGGCGAGGTAGGGGTTCACGGC